TGGAAAGTGCTTTATTTCACTGAAGAGGTAAAGGTTTACGGCCTGCAAAAGTTTTATCTGTTCTTCCTGACACGCCTTGAACTGAAATGACGAACTAAAATACTGTTCACGTTGGGGGAAATCCTATTACATCCAGTCACATCGCCAGAGCCATTCAGTAATATATCCCTTGATAGGATTTATACTTGGATGGATCAAAATTTGGGGAGTTCATGTAAAGTACGGTTTGACAGTCATAAGCTCATTTCATTTATTGAAATCCAATGCCAGCTTCTCTCCTGTAAAGTGTTGTCAGTACGGGGGCATGGACCATCTTTAGGAGTCCGTGATGACATAGGTCTATAGCATAACAGAAGCATTGTGTTCTGCACACAACACTATATGATATGTAGTCACATTACTACCGACTGACTGACTGAGTTTGGTTTTACGCCGCTTTTGAATTCATGCACAGAAATGGGCTTCACACACTATATGATATGTAGTCACACTACTAATAATGTCATCCCTATAATAGAAAGATCACTTCAAAAACGATTTCCTTAATAAGTAAACATAATTAAAAATCTGAAAATAACAAAACTTTTAAAATGTTTCGCCACGATTGTAACGTATTTTAATGAGATTTAAAAAATCACATCACTGGGGAATAGTCTGCGAGATTCAATTGTGATGTAGATCGAGACGCTTTAATTTGTTTCTGAAACGTTGTGCAGATGTAGAAAGAACGACCTGGGTCCCGTTGTACAAAACAACCTTAGCACTAAGGCTAAGTCTATGTTAAGGTATGGGAGTTACGGTCACCTTAGCGCTAAGATCGTTTTGTACAACGGCACCCAGATCTGTATTTGTATGAGTTTAGAAGAGTATACGTTTGGAAGAGCATACATTCCCACAGCGTCCAGGCTGCCGTTGTACTAAAAACCTTAGCGCTAAGACTACCTTAAGTATATGTTAAGGTATGGGAGTTATGGTCACCTTTGGGCTAAGATCGCTTTGTAGAACGGTACCCTGAAAATAGCATATTAACGTGTCAGAAAAGACATACTCTTTATCAATTTTTCCCTTCTCATTGTCAATATCCAAATGCTGGTTCAATACAACCGACATAAGTTAGTATTACCCTTCTTTGCATGTAAATAATTTTTATGTATCATTTTTAAGTGTTTTATGTGCACGACAGTGTGTGCCTATTTCCTCTAGATGACCTTAACATCAAAATATTCTAGCCTTACAACTATGTTTACTGTTAAATTCAAACAAGTAAAAATAAATAGTCCTGCTTTTGAATATGAAGTATTGTTAAGTCTCAACACTATGGCTGTATACAAGTACAATGCTATGGCGATCCTCATCTTACACTATCTGGGACGATGTGGTAACGCAGTGGTTAAAGCGTTCGCTCGTCACGCCGAAAACCCGGGTTCGATTCCCCACATGGGTACAGTGTGTGAAGCCCATTCCTAGTGTCCCCGCCGTGATATTGCTGGAATATTGCTTAAAAGCTTAAAATCAAACTCACTCACTCACTCTTACACTTTCTAATGTGTTTTAAGACAATATCATTAATCTGAAAATACCCCCCGTGTGTGCTGAACGTGGCCTGTCATCGCTTCTTTCATCAATGTCGGTAACAAGGTCCATTAACGGGGGGCTGCTGTTTGTTCATATTAATCGACAATTCTCGTGCTTCTGTTAATTATTTGTCATACAGCTGCTAGTGCCAGCCTTCATCCCTTGAGCTGCTGATGTTATCTGATTTACTGGTGAGTTAAAGGATTCATCCCTCAAATTAAATCTGTCATCTGGGGAGAGATAGGCAGGACACGGCATTGTTTCATCTTTAGTAGGTGAACTGAGGGCGTTGATTTGATTTGCTCTTGTTTGCTCATTTAGACGTGGCTGGGCCTGTTTTCATATGATATATAATACAGTCGAACCCCAATGTCTCGAACTCGTTTGAGACGAATTCTCGGTTGTGTCGAACTCATCTCTTTGCTCTGCCGATTTCCTTATATTTATCTTTATTTCTATACTGACGGATATGTTGAACACTCGGATAAGTCGAACTGTTCCCATGGTCCCGACGAGTTCGACACAGCAGGGTTTGACTGTATATTGTAATTGAAAACTGCTTGAAGATAATGTGAAAAGAATCCCGTAGGAGTGAGTGAGTGAATTTATTTTTACGCCGTTTTCCGCACTATTCCAGCAATATCACAGCGGGGACATCGGAAATGGGCTCATCAATCCCTTGATGAGACGCCGTTTGAACGTAATTTCTTTATAATATTCTACAGATTATACGCTACATCAAAGACATAACAAGACATTGGTTAGCTAACACAAGTGACTTTGGCAACAGTGGCGGTTTTATAAAATATTCAACGCGATTCAATATCCGCTTCCATAACTTTTTTATCAGGCGTCTGGTATCAAAAATGCCAAATCACATTAGCAGTTTTTACAATTAAACGTTAAATGAAAACGTCCGGGCCAAGGAACGTTTACAGCCATGTGTTAGTGGCTGATAATGTCACAAAGAAAACAGTTTATTCAATGGTGATGTATTTGATACGGGCATCTTGACTGTGGTAATACGGTTTGCAGTGATACAGCCACTGTTTTCATTCTAGTAACGTTTTCATTAAGTAGAATGTTCAAGCATATAGTTCCTCTTCCGGACAGGACCCGTGAAGACCCGGGGTAGAATAGATCTTCAGCAACCCATGCTTGCCACAAAAGGCGCCATGCTTGTCGTAAGAGGCGACTAACGGGATCGGGTGGTCAGGCTCGCTGACTTGGTTGACACATGTCAACGTATCCCAGTTTCGTAGATAGATACTCATGATGCTGATCACTGGATTGTCTGGTCCAGATTCGATGATTTACAGACCGCCGCCATGTAGCAGGAACATTGCTGAGTGCGGCGTTAAACAACAAACCAACTAATCGTTTGATGTAATGGTGAATGCGCCAGTGATTAGTGTTTCAATATCCCAGCTTTATGACCGCGGCCCGTAAACCAGCGTGACTGATGTAACTGGTTGGTTAATCCTCTGTAGGATGGGGCACTGGGAATCAAGTCAGCATTCACATCTCATTGACACACACAAAGATGCTTCGATCGACAATTACCGCAACACACTACTACTTCCCTTACAAAGACAGGTCTTCAATATTTCATCCGTGTTCACTGATTGCCAAACACCGCTTCACCTTCGTATCAACCCCGTCAAGAGTGAAAGCACTGCCTTAAATAGACCATATACAATTCAATAAGAGCGATTAAATCCGATTTTACGTTGCGCTTGTTCAGAAAGGGATGGAACAAAATTACATAGCTGAGTTATTCAACTCTAATGTATGTGTCGCCCCGATACCACGATCAGTATATTTCACTCAGACGAAATCAGCCAGGGTTATAACCAGTCACTCACGGACTGCAAAATAGGACGCAAATGGACGGAATATAGTCTCGGAATGGGATAGAAAATACTTAGGTTTGGATCCTAATCTACAAAACACTGTCTAGGTAATTGATGGCCATAGGCTGAGGATAGCAGAGAAAGGCCACAGATGTAATTTGCTGTAAAAGGCACGAACAGGAATTAGGTCTGAGACGTGGTCTTATGTGATGCACCATGATAATACCCTGATTGCTGCAGCGGAGGAAAGAGGCATCAGAAGAACGTGATGTTGAACATTTTTGAAAATGGTCGAAGTGCTGTCGGATTCCATTAGGATGAGAACCATTTCTGGGGTCTTCAGAATCCGTACTGGATTTCGATCAATGTAAAAGTTTGTAACTTAAAAATAGTTATATCATTGGTCACTTCGTTTCCAAAGTTGTAATTTCCCGAAAGGTACGTCTGACAGTCTCACAGCTGAAACCAACTCTGGAATATTTTACGAGACAACTATGAGTAAAATATCTTTAACTCGTTTGAGTCCAATAGTAAGCCAAATTCTACTTACATTTAACAAATACTCGATACTGACCGTTGAATTAGTATTTTCATATTTCAGTTTCCGCTATTCATTGAAACATTTGTCGACCCTATCATCACGTTGAGTGAGTGAGTAGAGTTTTACGCCGCTTTTAGCAATATCCCAACAACAGCACGGAGGGGGACGCCAGAAATCAATATAACTCTTTTCGGCTTGACGAGCGAACGCTTTAACCTAGTTTTCTTTATAGCAGGAGCTTTGGAGTAGCCTAGTGGTTAAAGCGCTCGTTCGACAAACCGTTCACACGGGTTCGATTTCTCACAGGGTTATAGACAGTGAAGCCCATTTCAGGTGTCCCCTGCCGTGAAATAGTTGGCGTAAGAAACATTGGACCCCGCCAATGCCGCTTTACTCCATATCTTCACCAAAGCGTTTCAAGGAATGACATTCTTATGGATATACTGTGATTATAATGTAAAGCTGGGTGACCCGTAGATGTAACTGGCTATATTTAACATCTAAGACTTATTGTTAATTCCAAATCCCAGCATAAAGTAATAATAGAAAAACCTGCTTCGGCTGTTTGCCCCTCAGGGAGTTGAGAATGAAAAGGGTCTGCACACTGATCGGAGTAATAAGCTCTGTACAAGCTGCGGAGTCGGTGCTGAACAAATTCACACATCATTACAGTATTTACGCCACCTTACCCACATCTTACACATCAGTCGTTTGTGTATAAATCAGGACAAAACAGTTACGATATTTATGAGCGTGTGTTCATGGTTAATGTTGTTCTGTACAAGCTGCGGGATGGAGTCGGTGCTGAACAAATTGACACATCATTACTGTATTTACACCATCTTACCCACATCTTACACATCAATCGTTTTTGTATAACTCAGGACAAAACAGCAACGATATTCATGTGTTCATGGTTAATGTTGTTTTATGTTGAACTATTTGATATGCGATGCAATGGCGATCTGACACATATGTTGTTCGTTAATGATATTTTATTTTTTATGATATTTTGTCCATCTGTGTTTCAGATGCTGGCTGTAGTGCTCCCTGCCCCCTCACCTAATGGTCACGGGGACCTCATCCCCCAACCGGCGATGTCGTGCGACCCCCGGAACTCCACATGCCCGGACCATTTCTGTTGTGTCAAAAAGGTGATGCAGATTATTGTTAATGAGAGATGCAGTAACGCTGACATTTTGAATATTTGAAAATGTTGAATAGTACGTTTGTGCCTAGTGAGTTCACGCCCAGACAGGCGTGCTGTCGAGGCGAATTATGGGAATTGAGGTAGTGTTATTGCAATTCAACACTCGATCCAAGGAACTATCAAACAGCCATATGTAAAACATGATCCATGTATCTTTGGGTTGGACCACTGCTTCAGATCACCCATCTGATCGATGCTCATACTATTGATCACTGGATTGTCCAGACTCGATTATGTACAGACCGCTGCCATATAGCTGGACATTTGTTTAGTATAACAACGAAGATTTAAAGAAAAGAAAATGTTCGTAGCATCTGCTTATCCTGCTTATTTTGATGTAGCTTCCATACGACTGAAGAGCTGGGAATTTGCTGTCAGCCTGAACTACTTGAATTAACAATTGAATCATACAGGATAAGAAATAGTCAATCCAAATAATCTTAACCGGAACTGCATGTGTCTCTCCTTTATGTAGCATATTGTGAAATATAAGGAATATCACCTGTGTGTGTGTGAGAGAGAGAGAGACAGAGAGACAGAGAGAGAGAGAGAGTAGGTATGTAATGATAATTATACTTGTGGACATGTATATTTGATATACCATATATTATTATATTTTTATTTTTCCAGGTTATTACATATGCAGATGTCAGTAAATATGCAATCGGATTCACGGAGTGTCAACCACTTCGTAAACTGAAATATTTCTGTATGGTGAAAACCGAGGATTTCATGTGCCAATGTGATAAAGGATTAAAGTGTAAAGTTAAAGATGGTGACAATTTCGGTTACTGTGACCCAGCCGTGGATTGATGCCGTTAGTGAAGACGAAAATGGTGATACCTCTTGCCGGCTGATTGTGGATGCCGGTGTTCTGTGTATGACGTCATCGACCCTGTGGGTGTGGAATGGATACCAGCAACAACAGCGAAGATTCCCTGGGAAAGCGTGGTGTATAAATGCCCTTCGGTTAAACGTTATATCCCTTAATTGGCAGAGATTTGGCAAGGCTTAAGAAAAAGATGAAACAAATTGACGTAAATGGATAAAGACGATTTTATGGGCCCCTGTGGCATAGGACAGTGGGTTGAATTTCGACGCCTCTCACAGTGTTTGGGACATAAGATTAAAGTGGGTATATTGACCACTTAGGCAAACGTTGAAGGTGCAAATACGTCTAAACTGAACTTCGGATACTGTCGGGGAATAAAAAAGGCCATGACACATATGCATTATAATATGCAAGACCGAGATACATAACAGTCATCAACGAAAATGTTAGAATAGATAGAGATCCATGTAAGGTGTGTGTCGTTTATACTGACTTGGCGATACAGACAAACACTGATGTGTCGAACAACGTATCGTTGACTCGAAGTATATGTTGGTAGTGGCGTATTCCACTTAAGTCATGTTTGTGTCGAACATCAGATATGTCGAAGTCTTTACGAAGGTCCCTACAACTTCGACACAACGGTGGTTGGCTATATTAGAAGACATTACAACGTGGATTACCTAGTATTACATTACACTATACTACTCATGTCAAATACATTTACGTTAGTACGTATGTGTCTGTGATTTGTTCCAACACGCTGGTAAATGTGACGTGTTGATGGCTGCTGAAACATGGAGAATAACTCGGTGTGACACACGGATAATGGATGCGACGATGGTTTCCAATCTAAGGCTTGCTTATTAGGATCTGCAAGAGTCAGGGTCCCGATCCCCAAAACGTTCGTAACGTTACGACCTGTCGTAACTCTATAGTTTATCATAGGTTACGAATGTCGTAGCGCTACGAACGCTTTGTGGACCGGGACCCAGGGCCCCGTTTCACAAAGCTATCGTAGCGCTACGACTGTCGTAAAGTCTATGCTACAGCATAGGAGGTACGATTCCTACGAGAAAGTTACGAGATCTTAGGTTTACGAGAGCTTTATGAAACGGGGCCCTGATCGCTAAACACTGTTCATAACCAGCTGGCGCTTGTCAAGGACGTTTTGTCATTATGCCTTCCGTGGAGGCGGGTCTACATGAATGTAAATTTATATCTAGATGGAGAACAACTAAAGTGGGTACGTTTGTACAATTGGGTACCGAAATACAAGTGACTACAGTCGCCATCGTCTTGTTAGAGGTGTAATCCTGTAAATGTTTGTTCGTCATTTCAAGCCGCACTCAGCAATATTCCAGCTATATGGCGCCGGTCTGTAAATAATCGAGTCTGGACCAGACAATCCAGTGATCAACATCATGGACATCTACGCAAATGGGATACGGTGACATGTGTCAACCAAGTCAGTTAGTCTCCTCTTACGACAAGCATGGGTTACTGAAGACCAAGTCTAACACGGATTTTTAACATGTCGGATTGAGTGTCATCGTACATATACTGTAACACCTCAATGCTCTCAAACTGGCACAATCAGCGTAATTTTATTCTCCATGTTGAAAGAACTTCATGCCGACTCTCGTTCAAACGTCATTTAATAAAGATTACAACATTCAAATCTTCAGTAAACAAATTAAAAAGCTTCATTTTATGGCTTTATGAAAAGTTTATGACAGACATGCGGACATATCCAAATATGACGAGTCAATGTTCTACACGATTCTCTTTTGTATACAATATGTTCCTGTGTGTTGTACGTGAACAATTGACTTGCCTCTGTATGTGTTTGTGACGTATGACTGTCGAGGCAAGATAAGCACACCGTATTGCGAAAAATTCGTATCCCCATATATTAAAAGTGATTTATTAACACGTGCTCCTGAAACAGTCAGAATAGTACAATCGACTTTGACTTGAGCAGGGATTACTAGTGACTATGGAAATGGTTCTGTCACTTTTATCACAGTAAAGCTGAAAGGATTACGCCAATAGTGTAAAACCATATTATGTTAAGAACCATAACACGATGCCCTGGCAAGAACATACACAATATAACTCAAGTAATCTCTGGGAGTTATTGAGTTTCAACTCCCTGAGGGGGGTTGATGGAACTGACCAAATAAGCTCTAGCTATTACCAACCTCACGCTTGTAATCCCCCAGGTTCGGAACGACAATGGAAACACACGTTTTTCACGTACATCTATTATTGAATATTGCAAGACTGTTAGTTCCCATCTCCGATGTATCAGGTTGGTTTGCCATGGGTGTATCTATTGAAGGAGACTGGAGGATTTCCCAGTAACATGTCCATTAGACGGGCTTAGATGTTTGTTCTTATTAATCACCAAGTCTCGTGTTGCCTTTGATTATCTGACGTGTGACTAATAGCATTGGATGATATTTCGCGACCCGACAATTATATGCAATTTAGAAGCTGGCGCTGCGAAGGAAGTTCTGTTTGCTGGGAAATAGATGTGAATTACTGGATTACGAATTTCTGATGGGTCGGAAATTCAACGTGGGGATGTTTATCGTGACAGGATGTGGTTTCCTCTGAAATATCTTTGTGAATAAATTTCAAAGAATCCTTCGGGCTTTTCTGATATCAGGTACGTTTATACAGTTGGGAGGGAAGGGACAGACGGGGTGGGGGTGATGTGTGTAGATAGAAAGACGCACACATAAAAACGTTGACTCATATATACTCACATATGGATTCATGTTAATACATATATATACATATGTATTTGGAGAGAGAGAGGGGGAGAGAGAGAGCGACATATACTTACACATACATATACACATGTACTTACATACACACACATGCATGCATGTATACATATATACTTACATATATACGTACATACATTTACATACATACATACATACATACATACATACATACATACATACATACATACATACATACATACATACATACATACATACATACAGGGGCGGTGGGGTGGCCTATTGGTTAAAGCGTTGGCACGTCACGCCGAAGACCTGGGTTCGATTTCCCACATGGGTACAATATGTGAAACCCATTTCTGGTGTCCCCCGTCGTGATATTGCTGGAATATTGCTAAAAGCGGCGTGTATGTGTACAGACGATATTAAACACTAAACCATTTTACGTCCGTGACTAACTGACTAGCGTATTACTCACAAGAGTTCATTGTGAATTCATTACTGTATATGACCTACCAAAATAGCTTATTTGTACATATATGTGACAAATCAAAGACACAACACAAAATGTATCATGTCATAACAAGATCATGTATCATGTGTATCTAATTAAGAAAGTGACTTACGAATCACTGATATTACAGTGATAAAATAGACGGCTGCCTTCGGTGAAGCGGGATGCGCTCGAATCATAAACCCGTGCTCATTATATAGCCAGAATTAGAATCTACTCTACATTTGGGAGAGAATTATGAATGTCGAAATGGCTTTATCGCTATTTATATTGTACATTATTGTATTGGAAGCTGGACTGACATCAATATGAACACATGGCGTCAATCCGTATGTTTGAGTGAGTGAATTTAGTTTTACGCCGGGGCACCAAAACTGGGCTTCACATATTGTACCCATGAGGAGAATCTAACTAGTTTCTTCTGAGTGTCAAGCAAACGCTTTAACCACTTGGCTACCCCATGTATGTTGGACCATACACACCAAATGATTTGTATAGTTTGAAACATGGATAATGAGACTGAGTGATAGTTTTTCAATTCAGAGTAAGTGAATGAAGTTACCACGTTACGTAATACAAATTTCTCAGAAAATGGCGACGATTCACTGTAAACCAAACGTTGCAATCTGCATTGTCATGATCAAATTTATGGTCACATTCGTACCATCAGACAAGAATGTAATTTATGTTCACGCCAAACACAATACAACAGAATGTTTTATTACAGACATAAACACTGAGAAAGGTTTGGGGTATTTAATTGAGTCATATTTCCCACAATCGACAATACGTCACGCAGTGTCATTGTCACGGGCTGTCGTATCATGAGAATCACTTTGGCCATCGGTGTAAAATATGAATAAAAAGTAAAATTGAACTGAGAACTGATTTTGCATCATCCTGCCATGAAGGCCAGGTAGGCAAAGTTCGCGTTGTTATATTTGATTCCTGACTGTGCACCACCTTTGTAGGCGAACATCGTACGGTTACAATTTCAAACCTGCCATCACCTTCCCACGTATGCGGACCATTGCTGGTGTTGTCAGTTTTCATGTTTTTCTGGTTCAGCCTCGAATATTTATAGGTCACCAAGATGTGTGGTAGATAAGTCTGAGGCTTAAAACAACATTTACTCACTTCGCTGGTATTCATCAGTAGTATATAGTGAGGCGTGTCGTAAAATAGATTCCTTGAACACTTATCTTGAACGTTGAGTGCATACCTACCGTCAAATTGTACTCAAATATGTTCTAAGTATTAATATCAAATTCTTTTTTAAAAACTTGATTCTTGAACACTTATCTTGAACGTTGAATCCATACCTTCAGTTATATTTACTCAAATATGTTTCAAATATAAATATCAAATTCTCTTCAAACACATCTAGACGCATGGAGAAAAGACAATGGATTTGTGGCAATTGCAGGAATATTGCCCTTCCAAAGCTCTTAATTAACCGACATACTTAAAATTCGCCACTACAATTTCCAAGATTGGCGCCGGTTAAAGGAAATAACGCTGTCTCATCCATGGAAGTAATCTCTTGTAGGACATGAAGGCATCGTGAGGACAACTAATCAATGAGACTTGCTCCCAGAAACCACTTGCCCTGGTGCAGGTTCGTGATCAAGTGGGTATATCACTGGTCTCAGCAGAACACATGTTCTTTAATGAGAATATTTAAATCGAATTTTGAATCGAATTTGCTCCGAATGATCCTAGCCAAACTGAATTATTTGTAGATGTCGCTGAGCTTCGACTGATGTATCAGATTGATGACTGCTCCACGTGTTCCATATTCGCAGGGGTCTGGTATGTACATTGGTTGTATTGTGTTACGAGACCAAAAGGAGCTCGACGTGCTTTGGAACGGAAAATTTAATTTGCTGCTCGTTACGAAAGGTCACTGGTGGCCAACGTTGTCTACGAGACCCACGTGGAATGGACAGATGGACAAACAGATCACCGTGACATAGACGGAAGGCTCAATAGCTGAGTGACGTTAACGCTAATCGCGAGATCACAAGTATACAAGGCACACCAGAAATAGACTTTATACTGTGTGGGATCGAACTCAGATAGACAGAGACGGAGATGTAAACAGAGAGTAATCTGAGGGACAAACATCTGGAGAAACAGGTTCCAGGAAAACGGTGAAATGAGACTAAAACTCGTGGACAAGGCAAAGGAACGTGAAGAAATACGTTCAGCTGTGTAAACAGACATGAACAAACACACCGTGGGTGATAGCATAGGGTTGTGAAAGTGAGGAGGTTTGTATCGTTATAGGCTGCACATAGACGAGCAGTATGTGAAGGATCACTACAGTGAGTCAGTTTGGTTTTACGCCGCTTTTAGATATATTTAAGCAATATCACAATAGGAACATGTGGGGAATCGACCCGGATTTTTGGCGTGACTGGCGAACGCTTTAACCAATATGCTAACCCACGGTAGCCCGGGTCGCTATAGCTGTGTGGGTACTACGATATATAGATGGTGTTACATTTCCCACAGATTGCCTGTTGGTGGAACAATATTATGACTTAAAACACCATAGATATTAACGCTATTTGTTACATGTGGAACCATGTGCAATCTGTATATCTTATTAAATTTCGATTCACACCTCAGTCTCTTTTGGGGGCGATGGGGTAGCCTAGTGGTTTAAGCTTTCGTTCGTCACGCCGAAAATCCGGGTTTGAATCTCCACATGGGTAAAATGTGTAAAGCACATTTCTAGTGATATTTCTGGGATATTGCTAAAATAGGCGTAAAACCATACTCACTAACTCAATATCTACTTTGCAGTCATTTTGTTGGTTGTTATAACAAATACCTTCTTTTCCACATGGACAATAAATAGCTTGTTTAACGTTTTTTCAAAGTTTTAGACTTGATGTGGAGAATAAGGGGACTAAATGTGTGTCTGAGAGCGGTCATTGAATTATCAATAGATCTTCAAGAGAAATACCAGTTTAGACCACACAATCGAATGATTGATATCAGGAGCAACTCACTACCACAAAACACGACTCGATTTAAAACGATTCTTCATCACAAATGTTCATATGATAAACTGAAACTGAAAACAAAAACAAAACTCAAAAAGGCCAAATTGAACATGTCCATATCAGCGCCTTTGGAAGCTTAATAACAATAGAAGGAAGCCATTATTCTCTTGCTCATAATCTGAATGGTTTTGGTTTGCTTTTGAGGCACAGCGGCGTTAGAGCAAACTCTTTCGCTGAATAACCTTATAAGAGGTTTTCAGGAAAGTTAATCGTTAGTCGACTGATGAAGAACGGTTCTCTGAAAGCATCAAGAGTAGTTTCCCCTGTCTTGCAGTGAAAACTCTCCCTACCTGATGGAAACAGACACTGCGTTGTATCTAAGAGCTTTGTACATTCTTATATGTACGTATTTACAGATGAAACTAGCTTACAAATATCCGTTTTATATGTAATGTTTATTTGGCATGAAATGGCGCAAATGTTTTGCAAATATGTATACAAGGATGCATTTTGTATGTTGAACATACTGAATAACGCTCTAAACACATTATCTTTGTTCCGTGGGATAGTTCCGAGAACGATTAGAAGTTTGATTGTTGTTTAATGACGCACTCAGCAACATTCAAGCTATATTCTAGTTCGTAAATAATCTAGTCTGGACCAGACAATCCAGTGATCAACAGCATGAGCATCGATCTACGAAATTGGGATACGATGACATGTGTCAACAAAGTCTACGGGCCTCACCAGTGGATGCCTCTTACGACAAGCATGGGTTGCTGAAGACCAATTCTAACCAGGATTCTTCACATGTGCCATTGGTGTTACAGTATTTTGTGTAGTTCTTTGGTTTGAAGTTCTTTGGCAAAGAACTAAAGGACTGAAGTTCAAATTGCTGTATTATTGCGGTATGTTTACAGAATAACTCTGGCATTTGTGAGGAAACGCTGTCTCTACTGTAACAGAAGAACCTTTTATACATGGAAAGAATAAAACAAAAACGCCTTGAATAATCACATAATGAATTCATTATCTTTGTAGACTGGTTATTCATGCAATACACATCTTACACTTGGTATTGTGGTTGTACTGTAACAACAGCAAGGTAGTCAGCCAATCAGTGGAATTTGAAGAGGTGCCAGCCTGTTGGAGAATATCGATGCATGCTATGATTTGTCCGTGAACACTCATAATATCTATAATATTCTCACAAAAGGTACTACTGTGTCATCCAAAGTTTAATTTCAGCTCTAGATGTATTGAAGATCTGATATGTTTCCAGAAAAAGCCAATTGTCTTCCACTGACTTCCACACCTGAATCTGGGCTAAATAACAGACAAGTGGAGCCACTTCTTTTGTTTTAAATGTATATACCTTGCATACGAGTGGTAAAGCATGTCCACAAATATCAGGCCTACCAAAGAAAACTTTCCCACTGTGCAGAAAAACGCAGAAAAGCTCACATTAATCGTGGAAATAGCGACATAAACATAATACCTCGCTACTGAAACAGTAAAAACGGCAACTTTAAATCGCTAACACTGCATCATAAAACTAGGAGCCCGCAACTTCGATTTTGCGCATGCGCACATGGAAGAGGAAGTCTCGACCGCATGTTGACATTTTCCAGCTTGGACAAAAGTTACATTCCTTTTTAACTATTTAAATTGTGTTATTTGGCATTTATCATCATGATACTTGTGTGCACACTTGTTTAGTTTACTTTCCATTCGTATGAAACGATTGACAGCAATTATTTCAACATATTTAATACTTTTCTACTCGAGGCGATTCACGGTTGCTGGGAAATTGGAAAGAAGCCCGGATCGTAATGCGCATGCGCAGTAGAGGTCAAAGTTCGCTGATATAAAAAGTGTTGCAGTTTCATAGTTTTTCGTTGCTGTTTTTACTGTTTCAGTAGCGAGGTAATGTGTTTATGTTGCTATTTCCACGATTAATGTGGGCTTTTCTGCGTTTTTCTGCACAGTGGGAACGTTTTCTTTGGTAGGCCTGAATATCTATGACTGGAACTTCCACAAGATGCTGTTCTCCAATAGTCAATGTTCAATTCAATGGGCAATATTCCAGCAGGTCCAGCTTATAAAAATTTCCAAAAACAGTCAGAGAGCGTCATGCAGTGTCATAGTATCAAATGCCTCAGTAAAGCTTTTGAAGGATTTTACAGAAGACATGTCTAGACCATTTCTAAATTAGTCTCCTCGACTAAGTTATTTTTACTTTTACTCTCATTTGTATTCAGTTAAACACTTGATTTGCCTGTGCGTGTGTTTGTTACAGGTGTTGCCGGTATGCAGGACACGCAAAGGTAGAACTAATTTCTCATGCGTCAGATGACCATTCATGTACGTGTCATCGCTATCGTACCTTTTACACGCAAAAGCATCTGTTTCCACAGATACATGATAAGACTGATTATCTTGTGTTGACTTTACAATTATTAGATGTAGAAAATCTCCTAGATCATAGAAACCTACTACTTTTCGCAGATGTAGCTTTGCTTTGTTCCACAGTCTTCGCCTCCCCAACGGTACTTTTCACTGAAGCACATCAGCATACAGTCATTACTGGAAGCCTGGTCATTGTCAGGTTGACCATCGCCCCAGTCAGTGTATGATATCGTCTTGCCAGTGTTTGACCAGCGCCACTGTCCTTCAACCAGCATGTCCGTCCCTCCAGCCCAGCTGCTCCAACCAGAGGAACAGGCTTCATAACAAGAAAAGTGAGTGAGTATGGTTTTACTCCGCTCTTAACAATATTAAAGCAATGAAATGGGCTGCCAACATAACACCCATACGGGGAATCGGGATCTTCGGCGTGACGAGCGAACGCTTTAACCCCTAGGCTACCACATCGTCCCTCATAACAAGCAGAAATAGTGCTGGTGTGAAGTTGGCAATGCTCTATGTCAGACATAAGTACTTGTGAAGTATGTACTGTCCTTATGCACTATAAATGACTGTTGCAGTTTGCATGAATCGTTTGTCCGCGCGTACGAATAGTTAGGACTTGTGGGGTTCTATCCATGCATCAAGCAAAGCAGTGAGCCTGACCATTTGATTATTTTGATCAATGATGTTGACTGGACACCAGTAGTGCATTATCGTAGCTACTTCGAGAGTGAATGTGTGACTACAAGCACCATCCAAATCAGTGAGCCTGACCATTTGATTATTTTGATCAATGATGTTGACTGGACACCAGTAGTGCGTTATCGTAGCTACTTCGAGTGTGAGTGTGTTTAGGAAAAGCTATTGATGTCTATAGAGTCCATGTGTTCCTGGACCAAAACACCTGATAGTGGTACTCACTTGAGAATCTCAGCAGATACTTTTTCAAGAATTCATTCTCTGTAGATGTTTCTATGTTGACTAAGCTGGCACCAGACGCTTGGCAACTGGTCTGAAAAAGACATGATATGATGCATGCTGAAGCGATATCACCGTGAAGTGAGTCTTTAGGCCAAGTACATGTAGGGATGTAACCCAACCGTCAACAATATCCCTGCTTTATAGAAGAGATCTGAAAATATTCGAGTCAGGATATAAAGAACCAATTCGTTAAAGAACAAACACAGATCCATAAAATTAGGCATGTCCCGATCCTCACTAACCCCTCCTCGGTAGTCGGCTCTTACAGAAAGCATGGAATAATGAAGCAAATCTGCTCCGGGATGTCCAGGGATGACCACAGTTGGAGCTCGTTATAAACATTATTGGAAGGACACCCCATATTTAGGTCTTTATATATATTAGAAACACATTGAGATATTAACTGTATCTTTACTCAATGTTATGAAATTACGAAACATGTACCAAACACCCACATCTGATTGCATAAATATATCCATTAATGATGTCAATACTCACCATTGCCTCAGACCATGTCTTCAGACTGGTTATAAAGTTGTAACAAGACCCACCGTGAGCTACCCAATCATCTGGACACATCAGATATCCGCCTGATAACAAAGTATTGATTTAAGAAGGGATCGTCAGTTACTTTCAACGTTGAACAACCTTGCAGTGACAGAGTACACTTTCCCGAGACAATGATAACCACAAATGTACTAGCAGCCAAACGGTTATTGTAATATTGGTAGTTATTGTATACGATTCATCATTAGTGAAGTACCGTGGGTAAATAGCCACTAGGTTCAGTGATTGCATTTTGTTGAACGCCGCAATAGCCATTTTCTAGCTATGTGCGACTAATACCTGGTTGATTCAAGAGAGGACACGTGACGATCAAGCTAAATCATTTCACAACTTGTGGGGTACAATCGAGCATGCTCTTCTGCCAAGATTTCGAGGTGTGCCATACGACCCTTCCTCAACGTTGTATAGTCATGCAAGGTTACAATTTGTTAAGCCTCATAAAGTGTTATTAAAGTTTCAAAATGTTTTGTGGCAGACATGTAGAGGCCTATCCAAAGTCGACGCATCATTGCCAGTACTGATGACTGGTGAAATTCCATATAATGACGTTTACCTTCTGTTCCTGTGTCTATCAAACAAGCACGACATCAGCTCATGTGACATGGCGAGGGAAGAGATTCGTGAAAGCGAGTTTTTTTCAACGCAGAGGAGTGCGATTGGCTCACACACGTGACAGATCAAATATTTTTGAAAACTGGAAATTCCTACTCCACCTTGTTAAGAATATGATCACATTAATATTGCTTTCGGTTTGTGGAAGAATTATCGCATTTATCTGGATCTACGCTCCAGGTTTCATTACCACTGAAAACAGAATCTTGTGTATTTTCCTTCTTACTGATCTTAAAACTACCTCTGCTTCTTACCGGGTAGTAATAGTATTGCTAATGCGTATATTGTTTCTTGAAACTTCACCGGAGGGAAAGGAACACTTACCTTGGAAATGCGACGTAGATGAGGTTGTGCCTACATGTGTATTTACAACATCCCCGGTTGCCCCATGATTGGATGGCGCGATGGTAGTAGACCTTGTAGGCAACGATGTTGCCACTGGTCTCATGAAGGCGCATGTTTCACAGCAGATATCGTAGTACATTTTACCGCTGACCGTAGAATTGCATTGGTCTTTATCACAAGTGCCTATCATCCAGTAATTGTTACCCCATCTACATCCTGTGAAGAGAAAAATGACTTTTCTTTCTGCCTGAATATTATGTGTTGACAACAAAGAAACAGTATTCTTTTTCAATTTATACACTTCCAAAAAAGAAACTTGACAGAAATATTTTTTGAATTTTAAGAAAATATTTGACACCAACCAATCCATGCTGAATCCCAGCATGTAGGGGAACAGTTGCCGACGACAAAACGTTTGAAAAAATAAACGTTAAACAAAAACGTAACGTTAATTACGTCTGTAGTGAATCGCTAAAACCCTACATAAAATGCACATGCATCATGGAATTGTATATCACCTTGAGCTGTGACTATGATCTCCAAATTGCATTGCTTTAAGCCACTATAGACGACAAGAGAATGAGAAGACTGACAGAAGCTCAACGACACAACGCCATCTGCCGTCACGCACTGCAGCGTGTCCAGACAGACCATCTCAAACCTATGGACCCGATATACAACAATACTGGGAGTGTTAATGACAGACCCAGGTCAGGTCGACCTGGAGTTACCACCGCCGCCCAGGATCGCTACATCCGGTTGAGACATCTTCATTCAAACACCACGGTCGCATCATCCACAACAATTCAAATCCCTTTTTGCAAGAAGACCTGTTCAACGTCACGTCGTTCCCGTTATCAACGTCATTGGTTGATCTTTGGAACATGACAATGACGGACCTCATATGCACGTGTTTGACAGGACTTCCTCCAGCAAAGCAATGTTCAGGTGTTACCTTGGCCTTCTCGATCACACAATTTGTCCCCCATCAAACATCTATGGGATACTCTTGATCGACGCTTGCGCCAGCGTAATCCGCCACCTCAGACACTACAAGAACTGCACACAGCACTTCAGCATTAGTATCAAAACATTCCTCAAGAGAGCATTCGGAATCTCCTTTCTTCTATGGGTCACCGCTGCCAAGCTGTTATCGATGCTCATGCTGGTCACACCAGATACTGACATTTTACTCTGACCAGGTGGCTTTAAGAGCCCTCTGTGGTTTTACCGAACACTTTCTCGATAATAATGTTTTAGAATTTGTAAAGCGATTGTTTTACTGTAATTGAGCAATGATGTCATGTTTGAATCAATTAAATGCACTTAGTAAGTAAACTCCAAAACAACATATCAAGTTTATTTTTTTAAGAGTATATATTTCCATAAAACTATCATGATATTCAGTTCTCAAAGAGAATTCTCATGTTTATCCCATTTATCAACACGGCCACAATACTGCAAACATTGAAGTACCACACCCACCCCTTTCCTTCTATTTACTATAGAGAAAACGGAATGTGCAATATTGACTTTCTTGGGCACACCAGAAACCTATGATTGTGGTTTCAAATCGCCGAAGATCTGGGTTCGATTCCCGTTCCCATTAATGTAACTGTACAAACCTAAGACCGGGGATCGATGTGAAACCAATTTCTGGTGTCCTCCAATGTGGTATTGCAAAACCATGCTCACACTCACCGAAATAGAGGAAATGATCAGTATGTTGCGATAAACTGAATATACCTTCACACAAAACCTGTAGTCGTTCTGGTTGTGCTCGTGTCGTCCAGCTCTTGTATACCTTAGCATGAGAAGTTTGGGTGAATGAGCCGTTTTTAAGAATATCACGGCGGGGACACCAGAAATGGGTTTCACTCAATGTACTTGTCAAGATCAGTATTTTACTTTGAAATACACAATGCCATCTTAGAAAGTGGTCAAATGTAACGTATGTTATATTTAGGATAACACTTTCTTAGAAAAGTACAGATTCTGGTACTTTTTGGGTTTGAGTCCCATTCGGGATTCGAACCCACACCCTCAGAGTCATGCACCTGACACAAAGTCAGTCATTTTGTGAAATGACTAAGCGGGTCAGCCATTTCGCGTCATTTGTGTAACAACAATCAATATACTTCAGTCATTTCATGAAATTTCATTTCATCTATACTCATGCCAATAATGGTTGTCACCCCCCTTCCCATCCAAACCCCACACACACCTCACACCCCGAACCCACACCCCCTCTCCAATTAAAAAAGTTGAAGGGGGTGACAACCATTATTGGCATGAGTATATATGTGGTGGACAGGGGTTTGTGAGGTGTGGCTGCTCTGGACAAAGCAAGTGTCAAACAAACAGGTGTAAATGCTTCAAAGCCAAACTGAAGTGCAACGGTCGCTGCCACAAAAAATGTTTTAACTGTTATTCTACCATGGCTACGTGAAATGCTCGAATTTGATTGGTCAAGCCATAAAATCAGACGGTATCAATTTGGATTGAAAATGCGTCTGATTTCACGGCGCTTCACTGCGCACGTATACAACACTGCTGAACTACTTCAGCTTGGCCACCAACATGACTAAATATCAACACAACAGACGTGATGGAAATGCTGATGAAACATTTATTAAAACTCGAAAAATACAATTATACGATATCTCCTCCACAATTATTAGGGGACCTCACTATCATAATTATTACCTTCTATTATACAAATATTCAAACTCAATTACAATACACAGCCCCAAACTGTAAACAAACAATATCTAACATATAAATCAGAAAACCTTGTAAAAATACATCCCTATCTATCCCTATTTGTGCGGCAAAACGTTCGTAAACATTTACCTACCTGGTAAATGGTATATTTGTTTCCGTTTAGAATGGGACATTCGCAAGATCTAACGGTCAGGCGAAACACAAAATTTGCCACTCATACTCCATCATGTCCGGTTGCATCGTTCAAAATGTCAAAAACTGAACCATGAGAATTCCGTTCTCTGCCACCTTCCCTGAAGGCTGTCACTGCTATGTTCGTACACTTTGAAAAGCTTGGCCACAATCCAGTCCCAAATGACGAGAACAATGTTCCAAGGAATCCCAAGTTAGTCGCATGTACACAAAGCACTGTCACTGTCACTCTTCCTCGCATGCCGGGGTGGAGGCACGTACGTGAAATCATGATCGACACTCGCCGGTCATAAAAATCAACAGTCTTTGATGAGTTACAGATTATAGGTCGATCAGAAAAGGATCTATTCTTCGATTCTGCAGGGTTCAGGTTCGACAGTCAGTCGAGTATTTTCCACTGTCACGTCGAATTTCAACCTTTCGCAAAATTTAAACACTGGCTCGTCCGCCATTTCAAACTGTTGCGTAACTGTCTACTTCCAAGAAAATAAGTAGGTCAGACGATTCCATTATACTGTGACCAGGGGGCTACAGTAATACGGCACACAAAACAATAGGCTGGTTTCGGTCTTGTGGAGTTATGATTATAAAAACCAAGCTCTTAGGTATTACATTATTGCATTGAATAAACACTGGTTTGTTTTCTTTGGACAGAATCTTTTTTATGTTACAATGTTAAAAAAAAATACGAACGGAACCTACCACTCCTTTATCAGACGAGTCCAATTTGCCTCTCATCCCATGCCGGATTACGCAGTGTCTTCCGCAGGACGAGGAAGTTCGATGTTAAATCGGTTATGGTAGAATGGAGATAAACATACTGTGTTTGGAAATTAGATGAATGTTAGACCGAATTGATAGTCTCTAAATTAATCATTTGAAACCTCACGCTACGCGTTCGGCTTCAAATAAAATTTAGAGACTATCAATTCGGTCTAACATTCATCTAATTTCCAAACACAGTACGTTTATCTCCTAAATGATAATAAGTGATGTTGAAATTGTGATCCACTTTTGTAGATTAAGTTATTAAGTGAAATTTCATGAAATGACTAAGTATATTGATTGTTGTTACACAAAATGACTCGAAATGGCTGACCCTCTTTTCACGAAATGACTGAAATTTTTAGTCATTTCACGAAATGACTGATTTCACAATCTGACTGTAACATATATACGAGGGTCACGGTGTGTATGTGGAGAACAGTTACACATGGTGTCGAGTGTAGACCTGTCGGATGGAGCTCGACTGATGACGGTACAAGGAGGGTGAACAGTCGGGTGGACTGATGACGGTTCAAGGAGGGTGAACAGTCGGGTGGACTGATGACGGTACAAGGAGGGTGAACAGTCGGATGGACTGATGACGGTACAAGGAGGTGAACAGTCGTATGGACTGATGACGGTACAAGGAGGGTTAACAGTCGTATGGACTGTGGACTGTTGACGGTGGTCAGTGGAATGTACTGACTTATACCACGAGGTTGAACAGCATGGACTAACAGTCAGTATAGATGAACTGAGTGAACTCGTGACGAGTTAACGTTTTAACCACTAGGCTACCCCACCGCCCCTATGGAGTAAAAGAAAACTCTTATTCATCGTGGAAATGGGATTCATACATTGTACCAATGTGCGGAATCGAGTCCTCGGCGGGACAAGCGACCGCTTTAACCATAAGGCTTACCCTACAGCCCATGTACGTTAGACTGACCTGGATCCGAGGATGCTACGCTTTCACACGTCCCACAACAGAGGCGGTAGTTGACTTCGTTGTAGCAGCCGTGTCTGTTTCTTGTAGTAATGAACTCAGGGCAGGTTTCATTTTTGTATACTATCTTGCCACTGTCGCCAAACACGCATTTATCTTGAGGAAAACAAAACTAAAGAGAATTCAAATATTGTGACAACATCATCTGTCCATCAGTGGTGAAATATGTTGACGGTGCATTGCCAACCCACGAAAGAATAATTGCCGTTGAAATTAACTATTATATTATTTAATTATCTCTCTAATACCATGAGCTTCTCATATACTCGCTATAGCCGAGTGACTGGTAAATCTGTTTCAATATGTTTGTTTGTTGTTTTACGCCGCACTCAGCAATATTCCAGCTCTATGGGTGCGGTCTGTAAATAATCTGGTCAAGTCTGGTCAGCAGAAGTCGCAACTGGGAACGGTGACGCATCGTAGAGAGAATCTACTGTAGCAGAGGCCCATAGTACAAGTACAAAACAGGATGACGGTGACGTGTCAATGGTGTATAAACGCTAGCAATATTCTGAAGCTGTACATTTTCTGACATTAGTATGCTGAATTTGTAAAATTTGGGACAGGACGTGTACTTAGATGGTATATAATAGTCGCCTTTAAAAACAAGCATGGGTTAACATGGCATATTCTTTTAAAATAATTAAACACATCGAAACTGCGATAACGAATTCCTTTATACTTTACGTCTGTTAAATACTTTTCAACCCGGATCTTCACATGCATATCCAAGAGTTGGAACAATGTCTTTGATTAGCATAGCAATTATCGATCAACCAGATACGATATAGGCTTTAAGCTTATGTTCTGAGACGGTGAATGTCAACTAGATCATCAATCCAGTTGGATGTATATATCTAACCCGGATCTTCAAAATTATGATTTAAAAGTTTTACTATCTGAAGATCAGAATTTGTAATGCTGGTTGTATAAGAAAAATATTTCCCCGATAGATATTTGAAAGATGTAATTTTAGATTTGTAATGAAACATTAATTCAATATCCTGTCGTAATAACTGTTATAGGTATTATGGTGGCGATACAGCCAGAAGGTAGCTACCATATTTAGTTGGTGCCAGAGCAGAAGAGACGCACTTCCCACCATAACACCACTGAAACGAAAGGTCATGTTCTTGAAAACATCTTGAAAAACCAACAAATTGCAGGAAATGTGCAGTCGTGCTTTAGAACTGTGCATCATGTCTCTAAGGCTCCTTCACACTTATTTCGAATTGACAGGAATCATGGAGATTCAGCTAAAAAGGAAAATTTCCAAAATTCGAACCGCATTCGGGAGAGAATGTCCAAATGAATTTTTTTTCAAGCTTTGTAAGAATGCTGTTGGAATACTTAGAACACACTTCGAACCCGCTTCGAATGATTCTTACTCGTTCCAAATGTACTAGATCACGAATGCAGCTCCAATGAATCGGAATACAGTAGAAATAATTAGAATGCCGTTAGAATACACTAAGAATACTTAAAAAGAATTTCGACTGCCGTACGAGTCCGGTTCGATTGCTGCGTGAATAACATCCGAATTTCAGTTGGAACGTACCTCGAATGCTGTACGAATTTACATATCGAAAGCATTCAGAACCCTCTTGGAATCAAATGACAGCCGAATATGGATCGAATGTTAAAGAATTAAAACAGAATGCATCTCGAATATATCAAATGTCCTTCGAATGCACTTAGAATGAAACATGAATGTTCGAAATGCATTAAGACTGCTGCCGGAATGTTCCACGATGGGGTATAAAAAACTGTTGAATCTGGACTATTCATCAGTCTCTGCACAACTCCTATACAGTATGCACCCTCTGGACAATGTTGCGTTGCTCCAGATTGCTGTCCTGCAGCAAGACCTGATTGAAAGACACCAGGAGAAGAAACAGGAAAAGACCTAGGATATTCCAGATCAGGCCATGGCTGACAGAGGAAAGGAGGAGGCTGTATGGACATTACACAGGACTGATGGAGGAGGTCGGAGTTGAGGACACGCAGTCTTTCCTCAACTGTTTTAGGCTGAAGCCTGCCATGTTTGATGGGTTGGTGCAGAGAGTGGAACCCAGAATACAGAAGCAGGATACATATATCAGAAAGGCGCTACCCCAAGACATGAAGCTAGCCATCAAATTGAAGTTCCTGGCTTCATGTGATAGGTACCCCAGCATCAAATGCTGTTCGATATTTTGCCACTTCGAATGTACCTCGAAAGTTTTGAACATGTTCAAAACATTCGGGCATGTTACAAGAATTGACACGAATAGTTTGAGTGCATTCGGAATTGAGTAAGAAGTTTTAGAATGCAGTTCGAATTTCGAGAAATCTCAATGAATTTTCATTCCGACAACATTCCAGCTCATTCCGCGTCAAGTGTGAAGGGGGTATAATGTATTTAACATGAAAATATTGTAGATAGTATAACACCTTTTTGTTACCACATGGGGTTCCGTCAGCAGGAAAGTAGAGAGAACACAAGCTGGGATCGTCTTCGTCGTCACAGTTCATGTTTCTGCAGACGTTGTCCGCGCTGCCGATGTCAACACCCTGAATGGATATTGGCGGTTTACATTATCGTAGTAGTTATCGTAATTAATGAACATTAACCCACTAACACATGGTGTTAGCATCTACACCGATACGTCGCTTCTAATGCATTAAACAGTTGTCTTTCCGAAAACGTTGTTCCTCTATAAAATATTTGAACATACCCGACAAAAATAAGAACGTGGGCCTTGAATATTTCGACACTGGTCATCAATACTATATAGTTGTCCGGGCAGTTTGACAGTCGGCGTTACGTTGATAGTGGTGAGGCTTGATGTGAAACACAGTACTGAATACGGTGTCCTGTCAAGATAAAATTGGTTTCTTTTAACTGGTGGGCTGTGATGGTTCCAGTACATATGCATCAAATTAACATTTAATATTGAAATATTAAACTTATATCCATTTTTCATTTTGAAAACTACAATAACCACTGTCTTGATCGTTAAAAGTACAGCCACCCAGTATCAGTGGATAACAGTTTACAAGTGTATGCAAATGATTGAATAGCAATTTCACCGATATCTCCTTTGCAAGACTGGTTTGGATTCAAATCATTACTTAGTTATTGACAGTTATTATGGGTGCCTTTGGGTGACCAACGAAATCTTACGTTAAACATTCGGAAGATGTTGGACCTTAATTTATTGATATGAAATTACTGACAAGTGTTTATGGATGATCAACTTGGTTATTGCACAATAGAGACGTTTCATGCTTGAAGACGGTACAAGTGTCTGTACTGAAACGTCGCCATTGTACAATAACGAAGTTCATCATCCATACATACTTGGCATTCCTATTGCTCACAACTTCAGTTCGGACCGCCTCCATTGTGTAGTGGTTAGAGCGTCCGCCCGGAGAGCGGAAGGTCACGGGTTCGATACCCGACCGCGTCATACCAAAAGACGTTAAAATATGGTACTTGTTGGTCCCTGTCTGGCGCTTGGCATTTATGGGTACAACAAGGACTAGTCGGCTCGGAGTCAGTATAATGTGTCTGAGTGGGGTATTCATGCTTCACTGCGGCATGGTATCTCAGTGGGCTAGCACTATAAAACCAGCTTAAGTCTGGGCTAGTACAAGCAGCCGCACATATAAGACACGCATGCACGTCGTCATATGAGCGAAATATTCTCAAGCACGACGTTAAACCCAATTTCACCTCACCTCACCTCACTTGTCATTCCTATTGCTCACAACTTCAGTTCATAAATATGAAATATTGAGGTCACAAATTCGATTTTACATATCGATATCGAACGGCGCCTCATACGGGTTCAATTCCTCTCATCGGTATTGCTGGAATATTGCTAAAAGCGGTGTAAAATTATACCTACTCACTCACATAGGGTAATTTAGAAGCTATATATCACAAGACAAAACAACGCCAGCATGCACATAATATATATATAACGTTGTCCATGCATAGGCAATAATCAGAGAAGTCATATGCAAAGCGTCAAGAAAAACACATGCTGCCAAAAGCACAAACCCGTATCTTAAAACGCCTTGAAGGTAGTGTCGAAAGTAGGCTATTGAACATGTCGAAAACTGGAACTGATGGCCGGTAGGGTCAGTGTCCATGGCGGGGGTCATGATGTACTGGTCGCCTCCCTTGCACGTGTTGCCATCGCCGTCGTGTTTGGCACCGAGTCTGAAATATTCATGACCCCTGGCCATTTTGGTTAACTGAGTGCAGTACATATGTATTTCCGAGTGTAACCAAAATGTCCGGATAAACGGGGTTCGACTGTATATGCAAAAGGGAAACAGGTGAATCATAGATGAACATGAACTAAACGATAAAGGGATCGACTATTGGATACTTTTTTTAATACTTGAGAGTACGCACGCAAGCACGCACAAACTAAAGACAACACAATAATAAAGTTTCGTTCTGAAGCACTGGTGGACATAATAAGACATTACGAAAACATGACTGTGCATCATCAAAATTATATATCCATTCCCAAAATGTATGGAATAAAACTCCGACAGACAGGTCAAATAAGGAATGGCTGCTGAAAATATATATTGTTACTCTGCTCCACCCCTCAATATTTAATAGTCGGTTGAATATTGTCGGTATTACCCATGGCCAAGTTCATGCGACGCCACTAGTGCATTTTTCATGAAGTCTCCGTTAAACTTCACAATGGATATGCCTTTGCTTTCCTTGCATACAGATGCTGTTTGACTGACACCTGTCAAATTATAGCAACATTTCTGTATTCATCGTAAAAACAACCTTTACGTGTTAGTATGAGTATTTTTACATGATGATCATGTTAGCGTCGGTTTGGTCCGAGCCATAACGTGACGTCGACGTGACGTCATTTTATACAACCATAGGAATAACACCCACAAAACCTCAGTTATTGCAGAAAAACATAATTACATATGTAATTTTAAAATAATATTATTTATTTTAAAACGAGCCAGAAAAATGTGTACTCACCTGAAATAGAGTCTTCGTGATAATAGCGTCCATCTTCTCGCCGTCTATACATGTCGTGACTACAATGACGATGCATTAATAACATCAAATATAATAATAAATATGTCGTTACGATTAACAGTTTTTTTATATATTACTTAGTCAACCATGTAAGCAGGTAAACAACAGTTTGCATCGTACATTGCTTATAACAAAGTGAGTAAGTATGGTTTTCCGCCATTGTTTTCCAGGGTTTCGCACATTGTACCTATGTGGAGAATCAAACCCTGGTCTTCTACAAATATATTGTTTTATTTCGTGAAGCTGATGGTTATCTGAAGCCCATTTCTGGTGTCCCCCGCCGTGATATTGCTGGAATATTGCTAAAAGCGGCGTAAAACCAAACACACTCACTCACTGATGGTTATCCCGACTTCAGACTTTTAAGGAATGTTTCAATCTTGCGATTCAAACATTTTGTACTAAAATTAGATATGTTATCAAATTCTCCACGTCATTGGGATCGACTCATTCACTAGAATACATCTTGGTGTAAAGTTAGATAAAGTTAAATACGTCTTTGGTCGTTTCTTAGAAATCTAGAGACAAGCTCAATCGCTAGTATTTCGGAAAAGTACATTCATGCCAACAGCACGACGACCATTTACCACTCACAGAGTTATTTGTTGACATAATTCACAGAGCAAATACCTTCTAAGCTGAAAACCAAAGAATGCTACTTACTTTGTAAAAATCATTATGAAATCGTGCTTCGGAAAAGCGTGAACGGTTTCCGTCCAATTCGCAAATGAGTCCAATAGTAGGTGTCCGTTGACAGTTGATGCATCTTTTTCATTTTGAATTACAGACTGGAACCAATCTCCCTCCTTTGTGTCCTTTAAAGGATATCCATATGAACTGTATAGGACTTAGTTAATGTACATCTGCATTTAAGCATATAAATGTAAGGGACACATTCATTCTCATAACTATCATAAATCTTTTTAAAAGCCCATTGTTGGATTCCGAGATTGTTATAGGTATATGTTTAAGGATTCCTTATATAGGCCTAAAAAAATATGTCTTGTTTCTGGTTTCCGCCCGCGTCAGTTTCAACCCAGCGCGTCAAGCGTATTTTTCCGGATTATAAATGGGCAAAGGGAGTGTGTACGATTAGCTGATCACTTATCAGTATTTTCTGCTGAACTTGCAGCAATCATTAAAGCTTAGATTCATTTTTTGAGACCTGTATCGGCGGTCATTTTCAACGATTTTGTCAGTGCTTTACAAGCAGTTCATACCGGTTTCTCCTGAGCATATTATTAGCATATTATTATACTCGACACTTTAATGAATTAAGTAAAGATCTTTTAAATGTAGAATTTTCATGGATACCTGCTCATGTTGGACTATTTGGAAATGAAAAAGCTGATAAATTGGCAAAAGCTGCATTAGACTTTGGTGGATCAGAACAGGATGAGACAATATTGCCCTCTCCTGCAGAATTATGCACCGTCAGCAAGATCCATATGCTCAAACGAAATGGCAACAGAGATGGACCTCATCTTTAAAAGGACGCCAGTTGGAGATAAACAATCTGGTCCATTCCAGTCAGTTCCATGGACCGTAAACTTCAATGACACCTGGGAATTTGGTAAATACATGGTTTACCACTTACAATTCAGCGATGACAAGGTGCAAGGAACGCATTTGCCGAAGAAAAATGCCTTTCAAGCTCTTATGAAGTCGCATGTTTCCAAAACATTCAGGACCATACATAGACCAAATAGACGTTTTGAACTGCACAACAGTATCATAAGATGTCTACAAGAAATATAATTTCATAAATATAAGTAGTCCTTAGTATCTATATATTAATTTGAATTTCAAATTTTAAAAAACAACAACAAATACATAAATTAGTCATTGTAATATTCTAAATTACTTTCAAACAATGTATAATCATTTCATGGATAAATAAATATTAAAATCTAATTCATTGTTTTATATACTGAAAGCCATTAAAAATGCAATTTGACATTCATACTTCTCTACTCACACTAATTTCAACATATATAAACCCAACTGGCAGATATGTTTTGCGAACATCTGTGAATAATTTCATCTGAAAATGTCCAGTCAACAACAACATCAGTGACGCAACAACGACATCAAACAAAGGAGGGGTCACTTGCAGTCAATATCGTGTGTGTCCACCGTGCGCTGCAAGACATGCTCGCAGTCTTTGGGGCATTGAAAGACACACATTTCTCAGGAACAGCTGTTGGATGGTCTGCAGCCTCTGATGGTCTGTGGTCTGATCATGACACCACCCCCTCCAAAACGATCATGTTCAAGGACACAGTTTGGCGCAAGTCTTTCTCCTTTACGTCGATAAATCTGTTGACGTCCATCTGCAAAGGATAAGTTAAACCTCGATTCATCTGAAAAAATGACATCTGGCCATGTCCTGTTGCCAAGATTGGCCCCATTTGCTGCCCATCGCTGTCTGGCAAGTCTGTGGCGATACAATAAGGTTGGACCACGGTACGGGTGATGACACCGGATGTTGAAGGCGTCCTTGCACCTTTTGGGCGCTGCAATGACGTTGACTTGTCCAAATTGTCCTCCTTGCTTAATCATCAGCTGTTTGGAACCGATTTCGCAAGTGTGATACTCGGATATTGCGGTTTTGTCGAGCTGTTATCACAGGTGGTGCACCAGGTCGCGGATGATCAGCAACACTTCCGGTAGCCCGAAATCGTTGTCTGAGTCGACTTACAGTGGATGAATGCACATTAAAGTGCCTGGCAATCATCACATCTGAAGCACCTTGGCTGATTCTTTCGTCTTGTGTCAAGTGTGGCATTTTGTCAAAGTGATTGAGTTCCACAATTCCTTGTGCTTTTACAGGGCCTGGGTGCAGGTAATGCATGTGCACAACGTGTTTCATGAATGTGGTTGTGTTTACGAGAAATGTCAAAGGTTAAGTATCAAAGTTCATGTGAGAGGAATGCTCCGGGACTCGAACTCGAAATGGGCAAGAATAACAGCCTTTTATCCCTACATCCTCTGTATCGCAGGAAAAAATCTTCAATAGAACTTTTGTCAGTTTCAGGACAACAAATACCAATTGCGTTTTTAATGGCTTTCAGTATATTTCCTTTGATATTTCAGACAAATAAATTGACAAAATATGAAAGTTCCCCATTGCAATAGTATAAAAGTATACACATCCTTGAATTCATTATTTCATATGTACATTTTAAACTTGCCTGCTACTAGGCGATGGCCTTTGGATGGTTGATCCCCATACAACAAAATTGAAGCTGCAGCAGTGTATGCTGCCACCAGAGTTTGATATTTTTCAAGGGTACATCCCCAAAAGTCACCAACATGTCCCCAAAAACCTGTCAGCAGATGAACCAACAGTTCTTTTTATTACTTTCTGCGAAGAACTAGTATCATCATTATTAAAAAACACATTGTCAAAAAAAAAAAAAAGTCGCGTCATCGCATCATTTTAGTCTGTATGCATATACCAGAAACATTTTATTAATTTTTTGGCTTTATATAGTCCTGATACAAGGTGTTCGCGAAAAGGTGAGCGTATCCTAACCCACTGGTGGCACCAACATCTGTTAGAGGTAGCGTTAGCCGAAAAGCTTAGGGGACGTCCCTGGTTTCCGCAGTATACGCAGGGCGTCAAACACAAAATGGGTCATCCGTCGTCAGTTGATCTCAGTATAATATATAATATAATAATGAGAATATTTATAACGCGCCTTTACAGGCTTCATATCCTGCTAAAGCGCACAATCTGATTATTATTACCTCTTATTAGTATTGTCTGTGGGGCGCTGGAAGGTTACTAGACTCATGACTTATCCCACCGGGTACCCATTTTCTGCTGGGTGAACAGAGGCAATTTTGAACAAAATCACATGCATCACATGTGCTTCGTTGTGGGGTAGGACTGAAGTCCTCGAAAACTCTCAGGAGTCAAGCTGCCACACACGGTCACCCATCCAAGAACTCTCCGTGCTCAACGTTGCTTAACTTCAACTGATGTGCACAGGACCACACATAAACATGTATTTATGAACATGTATGTAACACTGACTGGATGCTTGTATGAGACTGGTGAAAATGTCGACGGATATTATTATCAATGAAACGTGCAAGATTGAAGGTGTTGGGAAACGATAACCCCAAACACGCCTGAACGCAAACGATGGTATTACACATACACGTGTCATACATAATACGTAACAATATGGGTATTAAATGGTTCTTTCCAGATTCAACTGAACTGCACTCCTGAAAGTTGAAAAGGAGTGCCATACACTCTCTGTAAATGCATTTAGCTACAAACAACATACCTCAATGATGCATCCTATCAGGTGGACGTTGAAACGAGGTGATATTGTCTTGTAGCGAAGATTCACCTGCAGTATATCAATAAGAGTTAATATCTTGAGACAAACACAGCGTTGAAAATGAATATCTTTTATTCGTAAAGGTGAGGTGAGGTGAAATTGGGTTTAACGTCGTGCTTGAGAATATTTCGCTCATATGACGACGTGCATGCGTGTGTATGTGTATGTGCGGCTGCTTGTACTAGCCCAGACTTAAGCTGGTTTTATAGTGCTAGCCCACTGAGATACCATGCCGCAGTGAAGCATGAATACCCCACTCAGACACATTATACTGACTCCGAGCCGACCAGTTCTTGTTGTAGCCATTAATGCCGAGCGCCAGACAGGGACCAACAAGTACCATATTTTAACGTCTTTTGGTATGACGCGGTCGGGTATCGAACCCGTGACCTTCCGCTCTCCGGGCGGACGCTCTAACAACTACACCACGGAGGCAGTCCTTATTCGTAAAGATTACTGTGACATCATAAACCATTTGGGCAGTGAAAAGTACCATAAATTATCGTCAATACATATATTTGCCATCTACATATGTTGAAGTTATGCAGAGTTCGTCGCCACGAACTGTTATGGATAATGAGTGAGTGAGTGAGTGTGTTTAGTTTTACGCCGCACTCAGCAATATTCCAGCTGTATGGCGGCGGTATGTAAATGATATAGTCTGGACCTGAGAGAATGGATAAGAACACTGGACTTGACTTGTGTCTAAGATTTCTCCAGGCCCATCTGAATTTATAATATATGTAATAATCAGTATATAATATGGATTATGCAAACGGGTGATTAATATCATGAGCAAGTCCCTTGGCATTTCCTTTCGAGAGCATGTGTGGGATGTTCCAGTCATCCCAACAATGTATTAATTTAACGTACATGTAATTGTACGAATTGACACTAAAATGATTCAGTAATGGGTTCTAAGAGTCATTGGTGAAAGGATACATTGACATACGTCGTTCAGAAGAAGAGCCACTGCCTGTTTCACGCGCTGAAAACTATCAAGTCTTTGAAGAGCTGGCGCAACCTGATTTGAAATGTTCATCCAACTGAAAAACGATCATCCAATGAAAATCGTAGTAACTTAATTGTGTTTGACGCCACATTAATTTATTTTTTTTCTTGGCGTGTCAGCTTCACGTTGAAGGAAAGCCCTTTGTTTGACGTGTACGTATAAACAGGATCGGGGCGAGCCGGGGATCCAAACAATAATTGTAAGCTCCTGCTCTGTCCAAGGAAGGTAACTCTGCACAGTGAACCGTGAGCAACAGTCAACTGGGCCAGCTGTGCTTCCTAGTATCATAAATACGGCGGTATAATTATAAGTATGACACCTTCTGGTAGCCTTCATTTCTTTTCCCTAAATGTCGTCTTATCCCGATCACCTGTTGACGTTCACATTCCGAGTATAATTCAGCTTCACGTGTTTTTCTTTGTTGCCAATTTACGTCACAAGGATAGATATAACATATCTGATAAAACAAACTGGCAGAGCGACGCGCAACAAAATGAACATACATAGTTTTAAAACAAATAAGTTGGTTGACATAAGGTCATGAATCATGTCAGTACATATTTGACATGTGTACCAAAAACAACAATGTACAGTGAAACATGTTTAACACGAACCTGCATATAACGAACTTATGGATATATGGAACTGGGTTTTTGGTCCCGACTACTTGCATATTGATTACTGATTAATTGTCTGTCTGATTACCGTTAATTAACCCAGGGGCCGGTTCGGGTGCGGGGCCGGTTTGGGTTAAATATCCAGGGGCCGGTTTGGGTTAAATATCCAACAATATCACGACGGGGAGCCGGTTTGGGTCCAGCAATATCACGACAGGGGCACCAGTTAAATATCCAGGGGCCGGTTCGGCTTGGGGCCTGTTCGGGTGTATCCCCTTGTGTGAAAATGAAATGTGTGTAACGAATTACGTTTATAACGAACTAAATTAAGTGGTGCCTTCGAGTTCGATAGTTTACCATACCTTTGAACGGTTAAGAAGTCGATGTATGCCAGGATGTCTATTTGAAACGTGGTGGTGTCAATATCAACTGTTCTCTTGTCAAGTGCCACAGATGCTGTTAATCCAGTCCGATCTGAATTTTTAAATTATGTAATAATTAGTAATATCCAAGTCCATATGGAGTCTGGATCAAGCAAACCAGTGATTAATATAATGAGCAATAACCAAGTCAGCGAGCCTGAACACACTATCTATTTAGCCACGAAATGGAAATGCTACAATGGAGGATAAATAAGTGATAAGGTATTCTGGAAGTTAGTGAGTAAGTTATCTTGTAAACGCTGTAAGAACTACATCGAAACGTCGCTCTGTGCAATAAACAAGGAGTTGTTATCCATAAATTTGTATTTATTAGGTAAATAAGTGAATGAATGAGTATGGTTATACGCCGCTTTTAGCAATATTCCAGCAATATCACGACAGGGGCACCAGAAATGGGATTCACATATTGTACCCATGCGGGGAATCGAACCCGGGTCTTCGGCGAGACGAGCGAACGCTTCGACTACCCACCGCCCGGAAGATAATAAGATATAAATACGGAATATTTCCAGGTACTGTTATCACTAACACGATATACATGTACGATTTCTTAAATTCTCCTTCGGCTACCTTTAAAAATAACTCTTAACTTGACACAACAGACATATTAGGTATGCATGTACATTACAATCATTCTGTACCTGTGTACGCCTAACAGGATCGGGTGGTCAGGTTCGCTAACTTGGTTGACAAATGTCATCGTATTCCAGTTGCGTAGATCGATGCTCATGATGTCAATCACAAGATTGTCTGGTCCAGACTCGATTATTTACAGGCCGCAGCCATATAGCTTGAATATTGCTGAGTGCGGCGTTAAACAAACAAACAAACAAAGGAACAAACCTGTTCAAACCAGTCCCGAGCGATTTGGACAGTGCACCGAATCTGCAAACATTTGTTGAAAATAACAGATATATTTATTGAATATTTATGTCTGGACATCTGTTCAAACGGTCAATCTTATTTTGCTGTGGACAACACCCTACCCGTGGCATGAGACGACTGCTTCATTTCTCTCATTACATGCGCGTCCGCGTTCCCCGGGTGAAAGTCTGTGTTTAATGGGGATTGAACAGGTGCGAGATGGTAGAGCTTTCCACTTGAGGGTACAAAACGTCCCTCCTGAAACAAACATATGGGTCCGATGTTACAGCAGATATAGAATACGATTCAAAGATTCAAATATTCAAATATGTACTTTTAAGATTCAAAACGTCCTCACCAGACAATAGGTAAAACAGAAGAAAATGAAATGAATGTGATGAAACTGTGATGACAATATGTGGGCATGTCCTATTTTACCGTAATAATTGAATGAGTGCATGAATATGGTTTTACGCCGCTTTTAGCAACATTCAAGCAATATCATGGCGGGGGACACCAGAAATGGGCTTCTCACGCTGTATCCATGTGGGGAGTCGAACCCGGTCTTCGGCGTGACGAGCGAACGCTTTAACCACTAGGCTACCCCACCGCCCCTTACTGTTATAAACTGACAATGTTTGTTAGTATATTTTACTCAGACATATTACAGCAATACAAATGTGGCCGTAAAGATTCCATGCTTCAGGTAGTATCAATAGGTTAATGCCAATAAGCGAGGTGTTGGTCAAGGGCGTCCCATATGATTGTTCCTAAACGCTGGCGTTCATGTGTAACCTTGTCACCCTTACATATAATAACGTCACAAAATCAACTTACCAAATATATTTGTATGTTTTGTCGCGGACGCTTTTTGCAGGATACTTTCATAACGGCCTGGTTGTCTCTGTCTTGATACATTCCCACACTCTGTAAATCGTCATGTCAAAATATAGGAAATGAATGTCAATACTGCAGTTCATAAAATTAGTCCATTTGGTCTGATATGTCTACTCGAGGAAATGTTTACCTCCAAATCAATTTTATGAAATAGAATGGTTATATGGAACTAACAATATATCTGAAGAAGGGACATGGAAGAGCTGGGAAAAGTGTGTTTGTTTGTTTGTTTGTTTGTTTGTTTGTTTAACTCCGCATTCAGCAATATTCCAGCTACATGGCAATGGCCTGTAAATCATCGAGTCTTGACCAGACAATCCATTGATTGACATCATGAGCATCGATCTACGCACGTGGGATACAATGACATGTGTCAACCAAGTCAGCAAGCCTGAACACCCGATCCCGTTAGTGGCCTCGTACGCCAAGCATGGGTTACTGAAGACAGATTCTAACCCGGACCTTTACGGACAAGGCACGACGACCTAGCTCTCCATACAGAGAATACCGCGTATCAGTGTTCTAGCAAAGACTTCATTCCATGCTGATAAGACCTTTGCAGCACGTCAAAATAAGGAACACCTCTCTTAGAGGTAAAGTGTATTAAGGCTATCAAGTACAGAATGTAATAATGTATACCATGCTCATCACATGAGGGTATGCATATTTAGGTCAGTGACACATCACAAAACAAAATTAACAAAACAAAGCAACGAAAAATGGAACACACATTTGTCACAGGTTGATTTGTACATGTAGCACAGCGCCCCCGGCACATTTCACAAAGCAATTTGGTCCCTAACAGCTTGCCATACTGATGAGCTGGCTGACAGCCAGCGTTCAAAATAAATCGGGCCAGTAAAATATTGTTATTGTTACCCGACTGGCTGGCTGAAAATCTCAGATAATTTGTTCTTTATTTAATGCACATGAATATGATTACATCAACCATTAAGGTCTTAATATAAAAGTCCGTCTGAAAACGTTTCGTGGTATTATTAACTCGTTGTCACACGAAGATCGTTATATTAAAAATGTTAATCGCATTTCAATACAAATGTAACGTTCAACTTGATTGTGTTTGTTTGATTTATATTGTTTCCAAGGGGGACAATAACTTACCATCTTCAATTACCAAACATCACACCAATTCTGACCAATGTGCATTTTGATATTAATATTTTGCAGGGCCAGTGAAGTATGACGTGGGCAAGCAGCATTTTTACTTAATTAGCCCTCCTGTCTAGTGACTTTTCAAAATTAATTCATTCACTGCTGCCAGCATGTACATCCTGGGCTCTGGCACACGCTGCTCCTGTGCAGACAGGTGTTATAGAGGCTGCATGTGCCATGTGCCTGGCACACACCATGCTGGCATTGGCAGCCAGGTTCTTGTAGTTTCCATGTTACAGGTAAATGGCACAATAAAAGGTGTAACACCGGTGGTCGAGTATTAATCCCGCGATTTTAACTTCACACATGGCTATTACAGATCAAAGTGTACCTGACCTACCTGTACTTTCAGAGTTGGCTCTTGTACAGTGTATGCACGTCCATCCTTGTCGTGTCTGATGAGAAACACTGGAGCCTCGTGATCAACGTGTTCATTCTTCTCCAGATTCAGATGAACAGTCTCCTTCTCCGAGGTAATGGTTACTTTGACTTCGTATGGTAACACACACGTCTGTAGCATGCCGTCACTTCGAGACGCGAGATCGACATGAACAATCTGACCTTAAACATACATTCAATTACTTGTATGTGTGCCAGCGTTACTTGACAATCGAGTTACCGTATTTCCTCTAATAAGCGCCCCTGTCGCTTATTTTTCAACGGACCTCCAAACCCGGCGCTTATTAGAGGCCCGGCGCTTATTTCTTAAAGCACTGCTTTATCCCCGGCGGTTATTAGAGGTCCGGCGCTTAATAGAGGAAATACGGTAGTTTAGCGCCACCTTAATTGCCTTTAAGTGTGGTTGTGAGTCTTAGAAGCTAGTTGTGTACTGACAAGCTTAGAAAGATTAGGAGTAACAAGTAATGATGAACAGAATTATGAAAAGATTGTATGTTTTCATGTATTTTAATGTATTTGTAAGTCATTTGTTTTAATACAATACAATCAATGCAAACCCGACCTTGACAATACTCTCGATTAAGACTGGCCATTAAATCAACATGCCCTATTTTAGGTTCACACAGCGTAAATGTAGGTGTCCAGAAATACACCCAGAAAATTATGCGATGGTAAATTTAAAAATCAACGTTTCTGACACAAATCGAATGGCACACATACACTAAACGCCAACAGAAACGTTAGCCTTCTACCCTTATGAATTACTGAAAAACTATCAAAGATACGTTGGAAGGCATTAGTTTACAAGAAAGCTGAACAACACAGCTTTATGCAAATCACGAAAAAGAATTCTCAAATGCATTTAGATTTAGGTGAAATGCATCTTTTTCAGAAGAATTATATTGTCCTATAGTCGTCCATGCCGAAATAAACCAATACCAGTGATTTAAATGTCCGAAAGAAAGGTTGAATTAAAATTCTGCTTTGAGACAAAGATAAACCCTTTAAAGTCACCATTTTTCAACTATTAAAACAAGAAATAACTGTTATAGAGTGTGTAAATTTGTAAAAGAATCATCCTTATGATCTCAGTCTTTTAAAACATTTTCTGCTGATTTGCATTAGTGAAAACAAGTAAAACGTCTCTTTGATATTGTGTTTAGGAACATCTAAGGTTATCTTTGTTAACATTTTTAGCTTGCAAAGTAAGATTTTTCCATTTTCTGTTTACACAGAGCAATATCAGTTGAAAAAACGTAGCAATATTCAAGCCGTATTTGCATCCATTTCACGTGTAGAATGATTCTATAGGGTATAAAGAGAGACTAGAAAGCATGATATGATACACAAGTACGAAAAGTATACCACGATTAACAGCTGAAGAGAGAGAGAAAGAGCCATCGGGATGGTGCAGATGGAGTCGACATGCTGTTGCCAACGTCTTCGGATGCTACCGTATCACGGTTATCAGACTTACTCATTGCTACAGACAGACTGGGGTCACCGACAGACCATGAAGTGGACGTCCACGCATCACAACGCCAGCTGAAGATAGGTACCTCCGTCATTAAGGAAGGAGGGTAACGTTTCTTTTGCGTTTAGTGTATGTTCAACATTTTGACAGGTTCACAGATTGAACGCAGGTCAACATTAAAAAACTAACAAAACGTTAGGTTAGTTTCAGACACAATTTATGCCCATCATTTGCCACCAATCAATAATTAAGAGTAGGTTGGATATTGTCAACTCACCTGTACCGCTTACAAGCAGACATGTGGAGAGTCCACAGAGAAATATAAACGTTGTCACCATCGTCTCTGTGACAACAGAGTGAACTAAACATAGCAGGCAAAGTCTTATCTATATCGCCGAATTGCAAACTTATAATCAGTGCAGTTCAAGGTTTATATCTTCAGACACGTGCACGTCACGCCCATTTGCAACATCTGCATAATCTTAGAAGCTAGTATACTCTCGACACGACATGTTCAAGGTTTATATCTTCAGACACATGTACGCCAACAACACATGTTTTACAACACCTGCATAATCATAGAAGTTAGTACACTCTCGACACGACATATATATTAACAGCAATGTATCTGGAATTTGGATCTGAATGTGTTTGTGTTTGAAAGCTATGGACGGAAGAATTGAATTGTCAGTACTCTGGGTTATATGATATGTGTTTCTGTGACAGTGATATAACAATTTCAGAAAACATGCAACACCATATGGCGACCCACGTCATGGTTCCGTTCTTGTAGACGTATTGGCGTGGTCTGATTGGTTGTGTGTTTCTGTTGTCCTCTCTAACGTTACCATGATTGCTACATTGTTTCGTTTACGCTTGCTTCTAAATCTAAGTTTAGTGAACACATCTGTCTTCTTTAGTAATTTTGATAAATGACGAAATGGATCAACAGTTCACATGAAGCAGGAAAAAAGTTACTGGACCCTTTTCTGTTCAAAGGAAATGTTGAATTCTGACAATTCACTTCCAGCTTGGGGACGGGACATCTGACATGGTCAATTAAATATATGTGACATGGCAATGTCTACCTCCTCCGACAGAAAAACTAATTCCTAGAAGTTTATTGAGTGGCATTTTACAATATTGACTAACTACATGGATAACAACCTCTTTCATTTCGTGAGTGCGACGTTCCAATACAGATTCATGTACCGATGTCAAGCAGGAATGACAACTCATGACATAAGAATGTTGTTATCCATGAAGTTTGTCATAGTGCCATGAAATAGTATTCTTCACCTCCAAATATGGCAAATGACACTTTTTATTGTCAACTTTTGCGTGAACCCAGGATAACCAGTTTCACAAAGACAGTCCTCAATATGCCATTCAAAAAAAGTAGGGGATTTACAAGATTGATAAAATGCAAATGATGACTAACTGACTGAGTTTGGTTTTACGCCGCTTTTAGCAATATTCCAGCAACATCACGGCGGGGAACACCAGAAATGGGCTTCACACATTGTACCCATGTGGGGATTCGAACCCGGGTCTTTGGCGTGACGAGCCAATGCTTTAACCATTAGGCTACCCATCCGCCCCTGCAAATGATGAAGCCAAAGAGGAAACAGATGATGAAATGAAATTAAGAGAAAATGTGACAATTTATTCCGTTCGTTTAGAAATGTTTCATGTGTATGAATATATATTACTTTTTCTCATATGCATTGGCATTGGCTAGTTTATACTCGCAAAATGGAATATCCCCCACTTTTTTTTAATGGTAGATGTATATTATGGCCGACTCTGTTTGGTTTTAATGCTTACCAGAGATAAATGCATCTTAGTTGTGTGGTAGTTTTTTGTTTGTTTGTTTTTTCATGCATGAGGTTTATATTCTAATGCGCGCATCTTAATTTCGATATCACAGAAAGCAATTCAAGTCGAATATAAAAATATTCGTAATACTTATGTTTAACTAGTGCATCTGTCGTGTGTATTTATATCAGTGTCCAATGCAAAGCCTCCATAACAGGTCCTGACTCTAGTCTGTAGATAGGATTACGGAAAGCATTGTGCGCTCAGTTACACAACACAATACAGCGCAACACCGGGCTATCAACAGGGAGATATGTATCTTATCTAGAACTTGGGATACAGGGGGGATAACCCAGTCACAGAGTGGTGTGTGGGCTTAAATTGGTGTCATTTTATGAAAATGCGTCTTCGATTGAATATTAAAATATTGTATAGGAGGGATGACCTGCAGTAAATTATATAGACTATTTTTTCAAAATTAAACATCTAGTATATATGTAACAATGCCGCTGGCTTAAATACAGAAATTGTACATTCCAAAATGCAGATGTTCTTATGAAAAATTATAAAAGTAGCTGACAGGATGTTTTAGGGAAAATTAATGTTACCACTGATAGAGCAAACTCCGTACGTATTGACAGGTATGTCGTTGTGAAAGCAATGTCAGGAGTTTGATGTCTCGGAGTAACCGTTCTGCTTTAGATGTATTACGGAACTAAATCGAAACAGTCAGAGTGTGGTTCAATTGTAATGACAGAAACAATTATGAAGATGAGGAACTGGGTCTTTTATAATGTCCAAAACATAGATTCACCGTTATTACACTGTCCAACATTGTGTCTACCTGAGACTGCCAGGGTCTAGTAATGAATGTTGGACACGTACCTGGCTATCTATTGATAGAGGCGTATGAGCAAAAATATAACCACACGATCTCCTATCAGTCCTTTGTATACTGGTTGTCTCTGGTATGTATTTTTATCATAAGTCTTCAGCTTGGAAAATTCATGTTTGTTCTGAGTGAAGTAATGTTGTGCCATTACATTCTTGAGAGAGGAATAATTAAGAGTTTGAATTTAAAACCTACCACCAGAAGTAAGACATAGTTTGTTGATATCTTGTAAAATGTAAAACATAGTGGAAATAACTTAGGATTGTTTGACGATTTCTTTTGCATTTATCGAAGGATTACATTTTAATTTATTTACTAACTTTACAATGTCATAACAACATGTTAAAACAAAATGTGTGTACATGTTATGCAAAAACAGAAACCACATGAATCTTCACCGATATATAATTCTGTCCTCTCTGATCAATAATGTAGTACAACCGCTGTCACACAGCTACCATATACCTCAAATTACGTTAAAAGCAAACACGCATGTCACGAACCACGGGAAATAACGAACTGGCTTTATTATTTGTCCCGGACATATTAGCCGTACGTACATATAAGTCAAAATGCGTGTAACGAACTATAATGTTACATTAAGTTACAATGAACTTAATGTGTTATAACGAACCAAAAATCACTGATTTAAAAGAAACTCCTTTTCATATTTACAGAAAAATCCCTTGCGACGATTCCGAATATATCATGGGTATGTGTTTATAATTGTTTCTATATGCTGATGATACCAGGTGGGCCGACACGTATTGGCAATTCACGTAAAACGATTTGAACGTATGGTACAAATAATAACGGAACTGCATCAGACATTCTCTTTTCCCTGATGTGTCGAATTTCCGATATATGTCCACCTACGCCAGAAGAGTGCAGCATTGAATGTTCACGTGTTCAAGTGTACTTGTATGGAGAGATTACAAGGATACACAAAGTATACATGTCAGTAACGTCCTGGTCCAGTATGCAGTATGGCACGTATCACTGCATACCGAGCCTTATAAGTGGTATTGATAAAGCTGACAGGCAAAGTATTTCAGTGGGATTTGACCTTCCCAGGAACATGATGATTCACGTTCAGGTAAATGTATGTATGGATGTGTTATCATCTTTCTATATGTATCCATAGTGTTGATGAGTCACATGAAGCGAAAAAAAACCCAACATATTCCAGAATTTATACTGAGAATCTTTATTTTCAAGTGAACCTTATATATACTCATATATACTAAAAAGATTTTGCTTGACAAGCATCGTAGTGGGGTTTTGTGTGTTTGTTGTTGAATCTCGTGCATATTCCAGGTGTTTGTCAGAGGTCTGTAAAATAATTAACATAGTGATTAACATAGTGAGCGTCGATGTTTGCAATGGGTGTACATTGACATGCATCAGTCAAGACAGCGTCCTTGGCTGATCCCGTGAATCATCCCTGGGTTGCTGAAGATCAGTACCCTGAGATTGGTATCCCCTGTGTGATTTATGTGTCAGTTTGATTTTCACTTCCGTTGTGATTCCGAGTTCGAAGTGGTTCCCTCGAACCTATGTTTGTCACAACAGAGGGACAGAATAGATCGGGTGTTCAGATTTGGTCAGCTGCCTGGAATTGCATGAGACGCAATTTCATCCACTGGATTGGCGGGTCCAGACTCGACCGTTTACATGTCGCCTTGATCCGCGTGTTTGTATACTGTTGCATTGGACCTTTAATAACAAACAAAACGTATCATTTCATGACGGTGTCGATCATGACATATTCACCAAACTGTCTAGCTACCAACTTCTACCTCATAGGGGATATTAATCAATATTTTTGGAATGTAGGCAAATTAGGTAAGTTTAGTACCAGGTGGTACCAGCTGTTGATGTGCTGTGGTCATTGGTGGTTACCTGGAATTGTTAATCTACAAGGAGACACCCATGCATGTTATTTGACTGAAACGTTCCTGGTTCCTATACCAACATGTATGTAGGTATTCCGCACGACTAGAGTTTCTGCCAGACGGTATAGTTGTCAGGATATGAAGACACACTATGTCACATGGTCCTCAATGAATCCGGCTAGCCAAGCATGGGGGTTCAGATCTGATTTTCTAGAAAACCATTTCTTGTGTTGTAAATCTTTCAAAAAAATACATTTCTATCATGATTACCGGTGTTTGTTTCCTAAGTAGGCGGACTATTTTAAAAGTTGACATAGAATCGTAGGTGCAAGGAGTGATTGAGTGAGTTTAGTTGTACACCGCTTTTAGCAATGTTCCAGCAATATCAGCCCAGAAATGGGCGTCACACATGGTACCCATGTGGGGAATCGAACTCGGGTCTTCGGCGTGACGAGCGAACGCTTTAACCATTAGGCTACCCCACCGGCCCTTAGGTGCAAGAGACATAACTGGACTTAATCACTGTTGATATGATAATGTACTCATGGCACATGTGACTCCTTGAAACCCTTGAAACTCTTTATCTAGAATGTATTTGGACTGAACACATATGACGCTATTCAAACAGGCAGTGTACGGTGGACGTAAGAAGCAGCTCACGGATACGCACGTTGTTAACAGGCGTTGCCCTGCATCTGGTGAGAGTGTAGTCTATTTGTGTCAGTAACTGAAGACATGTAAAAGATCAATTGTGTAAAACGTCCAACCAAGACAACTCAGTGTGTCTGTATGCTTTCATAACTTCATCTATAGTGATTTCACAGGTACACATGTGCTGTTGTCACAGATGTCATGGCAGCAAAAATATCTGTTGTTTGTTGTTTCCAGAAGTACTTGTATGATATAAGTTGCTGCCATACATGAGCATATAATACATGTGCGTAACCACGTCATTTGTTTGTTGTTGTTTTCACACGCTTTTGTATGTTGTTTTCACATATATCTGTGTGTTATTTGCAATCATACCTGTATGTTGTTTTCACACGTACTTGTATGTTGTTTACACTCATACCTGTATGTTGTTTTCAATCATACTTGTATGTTGTTTTAACATATACCTGTGTGTTATTTGCACTCATACCTGTATATTGTTTTCACGTGTACTTGTATGTTGTTTACACTCATACCTGTATGTTGTTTTCAATCATACTTGTATGTTGTTTTCACATATATCTGTGTGTTATTTGCAATCATACCTGTATGTTGTTTTCACACGTACTTGTATGTTGTTTACACTCATACCTGTATGTTGTTTTCAATCATACTTGTACAGTAGAACACGGTTATAGCGAACACGGATATAGCGTACAAACGGATATAGCGAACAAATTTAAAAGTCCCGTCAACAGTCCTTTATAATATCATTAAAATTATACGTGAATAACGAACTCGTGAGTAGCGAATTAACGGCTATAGCGAACTGATTTACAGTGATATTGTTGATGTTCCAGAGCTGTCTAACGATACCTCGCCTCGCATGTTATTCATACGAGGCTTCGAAAACGGAGGTATTTCCCGTTGCTGTGTCATGTTAACGATTGATTACATAAAAATGAAAATATAAAAAAAAGGCACGGGCATGTTATGACATGTCACAAATGGATAAAAATCGTTACAGTTTTTGCTTCTTTCGTGGTTTATCTGGACATTATAAATGTAAGCGTGCATTTTCATTAAAAAATCATTTTATTTAAGTTGTAGTTGTATTGTTTCAATTTCTTTATAAAAGTAACCTTCATATTTATCAACATGATATAGGTAATGTCTGTGAATGTCTACATCTCTACAATCCAAGATGGCGGTCAAATGTGAATAACGAACAACGGATATAGCGAACTAAATTTCTTGGTCCCTTGGAGTTCGTTACATCCGTGTTCTACTGTATGTTGTTTTCACTCATACCTGTATGTTGTTTTAACTCATACCTGTATGTTTTTTTCACTCATACCTGTATGTTGTTTTAACTCAAACTGGTATGTTGTTTTCACATGTACCTGTATGTTGTTTTCAGGCCTACTTGTATGTTGTTTTCACATGTACTTGTATGTTGTTTTCAGGCCTACTTGTATGTTGTTTTCAATCATACTTGTATGTTGTTTTCACTCATACCTGTATGTTGTTTTCACTCATACTGGTATGTTGTTTTCACATGTACCTGTATATTGTTTTCACATGTATCTGTATATTGTTTTCACTCATACCTGTATGTTGTTTTCACATGTACCTGTATATTGTTTTCACATGTACCTGTATGTTGTTTTCACTCATACCTGTATGTTGTTTTCACTCATACCTGTATATTGTTTTCACATGTTCCTGTATATTGTTTTCACATGTACCTGTATGTTGTTTTCACTCATACCTGTATATTGTTTTCACTCATACCTGTATATTATTTTCACTCATACCTGTATATTGTTTTCACATGTACCTGTATATTGTTTTCACTCATACCTGTATGTTTATTTTCACATGTACCTGTATATTGTTTTCACACGTACCTGTATGTTGTTTTCACGCATACTTGTATGTTGTTTTCACTCATACTTGTATGTCGTTTTCACTCATACTGGTATGTTGTTTTCACATGTACCTGTATGTTGTTTTCACACATACTTGTATGTCCTGTACACGCATTCCATTTTCACACGTACTTGTATGGTTTTATACGCGTATGTGAAGGTTTTATTCACACGTGCCTGTATATTGTGTAGGCGCATAACATATCGTGAAATGGTTTATTCACATGAATTAATACCATGCGTGTAATGATGGCCCGACACACACACACTACTTCCAGTTGACCTCCTCAATATCAGATATCACAACCCTAATCCCTAAGTCAGAACTGACCTAAGAAATATGTATTTTCCAAAATTGTCAACTAAACTGATGAGTAATGAGAACCTATTTACGAATAACTCTTATGGCAAGTGCATAGCACTCAGATGTTGTAAATATAACTGGTTCTCATAGTTCAATGAAAATAGTCTACAACGCCAACGATGTTGTTACCCGTGTGGCTATATGTATTTAATTAATACAGCACCAATAATCCTAATATTCTGTACATATTGCAGGTCAGACAAAATGGCTCACAACACTGATGTTTTGAACAGTCTCCAGACTTGCATAATCTGCTATCACGACTTTGACATGTCAGAGAAAGCTCCTCGCATCATTCATACCGATGAAACAAGTTCCAAGAAACACATGGCTTGCACGGCCTGTTTAAAAAAGATGTATCAAACAATGAAGCGTCTCGAATGTCCGATGTGCAGGAAGTCCATAGAGGTGAACGGGTCTATTGAAAACCTGCCAGTGTATGAAGATGACGTCACTCACTTGAAGCAAATTGTCACATCTGCGCTTAAGGTTGATTGTTCATCGTGTGGTGATCCAGCTGTTTCAAGATGTGAAAACTGCCACGTGTACTTGTGCGAGATTTGTCAGAAAGCCCACAAGAAAAACAGAAGCTTCAGAAATCATAATGTGCGTGCACTGTCGTCCCTCACAGAGGATGAAAAGGCAAACTTTGATGAGATTATCTTATGTCCTGAAGAGGATCATGGGTTGGCCTTGGATATGTATTGCAAAAGGTGTGAAACACCATGCTGCTTGAAATGTGAGGAACACCTTGATCATGGGTATACCAAACTCAGAGACGTGGTTGAGCTGAAGGGAACAGCTATCAAGGAAAAGGGAACACGTGCTCTGGAGAAGAGAACGCAAATTCAAAGTGACATCGCTATTCTGAAGGAAAGAAAAGAGTCGGTGTTGCAGCGTCAAAAGCAGTCCCGAGATGACATTACGACTTCAGTCTCAAGCATCATCACAAATGTTAAGATGCACGAAGAGCAACTCCTGCAGAGATTGGTCAATGGAAACAAACAACTGTTGGAATGGTTTGCCGTTGAAATAAAGAAACGTTCAGGTGTGTTAGAAATAATGGGCAAGGTGGAAGTTTACTTCAATGAAAAGAGACAGATTGGAGATAGAAAGAAACTGGAGCTCTACCAAAACATTGAAAGGGGCCTGAAGATGTTGGACGACATATCTCCACAAGTGAGAGTTGACTCAGAAGAAGGAGGATGCTCCTTTGTACCTTACAAAGAACGGATTCAAGATTTTCAACACTTTGACATTGGACGCATCAACATCTCGCACACCACAGATGACGATCAACTGTCCAACAGGGGTCGGTATACATGCCATATACAGTTGTTCTTTAAGGCAGACTGAAAGTCTAAAATGACTGATGAATGAAATTGTATACTATTTCAATAAGAGAAAAGCGTTACAAAATTGGATTGGCACATGTGGGTATTTTTATTTTGGGTGTAGTGCTTTCCATTCAAAGGGGTCAACGTTTTAATATTAAGCAGAAATCTATCATTATCATTATTATCATTTTTAAAAAGTCGTTTTGCAATATTTTCCACAGTACAAATGGAAATTGAAGTTATTGATATTATTTAGTAATATGTGTACATGTATGCTTCAGGGCGCACAAATTCAGAAAGTACTGACACTGAATTGAGAGTCCTTGCCATTGGGAAGAAAAGGTCTGGCCGAACAAAGACTTTAAATGCACTAATGACACAGGATGTATTCATATCTGGCCGCCTCATCAGTAGACCAGGGATCGGACTCTGGAAGAGGGACTTCAAAGGTCGTTCCTTCCTGCTCAGCAAAACCCCTGGATTTGACAGCATTTTGGGAAGGGATATCGTTGCAGAGAACCAGGACATCCGTCAGGTCGCAGACCACGGGCCACATGCACTGCTTCTTACCATAAGGAACCCCGATGAAGACGTGACTATCCTGAACGAATACAGGAAGATTTTCGAGGGAGACCTGTTTCAGTTCTTGATCGTCGTGTTTACTGGGAAGAAAGACCTGGACAAGGTAGGCATGCCCATTGATGCCTATGTGCGGTCCAGGGGCCATGGGGATTTATCAAATGTGCTTGCTGGAGCGAATAATCGCTACATTGCTGTTAACCCTGATGACAAGGAAAGCCACCCTAAATTTCGGGAAAAGCTCTTTAAGATGATACTTGACGTTGGCTCGGCGAATGGCTACCGCTATCTCACATTACAGCCAATCAGTCGCTGCTCATCATCCCAAATGCACGTCTGAAGACATATGGACACCGACGTTTTTCCTACTTGTCAGCTATCCTCTGGAACAATCTGCACGTGTCTCTCAAAGAATCCCCCTCAATAGCTAGCTTCCAGTCTAACTTAAAAACTTTCTTGTTCAAGAAGCACTGTGACATCTAAATGAACTCCTATTGTAAATATTTATATAGTTAGCGCCATGAGCAACCACTTGGTGATTGGATATAGGGCGCTATACAAATGGACTTAATATTATTATTATTATTACCCTGAGATATGCAGAATGTTTGCATTGAAACAAATGTTACTTATATTGAACTGTATGTCATTCTAAGCAAATGTCTTTACAGTATAAATGCCCCAACGGAAATGCGAAAATGGCACATCTGTATGAAATACAAAGAAATCAATTGGGAGAAACTACTGTTGTATTTAGCAAGGAGTATGATACAGTGGACTCTGTATAATCCGACACTCACTGGGACCTGGAAAAAACGTCGGATTATACAGAGTGTCGGATAATTCAATGTCTCCTTGCTTGAATACTTTTCAATCAGTACCATACACTGTAACTGGCTTGTATCATGAAATTAATGGTTAACAGCTATTTTCTTGGTAAATAAAGGGGAAAAACAAATTCTGTATATACAGGTGCATTTTCATCAATGGATTTATTATCTTTAGTACAATATACATACATGTACTAATATCACAATCATATTCAATTTTATTAATTGAACCCTTTTCTCAGCCCATTCATCCTATGCTTGACAATACATACCTAGGTCCTCTCATTGGCCACTCAGCTTGTAAAAACAAAGGTACAGGCGTTCTCACGCTGCTAATTACCTCCCAATTAGCGAGTGCTGAGATTACCAGTAAAAGGATGTTAGCTGTCAACTTGCCATTGGCAGGTTGATTGTCTATTTCAGTCCAATATGGGGAGAGGATGTACAGATTAATAGTGTCATTGGGATCAGAAAATGGTGTCGAAATTAGAAATGTACAGATGTCGGATAATTCAATGTTTAAATGATGATAATATAGACGAACGCTGCCGGGACCCCAAAAATATGTCGGAATTCACAGATTGTCGGATAATTCAGATGTTGGATTATACAGAGTCCATTGTATATGCATATATGCAGGACAAGACTGATTGCGCTATTAGCCAATAGTGCCTCAGCAATTCGCTGTGCAGGTTAAGGTTTCTTTGAATTGCCGGAAAACTATGATCGTACATTCGAATTTCGTCCTGATTATGTTTCCAGGATTGTCAGCTCTATACCCGTGATCTTGAGTTTCACGAGTGGTAAACGTAGACCTGCATCACTTCGGACTTTCCCAAACCCCAAGCTGAGATAAATAACTGAAACTGTTCTCATGGTTCCGATTGCTTGATTAGAACATTTGTACTTTATGGTATATTGCTTTCAATGTCATCACTGATATTATATAGTCCCACGTGGAATGCTTTGTGTAGAAATTTGAAACAATAAACTGCGAGAGAAAATATATTTTAGGGATGGTACCAACTACTCTCGGATAACCCAATCTGTTAAATTCGAAAAACATTTACCTCTTTTCGTGGTCCTGATTTTGTTTTAGAAATAAGTCTGTTGTTTTGTTGATTAAAGAAAACTGGTCCCAAGATATCCGTGTTTGTGTTGGCTGTGATTCGATCTTGAGGCTCGAATAAGCAGTGAATCCAAATGAACAAATTTGGACTGAACTCACGAAGTTACTCATGAAACTCATTTGTGGTTAGAAAAGAGGAGGACACGGTGGGTCAATCGTCTTATTCTCGGTTGCACCAGGAATCTACGGACGTGGGTTCGAATCCCATATCATAATTCCATAGTCGAGTGACATGCCATTTGTGAAACGACCAAGGAGTGTCCCATATTAGCTTATATCAGTTAGCGCAAACAATGAAAACATATTCCTTGCTTAAGTATGAACGTCATTGACAACATATTACACAATTCACTCATACATCCTAAATATTCATGGTGAACTTTGTTTCCTGTGTCTGTCTGTCCTTGGAAATTCTTGGATCCAGCTTCTAAAATATCTTGCGTCTCCAACATCCCGTAATGAACAAGACTCTTGTAATGGTGTGATATGCTAGTTTGGTAGCATACGATGACGACTACGGACTGGTGTAGTGGACAAAACCTTCGCTGATTACCGAGACGGCTTACCCTTCCAGGGGAATACAGCAAGTGCCAACCAGCACGGAGTCACTTAAATGTGTTGGCTATCTATCAAGAACTGCAGTTGGATCTCACTTGCCTACACCATGAAACTCTTAACTACAAGCAACCACACGCATTTGCATGCATTAAGCTGAAACAATGAACCAATGAGTGAACCTGACGTCACGCTGGCTGCAGTGTTATTTAGCTGTTGGAGTATATATTGGAATATATATTGAACATAAGTATTCGTCACTGTGCATTATTTCCATAGACATCCATGATAATTTGGTGCAGCTAGAAACATTGTCTTGAAATTATTTTCGTTTGATCTTGTTCATATTTTGCAGATGTGTCATGAATCATCTCAGCCGCAAAGACATGATTTTTTTTGGTTTTATTTCAATTCAGTATTTAAAGAATGACCACACTTTGATTGATGTGCGTCATGGTTATGACAATTTTTGACACGGCGGTCTATGGGGAAAGAATACACAGTGTTGTATATATGTTGCAAAATTTGACAGCCAAATAACGAAAACTGAATTAATGAAACTTTTTACAGAAACACTAGAATAACATGCAAGTCTATGAGAATTTTGCCGACTGACGAATACTTATGTCTCATGACTGTAGTTCAGCCCTGTCTATTTCCCCGTGAAAGGAAGGACACATACCATTTCCTCCTGCCTGTTCGTAAAACATAGACCGGAGTGCTATTAAACATCAAATGCACAATTAACTAAAATGCCCAGAACAATGATCTGCTTGTGGAATGAGATTTATATGGAGAGACAGAGATCACCACATCAAGCATACATCGTACTCCAACGTGTAGATGATGAAGTAAACTAACATGGACTTTATTATCTAAAAACGTATGAGATACTCCATTTTAGTGTGATATCATTAACAGCCAGTGTGCGAAATAGCCAGTGGCCCGCTAGCCCGTGGCTAGTAAAAATCTTGTCGGGCCAGTAAATCTCCACAGTCACTGCCCGACTGGCTAATGAATTTTCATGGGGTCATTTTGTAAATATATCACAGTCGCCGACTTAATTCATAACACACTTTTAAATCATGCAAAATAATGGCCTGATAAAAATGTTCATCATATAAGCAGCTTAATGATGAAACCCGTGTCTACATTCAAGTTTCGAGCTTTTGAATTATTTTGTGGGCTAGTAACTTTTAGGCATAGCTAGCCCGACTGGCTAGCAAAGTTGGGAAACTATTTTGCACACTGCATTGACGTAATGTCACATTACTGCAAGCTGCTGTTGTTGTCAAGAGCGGAAGGAAGCATGTCATTGGCCCATAATCTCAACAGGGGGTCTGCAGCGTGTCCACTCAATGAACGTCAATTGAAACATAACACAATGCAAAGTAGAATTTCATTAGTGTTTTATTTTATTGAAAGGGATTGTTATGAGTCATATAATTTAAGCAGAAAGCATAAGAAAGTTCAAATATTTTATCAATGAAATTATATGTTAACAAACACTGGTCTTTAATAAATGTCAATCAATCTTCAATCTTTATTCGACCCGTGAAGATCCGGGGTAGAATAGGTCTTCAGCAACCCATGTGCTTGCCATAAAAAGGCGACTATCTTGTCGTAAGAGGCGACTAACGGGATCGGGTGGTCAGTTTCGCTGACTTGGTTGACACATGTCATCGGTTCCCAATTGCGCAGATCGATGCTCATGCTGTTCATCACTGGATTGTCTGGTCCAGACTCGATTATTTACAGACCGCCGCCATATAGCTGGAATATTGCTGAGTGCGGCGTAAAACTAAACTCACTCACTCACTCACTCAATCTTTATTCATACTGAAGGCCACAGGCCCATAGTATACAAGAACATAGTACACAATATCATGGAAAAGAATAAAAATAGTCAAATCACAATATGTCATATCGCATCAAAATGTATCACATCATATAACATCGCATGAATGTCAACGTGTTATTGCATCAGAATCCACATGCCTGCAGGGCATAACACTAAAATATATATTTCTTTTTCTTTTTTAAAAAAACAGGCAAACACTTTACATGTTAAATGACAAGTATTACTTATATATGAAACAATATTTTGCATTTAGATGCTGGGCACATATAACATCGCAGGAATGTCAATGTGTTATTGCATCAGAATCCACATGCCTGCAGGGCATAACACTAAAATATATATTTCTTTTTCTTTTTTAAAAAAACAGGCAAACACATTACATGTGAAATGACAAGTATTACTTATATATGAAACAATATTTTGCATTTAGATGCTGGGCACATATAACATCGCATGAATGTCAATGTGTTATTGCATCAGAATCCACATGCCTGCAGACATAGCGCACGTGCTGGTGGACGCTGCACGCGAAACTTTCGGCGTCAGGAGTGTTCGCGCGAATCGTCCCAAACAAAATAGAAAGAAAAAAGATAAACCGTGGTTTAACAATGAGTGTAGGAAAATGAGAAAATCATTCCATAAAGCTAAAAGAAAATATAAGTCACGTAACACTCCAATTAATAGAACGCACTATCATCAAACGTCAAGAGCATATAAAAAATGTATGGACAAAAGTATGCGACAATTTCAAAATGAGACCACTAAATAGTTTCGTGACCTTATGAAACACTCGCCCAAAGAATACTGGAAGCTACTGAGTAAAGGGGATATCACTAAATATGATAATACACCTGATATTGAAACATTCTTTGAGTTCTATAAAGACATTAATGAATCCCAATCTAATGAGGATATATCAGATGATGTTGTAGATGATCAACAATATGACACTGATGTCTTAAATAAGGTTATAACGGGTGAGGAAATCCTTTCAGCAATTAAAAATCTTAAAAGAAATAAAGCTACTGGACTAGATTTTGTTGAAAATTATTATTTTATTGATGATTCCACGCATTTAATACCACTCCTAACCCATTTCTTTAACTTGATACTTTGTTCCGGATTTGTACCAGACTGTTGGCTAAAGGGTATAATCAGACCGATATATAAGAAAAACGGGCGAACACATAGATCCAAACTTATATAGACCAATAACAATTCTCAGTTCTTTCGGTAAACTGTATACTTAATGCGAGGCTCACTAAGTTTGTCGAAGTAAATAATATTTTAACTCCATCTCAAGCAGGATTCAGAAGAGGTTTCTCTAAAAGCGACAATGTATATGCTCTACATGCTATAAGGGAAATTTTAAAACAAACAAAACGAAAACTCTATTGCGTCTTTGTTGATTTCACAAAAGCGTTCGACAATGTGTGGAGGGCTGGTCTGTGGTATCAACTGCTAAACCTTTGAATATCTGGTAAATTTCTTAACTTAGTAAAGAACATGTATAAGAATATAAAATCCACTGTCATGTTACATAATCAAATATCCTCATTCTTCCCATGCAACACGGGAGTAAGACAAGGGGAAAATCTATCGCCACTTCTGTTTTCACTTTTTATAAATGATATTGAGCCCTTTCTACTGAAACGAGGAAGTAAAGGTGTTAATCTAGAATACGAAACCGAATTGATACTTTGCCTGCAGTTTATTGTCTTGCTATATGCAGATGATGCTGTCGTATTCAGTGAAGACCCTGAAGACTTAGAACAATCACTCGACACTTTTCATGTATATTGTACACGATGGAAACTAAAAGTAAACTTGTCCAAAGCCAAAATAATAGTTTTTGGAAGCGGGCCTGCTAAAAACAGTAAACTAAAATATAGCTTCACGTTCGGCAATCAAACTATCGAAATGGTTGATACTTATACCTACCTTAGAATAAAGTTACACAGAAACGGGAGATTTGTAGAAGCCATTCAAGTCTTAGCAGAAAATGCAACAAAAGCTATGTTCTTATAATTTTATTAAAAAAAAACACGACGAGCTTCAAATTTTCTCAGGAAAATACTTAAATTTACTCAACAACCTTCTCATGATTGATTTATATTTCTACAATGGCTTGTGAGACACACACAACTGTAACTCTCTAACTTATGACTACTTAAGATTTAAAAATGTCAAAAAAGAAAATAGAACTTGCAAACTATGTGATCTTAACCAAATAGAAGATGAATATCATTTTCTTTTAATTTGCCCTGCTTATAATTCCATCAGAAAGTTGTATATTAAGAAATATTATTGTGCCCATCCAAACCTTTATAAATTCTCAGCATTGTTGAATAACAAAACCCATACTATACTTCAAAACTTGTCCATGTTTGCTTACTATGCCATGTTGTTTAGGACAGAATATATCTCAGAACACAATGTAACTTTCTGTTGTCTTATGTTCCTTCATCAGGAATTGAATCAGTTCGAAAATATCCGGGTGGGCTCCAATAATCAACATTATTTACTTTTCACTTACTAATACGATACATATAATTTCCAACACAGAGATATCTGCCACGTCTACAAGTGGGTACATATTTTGTACTTGAGCTGTGCATTCGCCATGATGATAGTGCTGGTAAGTTTCGAAACAGGCAAACTTTAATTGTCTTGCTATCATAGTTAATTGATATAAGCTCACGATGACACATACTTATAAAACTAAACGTGAAAAGAAGTTCACTTTTCACCAAACACATTGATAATTTAAAATGTGTTCACCGCTACAATTTCGACTAGGTAAGTCGATAATCCTTTCGTCAATCCCTTAAACAAACATTACTATAACAACACGAAACATCAAAGACTACCGCCAGTCGCCTTAACGCGAATGCCTGAAACTAAAAAGTCGCCTTAACGCGAATAACCTTTCCAATGAATGAGTTATGTTATTAAAAATATATAAACAAATAATTTTGTCATAACCTAAAAATAATTGTTTTTAAGCTGTTACACTATTCCAGCAATTTACTTCTTCTCACATCAACTTTCTTTTCATTCTTCAATTTTCTCTTCTAACCCTTCAGGGGTGCTTCCATTCATATAAATAGGATCAGGTAATTCAATATTGGCATCCAAATGACAGCAAATTAATTGTTCATCAAATTATATTTTCAATAAACATTTTCTTAAAAATATATAACGAAGATAGGTACGTTCAAAACGATATGAACACTGTTTGTCTGTTTAACATATTAAACCATCGTTTGACTTAAAAAATTACCTCCCTTGCATAGTGAATTTGATACACAATGTTGACACCGCTTTCAGATTGTGGTGAAACATCGCCACAGTCGTCCTCTTATTATGGAGATAAACTTTCGAACAAATATCCTGCATTTCATGATCTAAATCAAAACATAACTCAACATCCAACAAAATATAAATCCTTTTAAGATCTAGTAAAAAAAGTATATGAAGTTACAACATAAACGACAAAACCCTTTCCACATCGATATGAAATCTCAATTTACATTTCTCACGATATAATGAGCCTGGCATAATTACAGGTGTATGGTAATTATGACAACTGAGTATGGACCGGACAATCCAGTGACATAAGATACGATGACAAAGCATTTGTTTATAATAGCATGCTTGTAATGCGCTGTTCTCCATGTACAACATGCTCAAAGCGCAAGACATAGAAGTACATACAGACAGACTATAGCAGAGAATAAAAGATTAGAGAGATACATGGAAACAATGCAATGAATTATAGTTTACACTCATAAGCTAATCTGAAAAAGTGCGTCTTTAGTAAAGATTTAAAATTAGAAAGTTCTGTACAGTCACGTAGATATTGGGGTAGTTGATTCCAGGCTGTAGAGGCTGCATACGAAAAGGACCTTTCACCATACGTAGAAGTCCTAACAGTGGGGATAACGAGTAAACGTTTATCCTGTGAACGGAGAGAGCGACATGGGCGGTGCTGTGTGAGGGACTGGGCCAGATACGAAGGGGCAGATCCAGATAGACAGCGGAAAGTGAGGCACAGAAGCTTGAATTGAATCCTATAGTGAATGGGCAGCCAGTGTAAAGAATGTAGGAGTTTCAGAGCGTCATCAGATTTACGTGACTGGGTCACTATACGTGCAGCAGCGTTTTGCACACGCTGAAGTTTCCTTATCTGTGTCTTAGTGGCACCAGCGAGAAGGGAGTTACAGTAATCAATCCTGCTCATAACTAGAGACAGGACAAGAGTGGTGGCAGATTCGGTGGTGAGATATGGTCGGATATGTCCAATAGTACGCAACTGAGCAAAGCAGCTCTGGACTAGATGGGAAACGTGATATGATTACTATCAAACAGTGATGACACCAGGTGTTTGTCAAACGGTGAACGTGTCCTGCCACTACATGCCTATCATAGTAAATTTTTAAAGCCTTTTCTCTTTATAATTATAAGTGCACACATAGTTTTCTCATTATTCACGGTGTAAATAAAGCCAAAGCTATTTTCGAGAATGGTTTAAGAACTACAAGACCAAATAGGACGTAAAGGCAAATGCCTAATAGGACGTGCTTAAACAATTGTTTTAAAAAACACAAACATATGTACTTTATATTCAGTTAGCGCTGAGGTCATATTTCTATTATTCATAAGTCACACACACTCATTGTTCATTATCAATACACAATGCATTAAGAAAGTGATCAAATATTATAACATACATATATGTAATATTATTTCCCAGTGAAGTAATGATGAAGTACTTTTAATGGGTTGACTCCATTTGTCTTATGGCATTCTACAATTTGGTAAGTAAGTAATGAAGCTTACGCCTTTAAGAATAACACCTTCTTTGTTTATTACATAGAGCAACGTGTCCATGCATGTAGATTCTTACGGCGTTATTAAGCTACAACGAGGTGAAGATAGGTATACATACATTTATATGTAGTGGCAAGCAGCATATAAACAATAGTAACAATATGAAACTGATAGCAAGTAGCACATAATTGGATTGGGTCTGGTGAAGTGTAAGCACAGCAAATAACACAACGTCATGAAGCCAGGACAAATATAATCATAAACCAGTTAACTGGATGCTAGGGTTGATGGGAACATCGCTCTTTGCAATACACCAAGAAGTTGTTATCGAGGAAGTCATATGTTTAGTTTATTGTGAAGGCAAATATGCAAATGAACATCAATGGATTACGATAATGGAGACAATGACGATGTCCTAGTTACGGGACAAGAGGGTAACGCAGCACAGGTGATATTTGATTGAGGCTCGATATGGCATTAAATCTGTATAACACTGATTTATGGAAAGTGACACAGGCAGACTGACAATTCAATATGAAATGAGCTGGGGGTGGGATTTAACAAGATCGTTTAGCGTGATGTAAATAATGGTAATCAAATGATTAAGGATAAAAGTCAACTAATAATTAATCTGTGGAATTTATATTCGGAAAACGGCTGCCCTGAATAAGTGGCCGTGACAAATTTATTTAAAACATAAATTATCACAAAGCATTGTAGATAAAATTAAAAAATACATGAATTTCCAACAAACGCATAAGCCTCTGTTCCCATAGGTTTTAACAGATCCCTCGCATATAGACCTTGGAGGCAAATGCTGAATTCAGCTCATGCACATCACGGGGATTTTATCATATTTTGTCTCTATAATTAACGCATCTTGCTTAGTAGTGATATTAATTGAAGGTAACGCTGCGCCGATCTGAATATCTCGGAATCTACTATTTAGTTTACTCTGATGACATATACCTCTGTGAGCAACTTCCAACTGGTGTCTAAGAAAGAGGGCTTCTGTTGACATTTATCTCAGCATCGTTACACTTTGCTGGATTCGCTTTCCTTTCTTGATCGTTGAGGTGTACGGGTCCTTCTAACGGCACCGCTGCCCTTCTTCTCTGCTGACGGTCGTTTTACCAATGCAGGCTGTAGGTCAAGGTTCTTGATGAGATGTCTTTTTCGTATCTTGGCCAAAATGTCCCCCAAAATTGAGTCTGCAGAATAGAAATTGCCCAATCGTCAAACACTGAAGTCAAACATTAAAGCTCTAAAACTGATTGCATGAAATACTTTAAAGTATGAATAAAATTATCATCTAGTATATTAAACAAACAATATTAGAAGCAATTTATATTTAATGCTTAGCATTGAGTTAGAGATGACGAAAGTGGTATATGTTGCATCATTAATGATAAATACTTATATATTTACCCATTGGTTCTCCTAATCTACCCTTGCGGAGTTCTCTCAGGAATGCCAACTCAAGAAGCTTCTCCGGGTTCTTGGCCAGTTGTTTCTTTTCTGGTTCCGAGAAGCAGAGAAAATTCTTAAGTCTATTCCTCTCCTTGCCTGTCAAGCCGGTATTAGTCATGTTGGCTAGGAAGGACTGAAGTTCAGGGGCGATCTCTTGAGCTAGAAACAAATACAGCAGTGATCACTACATTTGATGTACAGATTGAAACTGAACAATACACCACCAGCCAATTATTCAACATTTTTGTCATTAAGATTTTTTATTTTTTTTTAAATATTTTTTTTCATTTCAGATAGGTGTACAGAGACGGGGAGTACACAACTCCATGTTGGGACTGGTTACATATTGGCAACAGAGAGTTACAAATTTTCAAAGTAAGAGAATATAGTTACAAGTATACTAAGTCAGGGAGAGCACAACTCCAGCAACAAACTTCATGGGTTACAGGCATGTTCTAGCTAGTTATACATCGGCAATAAAATTACTAATTTCGAAGTATGAAAACATCAGTACATAAAGTCAGGGAGTGAACCACTCAAACAACAGAATCGATGGGTTACAGGCATGTTCTAACTAGTTATATATCAGCAACAAAGTTACTAATTTCGAAGTATGAAAACATAGGTACATAAAGTCATTAAGATATTGTATAAGGGAAATATCCCAGACTGACCATTATTTTTTTTTTATATGCTTACATCCTGTAACAGAAGACCATTTAAAACATACTATACAAAAGTAATGTAATTGTGCACAGTAAAATAATAGTTGAAGGTGTCTACCTGGGTATATTCTTTCAACCACCTGCAGTCCTATCATACTACTGACTTCCAGTGTATAATCCTCTTCTTGGTGTTGTTTGATGGCATGGTTTCTTGTCTGTTCCTGAATTGCCAAGATGTCTTGCAGGAACGTTGACGATGCACCCGCTATGTTACTGGATGCCCTCAGATTTGCATTCATTTCTGCCTGTTCCTCCACCCGTTCTGACAGCATTATGATAATATCCTGCATTTTCCTGAGTCTCTCCTCGTGCAATATGTCGTCAAGTATCGTCTTTGTATCCAGCAGTTTGTTTAATAAATCTGTATCACAGCGTTGCTTCGCTTGGGACAATAGCTGTCTGAAAAGACTGGATGCACTGGATGATTTTAGTGATCCGACTGTGCCATTGGCACTCTTCTTGTGATCATTTGGCTTCATGGTTTTCAGTACATCCATCACCCTGAGAAAAAGGTTTTTGTACAGTTCATACTGTTGATGTAATTGATGTATATCCATGTCCTCCTCCTCGTCACCTCGTAGGACCTGATCTACTGAGGTTTCCTCATCCTTTCTATCTAGTTCATCCTGAAGAACTATCAGTATCTCATCTCTTTCTTCTAGCTGCTTCTGAAGGCTCTGCTCTCGCTCGAGCAGGCGTTTCAACTGGTCGAACATCGGTTTGTGGTCCTTTTCCTGAGTTGGGGCGATCTCTGTAGAAGTTGCAATGTATGGTAAATTACCAATATATGTAGTCAAAAACATGCATTAAGACTTCATGCATTGCTAAAACGGCTTGAATCACCATCTGATCTGCACACATATTCAACCGAAAATTAAATGAAAACTATTTACTTTTACCTTTCTGCTCCAGTAGGATAAAAAATCAACATCATAATGTGATATTTTATATCTTTAGTAGGACCATTCATATTTCATCAAACCGTGAAGATCCAGGTTATAATTCATCTTCAGTAACCCATGATTGTCGTAATAGGCGACTAACGGCATCGGGTGGTCAGGCTCGCTGACTTGGATGACAATTGTCATCGTATCCCAATTGCGTAGATCGGTGCTCATGTTGTTGGTCATTCGATTGTCTGGTCGAGACTCGATAATTTACAAACCGCCGCCTAAGTGTGGCTTTAAACAACAACCCAACCAACCATATTTCATCAAAGAAACCCATCATTAAAAGTAAACAATTTCCATACCTGACAGGCATAATTCCGTTTCCTGTATTTCCACGTGGACAGATAAATGAACCAGTGATACCTCTGGTGACGTGAAGATAGCGATGAAGCTGCTGACGTCTTTTTCCCTCACCATAAACGTGAACAGGAGACTATCTGCAGGCTCGATACCCTTGATGAAGACAAACGTTGATGGTACACACAAGAGATCGGCAACCTCTGCTCGGAGACGTTCTGCTTGTGAATGTGTCAGCTGGTCAATGCCACCTTCAATGTGGTGTTTAACATATTTGTATCCGTTTTCTGCAATAAAGAACATGAGTACTCATTTGTTGAACATTCTACAAACCAGCAACGATTCCAAATAATTCATATGAACGTTAAAGTGAGTGAGTGAGTTTGGTTTTACGCCGCTTTTAGCAATATTCCAGCAATATCACGGCGGGGGACAGAAATGAGCTTCACACATCGTACCCATGTGGGGAATCGAACCCGGGTTCTCGGCGTGACGAACGAACTATTTACTACTAGGCTGACCCACCGCCCCTGAACGTTATAGAAAAGATATGATGTGACATACTTATTTTAATTGTTTATATACTTTATTAATTTTCTGCCAGACAGAAGTCGCTGTAAAATCGCAAAAAAACAATAACACATATTTGTCTCCTTGTAATATCATTATTGATTCGTCTCCGTGTTTGTTCGTGTTTGAAAAATATATACGACCATATGACCGGTAAACCGTGACAACTCAGGGGGAGGTAACTCTGTGTTGTCTGTATAACCCTATAATTTACTTTCTTTTACCCCAAATGCAAACAGTAACATACAGGTTGAAGTGTAGCAAATGTTTACGATTACATCCACAACATTATGTTGTTAACTCAATCTTAATATGTGAATCTTTTTGAATACTTTTAAATGGTTGATTTTTCTTACAAAAATACGAGAAATTAAGTTATTTTAATGCATAATACATAGGAAAATATTTGCTTAGACACCAAGACCACAATTTAATAAACAAATGAAAAGATATCTTACCATTTGGACAACTTTTAGTTTTTTAGGTCATTCCAACCAATGTTTTTAGTTGAAAACCTGTTTTCGACCAAAATACGTCGTTGGGAAGATTTTTCGTGTAATACAATTATACCTCTGTCGCTGACGATTTGTATTATTCATAAGGGAGAAAGCCGACGTTGAATTGGTTATGCAATTTCATATGATGTGAGACAATGAATATTTCAATATCAGTACTACAGCTTCATAAGTAATGATATCCGTGAAGATCCGGGTTAGAATTTGTCTTCAGTAACCAGTGCTTGTCATAAGCTGGCGACCAACTGGTCAGGCTCGCTGACTTGGTTGACACGTGTCATCGTATCCCAATTGCATACTCCGATGATCGTGCTGTTGATCACTGGATTTTCTGGTTCAGACGAATATTACAAACCGCCGCCATACAGCTGGAATATTGCCGAGTGCAACACACTAAACAACAAACCAATTATAGGTAAAACTTTGCAATAGTAAAAACAGACAGGAAAGGTTAACTACCTATGAAGCACATACACTCACCTGGTTGTTCATCAGGTGTGAAGAAATGAATCGGCTGGTGGCGACTTTCTAAACAAAACTGTCGAACTTTGTAATTCAGGTCAAAGCGGTCAACCCTCCTGACCAGTGCTTGCAGGAAGTGCAGATTATATGCATTGATGCGTCCAGTGTTCATCAGCTGTCTGAATAGTTTCATTGGCGTGGTAATCTTCTCCATCGCAGAGCCCTGAAAACCTGGTTCACCTGAAATGGTAACATGTGAGTGAGAACGCATGTCGTGATTGAATTCAACACATAAATAGCATAACGAGATAACCTTTACATATGTGCCAGTGAAAGTAACTTATATACCTATATATTGTCATCTGATGTTTTAAATGTTATGAATCAGTTTTGTTTTAAGCTTAAATATAGATTAGAAGCGTACTCCTGCATTAAAGATCAGTTACTATTTTGTGCAAAATGTGAGTGTGGTTTTACGCCGCTTTTAGCAATATTCCAGCAATATCACGGCATGGGACACCAGAAATGAGTTTCACATATTGTACTCATGTGGGGAATCGAACCCGGGTCTTCGACGTGACGAGCGAACGCCTAAACCACAAGGCTACCTCACCGCCCCCTCACCCATGTGAGTGCTGAAAAGTTTTCTGAAATGATGTTAGATACACCGTTGTGGGGATAGTAAGTTAATGATAAAACGGATCAGTTTTTTCACTTTCTGGAGTTTTGGATTTGCAGTCTTGTTTCGATACTATATTACCAGCTTTTTTATGGGATCTCAAACTTGCTATCAATTCATATGTTAAAGATACGTATAATCAATGTTATTCAAGCGTATTTTATCACCAACCAGAAATTTCATTATAAGGTGGACATAGCCAGTCTTCCATGTTAGAGTACTTGTTCAGCATCACAAGGTGGACATAGCTAGCCTCTCATGTTAGATTGGCCTGTACAGCATAAGAAGGTAGACATCGCCAGCCGTCCATATTAGAATCACTTCTTTAGGTGAACATAGACAGTGACTTCTTTGGCATCAAAAGGTGGACATAGCCAATCATCGATGTTAGAGGGGCTTCTTTGGCATCAGGAGGTGGACATAGCCAGTCATCCATGTTAGAGTGGCTTCTTTGGCATCAGAAGGTGGACATACCCAGTCATCGATGTTAGAGGTGCTTCTTTGGCATCAGGAGGTGGACATAGCCAGTCATCCATGTTAGAGTGGCTTCTTTGGCATCAGAAGGTGGACATACCCAGTCATCGATGTTAGAGTGGCTTCTTTGGCATCATAAGGTGGACATAGCCAGTCATGGATGTTAGAGTGGCTTCTTTGGCATCAGAAGGTGGACATAGCCAGTCATCGATTTAGAGTGACTTCTATATCATCATAAGGTGGACATAGCCAGTCATCGATGTTAGAGTGGCTTCTTTGGCATCATAAGGTGGACATAGCCAGTCATCGATGTTAGAGTGGCTTCTTTGGCATCATAAGGTGGACATAGCCAGTCATCGATGTTAGAGTGGCTTCTTTGGCATCAGAAGGTGGACATAGCCAGTGCTTCTTCATCAGGAGGTGGACATGTTAGAGAGTGGCTTCTTTGGCATCATAAGGTGGACATACCCAGTCTTCGATGTAAGAGCGGCTTCTTCAGAATCATAAGGTGGACATAGCCAGTGATCGATCTTAGAGTGGCTTCTTTGGCATCATAAGGTGGACATAGCTAGTCATCGATGTTAGAGGTGCTTCTTTGGCCTCATAAAATGGACATACCCGGTCGTCACTGTAAGAGTGGCTTCTTCAGCATCAGAAGGTGGACATAGCCAGTGATCGATGTTAGAGGTGCTTCTTTGGCATCACTTGGTGGACATAGCCAGTCATCAATGTTAGAGTGGCTTCTATATCATCATAAGGTGGACATGCCCAGTCTTCACTGTTAGAGCGGCTTCTTTGGCATCAAAAGGTGGACATAGCCAGTGATCGATGTTAGAGTGACATCTTTGGCATCATAAGGTGGACATACCCAGTCATCGATGTCAGAGTGGCTTCTTTGGCATCATAAGTGGACATACCCAGTCATCGATGTTAGAGTTGCTTCTTTGGCATCAGAAGGTGGGTCTAGCCAGTCTTCGATGTTACACTAACTTCTTTGGCATCACTTGGTGGACATAGCCAGTCCTCCATGTTATGCTGATTTATTCATGACAATCATGGGTAAAATATGTTCTTTACATATTTTGACAGAGTAAAACGTATGCAAATTCTTCTCAAAATACGTTATGAAGGAACCAGAATATATTCACCATAGGTTTTCGATACAGTTTAACACCAAAAGTCATATCATGCCATTGTTTGGTTATACTGGCAACAGAAAATACAACATTGCTGAAAATGATAATCCCGAAAAAGTCTTAATTAAAACGAGTGTAGGATGTCATTCCGATCCTATACCTTTACATATGAATATGTAATAAAATATGTATTATCTACGATTGTCACTTTACCGTCCATGATATCCTTCATCGATTCCAAGTCATCATCTCCCATTTCTTTAGAAATATCAACCAAAAAATTCTTCAGAGGCCAATTATTTGAGACATCACTGTTAGACAGAACGCGCCTATCAGTTGACGGTGGTGAAGCAACAGTACGTGATCCTGAAACAAAGTTTCTTTGTCAGTTGATATATTTGGTTATATTTTACTCCAACGCATATTTAGCCAGGTCCTTGATAGTTTATTGGCAGAAAACACAAAATTATTGATTTTTAATAAAAACAGTGTAGATATTAACATTAGTAAATAGTTTCACACTAAAACCGAAAGACCTGCACATTCGTTTCATAGGGTTTCGACATGCACATGTATGTAGACGTATCAGTATAACCACGCCTTGGTTAGATTTAAGTACACAACTAGGTGAGGAAAAGACACTTTAACGTTAACGTCACACTCAGTAGTATACCAGATGTATCAGTGTAGCCAGTAATAATCTGGAGACTGATAGTATGAGCCTGTAATAATCTTGAGACTGATAGTATGAGCCTGTAATAATCTTGAGACTGATAGTATGAGCCTGTAATAATCTTGAGACTGATAGTATGTGCCTGTAATAATCTTGAGACTGATAGTATGAGCCTGTAATAATCTTGAGACTGATAGTATGAGCCTGTAATAATCTTGAGACTGATAGTATGAGCCTGTAATAATCTTGAGACTGATAGGTATGAGCCTGTAATAATCTGAGAGTATGAGACTGACTGATAGTATGAGCCTGTAATAATCTGGAGACTGATAGTATGAGCCTGTAATAATCTTTGAGACTGATAGTATGAGCCTGTAATAATCTTGAGACTGATGGTATGACTGAGACTGATAGTATGAGCCTGTAATAATAATTGAGCCTGCCTGTAATAATCTTGAGACTGATAGTATGAGCCTGTAATAATCTGATAGTATGAGCCTGATGGACTGATAGTATGACTGATAGTATGAGCCTGTAATAATCTTGAGACTGATAGTAATAATCTTGAGACTGATGTATGAGCCTGAGTAAGCCTGTAATAATCTTGGAGAGCATGAGCCTGATAAGTAATGAGACTGATAGTATGAGCCTGTAATAATCTGGAAGCTGATAGTATGAGCCTGTTATAATCTTAGACTGATAGTATGAGCCTGTAATAATCTTGAGACTGACAGTATGAGCCTGTAATAATCTTGAGACTGACAGTATGAGCCTGTAATAATCTGGAGACTGATAGTATGAGCCTGTAATAATCTTGAGACTGATAGTATGAGCCTGTAATAATCTTGAAACTGATAGTATGAGCCTGTAATAATCTTGAGACTGATAGTATGAGCAACGAGCCAAACCGAGTCGGACCACCAGATCCATTAAGTCGCCCATTACGACTAACGTGTTATGCTACGAAAGCCTCAACCCAACAACCACAGGATCCTTGCGCGATAAAGGGGAACAACTCCACAAATTGATTTTCTCATCATTAGACACCCAGGCCACATTTGGGGCTCTTGAATGTAGTCCAGCTTACCACTAGTAACTGCGTCTATTGCTTGATCCGTCCTCTCTTGTGCTTTGTTGGTTGGGATGCTTCATCGCCTCTAGGATTTTCAGAGCTAAAGGATGCAGTTCGTCTCCCTTTTCCAGAACAACTTGAACAAGTTCTGTCATCTTGCCCTTGTCCTCAATGTTGGTTATTCGTGTGACGTCATCTCTCGAGATGATCTGTTTGTCAGCCAGCGTGTTAACTAACTGGTCACATTGGACACTTTCTCCCAAATTATCCATGATTTCTTGTATGATGTGTTGGCGACTTCCGTGTGTCATTGTTTCAAAGACAAACAAAATGACTCACATCAAATGCAGACGTGAGTGAATTAGTGGTTCTGGAATGACAAAATAATGTATCATATACATTCACAGGAAAAGTAATTAATAGTAATGTGTTATAGTGTTGTACACATGTAATATGGTGTATTATACGTCTTATAGTGTTGTACACTTGTAATATGATATATTATACGTGTTATAGTGTTGTACACATGTAATATGATGTATTATACATCTTATAGTGTTGTACACATGTAATATGGTGTACTATACATCTTATAGTGTTGTACACAAGTAATATGGTGTATTATACATCTTAAAGTGTTGTACACATGTAATATGGTGTATTATACATCTTATAGTGTTGTACACAAGTAATATGGTGTATTATACATCTTATAGTGTTGTACACATGTAATATTTGTGTTGTACACATGTAATATGATGTATTATACATCTTACAGTGTTGTACACATGTAATATGATGTATTATACATGTTATAGTGTTGTACACATGTAATATGATGTATTATACATGTTATAGTGTTGCAGACATGTAATATGATCTATTATACATGCTGTAGCGTTGTGCACATGTAATATGATGTATTATACATGTTAAATGGTGTATCATACATGTTATATAATGTTGTACACATATAATATGATGTATTATAATCTTATATGTGGATTATACATGTTATATGGTGTATCATACATGTTATAGTGTTGTACACATGTAATATGATGTATTATACATGTTATAGTGTTGCAGACATGTAGTAGGATTTATTATACATGTTATAGCGTTGTACACATGTAATATGATGTATTATATATGTTATGGTGTTGTACACATGTAACATGATGTATTATACATCATATAGTGTTGTACACATGTAATATGAAGTTTTATACATGTCATAGTGTTGTACACATGTAATATGATGTATTATATTTGTTATAGTGTTGTACACATGTAATATGATGGATTATACATCTTATAGTGTTGTACACATGTAATACGACGTTTTATACATGTCATAGTGTTGTACACATGTAATATGATGTATTATACATCTTTTAGTATTGTACACATGTAATATGATGTATTATGCATGTTAAATGGTGTATCATACATGTTATATAATGTTGTACACATGTAATATGATGTATTATACATATTGTATGTGTATCATACATGTTATATGGTGTATTATACATGTTATAGTGTTGTACCAATGTAATATGATGTATTATACATCTTAGAGTGCTGTAGACATGTAATATGATGTATTATACATCTTATATGTGTGTTATACATGTGATGTGATGTATTAAAGATGTTATAGTGTTGTACACATGTAATATGATGTATTATACATCTTAGAGTGTTGTAGACATGTAATATGATGTATTATACATCTTATATGTGTGTTATACATGTGATGTGATATATTAAAGATGTTACAGTGTTGTACACATGTAATATGATGTATTATACATCTTATAGTGTTGTACCCATGTAATATGATGTATTATACATCTTATAGCGTTGCTTCTTCTAGTGTTGAACACATGTAATATGGTGTATTATAGATGTTATAGTGTTGTACACATGCAATATGATGTACTATACTTCTTATAGTATTGTACACATATAATATGATGTATTATACATCTTATAGTGTTGTACACATGTTATATATGATGTATTATACATCTTATAGTGTTTTACACATGTAATATGATGTATTATACATCTTATAGTGTTGTCAACAAGTAATATGATGTATTATACGTCTCATAGTGTTGTACACATTTGACATGATGTATTATACGTCTTATAGTGTTGTACACATTTGACATGATGTATTATACGTCTTATAGCGTTGTACACATGTAATATGATGTATTATACATGTTATAGTGTTGTACACATGTAATGTGATGTATTATACATGTTATAGTGTTGTACACATGTAATGTCATGTTTTATAGATGTTTAAGTTTTGTACACATGTAATATGATGTACTATACATGTTATAGTATTCTACACATGTAATATGATGTATTGTACGTCTTATAGTGTTGTACACATGTAATATGATGTATTATACGTGTTATAGTGTTGTACACATGTAATATGATGTATTATACGTCTTATGATGTTGTACACATGTAATATGATGCATCATACGTGTTATAATGTTGTACACATGTAATATCATGTATTATAGATGTTATATGTGTATCATATAACACATGTAATATGATGTATATATACATGTCATAGTGTTGTACACATGTAATATGATGTATTATACATCTTATATGGTGTACATGTTTTATGGTGTATTATACTTGTTATATGATGTATTATACATGTTATATTGTGTTTCATACATGTAATATGATGCATTATACATCTTAAATGGTGTATCATACATGTTATATAATGTATTATGCATGTTATATGTGTATTACACGTGCTATATGGTATAGTACACATTTAATATGATGTATTGTAAATGTTACATGATGCTTTATTCATGTTATCTGGTGTATTATACATGTTATATTGTTTATCATACATGTTATATGGTGTATTATGCATGTTATATGGTGTATTATAATCTTATATGGTGTATCATACATGTTACATGGTGTATTATGCATGTTATATGTGTATTATACATGTTATATGATGTATCACATGTCTTATATGGTATAGTACACATTTAATATGATGTATTATAAATGTTATATGATGCTTTATACATGTTATCTGGTGTATTATACATGTTATATTGTGAATCATACATGCTATATGGTGTATTATACATGTTATATGGTGCATTATACATGTTATATGTTGGATTATACATGTTATATGGTGGATTATACATCTTATATGATGTATTATACACGTCATATGGTGTATTATACATGTTATAATGTGTATCATACATGTCATATTGTGTATCATACATGTTATATGGTGTATAATACATGTTACATGATGTATTATACATTTTATATGGTGTATTATACATCTTATATGGTGTATTATACATGTTTTATGGTGTATTATACTTGTAATATGATGTATTATACATGTTATATTGCGTTTCATACATGTAATATGATGTATTATACATCTTAAATGGTGTATCATACATGTTATATAATGCATTATGCATGTTATATGTGTATTACACGTGCTATATGGTATAGTACACATTTAATATGATGTATTGTAAATGTTACATGATGCTTTATTCATGTTATCTGGTGTATTATACATGTTATATTGTTTATCATACATGTTATATGGTGTATAATGCATGTTATATGGTGTATTATAATCTTATATGGTGTATCATACATGTTATATGGTTTTTTATGCATGTTATATTGTGTATTATGCATCTTATATTCTGTATTATACTTTTTATATGATGTATTATACATGTTATATGATGTATTACACGTGCTATATGGTATAGTACACATTTAATATGATGTGTAATAAATGTTATATGATGCTTTATACATGTTATCTGGTGTATTATACATGTTATATTGTGTATCATACATAATATATTGTGCATCATACATGTTATATGGTGTATTATACATGTTATCTGGTGTATTATACATGTTATATCTTGTGTATCATACTTGGTATATGGTGTATTATACATGTTATATGGTGTATATATATATGTTATATACATAGTAGATTATTATGGTGTATGTTATATGGTTATATATCTAATATGGTGTATTATATACATGGTGTTATATGGTGTATTATACATGTTATATGATGTATTATACATGTTATATGGTGTATTGTACATGGTTATATGACATGTATTATGATGTATTGTATATGTTATATAGTGTATTATACATGTAATATGGTGTGTTATACATGTTATATGGTGTATTATACTTGTTATATGGTGTAATACACATGTAATATGATTTATTATACATTTTATATGATTCATTATACTTGTTATAAGGTGTATTATAATGTTATATCATGTGTTATACTTGTTATATGGTTTATTATACTTTTATACGATTTATTATACATTTTATATGTGTATTATACGTTTTATACGGTGTATTGTGCATGTTATATTATGCGTTATGCTTGTTATATGGTGTATTATAAATGTTAAATGGTGTATTATAAATGTTATATGGTGTATTATACTTGTTGTATGGTGTAGTACATATGTAATATGATGTATTATACATGTTTTATGATGTATTATAAATGTTATATGGTGTATTATACATGTATGGTGTATTAAGCTTATTATATGATGTAGTACACATGTAATATGGTGTATACTTGTAATATGATGTATGCATGATATATGGTTTATTATGCATGTTATATGGTGTAGTATACTTAAACATGGCATATGGTGTAGTACACGTGTAATATGATGTATCATACATGTTATAAGATGAGTTATACATGTTATATGAAGTAAACATGCTATATGGTTTATTATACATGTTATATGGTGTAATACACATGTAATATGATGTATTATACATGTTATATGATGTATTATAAATGTTATATGATGTAGTACACATGCCATATGATGTATTATACATGTTATATGGTTTAGTTTACATGTTATATGAAGTATACATAAATATAATATAAGTATAAATATGGTATATCGTGTGGCATATATCCTATATTGTGTTGGCGCCTAGTAAATATATCATGGACAGGAACAGGTAGTGTATGGTGCTATACAATATATCGTCTTTAGTATAGTGCAAACCTGGCTTTGTTTACTCTTCAAACGATATAATAAAGGAAATGTTACATAATAAAGTACATGTTGTACATATCTCGTATAATGTGATACTAAAGTTGTATAGTTTTTTGTGCATGCGCTATAGTTTAATGTAATATTACATATATATTCTAGCATTCATGATATAAAGTGCAATATACATATGATATAGTTGATAATATATGTGATGTAAAAGATTGTACATGTGCTTGAGCATGATATATGGATCACTGTTCATGGTATATCATGAAGGTTAGATAATATTCCATTGAACATGTACGTTATATTGTGAAGTTCACATTTTATATAGTAACTATACATAAGTATAGTGTAGTATAAATGTCATGTAGTGTAGCATTCATGTTGCATATTATAGAGTATATGTTATATATGTTCACTGTGCATTTGGTATAGTGAAGTATAAACATTATCCTATAAGCGTACATGCTGCTCAGTGTAGTATATGCCGTATGCATGTATGCTATATGCTGCTCTGGATATGTTTTATAGTGGCGTTAATATAAACATGCTGTAGACATGTAGTATACATGTTATATTTCAAGCATGTTAAATAGCGTAGTACGTGTGTAAAAATATATTATGTAAGTATTCATGTCATATGATATAGGATTAATGTTACATAGTGTATAATGCATGCTATATAGTGTATAATATATGTTATAGTGTATAGTATGCATGGTATATGGTGTAGGTTTCATATTACAAAGTGTCAGGCATATGTTACAAAGTGTAGGCTACATGTTACAAAGTGTCGGGTCCGTGTTGTATAGTGTATAATACATGTTCTACATTACAGTGTAAGGGATATTCATTTGTATAATGTAGTGTATATGTTACATAGTGTAGTGTACGTTATAAAGTGTAAGATACATTTAATATTGTCGTATATACCTGAGGTGTCATGCAGAGGAGTTTATTCCATATGCAAAATGATATTCATAAATATATAAAAGTAATAACAGTGTCAAAGTGCCCCTTTAAATGTTGTATCCCGACACTGTTTTAATTCCGACTGGGATCGGTCCAATGACTGCATGTATTTATATATACTGCTGAAAATATTGGCACAGCCCGGATACCCTTAAGAATATCATATCACTGGTGTATTGTTCTATTTACGAACAAGATCAATTATTTCAGTTTGATTACTATCAAGAATATGACACACGGTAATAGGATCGAATGGTATAAAATGAACAGAATAGTAAATAGATTTTGTTGTACCACGTGTTGTGTAATACATATCTGGACATTCATATCTGGTTTGCAATAAGCAATGCATTCCTAAGTAGATATTTAAAAAAACAAGGAACTTATGATTGGAGCAAATCTACCCACTCCATATGTTATAATATACTTCACTGTCAATGCCAATTTAATTCGTTTTGATCGCTATGGTTGCGTGCTTTTGTGTACAGAACAACAATCGAAATTTGCCCCTGGCAATAGGCATGCGCAGAAACGGCATACGTGAAAAGATATAGTTGTTCCTGTTTCATTTCTTAATCTTCCTCCAAATATTTGTTTTAAAATTGAAATATTTCACGTAATCACATGTTTTGAAGAAGTTAGTATTCGAATTCCCTTCTGGGTATAGACATTGAGAAATTTGAAAGATACACCCCTATCCACGTCATACAGATAGATTTCGGTCATGATGACATTGTGGAATGTGGACTTCTGACCCTGCTCTATCAAGCCATGCATTAACAGTAAATCTAACTGCACAAAAATATTTCGAATTAAAACGATATATGCCCGCTGTTGATATTGTCATTCTGAATTTACTGTAACGTCAATCAAGCAATACCAGTGCTATGACCTACCTCCTTAAAGGTCACCCACACTTTACCCCATCTAATATCAATATATGACTAGTATACGGACTTAAATTGGTTTATACATTGAAAGTAGTAAAGAACAATAACTTACCTAACGGATACAGAATTTAGTTCCATAAATGTTTGCCAAAAGTCAGAAGAAGGAGAGTTGAAGTGAGAAAGGACACAAGGCGCACTCAGCGCGCCATGATGAGATTACAGACTGCATGTGACGTCACGGTAGTTCCGAGAACTCTTTTCAATACAGTTACCCGGAATAGTAGCTGACGGGCGAGAGTCATGCGCTGCGTTGACTTGTATGCATACAGCATATAGCTATAACGTGTAGACAGATGTTTATAATGGTGTGTTCAACAATGGAGGGTGTGTTGTGTTGTGTTGTGTTGTGTTGTGTTGTTATTTATAAACAACCAATAGTCAATAATGAATAACTACGCCATACACAGTGACACAACCATACGGCAATCACATTATGTAAGCGATATTTGGGGTTTCCAACATCGTTTCAATTTCTGATGTAAATGCCTATGTCGATAGACTAATGCGTATTTTCAAATGAAATATTAACATTCCTTAGTCATTGGCCTTCCAATTTTGTTCCTGTTTGATAATAATGGGATGACACGAGTCTATACAGAAAATACGAAGTAAAATACTTTTTAACTTTTAATCACTTGTGTCTGGTCAAAATGATGTGTCTTTTCCCAACAGTTCACAGGTGTGTTTACGAGCATGACTAGTAATAATGTTAATGGTAATCACTCCTCACATAAGCGGATCCAGATAAGGTATGACGTCCTGAAAGTTTATTAAATGACCATTGAAACTCTCGTGTTGCGGCATACTCATACATTCTCGCGCACGCACGCACGCACGCACGCACACACACACACACACACACCTCCCTTTCTCAAGAAGTTGTATCCGCCCCTGCCTTGAATGTTAATGGCCGGGGAATGAAAATGGGGCATGGGGAGTTTAATTAGTGGTGTGGATATTAGTATAAAATATCAGCTAAGTTTTTGTAGCCCTGTGTATAAACTATTTACTCGACTAATTACAGAAAACCAAAAGGAAACTAGAAATCAGGCGGTCGAAGTTAAATTTTAATTTATGTGAACATATCAATGGGTTGACTGCTTTCTAGGAATACTCTATATTCCCCGTAAGACTACAATGTAGAATCCCATATATGCGTGTTGTACATTGTATATGAATGACCATCCGGTGTCATCACTGGTTTTGAGTTTTCTGTGGATTTCACTGCTATTTCACCTTTAAAGTCCAATGGGATATTTTTAGTGGATAATCGGCATTCATGTTAAACTATTCTTCTGAGTTTCATAGCATCACTAAGTACTCATAAGATGAAAATTCCCAAATCGCAGTAGCCCCCGTATCATCTGTCATTTTTGTATGTTTTGGATGCCCTTTTGTAGTGAGGTTTTTTGTTTTGTTTTGGGTTTTTATGTTGGGTTTTTATTTTTGCTTTTTTTTTTGTTTGCTCTTTTGTTTGTTTGTTTGTTTGTTGGTTGTTGTTTTTTGTTGTTCTTTTTTTCTTTTGGGTTGTTTAACGCCGCATTCAGCAACATTCCAATATTCCAGCAATGTGGCGGGTTGTTGCAGTGAATGGCAGTATGTACTGACTTTGTATTACGGCCATCCTAATAAAAGGGCATCTTAATCCTGCCACAAGACGGTGGAATGTTCAGTTACTAGACAATCAAGAGATCGCTGTGCTGAAAGTAATTTTCTGTAATTAAATTTTTAAAAATTGCTGATCTGCAACTACCTTATCTGTGTAACAGTACAGACATTATGCTTCGCGAAGAAACATGTTGGACAAATATATTCGTTATCCAACACAGTTGGAACAGTTTTAATGCATCTGCCAAACAGGGCTTTAGTGAACAATTGACGATTTTGCGATGATAAATGTCTGGAAAATTTGTTATGGGCGTTTAGATCAATACCAGGTGTGTCCACCACAAGCATACATGCATAACGCCCCGATGGTATACTGTCCATTAACAGCCATTCCGTCTGAAGAGCTACCACAAACTGAGCCACGCCGGCGGATGGTTGGGTCTCTGACGTACAGACTACGCCAAAGAACATCCCACAGGTGCTGTATTCGAGACACGCCAGGGGAGAAAGCGCGCCGGTCCAATGCCGTATGCCTTCTCGTCAGAGATGTTTGAAGACCTGGGCAAGATGTGTTTTTGGAGTTTAAAACTTCAGTTTAAAACTTCTAGCGAATGGAACAGCAACAGGACGAAAACTTTCTTCAGTGTATCGATGCCCAGTCAAATGACCATTCACAAAACCCGTGAAGATCCGAGTTAGTATTGATCTTCAGTAGCCCATGCTTTTCCTAAAAGGCGACTAGCAGGACTCGCTGACTTGGTTGACACATGTCATCGTATCCCAACAGATCGATGTTCATGATGTTGATCACTGGATTGTCTGGTCCAGAGTCGATTATTTACACACCGCCGCCATATAGCTGGAATATTGCTGAGCACGGCGTTAAACAATAAACCAACCAACCAACAAAAAAAAACAAATGACAACATTCTCCACTAAATGTAAGCCAATACTTTATTGAACACAAAAAGATCATTATCCTAGAATGATAACGAGCAGGAACACAATGTTTGGTATGAAGTTTCAATAGCAGCAATGTAAAGGTCATTTTGACTTTTCTTTCACAAAATCAGTAAAATAAACAAATGTCTGATTTGCAGTTGATGTAAGTATAAAATCGCAAACATGTTACCCTTGAGATATACAAATATATAATTTTGTCACTGCATTGATAAAATGGGTGTAAAAGCCCAGACAAGAATAAAAAGATTCTGAAAAATGTGGACACATAATTCATCACTTAAAACCGTATGTTGGTCAGAATAACAAGAGACGCAAAACGCGTGATTCAAGTTACGAACTCATCCATCAATTTTACGCAAATATAAATGAAAATAGATTTGCAGTTTTGCTCATGAGTCATAACGGTTAGGCACGGTCTCGAGACGGTAAGTCTCCTTAGAATGGCGTTTAGCCGTAGGCTATGGAAAGAGAGACAGAACACATTCGTCGTGAAATACATAACAGATTAATCTTACATTGAAACAATAACAAATCAATTAAAAAAGGTGAGTCACCGAACGGTGCTGCCCGATATTCATCCAATCACGACACACGATATTCATCCAATCACAACACACAATATTCATCCAATCACGACATACATGAGTGCAAGGTCGAATACAGGATTAACGAATTAAAACGATGAGTTGAAGCATGTGACCAAAAATCAGACTAGGTTCGAACCATTTAAAAAGACATGTTTGGCACTACGAGCTCAGTGTGCGGGTGTTGTTCGAGCTCAACATTTAGGAAGCTAATCCACGCCACTCAGCTGCCAGTGTGGTACGAACCGGCCTTGCCTGTTGTTGAAGTTGTAGTTAGAGAGATGGACTGAGACAGAGTGACAACTATGTGAGTATAAACTTGGTGTTGCGTTTATCTTTGAATGTATGTGTGCCAGTGCATGAATGTTATGTGGTTAGTTAGGAGTCACAGTCGTCCGACCCCTCACTCCTTGACTTAGCATCCTGCAACGGACCAAGCGAGTGGAGCGCCAGAGCTACCATCTCCCCGAAAAATGTGGAACGACCATAATTAATAGGTAACTGTGGTAGGGTTTACTGAAGCCCAATCGCCAGTTACGACAATATCGAGAAGATCCGAATGGTGTTTCTGTACTGCAGCCCGTTGTACTGGGAAGCATGTGGCACAGTCGCCCTATATACCGAGATAATTTCTAAGCGATGGTCAGATCCGAAATTCCTTTCTTCGAAACAGTGGGATCCCATTTGCCGTCTTGCGGCTGGATTGTCTGATCCAGACTCGATTATGTACAGACCGTCACCATATATCTGAAATATTGCTGAGTGTGGCGTTAAATAAAAATACAAACAAACAAAGGAAATCTTTTGTCCTGGCACTTAAAGCTTAAAGATACGCGTTACACATAAATAAATGTGTAACTATAAAGGAGATGGGGAAACCAACACCATAAGTATCTTATGTAATTTCTTCAAGTAAAAAAAAAACAACTAGCCATAATTATACAGGTAAAGCAGAAATGGGTTATACAAATAAATTTCATATAAATACACACATAGAGTATCATACATATGAGACACTCCACACCATGTTAACTGTTCTCCATGGAAAAGTGAAAACAACTTACACATTAGAAGAACCTTTGTATGACAATTCAAATCGGTATCAATGGAATATGACCATTCCTGTCATTGTACAGGGCGTACATGAGGTAGAGAAAGAAAGTCATATTTGTTGGTGTCATAAATGGTACATGAAGTATTTGATACGGATATGCTGACTGTGTTTTAGTTTGAAGTGTTTCGCCGACTGTTTTCAATCTTGTAACGTTTTGTAACCTCAGCACTGAGGTTCTGTGCTTTTAACGTTGTTCTGCCTGAATGAGGTGGTATTATTTTAAAATTTACTCTGAATTTTAAACAAGTAAATAAAATGAATAGGCAAATGAGTAAGTATGATCGACTGTCGATTATAATAAAACATGGGCAAAAGATGTTGCTTCAAAATGTTTTGTAACATTATGTTATAAATTATCTCCCCTTGCAGGGGGTCGACTGTCGTCCGTTTTGCCAAATGTTCATTCGTTGAGTTAAAACTTCATTTGCTGGCAAATGTTCATTCGCTGAGTTAAAACTTCAATTACTGCCAAATGTTCATTCGTTGAGTTAAAACTTCATTTGCTGGCAAATGTTCATTCGTTGAGTTAAAACTTCAATTACTGAAATTAAATGTTCATTCGTTGACCAAAAAAACTTCATTTGCTGGCAAATAAGATACCATTATTTGAAATGTAGTGTCTGACTTTTCCAGTAATGCAAATTGTATGTGCAAAGGTGTTTTTATCCCTGTCATTTTTTTCCTGAACAAAGGCAGTGGGAAAACACTCACGTTCGAGATTCCATACACATTTAATATATAATCAACATGCAGAGGAATAATGTACTGTAATAACACTGCTCTAACAAAGGGAAACACGTTACACCAATCCTAGGTAACTACATTGCTCTATCTGATTGGTCGTTGATTTGTAGTCCTAGGCCATTCACTGCACACATTAACCATATAATCTCTGATAGTGAATGTGTTGTAAGGCAGATATTAATCATATTGAAACGTTCTCATTTTACCAACAGCATCCACAATATGGACATATGTCACCTCCTCTTGATCACGCAATAAAAAGAACTGTTCTTACTTCATCACCTTGATTTTCCATCAATGGCTTCTAAGTCAAGTGGGGTCGTTATTCAGGATCCAAGTACTGCTGTACCAAACCTCTCTTTCCAATCTTTGCCAAAATCTCCCCTACAATCTCTGAAACAAATGAACTATTCATAAGTTTTTCTTTCAATGATGACACGAATTATCAAAGTAACTTCAAACAATGTGACACAATACATTCCTAAAAGGCAATTCAAATTAATCACTGATAATCTAACTAAATTATGTAACGATCATTAACTGTTCCAGTACATCACAAATATTGCTCATACCCATGGGATCTTCTTGTCTGCCCTTGAGAAGTTCTCTTAACAATGCATGTTCAAGAAACCTGTCTGGATACTTTTTCAGCAGTTCCTCTTCAACCTCAGAAAAACACAGAAACGTCTTCAGTTTTTGTCTCTCCTCGTTGGATAGTTCTTTGGACATTGTCATCAGAATGGATGCATAAGGATGAAGCAAAATCTGCTGGGGTGCTAAGAAATAAACAAAGCACTTTTGCATAAATGTTCTTAACTGAAAGTCATTCAAGTTAGTTTGTCATAGAAAAACTTATTCGGTGTAAGATTTAAGTGTAGTTGCACACGTTTGTTTCATTTTCAGATAATTTATGGGCATACCTGGATGGATCATATTGACCACTTGCATTCCTATTATTTCCAGCTTGTGCGTCTTCCCCTGCTGGTCTTGTTTGATGGCGAGGTTGCTTGTCTGTTCCTGAATTGCCAAGATGTCCTGTAGGAAAGGTGACGATGCACCAGCTATGTTACTGAAAGCCTGCAAATTTGTATTCATTTCTGCCTGTTCCTCCACCTGTTCTGACAGCATCATGATAATGTCCTGCATTCTCCTCAGTCTCTCCTCGTGTAACGTGGCTTCAAGTGTAGTCTTTGCATCTAGCAGTTTGTTCAGTAAGTCTATATCCAAAGATGAACAACGTTCCCTGACTTGTGACAGAAGTCTTCTATACAGAGCTGATGCGCTGGACAGTTTCAATGACCCAAACTTACCATTGCTGTCAGGCACATCTTCCCTTGGCTTCATCGTCTTCATCACGGACATCGCTCTGTGAAACAAGTCCCTGTACTTTTGATTAAGTTGCTGTGCGTTTAACTCTCCGCCATTTCGTAGAATCTGGTCCACAGTTGAGTCTTCTTCCTTTCTATCAAGCTTGTCCTGAAGATCAATCAACTGTTCATCTCTGTCTGCAAGGTGTGTTTTGAGACTCTGTTCTCGCTCCAACATGTGCTTCAATTCACGATACATGGGTTTGTGTTCATGTTCTGTTGTGGGTGCAATTTCTGTAAAGAGAGCACAGAGATGAATGTTTTGTTGAATGTTCGTAGCAGCGTAACAACCTATCTTTGACAACCTGTAACCATGACAGAAGAAAATGTAATCCGTCGACAAATGCTACCAGGTCACTTACTGGAAATATCGGGTCGTGTATTACTTTTCACATTCATATTACCTGTTTCACACACTATACACAAATAAGCATTAACTTTACTTAATCTGTTTCTTCAAAAAATATGTCAGTACATTTCATACCTGATAGGGACAATTCTGCATCGTGTATCTCGACATGGACAGATAAATGGACAAACGAGACCTCCTGGCACATGTAGATATGAATGAAGCTGTTGACATCCTCCTTGGGAACCATGAACGTAAACAGGAGACTTTTCGCTGGTTCAAGACCCCTGATGAAGACAGTAGTGATTGGTACGCAGAGGATGCGTGCAACGTCAGCCCTCAGGTGTTCCTTGTCTGCATGTGTGAGTTCATCTATGTCGCCCTCTACATGGAACTTGATATACTTGTATCCGTTTTCTGAATAAGAATGAAAGAGGAGATATATTTTGGGTACCATTATCTAAAACAAGTCATCAGGACGTAATAATTCAATAATGATTTCTAGGTATTTGTTGGTGATATTTGTTTTGAAAATGGCAACTTTATCAAGTGATATATTGCCTAAATAGCAAATGACGAACGTTTTACCTGGTTGTTCGGCTGGAAGAATAAAATGGATTGGTTTCTTATCACATTCCAGACAAAACTGACGAATCTTTTCGGTGAGGTCTCGTCTTTTGGTGCGCCATATCAAAGCTTGCAGGAAATGAAGATTGTATGCATCGATTCGTCTGGTTTTTCTCAATATTTCAAAGAACTTCAATGGGTCAGTGATTTTTTCAATCACTGCATCACCGAAGCCATTTTCGCCTGGGAAGATAAAGCATAAATTAGTGAGTGAGTATGGTTTTACTCCGCTTTTAGCAATATTCCAGCAATATCACGGCGGGGACACCAGACATTAGCTACACACAGTGTGCACATGTGGGGGAATCGAACCGGGTCTTCGGCGCGAAGACCGAACGCTTTAACCGCTAGCCTACCCCACCGCCCAAAGCATAAATGAAGGACTCCGCGCAGATATATGTATTTTACTCCGTTTGGTCTGTTTCTTCTACAGCTATTGTGATGATAAAGATATTAACGTTACTGACGTTACAGGATATCCGACTGGTATCATGTATCTAGGAAATAATCATTATTAACACAACCGTAACAAACATACCACGCATTATGTACTTCATTTTCTTCATTTCGTCTTCGCCAATTCCCTCTGAGAGTTCAACCAAAAAGTTCTTCACTTCCCAATCATCAGACAAATCACTGTGCTTGAGGATTCTCCTTTCCTTGGCAGGTCGTGTAGGTGCTGAAGTAGGGTCTACACCTGCATCCAAATATGACATTTGTAAACTTTACCGGATTTTCCATTTCACAGTTTACCAGTGAAGGTCCGGGTTAGAATTGATCTTCAGTAACCCATGCTTGTCGTAAGAGGCGACTAACGGGATCGGGTGGTCAGGCTCGCTGACTGGGTTGACACATGTCATCGGTTCCCAGTTGCGCAGATCGTTGTTCATGCTGTTGATCAGTGGATTGTCTGGTCCAGACTCGATTATTTACAGACCGCCGCCATATAGCTGGAATATTGCTGAGTGCGGCGTAAAACTAAACTCACTCATTCACCCATTTCACAGTTAATATGTATTAACATAAATGCACACTCATTATCTTAAAGAGTAAATGATACACGTTGAGTGAACATGAATAACATAACATATCGAAACAATAACAATAGGATATCCATGAATATATAAGATATGTTAGTGCTACATCTTGAATCCCAAGCTGAAATTGAATCAGTCTATATAAAAGGACTTGGTGAACTTGAAACGTAATGTGAGATGAACGGCAAGAGTTAGTTCCCCTAATGCCTCAAGGAAAAATACTCCAGAAAATTCTCCAATTCCCTGGGTCAGAATATAGTGGACAGGCCAATAGGGTTGTAATACCCTGTAGTACATTTCAGATGTTTGTCTAAATATAGCACAAGTCTAAAAATAAAGCACACCACTGCACCCTACTGAATGTCAACAGAAACAATGTGATTGCCTAGGAACAGTTACACAATGAATAAAACTGTCACAAACACTTAGCAAGTGACATATGTCTTTATCTGTAGTTGATTGGTTGGTTGGTTTTTGTTTTACGCCGCACTGAGCAGTATGTCAGCTTTATGGCGGTGGGCTTTAAATAATCGAGTCTGGACCGAAAATCTAGAGATCAACAGCATGAGCATCGATCTACGCCATTGGGATACGATGACATGTGGCAACCAAGCCAGCGAGCCTGACCATCCGATCCCGTTAGTCGCCTCTTACGACAAGCATGGGTTAGTGAAGAACAATTCTAACCCGGATCTTCACGGGGGTGTATAGCTATCTATATCTATCTACATGGTACACACTGAGTATATATTATGAACGATATTTCTGGGTTCAGCAGTTCATCACAGACTAAAGATCTACTTGCTGGTGATTTTCTTGTATCATATGTCGCTATATAGCTGTATAAATGCCGATGCATTTCATATTAACTCACTCTGTAGGACGTATGTTACTTACCCTGCACCGCTCGCTCTAAGGCTTGTTTTGTGTTCCTGGTGCTTTCCGGGTCTGGGAGTGTTTGCGATTCCAATATTTTCAAAGCTAGGGGGTGCAGGTTTTCGTCGTCCTTTTCCATTATCACGTCTACAAGAGTTTTTACCCTGTCCTTCTCCTCTGTGTCCGTGATTTTAGTGACGTCAGAAGTAGATATGATTTTGGCGTCAGCAAGTTTGTTGACAAGCTGATCACATTCAACGCGCGCTTCTAAGGTATCCATGATCTGTTGTATGATCTGTTGGCGATTTTCCTCCAGTGTCATGTTTATAAGGAAACGTTAGGTTCACTTCCTCAGAGGAAGGGTGGAGATAGTGGCACTGAAATGTTTCAAATAATATTACAACAATATGCAACGCGACTCTGATGATACAAGCAACGCATTTAGCATATTAAACTGTGATGATTAAATGGTCCGTTTGAGAAGAAACATTAGTGAGTGTGAGAGCATGGGCAGTGTTGTATCTCTATAGTGAAGAGTTCACATCATGAAATTACAAACCGTTTCATATTTATATCAACATTAATTTCAAAAGCAATGAGGCAAATATATTAGCATAACTATTTACATGTTCTTTCGAACCATTCGAAGGCCATGTCTTACCTTTATATGGATTTCATCATTGTAATTAAAGGCAAAGTAAACATTTGTAACTAATTTAGATCGTATTAAATTTAGACGATATGACAGTGTGACGAGGGGGATTGTGGTTCATTACACACACATATACATGCATAGTCATGATGATGAAGTTATATCTGTACCAAGGATCTTCTCTCTCATACACACACAACACACACACACACACACAACACACACACACACACACACACACACACACAAACACACACATTCAAAAGTATCATGTATGAAGTATGGCTATCATAACCATGTGTTTCCCAATCAACATCAACCACCTAGATATTATTGTGGTGGTAAAATATTGAGCTTACCGAATACAACACCACATAAAATAGTACAGAAGTATATATTACAGAAAAAGTATAGTAACAATCAAACCATGCAGTCGCGCACATGCTTCACCGTGCCCGCCATTCGTTGCTCAATATCAAGTGTAGTTTCGTGCACTGTGTTTCGAATAATGTCCAAAAATAGTCCTTAACGATACGCATGCGCAGAAGCAACATTCATATTTAATAATTGTTCTGAGCTTTATAATTTAGAACATATATAAATATAATAACATCTGAACTTAACCATCTTATGAATTGACGACCATGACCAGAGATCGTGTACACCCCCCTCCCTCACTTTTTCAAAAAGCTGTATCCGCCCCTGGACAGGACTACCAAATGGGACTACAAACTGTGATTCAAGCTTGACACAGATTATTAACTTTGAAATTAAGATACAAAACGTGTCTTACCTGTGGAAGAATTTAGGTCCATATATTTCGCCGAAAGTTAGAAGAAAGGGTGACAGTGAAGGAGAAGGACAAGGGCGGACTCAGCGCGCCATGGTGAAAGCACAAACAGCGTGACGTCACAGTAGTTCCTAGAACTGTATATTCAGTATCGTTACCCGGAATAGGACTGCCTGAACGGGTATGTGTTGGTTGCGTGTAGCTATTGATTTGTACTACCATATGAGCTTTGCTTTATGTCAACAGTATCGAGTGACGGTTGCACGAGTAATGCAGTTGGTGTAATGTGAGTGTAATCTAGAATCAATACCCACTAACGTGGCAACATATTTGAGGTACACCTGGACAGTTCACTATAATATCATTTTACTTCTGGCATATCTCCTATATTTTGCTAGCTGGGGATTGCCACTAGTCTATTATGACTTTAACGTTTCAATGGACAACTTCCCCTTTTATGTCGAGTAACATTCCAGCAGACAGGTTTCGCGGTCTACTGTAAAAACGAGCATTGTCTTTCTTTGATCAAGGTTAAAACAGTCTTTGTCTCAGTGGGATGTTCCCATTTCGCCTACAGTAATTGAGGATGGCAACTCATCCACCCCTCATTCAGTGAATGGGATGGCCCACATTTCCTGCTCAGTGTCGTCAAAAGAATATGTTTACTGTTTTGTTTGGTTATTTTATTAAGGTAGTTTGTTGCTTAATAATGCAAATTACTGTAAAAGGTTTGAGATCAAAGTCACTTTATATCTATGTTGATAAGATTTGTTGTTTTAATAAAGCCTTAATAAAGTGGCTTCTCTCAGGCTTCCTGCTTAATGTGCAATTTTGTTATGTTCTCTTCTCCGTGTACTGTTGTTTTAATATAAAGTATATAAGGGATGTGAAATGTTGTTTGTGATGTCAAACGACCGACGACTTCGCTTGCAGATAGACCATGGTGCTGGAGTCCGCTCACGTCCTCGCAAGTACAAGGAACTGGACGCTAGACTGACTCGCTTGAAGGACCAGTTAGCAACTGGAAGAAAGACAGTGCTGCAGTTTCTGGACGCAGCTGGACATTTAATTAAACTGCAAATACATTAGATTTGTTGAGAACAATGATATAAACTTGATATCTTCAGTGACTTGATATATTTGTGCTTATTTGTGATTTGATATAACTTGATATGTTCAAGTTTATGAATACATGTATATTATTTGATATATACATATATACTATTAAAATGGTCAGACAAGCTCAACCCGACTCACAAGTTTGTTTCTCATTATTTGGGTTAGTCCATTAAACTACAGTGAACAGCATACAAATCCTATGTTCACTCAAGTGTAAATTTGTTTTGATAAGGGTGTAGGCGAAATGGGATGTAGGCGAAATGGGAACAAGCGGTCTCAGTACAGCCTTCTAAACATTTATGGTACACATGCGGATGACATTACGTTTGACGCAGCTGTGGCCATACAATTAACTATTTTGACTTGATACAGATCAACTTCCCTCAGGTAGTTCAGTATCAGATGGGCGCTCACGCGTGAGAACAGATCTTTTAGGTTTGTTGCATCATAATGTGAGTCCCTTGCAGGCGATAAGTCCACGCATTCAAGCAGAATATGCTTGACGGTGAACACCTCATCGCAAGAGACACACATGGGGGGTCCATCCCCATCCGTTTTCAGCAGATAGTCACGTGTAAATCGACTGTGGCCAATACGACATCGTCGTAAAATTACCTCATCGCGTCTTGACTGACAACCCCAAGTAGGTATAACCGATTGTTGGCTTCAATTCATGGAGTTTGTTTCTTCCTACTTGAGTGTCCCACCTTTTTGCATCAGGTCCCGAGTATAGCTTTTGATAGTGGGTTTGAAGTCACTGTACGGGATTAGCAGTGGAGATAGGGGCTTTTCGAGAGCTGCTTTGCTGCAGCATCGGCCTTAGTGTTACCTGCTATGCCAACGTGACCCGGCAACCAGCAGAGGATGATGTCATATTGGCTAGTAGAAGGTCGTTGTACAGTTCTAATAAGTCCAGGATGATTGGGTGACTTGAAGTCACGTTTAGAAGTGCTTGAAGGCAGGATAATGAATCTGTAAATATGATGAAGTTTTGGACTGATTTTGCTGTTGAATGTAGGTCAAAGCTGAGAAGATAGCTTTGGCTTCAGCGGTGAAAATGGAACTGTTGTCGGGGATCCTAGAGGAGACAGTCTTGGCTCCAATGACTGTAGCGCTGGCAACTTGGCCATCGTCCTTGGATCCGTCTGTGAAAATGGATCTGTGAGTGTTATACTTAGAACGTAACTGGTTGTATTCCTGTTGGAACACCAAGGAGTTTGTTTCAGACTTTTGAGTTTGGTGAGGGTAAGATCGACCTGTGGTTTCACCATTTGCCATGGTGGTGAGGACAGAAGTCGGTATGGTGCAATGATGTCGAGATCAATTTTAGCTGCAGATATGTGTGGTTTGATCCTGATTCCAAGTGGTGGAACCAGGCTTGGCAGTTTAGGAAATAAGTTTTCATAGAGCGGGTTGAAAACACAATTGTATGCTGGATTGGGCCACCGTAGACAATGGAGCCATAATCTAGTTTACTGAACCGTAAGTTCAAAGTGCTTATTAAGGTAAACGTCAGACTTGTTTTTGGAACAGGTCAAAAGGGCCGAAAATGGAAAAGTCAAAAGGGCCAAAGAAAAGTCAAAAGAACCAAGGGAAAGTCAAAACAGCCATACATTAAAGTCCAAAGGGCTAAACTTTTAGAAAATAGTAAGATTAGAAGAAATTCATCATCACCATCTCAACATGGTTCAGTGTATATTTTATGAGTATAGTCAACCATACAACTGTTTACTTAGTGATTACAACGAGAGGTCTTAACAGAGTCACTAGTGACAATTACACTGGTAGGTTATCTAAACAAGATTAACGTTTTAATTAGTTTGAGCCATGGGAAATGTACAAGGGTGAGAACTGAGCCCTGCTGCACTCCTGAACATGTGTTCACGGATTAATGTGAATGATTGACAATGTCTGTAGTGAACTTGAGTGATGATGTCTGTAGTGAACTTGAGTGATGATGTCTGTAGTGAACTTTAAAGATGTGTGAATTATTATTATTATGATCTATTTATATAACGCCGAGTTAGCTAGGCTGCTCATGGGTGCTTATTTGAACATGTGAACAACTTATGAATATTATGATGTTGCTAACATCACCAGGGATGCTTGTGTGAAGTTTGAGTCTTCATATCAGTCACAGTGGAGTTATTTGGCAATTGTCATATCAGTTTTGTTGGAAACATTCACATCATACTTTGTGTCACCAATCACTCCCCAAGCCTACCCCAGCTGGACTACAATGAGTACCAATCAGCTGCAACCCCATTGTTTCTACAGCAGGGCAGATCTTTTTCTGTCAATCAACACACTGGCCACAGCAGTCTATCCTGTGTCTCTGTTGAAAGCAAAAACTTTCAAGGTCGGATTGACTCTACACTTATAAGAATATTACGTGATGCTGGGATTTCTGTTAGCAAGAAAACCAAGAGAGGTCGTCGAGCGGGTAGGAAAATTCCTCGGAAAATAACAATCTGTGAAAATGTCTTCCCCGATTCCGTCAGAACTAACTGTTGTCATGGGATTAACCATAGTAATCTCATTCAGGTTCATCCTACAAAGCCTCCAGCATTTCTTAAAATGTGCCTCTGGAATGCTCAGTCATCCAGAAACAAACCTATTGACATATTTGATATGATTATTGACGATGACATAGATGTGCTTATTCTAACTGAAACGTAGCTAAGGAACACGGGTAATGAAGTTAAGATAGCTGAAATGACACCAGTGTCCCATTCTCTCCTACACTTCCCTAGACTCGATGCAAGTGGAGGTGGAATCTCAATTCTCTACAGGAAATCCCTCACTGTTCGTCGTAGTGACTCAGGAAACAGTTCTAAATCCTTTGAGAACATGAATGTTGTGATAACTTCTGGACAGGCTACCTTGACTTTCTTCCAGAGTTATTTACCCTCTTCGCAACACAGTCCAAAAACTATACAGTAATTCTTGGCGACTTTAATGTGCACTTCAACACTCATGAGAAGTTCGAGGTCAAGAAATACATTCAGCTACTGAATACTTATTCCCTTACCCAGCATGTGTCTGTCGCCACACACAAATCTGGCAACATTCTCGACTGGATTATCACACACAGCAGCTGCAGTAGTATCAAAGAAGTTGAAGTCATCGATCGCCAGATGTCTGACCACTTCAATGTCTTCTTTACTATTGACTTAGTTAAGCCAAACAACAAGCATTCAATCTTGATGTGTCGAAACATCAAGAAGATTCAGCCAGATAGTTTCAGACTTGACTTGGTTAATTCAAACCTCCTCACTGATCCTCCCCCTGATGTTGAGGACCATGTTGAGCTCTTCCACGACACCCTCACATCTCTTCTAGACAAACATGCTCCGGCAGTTGAGAAGAATGTGATACTCCGTCCTCATGCTCGATAGTATGACGAGTCGATTCGTCGCTCTAAGACACAGCGGCGCAGAGCAGAGCGTCAGTGGCGGAAGACACGCCTGGAAATTCACAGGCAGATATATCAACAGTGTCGAAATGCTACCACCTCTTTAATCATCTCCGCTAAAAGGAAACATTGTCTTCACAGTATAGAGAATAGTATGGGGAAACCTGCTTCCCTGTACAGGTTTATGAATACCCTGCTTGGTAAAGGAGGTGATGGCGATAGAGTACCTCCCGGACAAAGTCACATGGGACTTGCAGATTCCTTCAACTCATTCTTCATTTCAAAGATTGATACCATTCGACAAGGACTTTCAGCCAAGAAAGGAAGTTGTTTCAGTGAATCTCTCTTCACAGGCGATCCACTAACACAGTTTGCGCCCTTCACTCCAAGGACATTGAATCAATTATCCGCTCTTCAAAGCCTACCACCTGCGACTCTGACCCCATACCAACTAAACTTCTGTTTCAATATCTTGACTTGTTGCTGCCAAGCATTACCAAAACTGTCAACTCAAGTTTGGAGAGTAGTGTATTTCCAAACAAATTCAAGCATGCTGTAGTCAAACCTCTGCTAAAGAAACCTGATCTTGACTCTCAGAATCTTCAGGACTTTCGACCTGTCTCAAATTTATCCTTCATTTCCAAGATAATTGAGAAGGCTGTGCATGTCAGACTCAAAGACCATCTCTCTAAACATCTTCTGCTTGATGAATTCCAGTCAGCGTATCGGCAATACTATAGTACGGAGACTGCCTTACTGCAAGTGACGAATGAGCTTCGTTGTGCTGTCGATGATGGTAGGATTGCTGCTCTAGTGTTGTTGGACCTCTCTGCAGCCTTCGACACAATCGATCACCATAGACTCTTGTCCAGGCTCAAACAACAATACGGACTTGAAGGTCATGCCCTTCAATGGGTGACGTCCTATCTATCTGACCGACAGCAATCTGTTGTCGTTGGAACTGAGAGATCAAAGGCACTGTAATCACATGTGGGGTGCCACAGGGATCAGTCCTGGGTCCAGTCCTGTTTGTGTTGTATACCGGATATGTCGGAAGGATTACTACAGACCACACAGTTTCTCACCATGCATACGCTGATGACACCCAGCTCCTGAAAGCATTTTATCCAGTCAGATCTCTCCACGTCTCTTCAGTGCATCGCTGAATGTACGCAGGACATCAAGTGCTGGATGACAGGAAACATGCTTAAACTTACTGACACAAAAACAGAAGCAGTTCTCAGTGGTACAAAGCAACAACTTAGCAAGGTCAAAACCGACTTCCTTACAGTCGCAGACGCAGACGTCAGTTTCTCTGATGTTGCTAAAGATTTGGGTGTCCATATCGACTCTTCCTTGACTCTGGATGCTCATGTTAACCGCCTGAGCAGGACCTGCTACTTTCACCTAAGATCCATTGGTAACATTCGGCAATACCTGACAACTGCTGCAACTCAAGCCATCTAGGCTTGACTACTGTAACAGCATCCTTTCAGGCCTCAGTTCTAAACTCCTTGATAAGCTTCAGAAGATCCAAAACACTTCCGCCCGCATCATCGGCAAGACTTCTAAACGTTCCCATATAACTCGGTGTTGAAAGAACTGCATTGGCTACCAGTTAGGGCCAGAATTGACTTTAAGATCCTCTGTCTGACATACAAGTGCCTCCATGGTTTGGCTCCCTCCTACTTGTCTGAACTCTTACATCCGTATGTCCCCGCACGCAACTTGCGCTCAAACACACAAAATCGACTGGTCATCCAATCCTACAAACTGAAATCCTTTGGACACCGATCGTTCTCTTACTCTGCACCTGTTGGATCGGTCAAAGTTGGTAAAAGACCATTCTCACATGATCTGTAATGGGATTTCCCAGATCTTTGCTGAGGTGAGGTGAGGTGAAATTGGGTTTAACGTCGTGCTTGAGAATATTTAGCTCATATGACGACGTGCATGCGTGTGTATGTGCGGCTGCTAGTACTAGCCCAGACTGAAGCTGGTTTTATAGTGCTAGCCCACTGAGATACCATGCCGCAGTGAAGCATGAATACCCCACTCAGACACATTATACTGACTCCGAGCCGACCAGTCCTTGTTGTACCCATTAATGCTGAGCGCCAGGCAGGGACCAACAAGTACCATATTTTAACGTCTTTTAGTATGACGCAGTCGGGAATCGAACCCGCGACCTTCCACTCTCTGGACGGACGCTCTAACCACTACACCATGGAGGCGGTCTCTTTGCTGAGAATACGAAGATATGATTTTAATGAGATCAGACATTCAACCCAAACAGTTGCAGATGATGTGATGACAGATTTGATTGCAATGTGACAGACATGGGGAAGTATATGAATCTGGTCCAGATAATCAAGTGACTGGATATTATCAACAACAATCCAAACTATCTGGTATGATACACAAATTTTAATTCAGAATTGGTGATGATAGAAATTAAAGAGTCATGATGCAAATAAAAAACAAATCTCTTATTGTCCATTCTGTACAAAACGAAATCTTCAGAAAAAACAAAACGCAACACATTTATCATTCTAATGAAAGTGAAAATATTCAAGTACGGTTTCCTTCAAAATCAAATGCTGAAGAGTTTGGTTATCATAACGGATAAACAAACATCTCCTTTTAACAGTATACTGACTGAATAAGATACAATAACAACCACTCATGTAATAAGCCTTCCTCCCAATACCAAGAGACTAGCCAATATGAGCATGTAACATTTCTTGCAAGAGTGTGAAATTCAAAACCATTTGGCAAAATGGGATAGTATCATAGTGAAAGTGGTTTCCCAGTTGATATAAAACCTTCAGTTTGATGCAAAACGCTCAAACAATTTCAGAAAAAAAAGAGAATGAGCAACAGAAACCAAAATAACTAAAACAAACTGAAATAGCATATAATGTTACAGACATCAATGTTCAGTGTGAGTGAGTGAGGTTTAACATCTTTTTTAACAATATTCAAGCAATATCACAGCATGGGGCACAAGAAATTGGCTTCACAAATTGTACCCATGTTGGGAATCGAACCCAAGTCTTTAGCATGATGTGCAAACGCATTAACCACTGAGCCATCACCACTGCCCCTCAAGGTTCAGGCTGGGATTACATCTAACTCAATACAGGTATAGGACTTTCATTTGACAGTGTTCTTGAATCAAATTAATAACTCCTACTTGACATTTTTCATCTGTTTTTTATTACAGACAGCAAACTATATTAGTGAAACAAGTTTGCTAAGGTTTGGATTGAGTGAATTGCGTTAAATGGCACTTTAAACAATATTTCAGTCAGCAAACTCAAAGAGTAATGTGGGAAGAAAAACAAGGATCCTTTATGTTCACCCCTTTGATGAAAACCTTGAGTGTGGGGTACTGCTTTGAGAAAACATCAATCATAACAGCCATGTGGGTCAGGGAAACGAACCAACAAACAGCTGATTCTGGCATGATTAAGGAATGCTGTTATGCACAGTAAACTGCAGCATCAAACAGGAGTCCACTCATGCCCCGTCAAAGATCTGGAAACTTGAAACTGTCTTCGAACATATATGAATGAGGCATTGATTGTTTTCACAACAATCTATTATAAAATCTTAATACAAGTCTCATTTAATACACACAGACACTATTTAACCAAACAAATAAACATTATTTTTTTGCATTTGCTTGACTGTGGAGAAAATACTTTTCACAAAACAACAAATTCAGAGACATAATCCAATATGTCTAATGCAAACATTTTACCTAACCAACTCAGTATGTCATCCAGATTTTCCCATTTTTGTACGATACTTCAACCTGATGCTTGGAACACATGCTATTAGAATGAAACATCCTGGTATCCATGTCAAAATGTTTGACATGTGTAAAGAATCATCCACAAGATACTGGGGGTGAGACTAAATGACCATGAAATTGTACCAATGTCTTGCAGGCCATTGTGACATCACAATCAAATGAAATCACAAATCTGTCTGCCACTGGAGCTGGTTAGCTGCAGCTTTAGATTCAAGACCTAGGTTATTACTGTTGATGGTTTTCTGTTGTAAATGTTGGAAGAATGATTTTGGATGAGTGAGTGAGTTGGGTTTTGTGCCGATTTCAGCAATATTCCAGCAATATGACAGCCAGGGACACCAGAAATGGGCTTCACACGTACCCATGTGGGGAATCGAACCCGGGCCTTAGCATGACAAGTGAACGCTTAAACCAGTAGTGCCACCCCACTGCCCTGATTTTGGATGAGATGTCTTTTAATATGGAATACATCAAAACTGGTCTGACTTTAAAACTTTTCCCTGTCTGCAGTCTCAAATTTTATTTTGAGTTTAAAAGGCACTGTTTAGAGCTCAGAAAAGGGCTTTAAAGTCTATGTAGCACTTGATTAGTCTCTTCATGTGCACCTGGTTCTATTGGGTGTAAAAGAACAGCTGCATGTAGCTTTTTCAGTCATATAAAAATAAATCAATAAATATACGTTCTCTTCCTTAGCACATTCTAAGTTTTTGTAGTTCTAAGGAACAAAGAAATAAGGATAGCTTTTGTATGAAGATTAGATATTTTTGAAGCTACACCTCAAAAAACACATTTAACCCAAAGATATGACTCAGGTTATATATTTAGGTGAGTGAGTAAGTTTAGTTTTATGCAACTTTTATCAATATTCCAGCAATATCACGACAGGGGACACCAGAAATGGGCTTCACACCTTGCACCCATGTGGGGAATCAAACCAGGACCTTCAGTGTGACCACCAAATGCTTCAACCACTGGGCTACCCAACTACCCCTATACTTCCAGGGATTGGGATAGAGAACTTTGACAATGGGCCATTTTCAGCATTATTAGCAATTTTCTGAATTTAGAATGAGCCCAAACCCTTGTATCAGTAACTTCAAAATTTTAATGGGCAATTTTTTATTCAAATTTGCAAAATGAACCATGGCCCCTGCCTTTCCCAATCCCTGTACTTCCCTCAAGAATTGCACATTGCAAACTTTTTATTTAATTAATTTTTCAAACTTGTTTGAGCTACCACTAAGAAATCAAAATTTAGATCGCTAAGTAAGGCTTTCCAACACCAGTGTTATACATGTTCCCGAAAGTAGAAGTTATGGCACTGTTATTAACAAAATAAGTCACAATTATCATAAACACTGTAGAATGTCATGAGGTTACAAACAAAGATGAAAATGATTTAATGTTGTACTGAGATTCAGGATGATTGACATCTGGCACTTTTCACAAAGTGATCCACATTCTTCCTTCAAGATGAAAGCACCAACAAATGTCAATCGCACATACACCGATATTTACACCTTTTCTCTTCACATACTCGCTGCAATCTAAACTTGGATTAAATCCTATCTTTGGCCACATCATGAAAAATCAGTTTTGCAAACTAAACCTATTATATACATTCATATTCAGGGCAAAGGATGTAACAACATAACATCAGCAATAATATATGCACATGAACAAGTCCAATCTTGGAAATCCTATCAATCAAATGTTTCAACATTTCCACCACTTTTTCGTCTCATACATGCTCCAATTAATTTCACATTCATCTCAGTTTCACAATTATTTTCAACTTCACACTTTTCTCAGTTTCACTTAATTTCACATGTTTCGCAGTTCCACAAGTATGTTATTAATTTCACATGTTCCTCAGTTTCACACATATTCATATTACTACTTTTAATTGTTTCTCAGTTTCAATATTAGAGGTCTTCAGGTTCACATAGCTGAAACTTTCTCCCTATTACTGCCAGTAAACCTTTCTTCTCTCAGCACTACATCCCTTCCTGTATTATATCAGATAGTTTTTAAGACTTGGCAATACCTTAAAGCAATACATGAATGCCTACTTGTTCAGAAGACAATAAATTCACCTAGGGGACTGAAATTTTTAAAAAAACTACAAGAACAATGATCATATATTCATAAATGACATGAATATATCAATAACAACCTTGTGGAAAGCATTTCAGAAAATATACAATCTTCTTCCGTCAGATGTTCTGACAACTCATGATTAGGTCTATCAGTGACAGTGACCAGGCTAGCTATTCTCGAAACGTTCGTAGCCCTACAAACTTCTTAAGCCCATTCTTAACACTCTGGCTATGATCAAAGTTAAGAATTCTTAGGGCTACGAACATTTCGAGAATAAGGGCCAAGGTTAGTCCATTTATTGAAACACTTAACACATCCACCAATTCAGATGTAAAACATCAAGTCACTCCTGGACTGTGTCCGTCTCTTGCTAGTGTATGTTGCCATGGACATCCATGTTGTCCTACTCTGTGACCCGTTCATCCTCCTTCAGCTCTGTGTCTTCCTCTATTACAACATCAGCATCCAGTTCTGCTTGCTTCAAGCTGGCAGTTACTGCCAAGTCAAACCTGCAACCAAAGTAAGTAAGTTTTTTTCGTCACCTTTAGCAATATTCTAGCAACATCAGTGCTGGGGGTACCAGAACTATGCTTCACATATTGAACACATGTTGTGAATCAAACACAGGTCTTTGGGTTAAAGAGTGAAAACTTTAACCACTGGGCTACCCTACCTCCCTTCAACATGCAACAGTGAACAGATCAGAGACGGAATTCTCAGGCTCGTTCTCAAACTGTGCCATTGTTTGACACTTTGAAGCTAGGTTGTTGTTTTGAAACCTTTGAAAATTTGGAAAAGATACTTGTTTCCACCAACTGTACAAGTGAGTGAACTGAGTTTACATTGCACTCAGCAATATTCTAGCTATATGGCAGCAGTCTGTAACATGATGGAACAGACAATCCAGTGATTAACAGCATGAGCATCGATCTACACAATTGGGACACACATGTGTCAACTAAGTCAGCAAGCCTGACCACCCGATCCCATTAGTCATCTCTTAACGACAAGCATGGGTTACTGAAGATCAATTCTAACCCGGATCTTCACGGGTACCAACTGCACAAAGACAAGCAACAAGATTCATATGGCACTAGACAACAAGCTGTAGGCTGACAACTTTAAATAGCACCTAATACTGATAGAATCAACTAGGAAAATAGCATCGTACAATCAACAGATACGAGACATGCTTCTACTTACAACTCTGATTCCTCAGCAAGACTTGGGTCAATCTGAGCAAGGCCAGAATCTATGAGTTGCTGGTAGGCCAACTCCAATTGTTCTGTATTGATGTCATCACTGCTTTTCTGGTACAGCTCCACACATAGTGGCTCCAAGGACTGAGAAGGAAACATGCCAGACAATGTGTTAGGGTACAAGTAAACAACACCCAATTACACTTGAGAGTGGTCGCCATTCGTTATCACAAGTACTGAAATAGTTGAATGGTTGATGAAGCAATGAACACATGAAGTGAAAGAAAATTTGTCTGTCTATGACATAACCACTTTAATGAGGATTCAACTTTTTATCAAATGCAGTCATCTTGATAAAGAACCAAATCTGTTTGTCTGATGCACCCATCTTGGACCTAGCTGATACAGGTTACAAGGTGTTTCTTTCCCTGACACATCCACCTTATACAAGCTATCAAACCTGGCACACCCACCTTTGTACAGGCTATTAAACCTGACACACCCACCTTTACACTGGCTATTACACCTGGCACATCCACCTTTATACAGGCTATTAAACCTGGCACATCCACCTTTATACAGGCTATTAAACCTGGCACATTCACCTTTATACAGGCTAATAATCCTGACACCCCAACCTTTATACAGGCTATTCAACCCGACATACCCACCTTTACACGGGGTATTAAACCTGGCACATTCACCTTTATACAAGCTATTAAACCTGGCACACCAACCTTTATACAAGCTATTAAACCTGGCACACCCACCTTTATACAAGCTATCAAACCTGGCACACCCACCTTTATACAAGCTATCAAACCTGGCACACCCACCTTTATACAAGCTATCAAACCTGGCACACCCACCTTTGTACATGCTATTAAACCTGACACACCCACCTTTATACTGGCTATTAAACCTGACACACCCACCTTTACACTGGCTATTAAACCTGATACACCCTGCTTTATACAGGCTATTAAACCTGGCACATCCACCTGTATACAGGCTATTAAACCTGGCACATCCACCTTTATACAGGCTATTAAACCTGGCACACCCACCTTTATACAAGCTACTAGTTGTTTGTCTCTGAGCAGCTCCAGGTTCACTGTCATGCTGTTCTTACACCAGATCTGTGAGGCCCCTCCCGGAGGCTGCACCCCATGAAGGTAGCTCCGCACACCTTGACCTGCCAGCCCCCGGGCTGATGCTGTCAGGACACGCAACCTGTAACACAGCCAACACTGAACTGTCAATAAACCCAACATTTTCCAAATTCTTGTCGCATCACTCCCTTAGGATGCATTAATTCCCATATCAATTCTTTTATATTCATTCACTACATGCATCCAGTTATTTACACTGACATCTTGAAATGCAAATGCAGTCAACTGTTTCATTTTAGTGAGTGAGTGAGTTAAAATTTAAAGTCACATCGGCAGTATTTCAGCCATATTGTGACTAAGAAAGTTGTAAATTTATGGATGAATAAAAACAAATTTAGATAATATACTTACCTGTCTGAAAAGGACAGTAAAATAACTAGAATATCACAGTTATAAATGTAAAACTATACTATTCACACTTTGCTTAGAATCCAATCATGGATTCAACAGAAAACTATGATGTGGGCTCAAATTTGGTTTAAATATCAAAGTGTATTATAAGCATGGATCCTAGGTTTCAGTATGTCATTGCATCTTGTGGATCCCATACCTGCTGTTGACAGGTGTTGTGTACTTGTCAATGACTCGTTCCATGATTTGCAAAATGGCTGACTGGTGCCATGAAAGCCATTTTTATGGTTACTCATGTATCAGGTACATAGAGTGCACTTAAAGTGACTGTTTGCCTAAAGAGGGGTTACCATATTATAAATTATCTAGTTTTAAATGGATACAATTTCGAATTATGAACCTACATTTAAGTGAAGTTGTGAATTTTTGTGATCCCTAGCAAAGTGTGACATCTTAACTATGAAAGACAATACAATATAAAAACAGGCTATAGATTGCAAACTACTGAAGGTAGATCACCATACTAAGGACCATGGCGCTGTTTCATTTCGACAGTGTAGTTGAATGTGTTGGCTCCTTGTAAGCCTTGAACTAGTTATATCAATTTGAAAATAATACATACCATGATGCTTGCTTGTTGTTAAATCCCCCACTCATCAATATTCCAGCAATATCATGGCAAATAAACATCACTGGGCCAAACAATTCAGAGACTGACATAAGCAGTGATCAGTTGGCGCAGGATGAAATCCATTAACCAAGTAAGCTAGTCTGATCCTGATAGCCATCTCTTTGGATATGCATGAGTTGCTGAAGATCAGTTCTAACCAAGATCTTAGCAGATGCACCATTGTGTATAATTTTTCATAAATAGCTTTTTCGTTCTTTCCTCATGACTTAAATACCACTCACAAAAGTAACCATGAACAGACAAGGAGTGAGTGAGTGAGTTAGTTTAGTTTTGTGCCGCACTCGGCAATATTCCAGCTATATGGCGGCGGTCTGTAAATAATCGAGTCCGGACAAGACAGTCCAGTGATCAACAGCATGAGCATCGATCTGCGCAATTGGGAACCGATGACATGTGTCAACCAAGTCAGTGAGCCTGACCACCCGATCCCGTTAGTCGCCTCTTACGACAAGCATAGTCACCTTTTGTGGCAAGCATGGGTTGCTGAAGACATATTCTACCCCGGATCATCACGGGTCGAACAGACAAGGAAACAAACACACAGGACCTGACAATCAAACACAAACCTGTCCAGATAGACATATTCCACATTCCCGTAATCAACAAACAGGACGAGAGCTGACTGTGTGTCCTCGTCTCTGTCGATCACCAGGCCCCGGTACCAGCAGTCATCAAAGCTGAACTGGGCGCTACACATCTGGCCTGGTAGAACAGAACAAGCATGAACACCTTTACAGTAAGTCATAAATATGACACTCATATTCGTCTCTATGTATGTAAGAACACAAAATCTACATTATCATGATTCCAAATACATTTCCCTTGGTCACCAACTGGAAAATAAACGGTTATTTTTCAGTTCTTAATTTCTGAAGTATTTCAACACTTTACTGTACTACAGCATTCGATACAATAAGGTAAAATTCGAACTAACCTGTAGAGGTTTCAGATTCTTTGAATATATTCCTCCTTGGGGTACTTATAAGTATTTAAATGTCCATTTAAAATCCCTACGACAGTTGTAACAATATTTGAATAAAAATATTTAAAAAACAAAAACTACGTTTTGTCTTGTGAGACCACCCTTACAGGGCCCTCCGGCCCCCTATAGCCAAGAGCAGGTAACTCTAGACCATAACCTCGTACCTCACTTTCCATGCTGAACGAAGTCAGATAGAATGTGGGGAGGTGGGCGGGCGTACCTCAAGGAGGAATATATTCAAAGAATCTGAAACCTCTACAGGTTAGTTAGATTCTTTTTTATATATTCCTCCCTGGGGTACTTATAAGCATAAGACAGACTCCTAAAGACGGAGCTAAGGAGTGGCTTTCTGTCTGCATAAAACACCCCCCGACAAGAAGTGGAATTTCCCAAGCTAAATATAGCAGAAAAAAAACTCACTTACCCGGTCACATGTCCACCATAGCCAATCAGGCGGGGGCATGAGCCAGGGTCAGGGTCCAACATATTATAATTGCCCAGCGAAACCTCGCTAATGCAAACAAACGGGAAAACCCTCCCTCCCTCCCGTAATCAATCGGAAGTGAAGATAAGGTGTCCCGCAATAAGCCGCAAGAAACAAAATGCCTTAATACCTCGATTAAGCAAAGTTTCCAAGGCCAGTAAGTCCAGAGCAGAATGCAAAAGACATGGGAATAAAAACCATCACCACATAAAACCCGTCACCAAGGGGATATGTAAACAAGTTTTTTAAAACCCAACACCAGTGCTAAAAAATTGGCATATAATGGTTCATATCATTAAATCCTCGAAAGCTCAATCGGCTAGAAAGGTGGAACCATGCCCACTGGAGAGAACTGACTGACCGAACCGAGCACGCTCACTGGAGAGTCTGTCAAGTTGGTAATGACGGATGAAGGTACTCGGACGGCTCCAAATAGCCGTGGAGCAGATCTCCTCAATGGGCAGGGCTGCAGCGTAAGCTTTCGTAGTAGCAACTGCCCTAACCGAATGAGCTTTCAACCCTACAGGCGGGATACGCCCTGTGTGAGTATAGCTCATATGTATGGCAGAGACAAGCCACCGAGAAATGGTTTGCTTGGTCGCCGGAAGACCAGCCTGAACCCCGCCATAACAACAAAACAATTGGTTATCCTTACGGGTACCCCTTGTTCGTTTGATATAAGCCTTAAGAGTCTTACGGACATCTAAGACGTGAGCACGTCGTAGAGAGGTACCGGGCAGGGAAGGCTGAGTGAAAGCTGGGAGCTCAATAGGCACCGTCACATGGAAGGGACTATCCTTCTTAGGGCGGTAAGTATCAGGCAGCCGTATGCTAACTCTGTCTTTGTGAAAAACATTAAGCGCGGGATCGGCCGACATTGCGTGAATATCGCCAACCCGCCTGCCTGAAGTCACCGCCACAAGAAACGCCGTCTTCCACATCAACAGCTCGAGTGAAAGAGCCGACAGATTGTGAAACAGTGGACCGGACAGCCAATCAAGAACGATTGACAAATCCTACAGGGAACTAATCCGCCAGACAACCGGACGGATTCTGTCCACGCCTGCTAAAAAGCGCTGCACAAGAGGGTGCTGCCCCAAGAGAGCACTGTCAACAGGAATATGAAACGCAGAAATAGCCGTAGAATATCCTCGAACAGTTGAAGACGCTAGACCGGCGTCCAACCGAGACTGGAGGAATTCTAAGACAGAGACTAAATCTGCAGAAAAGGGATCAAGAATCCCCCTGTTGACACACCAGCGCGAATAACAGGCCCATCTATCCTCATATTGAACGTTTGTTGAATCCCTCCGCGAAGCCAGAATTGTGTTTGCAACTGGTGCAGGAATTCCGCTCGCACGGAGGCGATCCCTGACAGCGGCCACTGGGATTCGGGTGGGGCGCTCCGTTCTGGGATAGGAGGTCCGGTCGAAAAGGTAATAGAACAGGAGGCTGAGCCAGAAACCTGAGAATTACCGGAAACCAACTTTGTGCCGACCAAAGGGGTGCCAGAAGCACAAGTAGCCGAGCTGGTTGTGCGGTCAGCTGAGACAGGACTCTGGGAATCAGTGGTATCGGGGGGAACGCCCACAGTACCCTGTCCGTCCAATCTAGATGAAAGGCGTCGTTGGCTAGCGCTCTCGGATCCGGAATCCGAGAGCAAAACACAGGAATCTGGTTAGTCACCCCAGACGCAAACAGATCCACCTGGAACGACCCGAACAACTGGGAGATAATCCCGAATATCTCCCGGTCGAGCATCCACTCGTGTGGGGCTAGTATACGCCGTGAGAGTGCATCTGCACGGACGTTGTCTACCCCCGGGAGATAAACAGGCAAAACCCGTATGTTGAACTGATCGCACCATAGTAGAAACTGCCACGCCTCCTGAAGGAGTGACGGAGACACTGTGCCGCCTTGCTTGAGAATGTAAGACATGGCCGTTTGATTGTCCATCTCTAGACGAACCACACGGCCTTGAACAAACACCCGAAAGTTCTCGAACACCCTGCGGACTGCTCTCAGTTCTAACACACTGATGTGTAGGCTGACTTCCTGCTCCGACCAGAGGCCGGAGACTGAGTGCTCGCCCAGCCCCCCCAATCTGAACTGAGAGGGAAGGTGTCGGGGTGTCTAGAGAGATCCCCCTGGACAAATTCCCGACGTCCGTCCCCACTGCAAGTGAGGAATTAACCACTCGGGCGTCGTGAGAATAATCTCGTAGCTCTGCAAGTGGGACCACAGCTGAGCTAACGCTTGCTGAACTGGTCACATCCTCAGACGCGCACGCCAAACCACGTCCACTGTCGCCGCCATGTTACCTAGCAACCGAAGCCATGTTCGGGCCGACGCCTGGGGCGACTGGAGGAACTGTAACACAGTCCTCTGGACTTTGACGATACGGTCCGGAGCAAAGGAAACAATCCCTAGCTCTGTGTTGAATCTTGCCCCCAAGAATATCAGATCCTGCGTCGGAACGAGGTCTGATTTCTTGAGGTTGATAATCCAGCCCAGTGACACCAGAGTATCCATCACCCACAGTGTGGAGGCTCTGCTTAACTGAGGACCTAAGGCCCTGAGAAGCCAATCGTCCAGGTACGGGTAACAACACCTGCCCTGAGACCTGGCTAACTGAGCTGGGATTAGCATAAGTTTGGTGAACACCCTTGGCGCCGTGGAGATGCCGAAGGGGAGCACACAAAACTGGTAGCAAGTCCCGTCGAAGGAGAACCGGAGGTACTTCTTGAACTCGGGGTGCATTGGAACATGGAGGTATGCGTCTTTGAGATCGAGCCAATCCCCTGTCTCAACGGAGGAGATCACTGACCTGAGTGTCTCCATCCTGAAAGACGGCACCTCCAGTAACTTGTTCAGCCCTCTGAGATTCAGAATGGGTCTGAACCCTCCGTCCTTTTTGGTCACTAGGAAGTAGGTGGAGTAAAATCCCTCTCCTTGCTGACCCACAGGAACCACCTCGATGGCTGCCTTGTCCAGTAAGGACTGAACTTCGGCATGGAGTACGTCCGCCTTTTCCCGGGAAGTCGGCACGGGAGTGTGCCGAACCCCGGAGAAGGACGGAGGATCTCGCCTCCACTGTGGCAAATGGCCATCCCTGAGCGTGGAAAGGACCCAGGATTTGTGGTGGCTGCCTCCCACTCCCGAAGGAATAGGGACAACCGGCCGCCGACAGGGACATTTGGCATGAGGCAGTGCACCCCCACAGTCGGCAAGTCTCCGCTTGCGTGAGTGGGGGTCAATAAGGGCTCTGGGGAAGGAATCAGCAGGAAGCCGGGGCTGGCTTCCCTCTGCCCCGAAAAGGCTGCTGCGACTGAGCAGGCCTGCCCTTGCCTCTTGCGCGCTTGCTCCGCTTGGCCTGCAAAGGGGCAGTCCACTTTGCAGATTCCTTTGCCGGGGCAGAAGGATAAGTGGAAGCGAGCGGGGAAGGCCGTTGGCGAGGAACGGAGGGCTGCTCCAACAAAGGCTTAGAGTCTTTGAAGGTAGACACGGCCTCCGCGGCCTCCCTAACACCCTGCAATGCCCCAGGGAACAGGGAGGACCCCATTGTGTAAGGCAAAGACAGGAGCGCCTGTTTCGTGGCCGGCGAATACCGCGCCATGGACAACCACAGCCGTCGCAAGCCCATAACGGCACCCATCATCTGGCTGGCACAGCACCGAATGCTATCCCGAGCTAGATGAGAGTGGACACAAGCGCTTTGATCCACCAGCTGTCCCTGCAGAGCAGACAGGTAGGCTGAGTGGACGGCCACTTTTAATTGCTGGGCTGCGCACCGGTAGCACTCCTCAAAGGACCGATACGCAGACCTCAGCATAAGTGAATTGTTAGGAAAAGGGGGGAGGCGCCTGCCCTGCCTGGCCGAGGCCAGGGAAGACGAGGACGACCCCCCTAGAGTGACGGAAGCGAAGACGCACTCGTCCACCACTGGTACCTCTCCCAACTGGTACCGCTAGCCGACGTTGGGCAAATCAAACCGCGTGCGGGCACCAGTCAAGAGAGGATCGACCACCTCACTCACCAGTGATGGCAGAATGCGGAGGCGTGCCGGGGACCGCTCGACGCGAAAGCCTCCCCCGGGAGCCGATACTCCGTGGGATCGGGTGCCTGTACGGGAACGGCCACCTGAGGCAGGACTTCGGCGATCTTATCCCGAACCTGCCGCAGGGACGAGCCAAAGGAGTACGGAACTCCCACCTCCGACTCCTCCCTCCCTTCATCATCCTCCATATCAATCTCGGTACAATCCCCGGCCGCCGTACTCTCATACTCCTGTGAGACCGCCGAGGATACACCAGAGGCTGAACAAGAAAGACTCAAAAGGTCAAGAGGTGCCAGAGGGAATGAGTCGCCCTGCCGGGTGGAATCCACGCCAGGTCACCGAGGTGCCCGAGAGGAACCTGCCGCGACTGGTTTCCAGGGCAACCCAGACTGGCTGCCAGGCGCCGAGGTATCCCCGAGCTGGTCGGCGCCTAGGCGACCGCCAGTCAGGGCACCAGGCGAAGACAGGGGTAACCCTGCATCGCCGGCGCCAGGCGCCTGTGACGGACCTGAGCTTGAAGCTAGGTCGCCACAAGGCGCCGAGGGCACGCTATCACCACGGCCTCAGCCGGGATCAAGCTGCCCGGGGGGAGGCGCGTTCTCCGCAGCCAACCATTACAACACACACACACACACACACACACACACACACACACACACACCCTTACTTGTGTGAACGGGGGATCCTGAGCCCAGATATCACCCCCCGCCCGAAGCAGGTTGCTGTAGAACAGCTTGTCCACCCGCCTGGACTTAATAGTTTTAGGCGTGAAAATCTCACACGCCGGACAACCCGTTTCTTCATGATCAGTCTGCATGAGACACCTCAGACACACCTCGTGCGTATCCCTCACGGGAATGGCAGCGAGGCACGAAGTACAGGATTTAAACTGCAACAAGTATAAAACCTGTGCAGTAAGCTACCCCATACATACATACATAAATATATGAAAAAACACGNCCATGGGCTTACATTACTAATGTGTATATCAACAATCGTAGCCTGCAGTTGACAATAACAAGTTATACGCACTGCAACATAACTAAAAATTACGACTTTTAGCGTATGATAGAAAATGCTAGCAGTGGAAATAACGCCCTACATGTAAGAACATATAAATAAAATTACTATACCCACACGTAACATTGAAAAACCACATGGGAAGCCAATGAACAGTGAGGCTAGCGAAGGGACCTGTCCGCCATCTTGACACGCACTCGGCGAGTTGACCGCGACAGGTACCAAGTTACAACTAGAAATTATGAATGAAAAAGTTCAGAACAAGTCTCCAAATCGCCCATGCAGGGAAAAAAGAGAACCATACATACAGTAGCTGTTTCTGAGACACTCATATTCGTGTTGGGAAATTAAAACTTCTTGGAAGTGGACCCACGTCTTGCCAGTAAACGACAGCATGGAAAGTGAGGTACGAGGTTACGGTCTGGAGTTACCTGCTCTTGGCTGTAGGGGGCCGGAGGGCCCTGTAAGGGTGGTCTCACAAGACAAAACATAGTTTTTGTTTTGTAAATATTTTTAGTCAAATATTGTTACAACTGTCGTAGGGATTTTAAATGGACATTTAAATACTTATAAGGACCCCAAGGAGGAATATATAAAAAAGAATGAGCATCTTCATTTCGTGGGGTCCTATTATCAGCGGAATACAAATCAATTTGACCTAGTCATCACATTAGTTATTCCCTTCGAGGAACATTTACTGACAACAGCTGCAGCCTTGCTGGATACATTCAGGTTCTGAGGTCTTCAAAAATCCCTGAGAGGTTAAATGGGTAGAAACTAAAGATTTTTTTTAAGTACTTTACAAACAGAAGCAGTTCCTTCCGATCCATTTCTAGAAGGCCCCCAGAAAGAATTTAATCCTCCATGCATTTAAAACAAGATACTTCAGCGAACATGCCCACAACAACTTCATACCAGAACAAAGTATCTGACCTCAAGCAAGCATAATGAACCCAAAGCCGCTTCCACTAGTACTGTCGTGATATCACATCTTTATTTCAGTGAACTCTGAATGGCAGACATACAACTTACCCCGTGCTGGAACTTTGATGAAAGATTTCCCTATGGCTTCTGCCTGTGCCAGCTCGGCGGACATCTTGACTAGAGCTGCCAGGTCATTGTTTACCTGCAGTGCTCGCTTCACCACCTTGTCATCTATATCACAGCATTCCTGAGGAACATGCTGGAACCATACCTGAAGCAAGGCACACAGTCTTCAGTTTCAGATACAATCAGATGCTTTAATTTCACAAACCTCAAACAGCAGATTTCCCAATTATCAGAATTACACTCTTCTTGTTGAATGTTTTTTGCGAAAATGTATTTAATTGACGAAAAGATATATGTTTTTGTCTCTCTGTCTGAATTTTAATGAATTTTCTTCAAATTTCGTCGAATTTCTAGAACAATCGTATTGACGTAGTTTGAGCCTAAAATTAGTAGAGATTGGCATATCTGGATAACCTTCAACATCAACCACCAGTCTGGTGCAAGTTGTTATTTACCTGCAATGTTGCCGAGTGTGACAGTGTGCAAACACAAACAAATCAGACAAAACAATCACCCAAACACCAAACTCTGATAAGCAGCAAAACAAAGACCTCCCCTCCAACAGTAAACAAACCCCGCAGTCTTTATGATACATACAGGGTACCTGACCTCTTTGAGAGGCATATGATAATGGCATCAGAATCTACTCCGAAACATCACTCCTCATTGTACAAAAAGTGTGAGTGAGTGAGAGTGAGTATTATGTATTATGGCTTTTATTATTCCAATGGGCATCACACATTTTACCCACGTGGGGAATCGAACCCACATCTTCAATGTGACGAGCGAATGCTTTAACCAAGCATACAAACAGAAGTTCATCCATACTGGTATATCTTATCCTTACTTTTATTCTTTGGGTATGAGTATGCGTACCAGGGCCTAGATTTTCAAAGCTCTCTTAGAGCTAAGATAGTCGTAAGTGCCATACATTAACTTACGACTATCTTAGCGTTAAGAGAGCTTCGAAAATCTAGGCCCTGAGCTTTCTACGAGAAGACAACTGAATGTGGTGACACAGGCAGATTATTTGAGAGCCATATAACATAATACCGGAGGCTATTTCATATTCTGTGGCCAAACAATCCAGACAGATTTCTATACTTACAATATTTGGCAGTTCCATATGGGTGACGACAACAGGGAAATATTCTCCAACTGGTGCTAGGCAAGGTTGTTTATATGGATAGCGCTTCTGTTCAATAAGGAACAAACAGGTGTCAATACAACTTGAACAATCGTACTAATCTCCAGGATAAAACCAAAACTGCCTCTTACAGTGGATACCTATTCAAATCAGTTCTACCAAACATCTCCTTTTCAGTTACATCAATAACAATAATAATAGTCCATTTATACTGCGCATTTATCCATGCACATTGCATACTCAAAGCGCTGACATATTACCCCTGGTCAACCAGTACAGAACACTTCCTGTGGAGAATACAACCGGTTGCCTGTCAGGCGCTCAAGGTTTAAATTCAGACTACCATCGTATCATACAAGGAGCCAAATTCACTGCTGGGTGGACAGAGGCAATTTTGAACCAACACATATTTCCTAAAGTCAACACAGGATCTATTCATAATAACATTCAAAATAAAATGATTTTTTACACTTTTCCTCAGTATATTTTACAAATAATCATACATCATGGAAACCCACGTGAGATGGAAACCCATCTCCAAGTGATGCAAATTGAAAAAGACAAACCATACAAAGTTCATCAAAGGAAGACAATTCTGCTATCTTACCTGAATAACTTCAGATATTTTGTGACTTATTTCATACTCTGTTGTAAGATCATCAGGCTTTGTAGCCGCCCCCATCTGTATGAGCGTCTTGCCAAGATCGGACCCATCGGGTAACTTGAGCCGTATCTCCAGCGAACTGTCTTCCTCCGCCTTCTGCAATATGTCATTGTCAACCAACTCAGTACAGTATTTCCATTGCAACCAAACACGTAGTCAGTTATCTTGACATAAGTGTTTATTTAAATGAATAAAATCTATCAACCAAATCAGAAGACAGGGTACATATTCCTGATCTGATACCTCTAAAAATGTCACTGCAAGGTTACAAATGTGCATGAGGGGAGTTCTTTAAAGCAGCATATTGTTTACACACTTGCAGCTATGTTCCATCTATATGACGTCAAGTTTTAAAAATCAAATTGAGAAACAGCAACAGCCAGTTCTTCCCTTTGTATTTCGTATTATGCTCCAGGAAGTGCAGGCGTCGTCGTACAGGTTTTCTATGTTCGAGAAACAACCGGCGAACACGATTCCTTCCAGAACTTCGAGTGGGAGTCGTTCCTGGGGTGTGTAGTCTATCGCTTTCTTTTTCCAGAGAACGCATTTCTTGCTGTCGGCGCAGTGGTCGATGCCGCCACACTTGCATGTAGAGTTGTCGGGTCCGAAGAGAGCGGGGAGTTCCGATAGAGCGGCGAGGCAGTCGGTGCATCGGTTGTGTCTGTCCTTGGGGTCCGGGTAGTAGTCGTCGGCGAGTTTGCCTGCTGCGGGTCGAAATTGGTGGGGTGGGTAGATGTAGACGAAATCGACTATTTTGCCGTCTTCTACGAGTGGGCGAAAGCACAGCAAATAGAGTTCGAGAAACTGGCGAGGGATCTGGTAGCGCTCGTAGAAGGTGTGTCCCGATTGCTCCAGGATTTGTTTCTCTTGGTCGGAAAGCAACATAGGGCGACACTTCTCCAGCAGGATCTCGAAGGTCTCGAAGACTTCTGCCATGTTGGGAGTTCTCGTCGTCTGTGGATTGGGGTCTATACCATCTTGGATTCGTGTATATCTGGCTTGCAATATGTGGTACTTTTTCTTCGCTTCCCGAAGGGACAAACGACCCGATCGGATCTCGGTATAGGCTTCGCGCGAGAGCTTGGTTCCTAGCATTTTTGCTATATCCATGCACCCGCATTGCTCTAATTGGGGTGCACTTGCTTTGGGAGATGAAAAGTGGTCTTATCGAAGTTTTGAGCAAAACATTCATTTTTGGGTGGCTGTGGGAGAGGAATTAGCTAGTATGGAAGCTTCTAAGCAGGGTGCACCTTTTTCTCCCCTCTACTATACTACTGCTACTCAGCAGCCCAATTAGCAATCAGCTACTCAGCAGCCCAATTAGTAATCAGCTACTCAGCAGCCCAATTAGCAATCAGCTACTCAGCAGCCCAATTAGCAATCAGCTACTCAGCAGCCCAATTAGCAATCAGCTACTCAGCAGCCCAATTAGCAATCAGCTACTCAGCAGCCCAATTAGCAATCAGCTACTCAGCAGCCCAATTAGCAATCAGCTACTCAGCAGCCCATCAGCAATCAGCTACTCAGCAGCCCAATTAGCAATCAGCTACTCAGCAGCCCAATTAGCAATCAGCTACTCAGCAGCCCAATCAGCAATCAGCTACTCAGCAGCCCAATTAGCAATCAGCTACTCAGCAGCCCAATTAGCAATCAGCTACTCAGCAGCCCAATCAGCAATCAGCTACTCAGCAGCCCAATTAGCAATCAGCTACTCAGCAGCCCAATTAGCAATCAGCTAGCTCAGCAGCAATTAGCAATCAGCTACTCAGCAGCCCAATCAGCAATCAGCCAAGCTACTCCAGCAGCAATCAGCTACTCAGCAGCCAATTAGCAATCAGCTACTCAGCAGCCCAATTAGCAATCAGCTACTCAGCTGCCCAATTAGCAATCAGCTACTCAGCAGCCCAATTAGCAATCAGCTACTCAGCAGCCCAATTAGCAATCAGCTACTCAGCAGCCCAATTAGCAATCAGCTACTCAGCAGCCCAATTAGCAATCAGCTACTCAGCTGCCCAATTAGCAATCAGCTACTCAGCAGCCCAATTAGCAATCAGCTACTCAGCTGCCCAATTAGCAATCAGCTACACAGCAGCCAAATTAGCAATCAGCTACTCAGCTGCCCAATCGGCTATCAGCTACCCGATCAGCTACTCAGTTCCCAAATCAGGTATGAGCTACTCAGTTCCCAAATCAGGTATCAGCTACCCAAGCACTTCCCAAGGACACTGGAAGGTCTCCTCTACAGCTTACCATGATCTCTATCTGGCACTGGTGGTTTACAATCATGACGTGGACATGGTCCAGCACCGTCACAGGCCAAGATCCATCAGTGCTGGCCTGGAACAGACAAGTCTTCACAATAACATAGTCAAAGTATTATAAAGAATGTTTTTGTGTTCCTTGTAATCTGATGGCTGCCAGTAAGCAATGCCCATTGACATAAGACATCTTGGACCACAATGGTGGGTGACAGTTAGTGAATTTAGTTTTAACCACCAGGCTACCTATAATTTTGTCAGAGTCTGGTACAGCTTGCATTATGGTCTTTTTTATCAAACCTCCTGATTGGCATATATGCCTGAATTCCTGGGAAGAGATCACCTGATGCAGGAGAGCTGTCAGATCTTCACACCCAGAGGTTGGTTATAAAAGTGAAAGCCCTGATCTGAATGAGATCGTGGTTTCAGTGGTGGACAACTTACAGGGATGACGCCATGCAGGACACACTCCAGGCACAGCAGGGGCTTTTCCACAAATCTGGCCTCAGGAAGGCGGACAAGATCCACAGACTGTAGTTCGGAATTACCGTAATCACAATATTGCACCTGGAAGATGAAATGGGTTTAATTTTGGAACACATATATTTGAAAATTTCAAGAAAGCGGCACTTGCTTTGCACTGTCTTGTGACCCTCCTTCCAATAAGTAAGAGGTCTTTTAGAAATATTTAGACCATACTTTGTGAGTGTAGTTTTATGCCACTTTTAGCAATATTCCAGTAACATCACGGTGGGAGGCACCCGAAATGGGTTTCACACTTTGTACCCACCTGGGGAATCGAACCCGGGTCTTCAGCATGACGAGCGAACTCATTAACCACTAGGCTACCCGAACGCCCCTATTCCGACCATAACACGGCATAATAATAGCAAGAAATGGAATATAGAGAAACCAATACAAATTCTCGCAACATTAATAAAACATGCCCTAATTAATTAGAGGACCCTCAAACTAGTCCAATGGCAGATTAAACATGCCAACTCATTCTGCAGCAGACCAGATTTGAGCGTATTTTCCCCTTGGCGCAGTAAATGGACAGACAATTCAAAAGTCAAAATTTAGACTTATCACAGAAAATAAATCTGTTTCAGAAATGATATTTCTCAAAATGCACAAATAAAAGTCATATGTTTTGTTCCAAGCTAAACAGTGCTTTTGTCTATGGGATGATGCATAAATAGTCATAACTGCCTGTAACTTCTGCAAAGCAAAATGTGAAGAAGCATGATGAGAATAGCCTCTGTGATCAAACTGATCATTTTCAATAGTGTCCAATACAACATGAGACAGCAAGGTCACGATTTGATATGCATCACCTTACACAGGTGACAATACCATATACATCATGGCATGCATATTCACATAAACTGCATGACAATAATCAGGTGTGGTTTGGTTGTTGTTTAACGCTGCACTCAGCATTAAAAACGCTATTAATAATCTATTTAATCTGCATTAATAGGGAAAGAAACTTCAACCATTCATGACCGATCACTCCACAAATACATGAAGTATTATTAACTCCAGCCAACCTACTTTGACTTTGTCATTATTGAGTTCGACAACTCTGGCCCTGTACCAGAGGTCATCAGTCTTGAAGTAGGAGATACAAGCCTGGCCGTTCTGCCACCGGACTCGCTGGGGACTAGATTCCATGTACCTTGTCTGGATGTCATCTGTCATTGTCATCAACTCAGTCTCTGTGGTTGACAAAAAGCATGGTGTCCAATAAAAGATTACAAATTAATAATGTAAAAAAAGAATATCCCAAACAATAGAAACAGTGATTGTCAGAGAATGTTTGATATGCGACAGTTGGAGTGAGGGAGTGAGTTTAGTTTTATGCTGCACTCAGCAATATTCCAGCTATATGGCAGTGGTCTGTAAATAATCGAGTCTGGACCAGACAATCCAGTGATCAACAGCATTAACATCGATCTACGCAATTGGGAACCGATGACATGTGTGAACCAAGTTAGCGAGCGTGACCACCCAATCCTGTTAGTCGCCTCTTAAGACAAGCATGGGTTACTGAAGATCAATATTCTAACCCGGATCTTCACGGGTTTGTGACAGTTGGACGACACACATCCCCATCTGTTCAAGTGTTAAGAAGAAGCAGCTGGGATGTTTTTCCAGTAAAAAGCAAGTTTGTTTTAAGTCGCTTTTAGCAATATTCGAGCAATATCACAGCATGGGACACTAGAAATGGGCTTCACATTGTACCCATGGGGAATCGAACTCCTGTAAGAAGACCAAAACAATGTTATTGTGCAGAAAAATGCTCAGAGTGATAACAATTTTAACACTGCATTCAATTCAATGATGTAAACCTAAGCCGCTGGTTCTTTTAATGTCTTGTTTTCTGAATGGGAAAAGTAGGAACATTCTTATTCACATTTAGGGGTATGTCCATATGTACAGACAGACAGACAGACATATATACAGACAGATAGTGAGTGATTGAGTAGGGTTTTTAAGTTGCTTTTAGCAATAGTCCATCAATATCACAGCGTGGGACACCAGAAATGGACTTCACACATCGTACCCATGTGGAGAATCGAACCCTGGCCTTTTGTTGTGACGAGCGAATACTATAACCACTAGGCTACCTTACCGCCCTGACAGACAGACAGACAGGAAAATGAAGAAGAGAGTGAGTGAGTGAGTTAAGATTTTAAGTCACATTGGCAATATTTCAGCCATATGGTGACTAAATCAAGTTATAAATATATTAACAATTGAAGGTAAATTATAAAATTCTGTCAAAGAAGGACAGTAAAACAACTAGATTATCACATATATCAACATAAAACTAGTAATTGAATCTAAAATATGTTAACTATATATGACAATACAATATAAAAACAGGCTACAGATTGCCAACAACTGAAGGTAGATCACCACACTAGGGACCATGCGGACTTACAGTACATTTGCTTCCTGCATGGGCCCTAGCTGGATTTACACCATCCTTTCACCGCCTCCATGGTGTAGTGGTTAGAGCATCCGCCGAGAGACCGGAAGGTCGCTGATTCGATCCCCGACCGCGTCATACCAAAAGACGTTAAAATATGGTACTTGTTGGTCCCTGCCTGGCGCTCGCATTAATGGGTACAACAAGGACTGGTCGGCTCGGAGTCAGTATAATGTGTCTGAGTGGGGTATTCATGCTTCACTGTGGCATGGTATCTCAGTGGGCTAGCACTATAAAACCAGCTTCATTCTGGGCTAGTACAAGCAGCCGCACATACACACACACACGCATGCACGTCGTCATATGAGCGAAATATTCTCAAGCACGACGTTAAACCCAATTTCACCTCACCTCACCTACACCATCCCTTCAGCCGTAAGCAATTTAGATACATCTAGCCATACATTTAAAAAGACACATATACTACGATTTAAAATAGTGATGGGTTTGAATTTACTTTGAATGTTTGTGAGAAAATGAAGGAGATCAAGTTCTGCTGGAAACAAACTTCAGCTTCACAGAGCACAGGTGATCATGTAAGACATGCTTACCATCATCAAGGCACTGACAGTAAATGATTCCATTGAAGTCAACGTAGGTGGGTATCACAGTGAGAATGGGCGTCTCTGAGACAGGGTGTCGGGAGTAGTGCAGCACCTCACACTCCACATACGGTTCATCAGCCTTTTTCTCCAACGTTACAGTGGAGGTTGAACCATCCCCGGACTCTTGCTTTTTCCTGGGAATTCAGGAGGGTCAATACAATACAGACACAGAGGTTAATTCATCTCCCAGCACTGATTTTAACAAACAAGGAAACAAGCAAAAAAATTTAGATGCCTCTATTTCATTCCTGTCAATGAGTTCAAAGTAGAACAGTGTGGGGAAAGGATATCATCCATTGCTCCTCAAAATACAAAGTATTTTTCACCAAATCACTTTTTCTGTACTTCCTTCAAATGTTCAAGACAAAATAGACAATCATGTATCCTAATGTTTCATTATTTTTTAACATGGCCACAGTTTCTTTTGTAATAAATAAAGTAGACTGAAAAAGCTCAAAAGAAACGGCACTTAGAGAAATGGTGAGGGTGGGCAGACACAGCCAACAACCATTGAAAAAATCAATAGAGATAATGTAATTTTCTGATTAAAATTGATATTTTATACTTATCCTGACTCATGCTAAATGCTTGTCTCCTTCTTCTTGCGAATGATAGTGGAACACTTGAAATCCCTTGAAGTTCCCTTCTAAAAAGCGGACATAAAATCATCACTCACCCATGAGTAGTCTCCTTTGCCTCCTTTGGCGTCCTTTTTGGTCACATGACCAGCCATGTCTGTCACTCTCTCCGATTGTACGCCCGACAGCCGGATTTACAGGGAAATCCAGAGTGCCCTGAGAGGGGAGGTTGGGAGGGCTGACCTCATGAGTCAGCATAAGTATAAAATATAAATTTTAATCAGAGAATTAAATATTTTTCCTTATCCTGACTCATGCTAAATGCTTGCAGAAATCGGTGTCGGAATCGGTGTAGGGTCAGGCCACTTCCTGGATTCACTGGCTGCTGTTTTACGTCCTGTATTACCCCCCATGGGAACTTATGACGGCACTGCTGATGATTCTGTTCTTCCAACTTCCATCTGATGAGTCGGGGGGAACCACAACTTGTCAAATGTCTTCCGAAACTTCTCCTGACATTTTCGTGTGGAGTTTAGATATACCAATGGTAGATTAGTTATCTATTGCAACTCCATCTCTTTTGATGCGTGCATCAAGTGGAGATGTGACCCTTCTTCATGTACGAGTAAGTCCTATACATGTACAGGATATCATTCATGCTAGCCTGTCCTAGACGTGTGCATGGACTTTAACCATTTGCTCTCCAGAGCGTTGGTTTTCACAAGTCACGTGATAAAAGGGTGAGATTTTTCTCAGCACCTTTGTGGAACCATTAGGTGTTGTGCTACAACAAGTGGCCCAAACTGGTGAATGCCTAAGACATCTTCAGTGGCAATGTCTCTGAGGTAGTTGTTGGACACCGTGTCCAATTTCCAAAAGCAGCCCTCCATTATTGTTGTAATCGAGCAGTTTCCATGCAGAGCAAGTGTAGACGCCAAGGCTCTGACTTCTTGGGGATTGGAGGCTCGTGGAGGCTCAAGTCCTGCTGCTTTGTAGGCCCTTAGTATGACGGCTCTCATCCAAACTGATATAGTTGTCTGTGAGACTTCCGTGGGCGTCTCAATGGATAAGGGGATGAATAGGCGCTTGAATTTTCGTCTCCTTATTTTTGTCCTTTGTAGGTAGACTTTCAATGCTCTGACAGGGCATAAGGATAAATCCTGTGTATCCTGTGGCCAAGGACTGTAGAAAGTGCTGGGATGTGGAACTGTCTGTCAGGCTGGCTGGGCAGTTGGTTCTTGGCAATAAAGTCCCATCTCAGTCCAAGATGTACGAGGTCACGATGTCTTGATTCAAATCGTGTTCGTTCAAAGTCCAGAGCATGTATTTCTGACATCCGTGCTGCTGTTGCTAGGGCGATCAGAAACAGCGTTTTCTGTGTCAGTAGTTCAAAGGATGTCCGTTCTAGAGGCTCGTAGGCGTCAATGCTGAGATGTTGTAGAACGACGTTGAGATCCACAGGAGCCTTGAATTTATTTTGTTGGTCTTCCAACTTGAACAAGCTTAGTAGTGCGAGTATCTCTTGTACTTTGGTCAACTTGACACCCATCTTCATGGTGATAACTGTGCTGAGAGCAGCCAGGTACGTTGACAGTGTTGAACTTTTTAAGTGTCTCGTCTGTCGCAAATGACACAAGTATTCCGCCACTTGAGGATGGGTTGCTTTCACCGCGGTAAAGCCTTTCCTCGTTGCATACTGTTCAAATCTCTGCCACTTGTCGTCGTGCAAGTTGCAAGTTGATCTATGTAGAGCTAGTGTTAATGCTTTCGCTGCTCTTCGAAGTTCTTGTATGAGGATACCGCGTGAGAGCGCGGAAACCATAACCCCTCTGGAAGTTTCAGGGTTGGCTGGCCTGTAGAAACCATACCCTCGCTGACCAAAATCAGCGACTTCAACGTTGTCGTCTGCTTGATTTTCTGTATTATTTGTGGTAATAATGCTGGAGGTGGAAACGCGTAAGCGTTTAGTCCTTCCCATGAGATACTTAAAGCATCTGTTGCCCATGCCTGAGGATCCAGAATCGGTTAGACGAATGTTGGTAGTTGTTTGTTCAACTTTGTTGCAAACAGGTCTATCAGCGGAGATCCTACTGTCTGTATGACGAACCGGAACACTTCTGGATGTAACATCCATTCGGTCGGGGATGGTTGTAGTGGACGAGATAGGGCGTCTGCTATGACATTCTTTGCTCCTGGAATGTGACATGCCTTCATGTAGATGTTCAGGTCATCGACGATGCTGAACTGGAGACCTTGTTGATCCTTGTTTGTTGATGTAGAACGCTACTGTGGAGTTGTCCATGTGGACTGAGAGCCTTGCGTTCCTTAGTACGCTGGACCAGTGTTGTAAAGCATTGATCGCTGCTTTCATTTCCAACAGGTTGATGTGCAGAATTTGATCCTGACTTGACCACTTTCCTGCTGCCACTTCATTGTCGAGGTGAGCACCCCATCCTTGTAGTGATGAGTGTTGCAAGTCGGCTCTGACAAAAAGGTTCCTCCGCAAACATTCGACTTCTGAGTCCACCATAGGAGGTGATTAGACCGAGCATGCTTTGCCAAGCACGTAGTGTCAACGGAGAGAGCATCAATTGTAAACAAGATGAAAAGCATGGCAAACAATATATAATTTAGACATAATATCAAACCATTTGATAATATACAATCCAAAAACCGTATACAGCTGCAATTTAGATGTAAAAGGTCCAAAATAGAAAAGGATATGTGCCGTATAGGGACCCAGGTGCTCTCACAACCATCCTCAAGGGCGAAGGAGAAAGTGACAAACATGGCTGGTCATGTGACCAAAAAGGGTGCCAAAGGAGGCAAGGGAGACTACTCGTGGGTGAGTGATGATTTTACGTCCGCTTTTTAGAAGGGAACTTCAAGGGATTTCAAGTGTTCCACTATCATTCGCAAGAAGGAGACAAGCATTTAGCATGAGTCAGGATAAGGAAAAATAAATGTCCTCCATTCTTTTAAGGTAAGATACTGAGTGTTTTGTAAACTGAATCAACTTAAAATCAGATAAAGATGTCAGCACATCCGATTGTTATTTATGTTATCTTAATCTCCTTGTGAAAAAAAATGCACTCAGTACCACTGAAATCGTAAAACATCATATTTAGGATTACCATGCAAATCCATATTTTCACTGACCATGTTTGTAACTAAAACAAGCACAAACTCCTACGAACACCATGATAATAACACAAATTGCATGGTAAAGTATAGCTATAGAAAGAAACTGCGCACAATACTGAAGTGCATAAGTTTTATTATTGCAACAGACCACTGCCAACTCCATGTCATTTTGTATTCATATCTCAAATGTAAAACAAAAGCAAAACATGCAGCAGACAGAAGACTTAATGGTTTAGCTGAGGTAAATGAGTACAGTGCTATTTTATTTCTTAGCCTAATACTTTATAGTTATTCCATAAGGGTACAGGTGATTGAGGGCCTACCTTCTACATGGTATGGCCAGCCCCTTCTCCTTCATGGAGCTGATGAGGCTGTGCACGCTGGTTCTACAAGGCTCCAGGGCAGTCTCCGCAACACTCTCCTCTACCAGCAGGTCAATGGGCAGACCCCGGCTTTCATCCTCCAGGTCGCCCTTTAACAATATTCATCAAAACCTTGAGGAAGCTGGTTTGTGGTGAGACCTTTGTCTTTTATGTGGCCAGCCAATGCTTTAACCACTTGGCTTACCTGTCCCCAATATGATGTATAACTACAGTAAGGGAAGATGACTTGGGCTTTGTATTATAGGTCATTCATATGTCACGTAAGCATAGCAATATAAACCTGGCAACAACCCCAGATAACTCCAATAAAACCCCAGATAACTCCAATAAAACCCCAGATAACTCTAATAAAACCCCAGATAACTCCAATATAACCCCAGGTAACTCCAATACAACCCCAGATAACTCCAATACAACCCCAGGTAACTCCAATACAACCCCAGATAACTCCAATACAAACCCCAGATAACTCCAATATAACCCCAGATAACTCCAATACAACCCCAGATAACTCCAATACAAACCCAGATAACTCCAATACAAACCCAGATAACTCCAATATAACCCCAGATAACTCCAATACAACCCCAGATAACTCCAATAAAACCCCAGATAACTCCAATAAAACAATGTCTACAATTCCACACAAGCGGGATAGACATTTGTACAGTCCCAAGTTGTCTGATATCAAAGTCATCCTGAGGGATATTAAAAATAAAGTTGTTATGTATGATGTTGACCTATTTGTTATGCATTCCTATACCACAATAGCTTTCCTGCTTGTCTACATAATCTGAACAGCCTTTCTGAAAAACCTGAACAGCATTCCAACGTAACCTGGACAACATTCCTCCATAACCTGGACAACATTCCTCCATAACCAGGCAGGCATTTCAATACAGTGGGACAGCATTCCTATACATAACCTGTATACTGGCCGTTTTCTTTTTGATTTTTAAATAAACAACATTTCCATCAAACCTGGATGATACTTCTGTTTACACACACAGCCAACCACACTGACAAAAAGTACATAGGTAACATTCAGACAACACCTGACCATCAGCAATGAGATTCTTGGCATATGAGCTGAATGAATGTGCATATGCACTGAATGAATGTGCCTTGCGTCTCACCTCTTTTTTGATATAGAGAGTTTTGTTCTTCACCTCCTCGGCCATGAACTCACAGGCAGTCGCTGACCACTGTAACGGGTCCGAGCTCCCTGCTGACACTATGTCTGCCAGATGACACTGTATAGCACAGCAACTCAGGGTCCTCATCTTGATGTCCAGCACGCGCAGGTCGGCACTGGTCAGGATCTCCACAAAGCCAAAGTCCACAAAGTACACCTAAAAAAACAGAACATGTGAGTGAGTGAGTGAGTATGACTTTACAGGGAACTGGGGAATAACTGTGATATTTTTCAAATCTGTTTACTGTGCATATTTTTGTAAATTCTGAGGCGCTGAAAGTTCAAATTCAAATTGGGAATTTTCACTGTCACTGCTACAGTGAGTGAGTGGGTTTAGTTTTATGCTGCTTTTAGCAATATTCCAGCAATATCACGGCACGAGACACCAGATATGAATTTCTTTTTCACATTTGTTTACAGTGTAATCTACCACACAAAATGACATTATTTACCATCACTGAATCTTCATTAATTAGAAGATAAAGCTACTCTATTTACAATTTTGCGGCCCTTTATCGTTGATTTAAGACCGCTAAATGTAATTTAAAAACCGAACGCGTTAGCGTGAGGTTTTAATTTAAACATTTAGCGGTCTTAAATCAACGATAAAGGACCGCAAAATTGAAAACAGAGTAGCTTTATCTTCATTCTAGCACGACTGATAAGCGTTTTAAAACCGAACTGTTTGGATCGCAAGAACAAAGAAGCCTTTTTCCTAGAAATCGCTTGGAATTGTCCCCTTGAGGGACGGGTTGTGTAATGAACAATATAAGACATTTTCAACAACATAAATGCTATATTTCAGGAACCAGTATGCTTGTATTTGTAAAAAGTAGCATTCATAAATATAAAAAATACAGTTTATACTGTGAGCAAGTAGAATTATTTGATTTTTTTTTCAAGCGAATTATTGATCTCTCCTACTGTATGACAATCAATTCGCCCAAATGCAAGCCGTTTACTCGCTTAGTTTAGTCACCGCTAACTTTATTCACGGAAATAATTGTTGATAACCACCCTACTATTCCCAATTTGGAAAAGACCTGACATGCCACATTTTATGTGGGATACATGGACAGTGGAAGTGGAAGGACTGGGCATTACTGCCGGGACGGAAGCGGTCAGGTTAGGACGTGTGGGCCGACGTGTGTTGTCGACGTCAACACACGTAGATCTGGGCCCGCTTTGAATATACTGCCACTTTTGCGCTGCTGACGGATTTTCCATCTTCGTAGTTTCTTCACTAGGATTAGGGTCAAGACATTCTTCTTCAAACCATTCGCTTTTTACTTCAAAAACACCAAAGATGCTGCCGAGATAGAAATTGCCGATGTCAGACATGTTTGTTTACAAACAATAGGGTCAACGAGTTCGTTGTATTCATACGCGGTGAATCGGTCACTTTAATTAGCGGTCCTTAAACTGTCATTTAAGTACGGTTTTGATGAGCTCTCAGCCAATCAGAATCGAGTATCACATATTGTCGTGCTAGAATGACAATTTCTCATCATTGTGAGGATAATATATGGGGACATTAACAATGGTAGGGATGTTTGTTTGTTTGTTCATCATTGTAATCCTCTCATGATTATATACTGGAACATAAACAATGGTAGGAATGTTTGTTGGTGTGTTTGTTTAAATGATACTGGACTCTGGACCAGAAAGTCCAGTGATCAAGATTATGAGCAAAGATCCATATTGTCCATATAAGATGACATGCAATGAAACTAGTCACTCAGTCTGACCACTTGATCCATAAAGACTTGGACCTTTCTAGATCTGAATCTGTAGAAATACTGGACCAAGTACCTTCATCTTGTCCTCCAGCATCTCGGATATCCTGGCCCGGTACCACATGTTGTCCTTCTTGCGCCTGGCTGCACAGAAATCGTTAACTTTCCAATTCTTTTGAGGTGGCTCTGATGTCCGGAACTGTTTCTGTAGCAGGTCCATCATTCTGGAGTGAATGGAGTGAGTGAGTGAGTGAGTGAGTGAGCTGGGTGGGGAATCAAACCTGGGCCTTTGGCGTGACAAGCGGACGCGCAAACCGCTGGGCTACCCAGCCACTGGAGTGGATTGTAGGTCTGGCTGGTCAGAGCTCACAGAGAAGTTGAATCTGACTAATGAGCAGGTGAGGCAACATGGTTTGAAACTAAAGCCAGCAAATAATCCGTGGCTTAGGAACTACTAATATCAGTCATAGCTATAAACATACATTATATAAGACAAGGTCAGTTATTTATAAGATTCATTAAGGGTGAATCAATACAGCAAGGTTTCACATTGACACTGGTTCAAAAAGTAGGTTAGCTGAGGACACGTTCATAGTGACATTTGTTAGAAGTGAAATTGAAATGCTAAATACAACACATTTTGGAGTGACAGACATAAATGCTAATAGGTCAAAAACGAGTATCAAGCTACATATGTTAGCAAGTTTATCACCTTGTTTCAAAACAGAAAATAACATGTCACATGAGATCTCACAATGCAGTGGTGCACCGAAGCATCGTCTCACCCCTTAGATTGGTTGGTTGGTTTGTTGTTTAATGCCACACACTGCAATATTCCAGCTGTATGATGGCAGTCTGTAAATAACTGAGTCTGGACCAGACTATCCAGTGATCCCTTTAGTCTCCTCTTACGACAAGAATTGGCTACTGAAGATCTATTCTAACCCAGTTCTTTACAGGTCTCACCCCAAAGATCCATGCCTACTGCTGGGATATAGTATTCAGGGGTTTGCCTTGCAGTACGAAAGTGAGTGAGTGAGTTTAGTTTTACGCTGCTTTTAGCAATGTTCCAGCAATATCACAACTGGGCAGAACGAAAGAGGATCCCTTCTGACTTATAATTCAACAGTCCTTGCATGCTATATAAAGGTTCTGTAAAGTAATCAAGTAGTGTGCTGTTTAAGCTGTAATCAATATATGTATCACAGGAACTTTATACTCCTTGTCTAAAATTTGGTTAACATTACTGTGCGTCCCTTAGGCTGCAATAATTGTTTTTCTGCGTCCATTCTATCAATCTGTGCATACATGGCACACATTTCGTCATCATGTAAACACTGAATACACCTACACCACCTTGTTAGATCACTGTTGTACGTACCCATCTAGGTTCTCAGCTTGAGCAAGCTGTACATGGAAGTTGGCTGGAGATTCATAGGCACTGATGACAACCTCGATCTGGACAGCTGGGGACTCCGGGTCCGCTTGTTTCCCTGTAGTGGCAGAGGCAGCAGAAGATGATGCTTGTCCTGCAGCTCCATTGATGTTCACGTTGTTCTGATTCACATTCTTGTTGAGTGGTTTCCTTGTGGGTGTGATTAAAGGGATGGTGGGTCTGGATGTGTTGGGTGTTATTGCAGGGGTGGAGGACCTGCTTTGAGGTTTGCTTCCCTGGTTGTCTCCCTTCACAGGAGAGGTCATGTAGGCGGCAGCAATGTCACTGCTGGCCTGTTGCTTGTCCTGAGAAGAGAGAGAAAATCATCAGCATTGTAAGTGGTTTGGTTTGTTTTTTGCTTAACACCGCACTCAGCAAATACTCGGCAGTCTGTAAATAATCGAGCCTGGACCAGACAATCCAGTGAGCAACAGCACATGCATCTACAGCTTGTTCTGTTCAAGTGACTACTAATGCATTGCATGACAGTGTCACAACTGGTTGGGTCTATTATTGTGAAGAGGTGCTCCTTTGTCAGCCGACACAGCCAAGACAAGGTCGCCATTTGACACCTCAGTATCAAGAAATCGTCAGCAATTTCCTAACTTTCTTTAAAAGAAGCTACAAATGGTTTAATGTTTCTGATTCGGGCTTTTAGGCAAGCAGAAGTGTTGTTTTCTGGGTCAAGTTCTGTAATGAATCCATGTATGCATGCTTCGCACTAACGCAACATTAATAACATTCTCTGCTCCCTTATTTAACTCTTTCAACACCAGTCAACCAGAAGCTTTTACTGCCATGACACCGAGTTCCCAGAGACTCTAAGGTCATAGATGAAGCCTATGTTTATCAAGGAAAATATGAGTTTGTAAACATTAATGCTACTAATATCATACACCATTTGAAAGATCTAATCCTACTATTGATAAATATGAAATATATTTTGATCATATTATTGAAATAAAACAACTGCAACGTAGATAAATTTATTTTTAATAAAAAATGCAAGCTTACATTTATAATGTCTAGATAAACCACGAAAGAAGCAAAAACTGCGGCAATTTCATCTATTAGTGACATGTCATAATATCCCTGTGCCTTTATCTTTTATTTTTTCATTTTTATGTAGTCGGGAAATTATTATAACAAGAAGACAAAGTCATCAATATCCCCCGCAATGGCAAAATACTCTTCATGATTATGTCTACGAGTTATGATTATGTCAAATTTTAGGTGTGTATATAGAAAAGTGGAAGGAGAGTATTGAAAGGTTTGTAAAGTTCTGCTCCAGAAAGGAGCACTATCACCAATTTCAGTCTATGTCAAACTTGTTGCCATGGAAATGCCAAAAATATTTTATTCAGAAATCCAAAACTACCAAAAGGCACCAGTACACCACCAAATCTATGTATGTGCCAAGTTTGGTGAAGAAACATTGAACAGTTTTAGAGTTCTGCTCCGGAAAAGTGCACTACCACTAATTTCAGGCTAAGTAAAAAATAATATGTATGGTCGCCTATTTCCCGATATCAGCGGCTTTCCGCTCAGTAACATGACACAACAGCGGAAAATACCTCCGTTTTCAAAGCTTCGTATGAATAACATGCAAGGCGATTCGTTTAATGGCTGGTATCGTTCGAAAGCTCTGAACATCAACAATATCACTGTACCCTTGCTGAGAATATTTCCACAGTTGTAAGTAGTGATTTTATTGGATAAAGATTGGTTTCAAATGACGCTTATTCACCACAGTCTGCTATAAGGATTGCGATTGGTCAAAATCAGGCATATTACAGCAATGGATACTGTCCTCGTAAACGAAAACCTTTAGATTTATACAAAAGATTGGGGTAAAATAATGCTATTCTAAATGAATTAACTCTTTCAACACCAGTCAACCAGAGGCATTTAATGCCATGACACCGAGTTCCCAGAGACTCTGAGGTCATAGATGAAGCCTATGTTTATGAAGGAAATTATAAGCTTGTAAAACGTTATTGCTACTACATCCCATACACCATTTAAAAGATCTAATCCTACTGTTGATAAATATGAAGTTTATTTTTATAATATTATTCAAATAATACAACTACAACTTAACTATGGCGATTTTTTTCCATTTGTGACATGTCATAACATGTCCGTGCCTTTTTCTTTTATAATTTCATTTTTACGTAATCAGAAAATTATTATAAAAAGATTTCTTAAATAATATGTATGGTCGCCTATTTCCCGATATCTGTGGCTTTCCGCTCGGTAACATGACATAACAACGGGAAATACCTCCGTTTTCGAAGCTTCGTATGAATAACATGGGAGGCGTATCGTTTGATGTCGGGTATCGTTCGAAAGCTCTGAACATCAACAACATCACTGAACCCTTGCCGAGAGTATTTTCACAGTTGTAAGAAGCGATTTTATTGGATAAAAATTGGTTTCTAATGACGCGTTTTCGCTACAGTCTGCTAAAAGGGTCGTGATTGGTCAAAATCAGACACGTGACATGAGGCAGCCAATCATATTACTGCAATGGATACCGTCCTCGTAAACAAAAACTTTTAGATTTAAACGAAAGTTTTGGGTAAAATAATGCTATTTTGAACATATTAAGCAAGAAATCGCTACCTATACGCAAATTATGGAGCTTATTGGACGTATCGTGCTAGGTTATGACTTGTGACAAAAATGCTTCATGTATATATTTTCGCATTAAACATCCTGTCCGAGCGTGAAGATTGAGGCGGCGAGAGCCGAGATGTCAGTTGTCAGTGACTTGACTTGCATTACATGATCGCACAAAAAAATGGAAATAGTAATTTTATATGTACGTTTGACAACTTTTATGAATGTTGTTGTTGATTTTATTCATTAGTTTATTCAATTTATTTAATAATTTCCTCAAAACATCGTTACCTTGCTCTTTGACAACGTTATTTTGGCCCGCTGCCGAAGCATGTGTCCGAGAAACGTTGTTTTCAATAACATTGCGAAAAATCGTTTATAATTTTAATTCTGCTGATAATATATGATAAATTGAAATTTAATAAGTGTTTTCAGACATTGTGAAATGTGATAGATTTAATATATGAATCATAAGTCAGGTAGGTTCCTAAAATTATGTCTGATTTTGACGTGACTACTGCCTGGCCGCTTAAGCGGCCTCCGGTGTCTGGGGACTCATAACATTGTGGCGGCTTAAAGCGACCCTCGCGGTGTTGAATGGGTTAAGCAAGAAATCGCTACCTATACGTAACTTATGGAACTGACAAAAATACTTTATGCATATATTTTCGCATTAAACATCGTGTCCGGGCGTGAAGATTGAGGCGGCGAAAGCCAAGATGTCACTTGTCAGTGACTTCAATTCCATTACATGATCGCACAAAAAGATGGAAATTGCAATATATATGTACATTTGACAACTTTCATGAATGCTGTTGTTGATTTGATTCATTAGTTTATTCAATTTATTTAATGATTTCCTCAAAACATCGTTACTTTGCTCTTTGACAATTTTATTGTGGAGCCGCTGCCAAAGCATGTGTCCGAGAATCTTTGTTTTCATTAACATTGTGAAAAATAGTCTATAATTTTTATTCTGCTGATAATATATGATCAGTTGAAATGTAATAAATGTTTTCAGATATTGTGAAAAGTGATAGATTTAATATATGAATCTTAAGTCAGGTAGGTTCCTAAAATTATATCTCATTCTGACGTGAGTACTGCCTGGCCGATTAATCGGCATCCGGTGTCTGGGGGACTCATAACGTTGTGGCCGATAATTCGGCCTGCGGTGTTGAATGGGTTAATGAATTAACTCGACCTGCCGTTTGTGCAAATTGACCCACCCGGGTCATGCATATTTAGAGTAGCTCAGGTCAAGCTGAACAAGTATCTACACAATTAGGATACGATGACGTGTCAACAAAGTCAGCAAGCCTGATCACCTGATCCTGTTAGTTGCCTCTTATGACAAGCATGGGTTGCTGAAGATCATTTGTAATTTCACTCCCATGTTGGGAACCGAACCTAAGTCTTCATGATGATAATGAAGCAAAGGCTTCCCCCACTGCACAGATTCATGTTGTTACTCCAAGTAACCATATTATCAGGTAATAGCGTAGCCTTACTATTCAAAATGTATAATATAATGTATGATAGTTTGAGAGTTTTTGAAAGAATTACCTCTCTATAGGCTCTGTAGGTGAAGGCCTTTTTAGGGGAATCTGCAGGTGGTTTCTTTGACGGTCCCAAAACTGTAGATCTGAATAGAAGGCCCATAAGTCAATACTTCTCAATGTCACATCAAGTTCCTTGGTTTGCATCTGGTTAACTTAAAGTGTACCATGTAGAATGGGGCTAGCTCAACACAGCAACATAAAAAAACCTGGATCAAACACTCATTTTGCAAGACCATAACATGTAAGTGTTGATGCATCTTTTCTGTAGATCTTTGAGGTTCAACTTTGAAGACCGTCATGTCTGCTTGTCTGTACTTTATTTTCAAACATAGCAAAGCAATTAGAGCGAGTATGGTTTTACACTGCTTTTGGATCACGGCAGGGGACACCAGAAATGGGCTTCACACATAGTACCCATGTGGGGAATCAAACCCTGGTCTAAGCATGACGAGCGGAAGCTTTAACCATGAGGCTACTCCACTGACCCCTATTAGTTTTGCAGTCTTAGCTTTAGGAGAGAAAAGAGTTGTCTTGACAACTTGGGCAATGAAGCACATGCCGGGATCATTCCAGTATTGTCTGTGGTCATCAACATGGCTTACCCAACTCCAGTGCTCTTGGCATATCCATTAGCAACCAGCTGGTAGTTGACACTGAGGTTGTCAGTGAGGTCGTCAAGGATACGGTACAGGACCACCTCCACAGCATCCACCTGAACCTCTACAAATAATCATACATCAGTGATCAGCAATTGAGATCTTCTAGCCCAAATATCTCCATTAAGTTTCAAAGTTGAAGAGAAGAGACAAGATAATTCAAACAAAGGCCAAAAATGAGCGAGCAAGTGAGTGAGTGAGTGAGTCAGTATGTATTTTATTTTCAAACATAGCAAAGCAATTAGTGAGAGTATGTATTTCCGCCACTTTCAGCAATATTCCAGCAATATCACAGCAGGGGACACCAGAAATGGGCTTGACACATTGTACCCATGTGGGGAATTGAACCTGTCTGTTAAATGTGGCAAGCAGATGCTTTACCCTTTAGGCTACCTGCACTGAAGTGTGATGAGTGATATGACTTTGATGTATCAAATACTACAGGTGGTTACATGAACAATGTAACTTACCCAGTATCTTCACTTGGAAAGACTGGAAAGTTGTGAGGTCAGTCCACCACTCCAGGCCCTGAAGAAATTCATAGAAATACCAGTCTGCTACTCAGGACTAATGTCATTACCTGAGAGATACCATTTATCTAGAATTCCAAATTAAGTATCCATGGCAAGCAAATTGGGAAAAAATTGTGATATTTTTCAAAAACTGGTCTGTTTACTGTGCATATTTTTGTAAATTCAGTCACTGAAAATTTGTTTTAATTCAAATTTGGGAATTTTTACTGTCACTGCTACAGCCCTAAGCCTAGATTTTCGAAGCTCCCTTAGCGCTAAAAGACATACATTAACATTAACTTAAGACTATCTTAGCACTGAGAGAGCTTCCAAAATCTAGGCCCTGGGGTCGAATAGCAACCTCAGAGCATATCTACATAAATCCCCCCTGGGATTTATAGGACGAGAATTCCTGCGTCCTATATGCATAAAAATTGACAATGGACGCAGCAAAATTTATGAGCGCATCCACAGGGATGTAGAAAATGTCCAAATACGTTTTGTAAAAATTCCAACCAAGTTAAAATAAGTTACCACTGAGTTTGCTACTAGCTGGGTTATGGTATCATTTGCAATTTAATCACTGTAACAATGCGATGATTATGCTACACAATACAATAACAGTATTAACAAGAGTCATCAGAAGATGACATATCCCCCCAGCCCCCCACATCTTTGAAAGAAACAAATCATCTGACAGTTAAAGTCCAGCTTGATTTTAGACTAAGTGCAAATTACGACAAGCACAGTCGCCTTTTGTGACAAGCATGGGTTGCTGAAGACCTATTCTACCCCCGGATCATCACGGGTCGATATACCTGATGAAGGAGTAAGGATATACTGATGAAGGATTAAGGATATATTCTGAAACGGTGTGTTCCTCATAATAAAGAAGTTGACATCCATAAAACTCTCTTCCTGATATTGTTATCTTTATATAGATCAATCCATACTCCAGAAATCTGTCTGTTTCCACCTACAGTGACACTGAGCTTGATGCACTTACATCTGCCAACCAGCTGCCATCTGGATCTGCCGGCTCCACATCACTCAGCTCACACTGTACAGCCTGAAACACAACACATCACTCTTAGTCCACCACAATAAACATGCTCAAAATTAACATCATGCATCAATTTTAAATCATCAGTAGTTAAGTGAGTGAGTTTGTTGGTTTCACGCCGCTTTTAGCAATATTCTAGCAATATCACGGCAGGGGACACCAGAAATGGGTTTCACACATTGTACCCATGTGGGGAGTCGATCCTGGGTCAACTGCCCCCGAATCATCAGTAACATCAAATATTCTCCAGAACTATCAATATCACATAAGTTTCTAAACAAAAACTTGAAATGATGTTAGAATATTTAGATAAGTTTTCAAAGTCACATTTGATGGAGGTACTTACCAAGGGAGGTAACTTCACGTGTGCATCTAGGATTTTCTTGATTCTCTGATATGGGACTCGCTCAATGTTTCCAAAATCCACGTATTGCACATCCACCTGTTTCCCTCCGGGTAGGTCTATCACGCGAGCCCGGTACCACATGTGGTCCGTCATACTCTGCACCACACAGATCATGTCTGCAAACATAGGAGTGAGTGCCTTTAGCCTTTAGCAATATACCTGCAACACCAGTGAGGTGACACCAGAAATGAGCTTCACACATTGTACCCACGCTTTAACCACTAGGCTACCCCACCACCCAACAAATATACGACTTGGTGTAATATCACATACATATACCATGATCAAGCCCTTTGCATTAGATGTTCACATATCAACACAAGAGTCATCAGAAGATGACAAATCCCCCCGGCCCCTATAAATTTGAAAGAACAAATCAACTGAAAGTTACTTAAAGTCCAACTCGATATTTTTGGACTAAGTCCAAACGATGGAAATCATGAAAACCAAAAATGACAAAATACTTCAAGATCTTTTTGATATATCTGTCAAGTCTTGTAGAAAGATATTGAACGGTTATCAAGTTGTGATCCGGAAACGAAGCCCACCCCTCCCTTTTGAGACTAAGTCCAAAACGTTTCCATGGAAACCGAGAAAATTAAAAATGACAAAAATCTGTAAATAGCAAAAGGCACCATCTTAGGTTCTGTTTGATATATCCACCAAGTTTTGTTGAAAAATATTGAACGGCTTTTGAGTTATGCTCCGGAAACAAAATGATTACGGACAGACGGACGAGGCGTCGACTATATAAAGATACACACTGTAAAAATAAACCCAATTTTATATTTTCAAATTCATAGTTTGCTTTTTGTTAAACACCATACACAGCAATATTCTTGCTTTATATGCCAACAACCTGTAGATAAGCAAGCCTGGACCAGACAATGCGCACAACTGGCACACGACGGCAAACATCAACTAAGATACAGGCCCTCCTATCTAAAAAGAAGCATTATTGGATGTAAAGTAAACTATATCGTGTGTTTAGCTACCACATGCGAAGGAATAGCATTAAATGTGTTGTGAATGCAGCAACTATCGCTGTAAAAGCAGTTGGCATCGGAAGCACTATACAGCCTATATTGGAACCTTTCGGTCATCTCCAATAATTTCCGCGTTTCGCTGAACATCTCCAATAATTTCGCGTTTAGCTGAACTGTCGTCACACTTGTGTGCGAATAATGGCTGCCGACAGAGGAGAACAGAAAAGGGTAAGTGTTTCAATCAACGCTTAGCTCCACATAATCTAATTCTGATTTAGAAGGTAGTGTGCATTGAACGCATGTTATCACCCCCCTTTGATAGCAATACTTCATCTTCGTAAAAAATGTATTTTGTGTCCATTATCTGCGTTTTTGTACGGAAGTCGAACGGATTTCAAGCTGAGGTCGGCGGAATGAGGCTACCCACCTCCTTCGCTTTGAGTGAATTCTAACATGGCTTTAGAAAATTGATCGTGAGGGGACTCAGTGAGGAGCAAAGTGAGACTCAGTGTGAATATGGTATTCGGGATAGGAGGGCCTGAGATAGTGAGTCTGACTACTTGTTATGACAAGTATGGGTTACTGAAGATCAATTCTGACCCGATCTTCATCAAGATCTTGTACAGTGGCCCTGAGGTACTGAACTCAACACAAACATCATTAGGTGACTGAATGGGTTTTGAAGCTGATCATAAAACGTAGGGATAGTTTTATGCCGCTTTTAACAATATTCCAGCAATATTAAAGGCGGGGAACACTAGAAATGGGCTTCAGATATTGTACCTATGTGGGGAATCGAACCCAGGTCTTCAGCATGATGAGCAAAAGCTTTAAACCACTAGGCTACCCACCGCCCCATGTGGGGAATTGAAACACCAGGCTACTGTTCGATAGCAATGATTATCAACCCAGAAACAACAAAACAGCTAACAACATGGATAAAACACAAACTGTTTACGAACCAACTTGAGGACAGAAGACTGTGTAGAGGTCTGTGCCATTGGAATATGTGGTCGCCATCTCCGTCATCAAGGCTGACAGGTACTCTGCCTCATCACCAATCTGCAACACAGGTCACCTTGAATTTCTTTCCAAAACTACTCAAACAAGCCTCAATCAACGAAATACTTTATTAAGTTGAAAGTAGATTATCAATCATGTACTGACAAATTCTGTGTATTTGTTGTAAGTGTTAATTATTACATCAGGAACAAACAAAGTTTGTAGTATTGGTTGGTTGTTTTGCTGTTTAACGCCACACTCAGCAATATTCCAGCTATATGGTGGCGGTCTGTAAATAATCGAGTCTGGACCAGACAATCCAGTGATAAGCATCATGAGCATCGATCTACACAATTGGGATATGATGACATGTGTCAACCAAGTCGGCGAGTCTGACCACCCGATCCCGTTAAGATGAAAGATTAACTACTGCAATAGAGAAGAATGTGGTTTTCTTTAACACCTTTTGAGTAGCAAATATGTTGCCTGTAAATGACAGATGCCTTGCCACACCAACCAGTGGCCTACAACACAGAACAACGAAACATCAGCCTGGTCACGTATCACAATGGGGATATGGGGGATGATGCAAGATTCCTAAAACATTTCTTACAATTAGTATCTGTCAAGGTGACTTACTGGCTGCACACAGAAGCTGGATGGAACCCCTGAGTATGTCACTATAGCTTCAAATGATTTCCCCACGTTGTCGAGGTTCTGGCTTCATGAAGTCTCTTCCATGCTGACATGTGGACCCTTTGCAAACATTCAAAATGAGCTCTTTTGCCAAAAAAACCAAGAAACAATCACACTGGATCATAAATAACTGTCTCTTTAAGGACAAAAGTGAGCTAAAACATTGCAATGCATCTGACAACTGTAAGTTTGGAGGTTTAGTGTACTATGTAGCAGTCAAAATAGTTAGGCCCTTATCAAGGAATAGCATAAAACTGGAAAGGAGTGAGTGAATTTAGTTTTACACTGCTATCAGCAATATTCCAGCTATATGGCGGTGGGCTGTATATAATCGAGTCTGGAGCAGATAATCCAGTGACCAACAGCATGAGCATAGTTCTACGCAATTGGGATATGATGACATGTGTCAACCAAGTCAGCGAGGTTGACCACCCGATCCCATTAGCCGCCTCTTATGACATCATGGGTTGCTTAAGACCAATTCTAACCCGTATTTTCATGGGTGAAACTGGAAAGGAAGCTATCTATTCCCATTAGCACCCAATGCACTTCCACTTAGTGATATCCAGACCCTCCACTGCAACATAATGTACCAGTGTATGTCATTCATGGTATCCCCCCATCACATATCGTACCTGATTTTGAAATTCTTTCTGATGAGGTAACAAATCTGGCCAGTTCAAGGAAGACCAAGCTGTCTCGGAGTGAGATGGGTCTGTCGTCTAGGATGCTGTCTACAGATGGGGTGTGGAGGTCTACTTGTAACACGTTTCCCACCTCACGGATAACCTGATTCCCAAAATCAACAGTGAATAAATACAAAGCATGTTACCCACCCCATGCCAACAGACGACTAGATATACATGTTAACTAGAAAGGATGCTTAAGATAGAGAATAGCCAGGTGTATGAGAAGCACGAGCACAAGTGCCGACAAAGTCATTGATTCATTAACCTGTGCTGTGCCGTCTCTCTCCTTTCTCGCACACCTGGCTATTCGTCTCTTTGCACTCCTCCCTCGTAACAAATAATGAACTGTGTCAATATTTTAATGATTGTTTGTTAAACAACTTTATTATATTTAGGACATAAATTCTGCAAAAAACCTCTCAGAGTTGGTCTGATGTTTTGATTATGATCAGCATTTCAATGAGTATTACTTGTTATTAGTTTTCAAGTTATATTGCAATTCATCGGTCCTTGGTTTCATTGAGCCAAACAGACTATAACAATGAGTGTGAGTTTAGATTTTAGCAATATTCCAGCAACATCAACACAGAAGACCCCAGAAATGGGCTTCATACATTGTGCTCATGTGGGGAATCGAGCCTGGGTCTTCAGCGTGACGAGCGAACATCTTAACCACTAGGCTACCCCATCGCCCCAAAACAACTAACAAAGGCAATGCATTTGAGTTACTCACATTCATCAACATAGGTTTATTGGCTATCATTGTCCGCATCGTATTGGCTGCTTCATGGCCCCACACACCACCCTGGCAAGATAAAAGGAGAACAGTTATCTCCCTTTCCACATTTGCGAAAAACTACGTCTTCATGACACACATGAAAAGCCTTTAAAAAAGGCACCGTTGGAGGCACCTGAGTAAATTATAATTTAGTGAGATGACATGAGATGATTTGGGGGATTGAAGCTGATTTCAAGAGCATCACGAGGATCATACCTCCGTCTATTAGAGTTGCTTCTATTAGAGATCAATACTTGCATCGCAAATACAGTACTCTCATCTCCATATCAAACGTCTTTGTCATAGCCCATGCCTTAGCTAAGATTCATAGAGCTCTCATAGCATCTCAATAAGCCCCAAGGGAGGAAATCCTTTGTCGCACTTTCATGCACCCATTATGATCATACTACAGCGTTCAAAACACTTACTGTATACGTATTATATATCGCGCAGGTTTTATTTTCGCGCTTTTCTGAACATAAGATTGACGGTTTTTCATCCCTTTATATAGTATACTAGTACCATCACGATATCTCACTTCCTAAGTACTTAATACTCCTGTGAGTAAACGTATTACATGTACTGTATATATCGCGCAGGTAGGGATTTCCTGTGAGTAAGCAATACACACCACCTGACAGGTTAAGCCACTCTGGTTGTTTTCATTGCTATTAGTGGCGGCCTAAGAGACAGCTGGCAGTTCCGGCACTTACTGATTGCGCGAATAATTGACCATGCGATGTAGTCTAAACTGTCAATTCCGCGAAAATTGCACCAAGCGAAAAAAAAGTATGTTTACAGTATATGACTTCTTCATACTTATACCTACAAGTGCGCCCTATTTCCGTTATCTATTTCCAGAGGTTAATATTTGCAAGCCATCAAACATCTCAGTTGATCTCTGCATGTCAGCGGCATCATTCTGAATCACATGACCTGTGACATGTCAGGGTATCCCTCCCTAAAATAGTGACACACGTGAGCGCTATGTAACTCATGTATGTGAGCACAATGCATCTTAGAAAACCTAATGGGTGCTACTAAAATGGAATTGTTTTTCAAATCTGCAATTCAAAATTATGCACTGAACTAGTACAAGTGTGCTCTATTACACGTAAAATTGTTTTGAATTGAAAGTGTATCAGTTTATTACCATTTTTGATCAGTAAAAACACAATGTGTTAAAATTAGAGATTTATAGAAAACTCGATTTCCTCATTAAAGCAGGACAATTATTTTGGATTACACACAAGGCAACGTGGCTTCTAATTTGCCACAGCTATGTTCACTGATCATTTGGAATTGCCAAAATACAAAAAAACTAAAAAAATATCATTGGCTGAAAGTTATTTTGAATATACCAAGTGTATATATAGAGAGAAATTTGTGCCTCCAACCAACAATAAAGTGTCCTGTTTCATTTGTTTGTTGCTTACATCACAGGGGTGGAAATAACCCATTGCCCGATGCCCCAGTCCAGTGTATTTTTCTGTCGGGCTAGCAAATTTGTATGTCATGCTGTACCGGTGTCCAGTTGACTTTCCAATGTTAATTATGTTGTTGATTTTAAATCAACAAGGAAATCAGCCAGTATAGTGGAAAAATTATCAGGGCAAGTGGCTTTATATGTGCCACTGTACCGGAGTACACTAGCAATTGCAAAGTTACTTCCAACCCTGCATCAGTCATCAACAATCCAGCTATGTGATGACAGTCTGTAAATAATAACATCAATCCATCTATTGAAATCATGATCATCGATTTATGTAATGAAATACAATTACTTGCATAAGTCTAATCACTGTCAGTCGCTTCTTACAACAAGCATTAGCTGCTGAAGACCTGGATCTTCATGTGGCAGGTTTGCTGATATAATCTGTTTCCTTCTGACCAGGCTGGCTGTTTGTTCAATTATTTTGGATCATGAACTTTCTATCTCATTTACTAGATAGTACACTAATGACTAGAAACTAACATGTACATGCATCATTTATCCAACCGTGGGTACAATGTAGGGTTGAGCATAATGGAAGAAGGCATCCTTGATGTCTCTACTTGGATGCTATTTTCTATACCTAAATACAAGTACAGTAAAATACCTTTATAACGAACTCCAGGGGACCACTGACATCAGTTCGTTATATCCGTAGTTTGCTATTCACTTTTTCATATTATACTGCAAGAGTCATCAGAAGATGACATATCCCCCCGGCCCCCACATCTTTGAAAGAACAAATCATCTGACAGTTACGTAAAGTCCAGCTTGATTTTAGACTAAGTGCAAATCGTTTCCATGGAAATCATGAAAAACGTAAATGACAAAAATCTGCAAATAGCAAAAGGCACCACCTTGGGATCTGCCTAACATATCTGCCAAGTTTTGCTGAAAGATATCAAGAAGTTTTCGAGTTGTGCTCCGGAAATGAAACCCACCCCTCCTTTTTGAGACTATGTCCGAATCGTTTCCATGGAAACCAAGAAAATAATAAATCACAAAAATCTGTAAATAACAAAAGGCACCACTTTAGGTTCTGTTTGATATATCTCAAATTTTGGTTGAAAAATATTGAATAGTCTTGGAGTTATGCTCCGGAAACAAAATGATTACGGACAGACGGACGAGGCAACGACTATATCCCCCCGCATTATTCGGGACTTTTAAAACAGTTCGCTATAGCCGTCAGTTCTTTATATCCGTGTTCGTTATAAAAGTATTCTACTGTAATCCACATATTGATTTTTGAACACTACATCTGACAAAAGAACACAAGAGTTGCACACTACCTTTTCTGCAGGTTCGATATCGTGTAAAGCACATTCCAAAAGAAATTCAGGGTGCTTCATAAACCTGGCTTCCATATTCTTTAATCTGAAAATAAAGTGATTACCCCATTTTGAGATTAGTTTCTTTCATTCCAAGAAAATGTCACTTCAACAGAGTGAGCTAACTCCACAGAACTAAATAATCTTTCAGGACAAGAACTAAGACCAACACAGAAACAAGTCAAACAAGTGAGCGAGTTATGGAGTATCTTTTTATGCCGCTTTTAGCAATATTACAGCAATATCACGGCAGGTGACACCAGAAATAGGCTTTACACATTGTCCCCATGTGGGGAATCAAATTGTCTCCGTGACAAGCGAACACTTTAACCACCTGGCTACACCACCACCCCATCAAACAAGTGAAAAGTTGTTTGAAATGGGGATTTAACCTTGTGTTCAGGATTATTGCACTTATAAAGTGATGTGCATATACGTGTTCGAGTGAGAATTTGCATTAGTCGAGACTCAAGCCATTTACAAAGTGTTCAGTCAGCGTTATAACATGCCAGAGACTAACAGGATTCTCATGAGATGAAGCATTGACTAAAGCCATGGTAGAATCCACAAGACATATTTATATACACATAACAGAATAAGCATAATTTTTCTAACAATATTGACACATTCAAAGCTTATTTTCAGAAAGGCATCAAATTAACATCTAAGACACAGGGATAAACTGAACGCTAGAGAATTTACTTCGATCTCCAAATTAGGTAACAATGTCAAATATTCACCACAAATCCTATGTACATACTTGTCCATGGTGACCACTTCATTATTGCCGAAGTCAAAGTACAGAACCTCCACATGTTTCTTGGTGATGACCTTTTTCTGACTGGTCTCTGTAGTTGTCATGACAGACAGAACACGGGCACGGTACCACTCCGTGTCTTGTGAGTACTGACACAGCACAAAGTCACCTGCAATACAACATAGACGTTGTACTTGTTTGTTGTTTCACTTTGATAGCAGCCAATGCTAGGGGTGAAACCAGGGCTCCAGATAATTTTTCAACATCAGCAGTACGTACTCCTTATTTTTTAATATAGGAGTACTGGAAAAACTTAAGAGTACATTTAGAGTACTGAATGGAATTTAATGGAGTTCCAGTAATCTTGTGTTTTGTTTCATATATGCACCACAACATTGCTACTCAGCACTCTTTTGTAAACAGGTAGAAAAACATTAAAACAAAACTTTTTCAGATAAATACGTCTGTAAATGATTCTAAGACCATACACCATTGCTGTGGTGCGTATCTGCTACGTTTTCTAAATTATTTCCTACCATATCGTGCATATATTGTATCCGTACATACGACTATACGACCCTTATCTGGAGCCCTGTGAAACGGTACGCTCTTACCACAGTACAGTACATATTGTGGTACAAGGAAGATCTACAGATAACATTTTGGGTCATTGAGTTATGTACTCGCTTGTGTTCATCTCAATTGGGTATCCTAATTTTCCTTTGAGTAACCAATTAAATTGTAGCCACCTCACTCAAACTCATTTGGGTATTTTGCCATTTCCATTAATTGTAAAAATAAATGAAGTTTAAAAGTTATTTATTTTGTATCTGTAATATGAGAAACGATAAGAAAGACTGAAAGTTGTCAAGTTCATGTGTTGAAATAGAACCTCTGAATATACCTCAGTTATTTTATCTATCCACCAGTACGCAAGCTAAGATTCGACATTTTTGTGTGTACGCATGTAAGATAACATTTATTGAGTATTTACAAAAATTCAAGCGTACTTGTACGCAATAGACTTGACAAGAATTGAGTTTTCACATAAATATTTGCGTAAATTATGCAGATACGCAGCTTATCTGTACCTCTGTACAAGGTCTTCGGTTCGATCTGTTTCAGTTCTGTATGTACTTACTTCTGGGAAAATAGTGCATAGGTTTTGACAAAATGATTCGATTTCTAGACATTTTAGAAACGTTTTAAAAAGGTTAATCAAATGACGGTACGAAAACCAAAACTACCAAATTTTAAAATTGCATTACAGCATACCGAACAGAAGGCAAAATATTGCAGTATACCGTTTTACCCCTAGCCAATGCTGTCTTACGCCACAGTCCACAACAATCCACATATCTTACAGCTGTCAATTATCAACTGTAGATTTGACACAACCCAGTGGTTGAGAGCATGAGCAGAGATCTGCACTACTGGGTCATGATGACAGTCAGCCAGACCACACATTGCAACCACACAACTTTTTTCAATCAGCCAGCATCAGGGTTTTGCATGCAAATAAATAAACCAAACTTTTCCTGATAACCGTTGTTGTTGCATGAACATAGGAGAGTGGATTCTCCTTCCCTTTTAGCAATATTCCAGCAATCTAAATATCTGGAGACACCAGAAATGTGCTGCACCCGTCAGGAATCAAACCCAGTGAATCAGTGTAACAACCAAACACCTTAACCACTGTGCTACCATACCATTCAATGTGAGTGAAGCCCCATACATAACAAGAGTCATCAGAAGATCACATATCCCCCCGACCCCCAAATATTTGCAAATAGCAAAAGGCACCACTTCAAGATCTGTCTCACATATCTGCTAAGTTCTGTTGAAAGATATTGAACGGTTTTCAAGTTGTGCTCCGGAAACGAAGCCCGAAACGTTTCCATGGAAACCGGGGAAAATAAAAATGCCAAAAATCTGCAAATAGCAAAAGGCACCACCTTAGGTTCTGTTTGATATATCTGCCAAGTTTTGTTGAAAAATATTGAACGGTTTTTGAGTTATGCTCAGGAAACAAAATGATTACGGACGGCCGGACAGGCGGACGAGGCGACGACTATACCAAACATAACAAACAAAGGGGGGATAACAAAGGAGCTTTACAATGCTACCTACAGAACACATAACTCACTGCTTTCTCTTTATCAAAAACATAACCAAACTAGTCAGTCCCACAAATAACTGTCTTCTCCCTATAGCTCCCACAATATCCATACCAACCTTTGTTGACATCAGTTGGGATGTCCTTCTCCGTGGCTAGGCCAGTACACCAAGTCTTGATGGCTTTGGACATCTTCACCAGTTTGGCATTGAGAGCGCAACGCTGGACATAAAACTTACATGGGCTTCGGATGTGTGTTACCACCACGTTCTCACAGTGACCTGACAAAGGCAAGTGGGAAAATGTTAAAACTAATAGACTTAGTTGAGTTAGTTTGGTTCTACGCAATTTTAGAAATATTACAGCAATATCATGGCGGAGGACACCAGAAATGGGCTTCACACATTATGGTCATGTGCGGAATAGATCCCGAGTCTTTGGCATGACAAGCGAACGATTTAACCAATAGGCTACCCCACCACCCCTAAAACCAATGGAAATTATAATAAAGAAAGAAACTCGAAGCAGATTCCAACAATGTGGACAGATCAATGTCAGATATATATCTGTACAATGAAAACATTTCAGATTAGAGAGTAAGGATAGAAAAAGGTAATTTTTCAAGTAAAATTGATATTTTATACTTATCCTGACTCATGATCTTTTGCTTATCTCCCTTTCCATTGCGAATGGTAGTGGAACACTTGAATCCTTGAAGTTCCCAAAGCGGATGTAAAAATACACTCACCCACGAGTTACCTCCCTTTTCCCGCATAAACAGTCACGTGACCAGCCTTACTTGTCACTCTCTCATGATTTTTCTGCCCATGCACTTGGATCTACTGTGAAATCCGAAGTGTTTCCAGCGGGGAGGTTGGGGGGGCTCGACCTCATGAGTCAGGATAAATATAAAATATCAATTTTACTTGAAAAATTACATACTTTTTCTTATCGTGACTCATGATCTTTTGCTTATAGAATCCTTCGGATTGGTGGTTGGTCAAGCCATTTCCTGGATTCATCAGCTGTCCTTAGATACGTCCTGTATCCCCCCCATGGGAACTGCGTAACGGCATTTCCGAGATCCTATTCTTCCAACTTCCGTTACAACTCGGGGGACCACTTTCTTGTCTTACTTCCATCTCAGACAAGTTGAATCATCTTGATTGATGTGGCTTAAGATATCCTAGTATCTTCTTTTTACTAGATATCTATAACAACCCATAGATTATGATAAGGTCTTTATCATAAATGAGTTGCGACCCCTTAATGTACAGGTAAGATCTTTACCCGTACAGGGTTTTTAATCACTCATGCTAGTCTGTCCTAGACTGTGCGCATGGACTTTCAAACTAATACTTTTCCTTAGTAAAAGTTATCAACAAGTCAACGTGATAAAGGGTGAGATTTTCCAACTCAGCGCCTTTGTGGAGCCATTAGTTGCTGTGCTACAACGAGAGGCCCAAATTGGTGAATGCCGGAGACGTCTTCGGTGGCTATGTCTTGGAGGTAGTGGTTGGCAAACACCGTGTCCGACTTCCAAAGGCAGCCCTCCATAATTGCTGATACAGAACAATTTCCATGCAGAGCTAGTGTTACGCCAGTGCTCTGACTTCGTGTGGGTTGGAAGCTCTAGGAGGTTCTAGTCCTACTGCTTTATAGGCTCTCAATATGACGGCTCTCATCCAGAATGATATTGTCGTTCTTGAGACTTCTGCTGATGCCTCTGTAGATAACGGGATGAACAGGCGCTTGAATTTTCGTCTCCTTGTTTTAGTCTTTTGAAGATATATCTTCAGGGCTCTGACCGGACACAAGGATAGGTCCTGCATATCCTCTGGTCCGAGGATTGTGGATAGCGCTGGTACGTGGAACTGTCTATCTGGTTGACCAGGTAGTTGGTTCTTGGCAATAAAGTCCCATCTAAGTCCTAGATGGACTGCAGCATGTTGCCCCGTGTCGAATCTAGTTCGACCAAAGTCCAGCACATGTATCTCTGACATTCGAGCTACCGTGGCTAGTGCAAGCAGGAACAGAGTCTTCTGTGTAAACAGCTCGAAGGTAGTCTGATCTAGAGGTTTGTAGGCATCACTCGTGAGATGACGTAGAATTACATTCAGATCCCAGGCAGGAGCTCTGAATTTTCTTTTGCTGGTCCTCCAGTTTAAAAGATCTCAGCAGAGCAAGTAATTCTGGTACTTTCGTCAACTTGATGCCTGTCTTCATGGATATCACTATACTGATGGCAGCGAGACACGTGGATAATGTTGAACCTTTCAGATGTCAAGTATGTCTAAGATGACATAGGTATTCCGCCACTTGAGGATGAGTAGCTTTCATAGCAATGAAGCCTTTCCGCCTTGCATATGTCTCAAACTTCTGCCACTCGTCATCATACAGGTTACGAGTGGATCTGTGTAACGCTAAGGTTACTGCCTTGGCTGCTCTGGCGGAGTATCCTCTTTTCTTCAAACATGTTTTGATACGGTCCACACGTGTAGCTGGAACAGTACTGGGTTCCCTTGGACTTGCTTGGTGTGCGGATGTATGAGTAGGTTTGGGTATTCTGGTAACTTGATTGTTGGACTTCCGAGATCTTCTATTAGGTCTAGGAACCATACTCTCGCTGGCCAGTAGGGTGCGACCAAAGTCAGTTGTAGCGTCTGAGTCTGTTTGATCTTCAACAGTACTTTTGGTAATAATATCGGGGGTGGAAACACGTAAGCGTTTAGTCCTTCCCATGATATGCTCAGTGCATCTGTTGCCCAGGCTTAAGGATCTTGAACTGGTAAGACAAACATCTGTAGTAGTTTGTTGAACCTCGTGGCAAACAGGTCTATGCATGGATATCCTATTTCCCTTATGATGAGCCTGAATGCTTCTGGATGGAGCATCCATTCTGTAGGTACGGGTGCAGTGGTCGGGTGAGAGCGTCTGCAAGCACGTTCTTGGCTCCGGGTATGTGACACGCCTTTATCCAGATGTTTGCTTCCTCTGTGATGTCGAACAACTGGAATGTGAGCTGTAGAAGGCTTGGTGACCTTGTAGATCCTTGCCGATTTATGGAGAATGTCACTGTAGAGTTGTCCGTGTGGACCATCAGCATTCTGTTGATCAGCGAGCTCGACCACAGTTATAAGGCGTTGATCACGGCTTTCACCCCCAGCAGATTGATGTGAAGGTGCTGCTCTGTTTTAGACCACTTCCCTGATGAAGACATTGCCATGTTTGTAGTGTTAACGGGGAGATGACTGCTTGTGGAATCATGGCTTGTATCTTGACCGAACGATCTTCTGGGACCACAATTCGATTCTGTGTTGTGATAATTCTTTTTTTCCCAGCAATTGAATACCTTGTTTTGATTCTAACTCCAACTTCATCAGGTTCACTAGCCATCCTAGTTGCGTGAGCAACTTAATTGTGAAGTTCAGCTGCTGTCTAAGTTGATTGGCACTTTGAAGAACCTGTATGCCGTAGTCAAAATAACCGGCACTGCATAGACCTCGATGATGCAGATAGGTGCCAATAGGCTTGGTTATTCTTATGAATAACCATAGAGCCGACGATATTCCAAACGGTAGGACGTTCCACTGAAAGTGCTAACCTCTGATTGCAGTGATGATACATCATTCTTCCCCTTATATACGCAGGCGATCTGTGTTGATCAGCATACATCGAAGCGTTGTCTATTTATAGCAAGGCTGGCTCCAGTATCGCAGGGGACAGGTACTCATACCAACTTTTATCAGCGACAACTTCCAAGATAAACATCGTTTATCCTGCTGTCAAGGCTAGACATCTATTAGATTCCCATGATGATAACAGGCCGTAGTTGTATACTGTTTCCAAGGCTGCCGGTGAAGTATTCCCCTGTACAACGGGATTGTTTACAAGTCAGTAAACTTGCTGGCGCCTGCTCTGTCAGTAGGATGCGTTGTCTGACGTGGACCAATCAGCTTCCAAGCATGACGTCACCGGTGTTGTAGAAAGTTGGCCTCCATAAAATCTGGTGCAATAGTTGGCGCTCGTAGTTCTACGCCGCTCATATAACCTCTTGAATAAGGGTTCCTCCAAGTATAAATTCTTGTTCAGTGATATTAATCACGTATTCCCATTGTGGATAATATAAGTCAGCATGACGAAGGAGGCTGTCGAGACGTATGTCTATATGGATCTTGAAGAATACCGATGTTGAATCTAGTTGATAGGATATAAAATCCTAACCCCCCACGCTGAATGACAAGTGTTAATAATATCATCTGCACGTCCGTTCAAGGATTCTTGAAGGCGTTGTTAACCTTAAGCCCTTTACAAAGGTCGCCTTGAGGTTCTCCAGTGCTTGAGATATTGGCTTCATAGGTGATATCATATTGGAGTCGAAGTCATCAGCGTATATGCAGTAAGTGTCTGTTTGGTTGGAGTGAGTGAGTGAACGACAATATCCGCAGGCCATCTGCTACCCTGGATAAAACCTCAGCATCCGTGTAGATGAAGGGATTCCTTTCATCAAGTAGGTTGTTTTAATCATTGCTACGTTTTATTCAGCCGAATGGTAATAGAGTCAACGTCATCACCCTGCCTGTTGATTTAAGGGTTCATTAACCCTAGGGTACGCGAACCCTGTAGATGTCTGCGTTGCTGTTATCTGCCTGTAAATCTGAGAGTTCTTGAACCTTGTAGATGTCTGCAGCTTTCTCAAAAGCTATGTGTAGGTTAGAAGGTACCTTGGATATAGGTTCAATCGGAGGAATGGTCACTGAGTCAAAGTCGTCGTTGCACATCTTATATGTGTAGACTTCATCCACATCCTTAGAAGGAGACTCCAAGTTCAATCCATTGGCTATCCAAGCTAAAACCTCTGAGTGCGGGAAGATGAAGTCGGCTTGTTCATCAGATATATCTCGGTCCGTAGAACTATGCCTCCGCGAATCATCCTTCTGCGAACCTGTATCCCTAGAGTCATCCCTTCTCGAACCTCCATCTCTTGCATCAACCTTCCGGGAACCTCTATCTCTAGATTCCTCCCTTCGCGAACCTCTGTCTTATGATACAACTCTTCGCGCACCTCTGTCTCGTGAATCCTCTCCTCGCGAACTTCTCTATCTCAAGATCCATCCCGACAAGTTGAATCCTGCCTCCGCAAACCTGGTTCTCGCGAACGTCTGTGAGAGATGTGTGATCTCGATATAGATTGGCTTGGTGTTGGAGATGGATCCTTAGGTGTAGATGTCAGCAGATGAGAGGTTCTGTCGATCCTTCGCCTCTTCCTCGAACCTACGTTTCATCATAGCCATCATCTGGTTGGTGAATTGCCTCATGAATTCACATGGATCAAAGTTCTGCATTGATTGAAGCTGCTGCGGTGTAGATTAAGCGTTCGCGAATGCTGATGAGTTGTGTGCCTCGACTTCACTCCATTGAGAAGTTGGTGGCTGGTCGTCAAACAGCTAGCCTGCTGTAGCAGTTGCAGGAGACGATCTAGTAGTCATGGAAGTCGATTGAGTCGCCGATCTAGTAGGTACTTCAGGTAGAAGTAATGGAGGTTCATCAAATACGTCTACTTCATGAGGAGGTATAATCTCTTCGTTGAAGGATTTCGGATGCGCTGACTTACTAGGCCGCGTAGATTTACCCTCCCGATCTGGCTACAGATGCTCTCCTCTGTGACGTAGATGAAGACGAAGTCTTCTTCTTACTTAGAGCCAGTGTCAACTGCGATGTAGCCGATCTCTTCTTCGCCCCCGTACCAGACGACTGCCCCTGCAACGTACTCGACACAGCACAAGTATTATGAATTTCTGCAGTAGCAAGCAACAAACGGTTAGCAGGTTGATCTCCTGATTTATCAGCCGTGATATGTGATGACTTCCTCACCCGATCCATGGCACGTCTATAGATATAAGACAAATATTGATTAAATTGTAGATTTGATAAATCAACACAATATGTACAACGCAAGCTGCAAGAACATGGTTAGATGCACAAAGGGCATAGAGGGTGAGGATCAGCTACGGATAACCTGTGCCCCTGCAAGATTTCATGAAATGTAAACAAGCTACATTATGATGAAAATATGACACAAATACAAAACAATTCAATTTTTTTTCCATATAATACTAAGTAATTATAGCCAAATCCATACACAGCGTAATTTCAAAGAATAGGATCTAAATAAACAGGATATAATGCCATATACGGGACTCCAGTGCTCGCCCAACCATCCGCTTGGGCGAAAAGGGAGAGAGTGACAAGTAAGGCTGGTCACATGACTGTTTACGCGGGAAAAGGGAGGTAACTCGTGGGTGAGTGTATTTTTATGTCCGCTTTTGGAACTTCGAAGGATTCAAGTGTCCCACTACCATTCCCATAGGAAAGGGAGATAAGCAAAAGATCAGGAGTCAGGATAAGAAAAATTGTTCCTTATGGGTCAAATATGCCGCAGGACTGTGCATAAATGTGTTTAAGTGTGCCAAATATAACAAACATTATGATCAAAAAGCTTTGTTTCACCAAAGATGGATTATAAGTACTGGCAGTTTTGTAAGTTTTCAACATTCCTGTTCATGGAGATGGTTCATGCCATTTCTGAGTTAAAACTCGGCAGTATTTCAGCCATACCACAACTCTGAATATCCATATGTTCATATGCTCATTTTGTAATTTCTTTTCAACATTAATTTCCTTTTGCTTATTATGCTATCCATCGTATTGTTAAAAAAAACAAGAATGCTGACAGGGCATTTCAGACACCAGGAACACATGTTAACCATGGCATTACCATGGAAACCATGCCACATGCACCAAAACAAAGAGATCCAAATCCTGGATAGTGACATATCCCTACCTGACATTTTCTCACGACCAGGTACAGGCTTAAGGATATATTTTGATTTTTTTCCCCCATCTTCATCTTCAACAATGATATCTTGTTCATCTGAAATACGCAAAATGTGAAAAAATGACTAAATGATTAAACATCCTTTTAAATAGACACATTTGCAAGTCTTAAAGATTAAGCATGAAAGCCAAGAGCTCCTTGTCAGCAACCTCATGTTGAATATTTGAGATTGATGGGATCTCTACATTCAAATACAATAGGAGTAAACCTCAAGGTACGTCATGCCCTCTTTAGCTGCATGTACAATTTACCAGATGAGACAGTGTTCTCTCGCAGTTCATTGATGAATTAACATTAGTGAGAGAATGATAAGGGGTTAACATGCTTAATGCCACTTTGAAAATCTTCCTGTGGAATCCCAAAGTGATGCAGGTATTACGCACTTACACTTTGGTGGAAAAATAATCCCAAAACCAAAGGTTTCAGGCATTGCACAGGGAAGCAATTCTTGACGATGAATTTTTATATAGGACTGTTAAAATTAGTGGTGATCCGATTAATTGAAATAATCGAAGATTGGTCGCAGTGACTAAACGACCAAGCAATCAATCATGTTTTCTCATAATCATCAACAATATTTTTCACAAGGTTGGTTTTGTCTGTTACATTTCATAAGCACTACAAGCTCGTTGCAAGTCATGATTGAATTTATCTTAAAGACACCAAGAAATTCATGTTCCTAACATACTAGTCATCCTTTAAAGATGAGAAATTTTGCCCAAAAAAACCCAAAATAACTACGTTTTTTTCCTTATTTTTTTATGCATTAACAAATTTCATGAATGACGCTAACCAATTATTTTCAATGACTGATCGATGGTCATGAACCAATCATCAATTATGAGCTTTTAACCAATTCCCAACACTAGTTAAAATCATTGGTTTCAGTCATTGTGAAGGGAAACAACTCTTGACAATTTCATATTTGACTGACTGACTGAGTGAGTTTGGTTTTACGCCGCTTTTAGCAATATTCCAGCAACATCACGGCGGGGGACACCAGAAATGGGCTTCACACATTGTACCCATGTGGGATTTCATATTTGAACTAACAAGATGTTAACATTTTTGTCTTGCCTAATGTTTCCTGCTACTTCATAGTAACAAAAACTTCACCTTGCTTGGATGATGAATTGCAGTAAAGGTTGCACTGTAAGAGTTGATATAACAATGTCTACCTTCAATAATGACATCCTCCCCTGTATCAGCTGTGGAAGTGACATCGGTGCCAGATGTCATAGAGCTGCAGGAGTGGACGCTTGCAGTGTCCGTGTCGTCATTCAGCACCTCATCCGGTGCATCATTCAAGGTATGGAACATCACTCTGAAACAAGCGCCACCACACAGTTATCCTAAACCCAAAACAATAGTGCGAGGAACATTATAGAGTTTTTATTAACATCACTTTGAACATTAAATTATATCTCAGAATGACAACTTACTTGAGGAGGAGTATTCCACACCTACTACTTTATTGACCCCCGCAAGGAAAGCTAAGGTATCAACACACCTCGAAACACTATTAGTGAGTCATTGTTTATGGTTTTATGCTGCTTTTAGCAATATTCCAGCAGAGGACACCAGAAATGGGCTCAACACATTGTACCCATATGGAGAATCAAACCCGGGTCTTGAGCACCATGAGTGAACGCTTTAACCACTAGGCATCTTGTGCCTCGAGTGGATGGTTACAAGTACTGTGACAGATAATAACACTGCTCAACAGCAATACAACTGTAACATAGGAATTCCCATCACAGGAGCATTAACATTGTTTGACAAGTGCATCTATCACTGACTGACTGACTGACTGAGATTTGGTTTTACGCCGCTTTTAGCAATATTCCAGCAACATCACGGCGGGGGACACCAGAAATGGGCTTCACACATTGTACCCATGTGGGGATTCGAACCCGGGTCTTCGGTGTGATGAGCCAACGCTTTAACCACTAGGCTACCCCACCGACCGCATCTATCACTAATGTTTGTACTGGTAAATAGACTGTTTTGAGTGAGTATGGTTTTACTGCGTGTTTTGAGCGAGTATGGTGAGTAAGTAATATTCCAGCAATATCACGACAGGGAACACCAGAAACAGGCTTGAAGTATATTAGGAGTTTAAGTGTTCAACACTGACTTAAAACTTATCCATGCAGATCCTATTTAAAGTATAACCATGTAATCAGTGATACATACAAGATAACAACATGGAAGTTGTTATCTCGTATGTATCCACGTTTCCACTATTTTGTCAATCAATTGTGAAGGTTGAAAGATAAAAATAAGAACATGAAGTAGAGGTATTGCAACCCTATGTTCAGTTGTAAATGGGTGTGAGTTATATGAACAATATTGAATGAAATAGTTTACATGATATACAATGAACAGATGTGACAGTGTAATAAAGTGTTTATCTAATACAATTCAGTATGGACTTGTTGACATTATAGAGAAGAGTTCAGGTTAATAGACATGTATTGAGGGCAGCTTCCTCTTTACAGTTACGCTAAGAGACCCAAGTTCCAATCCCCACATGGGTAGAATGTTTGAAGCCCATTCCTGGTGTCCCCCGCTGTGATATTGCTAAAAATACTGCTTACTGTGGCATAAGACTATACTCACTCACTCAGACATTTTCTTGTAAACAGTGTCCTCTCTACATAAGGAAATAAGGTATCTGAACATTCAACATATAATGACCTTTTAGGCACTTCTCCTTGCACAGAACCATAGCTCTTGAAGGATTCCAACATAGAATCTCCTCCTTCAAACCTGGAATAGAACATACCTGAAGAAATAACTAATACATTATGTCTATACTTGCATCTTATGCAGTATGGAAGTACAGGCAATACAAGCATACTTTCATTTTGTATAATTTCATTTTTGTTGTTTGACATCGTAGTCAGACATATTCCAGCTATATCAAGGCAGTTTATATAATATTAAAGCAAGACCAGAAAAAACAGTAACTGAGAATTATGAACTATGACCACACCATTTTGGGAATAATGACTATACTAATTCATTTAGTCTGACCACCCAATACAAATTTGGAAATTTTAATATAAATTGTATATTTATATATTTATCCTATCTCACGACTTGCACCTCTCTTTCTTGCTTCGACTTTTAGTGGAACGACTGTAAACCTTTTTCCATTCACCCGTGCAATCCATGCTGCTCTCCTTAATTAGCTTCCAAGTCCTAATACAGCTTGCAGCATGCTCCACTAATTGCCCACGTGACTACAGTCCGTTTGAGTCAGAAACGGACCGATGAATTACAAATTTTATCATTGTACAAAATTGCCACATAAATATAAAATAGTACACATGTTTATCATTTACTAATACCCAACAGCTTTCTTATATTTGAAAATTTTCCGGACTCCACCCAAAAAGTTGTTTAAGAAACTATCATCATTGAAAACGCAAAAGTTGTTATCTGTCGGGTCGGGGTGAAACCGCAGAAACGGAACAGCCACTATCTCGTCATGCACGGGATACACATGCCTGATGAAAAATGAAGTTGAATGCTGACGTGAAACAGTTGATGATTAAAGTGTACGATTTTTCCGTGCTGAAGCGAAGGGGCAAACCATTTTATGCCATTAATAAATTCCGTAAGCGGGCAGCAAAAGCTTTAGGAGTATCAGCAAGGGTACTGACAAATGTTTTGGAACACAAACATTGTGAGGGTGATGCGAAGCAGGTAGGGGTCGTGTCAAAATCACACAAATTAAAACATTTGGACAACTTTCAAAAGAACCTTGTAAGGCAGTCGATCAACAAGCTATATTCTGACAACAAATACATGTCGCTGAAAATTTTAAAAAAGCATTTGAAGCAAGAACACAACCTCAGAGTATCAAAGTACACACTCTGGCAACTCTTACACTCTTTCGGGTATCGTTATAAGAACATTTTGGGGGAGAATAGGTCAGTACTCTGTGAATGCCCTGATATCGTTCGCTTGAGAAATAATTTTCTTAGGGTTATAAAGAAGAAGCGCGAGGAAGGGTTCGAGCCAGTGTACTTGGACGAGACCTGGGTCAATGCCTCGCACACTGCCAGCAGTCAGTCGGTACCCGATGTAGGGAAAGGAGAGAGACTAATCATTCTCCATGCTGGTTGCTCCAGCAAAGGCTTTCTCCCAGGCTGCGACTTGGTATTCAGGGCAAAGTCCACAGATAACAGAGACTACCATTCCGAGATGAATGGTGCGGTTTTCCTCGATTGGGTTAAAACAAGTTGGTACCAGCTCTACCAGAGAAGTCTTTTAACGTAATGGACAATGCCCCATACCACAGCGTGCAGGACCCCGACAGTAAAGCCCCGACATCGAACAGTCGAAAAGGTGATATGATATCATGGCTCGACAAATTTCAGATCGCACGGCATTCAAAGGCAACGAAGCCTCAGCTATATGAGATCATAAAAACCCACAAAGGTGAACCTTTCTAAAAAGTTGCGAGTTACATAAAAAGTAAGGGTCATGATATTCTGCGACTTCCACCCTATCACTGTGACCTTAACCCCATTGAAATGATATTGGTTATTGTCAAAAGAGATGTTGCCAGATCAAACACAACTTTTAGATTACGTGACGTAGAGGTTTTGGTTAAGGAATCCCTTAACAAAATCAGGACTGAAACTTGGCAAAACTGTGTCAACAAGGTAGCTAACGTCATTGAACAAGGTTACTGGTCTCGGGATGGCTTACAACAGGCAACTGTGGCACCACTTGTCATCCCTTTAAGTCGTGACTATGACACTACGATGGATGAGGAACCGACAGGTCTCCCGGAATAGATTTTGAGATGTCCCCCTCCATGACTAGCTGTTCCGTTTCTGCAGTTTCACCCCGCCCCGACAGATAACAACTTTTGCGTTTTCAATGATGATAGTTTCTTAAACAACTTTTTTTGGGTGGAGTCCGGAAAATTTTCAAATATAAGAAAGCTGTTGGGTATTAGTAAATGATAAACATGTGTACTATTTATATTTATGTGGCAATTTTGTACAATGATAAAATTTGTAATTCATCGGTCCGTTTCTGACTCAAACGGACTGTACCTTGAATGATCATTCTCAGCTTGGAGCCAACGTTGTAATTTGAGTAGTGGGGAGGCCGGGCGGGCATTCATCGCGTGAGATAGGATAAGTATATAAATATACAATTCATATTAAAATTTCCAAATTTTTAAACTTATCCTATCCCACGACTTGCACTTATCCCACGGTTGGACGGCGGGCCGCAGATTACCCTTCTGTCTGGACAGTGCGTCTTGGAGCTGTGTGGACTGATGACAACCGTAGATAGCGATGTACAAGGGAGGCCTGTTACGCATGCACGCAACTCCTATGTTTGTAGTGGGTTCTCCGGAACCCCTTGGCTTACTAAGCACAACAACTCCCAGGGAGATGGGTGCTCCCAAGCGATGTGGTGTTCGGCCGCAACCTTGCACAAGACAAGGGACGCAACTCGGCAAGTAAGCCTCGCCTTGCCACGATTTACAAGGTACCCCCGTAATTAAAGTCTTGCGACTGGAATCAGGCCAGCCCCTGCTTCAAGAAGGCCCCCCAGACACCGACCGAGGCGGGTGAAAGAGAAACACAACTCGGCATCTCCAAGGTTTAACGTTCAGTCCTGGGCAGCATCAAATTGACCCTCACTCCTTTGCATAAGCTTAGTCAAAGGATGTGCCCGGCAAATTTGGAGCAGAACGCAACGAAATCCACTGGAATTCGGGAGTGTCACACTTCACCAGATGTTGCTTCATGGAGTAGAGGTCAGCAAGCGTGAATGTCGAACACCTCTGCATCGTCATACTGATTGTGCCTCAGGTCCGTAGGGCCACGCTACGGACCTGAACAACAAGACTCTTGTCTTGCCTTGGCATGGAGGCCAAGTGAAGAGATCCAGTTCCACTTTTATTCAGTATATACAAGGAAGTAGTAACGCGAATGCGGAACCGTCCCTCATCTGCGTCGTTGGGCCGATGTAAGCTGCTAAGCCAGTACAGGAGGTCCGAACTGGTGTAGTCCCTGGACATCTGGGACAGACAGGTCTCGCAAGTAATGTGAACAGAAGACATGCGTAAAAGGTTGATCGACACCATCCTGAAGTGAGGCGGTGGAAGCATGAAACGGGCATTGAACAACTTCATATTGAAGATGAGCCGGAGTTTTGTTGGAATTTTTCTTTGGAACCATGAAGATGAGGGGAGTAGAATCCTGGAGTGACGGGTGATGGACCTAAGAACTCTATCGCGAGTTTGTCTAATAGCGTACCTATTGTGGATTGCAGAATCTGCAGCTTGTCCACAGGATATGAGCGATGAGCCGGATGCGACGTCACAGGTGGACTGCCAATAACGGGTAGCTGATAGCCGTGAAGTAGCAGGTTGGTGACGTACGGATCTTTGAGGATGGTCCAATTCGGGACGAAGATCTGCAATCTCCCGCCTACCGGAGTGTTGTAAATCGCAACGGCTAGTGCGATTGTCTCAAGCCGTCTCTGCTTTCCGGCACTGGGCCAGAGTTGGTCCTGGGGGGGGCGACAGGAGGAACCACCACGGCCAGATCTATTTCCTCTGCCACGGCCTTGAGTGGATACGCCACGAAACAGATTGCATAAATCCGGATTGGTACGGGTGAACTGTGCAGTTTGACGCTGTTTTAATGAGTCCACGAGCTGTGACTTCTGTATCTTTAACAGTTCAATCGAGACTTGAAAGTGGGTTTCTTTATCAACTTTATTAGATACTTCTTGGATGCTACCATTGAAGAGGGAGTCAGTAAACCAAGGCTGGCGAAACAGTTGTGTTTTAAATTGCTCCTCCCATGAAGAGATGTTAAGGGGTCCACGTCAGCGAACAGCAAGAGTGTAGCCCAAAAAATGACACAACTGATCCAGGATAATTTGGAACTGGTCCAGAGCTAAAGTCATGCATCCTCGGATGTAAGCGTCTTGATCAGAGTAAGTATGCTCCAGAGCAGTGTTAACAGCGTCGACTGCTGCAATCACGCAACTAATAGATGGCAACGTCTTTCTCACGGCTGAATCCATGTGAGCCAACTCTTGATCCTCCATAAGGTAGGGCGAAGCAGCTCGTTTGCCACACAGGGTTCCAATATCCTCATCAACTGTTGGAGTCGTAGAGATTTTTGTTAGGCCGTGGACATGAGAGGTAGAAGGATTATATCTGGGAGCAGAGAATCCGTCCTTAATTTGTTTCAGGCTCTTGAAACCATCATTTAGTGTACTGGATAATTTCAGAATACAAGGTCGAGGTGGTAGGGTGATGGTAGACCAATTCCGGTTCCTAAGAGTATAAGAGTGATCCAGGTCATCTGCTGAAGTACTCAAGGGACTGACTGACTGAGTTTAGTTTTATGCCGCTCTCGTACTCAAGGGAAGTCGGAGCTTCTAAACAATCCAAAGGAGTACCTGAGGTGTCTCAACTGCTGCAAAGCTACCCCCAGGGGGAGATAACTCAGAATTGAGCGGGAGATGCAGGCATGGCTATTTGGACTGGATCAATCTCAGGAGGTGGACCAGATGAAGAGAAAGGAGCTACCGAAGCCAGACGGCTGGAGTAGAAGGCTGTATTTGGTTCCAGGCTGAGGTTATGGCCCTGATCATCATATTTAGATCCGGAGTCGCTGTAGGAATGGAATTGTTATCAGGTTCTCATGACTCAGCGATGATCCTGGAGTGAGTCGAAGGATTCTCAGAGCGTGTAGACGGAACATCGTAAGAGACTGTAGGCCTATGAGCAATTATCACCCGAACGTCAGTCAGAGGAACTATCGCAATCTCGACGTGGTAAGTACCGAAGTAGGTTGGTAAGCCCGTGATCTGGATTCCCTAGTATGGCTAGGTGATCCGGTATGATATGAAGAACTAGTCCGGGTCGCTGTAGTTCTATTTGGAGATCTGGTTCTGATTGGAGCTCTGGTTCGACCATCTGAATAGGATCGGCCATGAGATGTGGATCTCTACTGTGATCCCGATTGGTCAGTGGCTCTGTAAGGTGATCTAGATCGTATAGGTGACCTGGGTTGGTAAGATGATCTGGATTTGTAAAGTGATCTGGATCGATTCGATGCACTAACTGGAAACTGTGATTGTGATCTGGATCTATAAGGTGATCTGGATCGAACAGGTGATCTGGTTTGCAGTTGTGATCTGGCTTGATTTGGTGATCTGGACTGGTTAGGTGATCTACTTTGATGTTGTGATCTGGATCAGTTAGGTGATCTGGATAGATCAGGTGATGTGGATCGTAGTTGTGCTTCTGGATCATGACTGTGATCTGGATCGATCCGGTGATCTTGATCGGGCTTGTGTTTGTGATCTGGATCGTGAAGGTGATCTAGATCGTTGTTGTAATCTAGAATGATGTGGCGATCTGGATTCGCGATGAGGTGACGAAACCTGAAGTGTTGATTCATGATGAACGTCCCCCGGCGACGCTGTTGTAGCCAGCTCCATCCGGTTCAATGAACTGTGGGGAGACAGTTGGTTGGCCAGGCTCCAAACAAACAGACAGTTGAGGGGATATGTACCTATGATCTGGATGATGATAGTGTCGATCTAAGGTCCCCTGGTAGTGTAGATGGGACAGTCAACGAAGAATTGTCGATCACAACCTACCGCGTGTGATCTGACGCTATGGAAGGTGGTGATTGATGCGTACGTAATAGGTGCCGAACGTCCTCAGATAAGTAAGAATCTGATGACGCGTCCATAAAATCCTCTTGAACCACAGACGTCGCTCTCTTGCCCGAAGGTACGATTTTCTGTCGCTGTAACTTGATACGCTTGGTGGGAGTGGGATCAGATTCTGTTAATTTCCTGTCCCTATCGGCGATTCTCCGGGAGCAAACATGAATGTAGGCCTTAAAATCCTCATCTTTTAGTGAATTACACTTGCCACATCGTTTGTTCCAGTTTCATTGTCCAATACAGTCACTGCAAGACGAGTGAGGGTCGAGGGACGAATAATTCATCTTGCATTGAGCACAAATTTTCCTCTTCCTTGACTGATTATCAGTTTTCCCCATGATGTTAGGGTGAAATTATGTCCCTAATATACAGGACGTCCACACAGTCGTGCGACAAGAAAGAGAATGATCATTCAAGGTAGTCACGTGGGCAATTAGTGGAGCATGCTGCAAGCTTTATTAGGAAATAGGAAGCTAATTAAGGAGAGCAGCATGGAGTGCACGGGCAAATGGACAAGGACGCCTATGGAAAAACGTTTACAGTCGTTCCACTAAAAGTGGAAGCAAGAGAGAGAGGTGCAAGTCGTGAGATAGGATAAGTTTAAAAATAAGATGCTTTAAACAACTAAAGAGCTTGGAGCCTATCTTGAAACAGGCCCCTACGAGGAACTTCAGAATTGTTATAAAGTAGCTGTGGTCAACAGCACCACATTAGGCACTGGTGACACATCACATCCTCACACTTACATAGTGATGCACTGTTTGACGTTAACATTTTTTACTACCAGACCAGTGGACTAGTGGGTGTATTTACTAGACCTGACCTAATGTCAACTGGACCATACTTTTGGAAGACAAACAAGGTTATTTGGAGTGATACAGATAATATCAAAAAATCTGACAGTTTGTGTCTCTAAATTATCTCAATTATGACAATACAAGTGAGCGAGTGAGCGAGTTTTGTGTTGCACTCAGCAATATTCCAGCAATATGGAAGCGGTCTGTAAATAATTGAGTCTGGACAAGACAATCTAGTGATCAACAGCATGAGCATCGATCTTCTGACAATACTAACTGTGGGCTGGGTGTAATTGTTACAAAGCCCTGGCGCGTGGTCCTGTGCTTAAAGCTCAGGTCACAAATCGGTGAAGTTAAGCAGCGTCGAGCTCGGAGAGTCCTTGGATGGGTGACCGTGTTTGGCAGCTTGACTCCTGAGAGTTTCTAGGACTTGATTCCTGCCCCACAACGAAGCCTATGTGACACATGTGGTCTCACCTTAGGCAAGTGAGTTTGTTCAAAATTGTCTCTGTTCACCCAGCAGGAAAATGGGTACCCGGTGGAAAAAAGTCATATGACTATAACCTTCTAGCGCCTAACAGGCAGCTTGGGTTATCCGGGGTATAATGGCCTTGATTGTTAGCGCTATGAGCATACCTAGTGTGGAGTTTGGCGCTATATAAATGGACACATTATTAAAGCCAAACCATAAGTTCTGTGGAAAGGATTCTCTGGCTCCATTAAAGAAATTGGATGCTGTGTGTTAACTTTTTATCATCTGGGACTCATCAGCCACCTTAATCTTTACCAAAGTTGGTTGGTTGGTGTTTAAAGCCGCACTCAGCAATATTCCACCTATATGGTGACAGTCTGAAAATAATCGAGTCTGGACCAGATAATCCAGTAATTAACAGCATGAGCATGGATCTACGTAACTGGGATGCGATGACATATGTCAACCAAGTCAGCAAGCCTGACCACCCATTATGTTAGTCGCTTCTAAAACAAGCAATCCTAACTCGGATCTTCACGGGTCAACGGTACCATGTATTTGTACTCACCGAATCCCAGTTTCCAACTCTTGATTTGCGCTGGACAAAACACACATCAAATCTTTGGCACGATTCAAACTATCAAATATGTCTTTGGCATTCAGGATCATTTCATTGTTGTTGTTCATGATACGCTGGGCAGCTGTAACAAAGAACTAGAAATACTATCTAAAATTTGGAAAGTGATGATAATTTATCAATGTCTTATTTTAGCCTATGTCAGAATAATTATGACAAGTTGCATTATGTGTTGCGGGGGGTAAAATACTGCCAGTTTCCAAAGCATTAAGTTGTCATCAGAATTTGTGAGGAAGATGACAAATCCCCCTGGCCCCAACAATTGTGAAAATGTAATTTTTCAAGTAAAATTGATATTTTATAATTACCCTGACTTATGATTATCTCCCTTTCTCTTGCGAATGGTAGTGGAACACTTGGATCCCTTGAAGTTCCCGAAGCAGACGTAAAAATACACTCACCCACGAGTTACCTCCCTTTTACCGCATAAACAGTCACGTGACCAGCCTTACTTGTCACTCTCTCATGATTTTTCTGCCCATGCACTTGGATCTACTGTGAAATCCGAAGTGTTTCCAGCGGGGAGGTTGGCCTCATGAGTCAGGATAAGTATAAAATATCAATTTTACTTGAAAAATTACATACTTTTTCTTAACCTGACTCATGATCTTTTGCTTATAGAATCCTTCGGATTGGTGGTGGGTCAGGCCACTTCCTGGATTCATCAGCTGTCCTTAGATACGTCCTGTATCCCCCCCATGGGAACTGCGTAATGGCATTTCCGAGATCCTATTCTTCCATCTTCCGTTATAACTCGGGGGGACCACTTTCTTGTCTTACTTCCATCTCAGACAAGTTGAATCATCTTGATTCATGTGGCTTCAGATAAACTAGTATCTTCTTATTAATAGATATCTATAACAACTCATAGATTATGATAAGATATTTATCATAAATGAGTTGCGACCCCTTAATGTACAGGTAAGATCTTTACCCGTACAGGGTCTTTAATCACTCATGCTAGTCTGTCCTAGACTGTGCGCACGGACTTTCAAACTAATACTTTTCCTTAGTAAAAGTTATCAACAAATCAACGTGATAAAGGGTGAGATTTCCAACTCAGCACCTTTGAGGAACTGTTAGTTGCTGTGCTACAACGAGAGGCCCAAATTGGTGAATGCCGGAGACGTCTTCGGTGGCTATGTCTTGGAGGTAGTGGTTGGCAAACACCGTGTCCGACTTCCAAAGGCAGCCCTCCATAATTGCTGATATAGAGCAATTTCCGTGCAGAGCCAATGTTGAAGCCAGTGCTCTGACTTCGTGTGGGTTGGAAGCTCTAGGAGGTTCTAGTCCTGCTGCTTTATAGGCTCTCAATATGACAGCGCTCATCCAGAAAGATATTGTTGTTCTTGAGACTTCTGCTGATGTCTCTGAAGATAACGGGATGAACAGGCGCTTGAATTTTCGTCTCCTTGTTTTAGTCTTTTGAAGATATATCTTCAGGGCTCTGACCGGACACAAGGATAGGTCCTGCATATCCTCTGGTCCGGGGATTGTGGATAGCGCTGGTACGTGGAACTGTCTATCTGGTTGACCAGGTAGTTGGTTCTTGGCAATAAAGTCCCATCTAAGTCCTAGATGTACTGCAGCATGTTGACCCCTGTCGAATCTAGTTCGACCAAAGTCCAGCGCATGTATCTCTGACATTCAAGCTGCCGTGGCTAGTGCAAGCAGGAACAGAGTCTTCTGTGTAAGCAACTCGAAGGTAGTCTGATCTAAAGGTTCGTAGGCATCACTCGTGAGATGACGTAGAATTACATTCAGATCCCAGGCCGGAGCTCCGAATTTCTTTTGCTGGTCCTCCAGTTTAAAAGATCTCAGCAGAGCAAGTAATACAGCAAGGCATCTCACAAGAGTGTGGGCACTTTCCATTGTGATGTGCTTCCTAATCGTCCCAATGAGTCTGAGATGGTAATAGCAGGTATGACACAACTTATCCACATGCGAATCTAGAGACAGGCCCGAATCAATATAAGCACCAAGATCTTTTATCAAAGCTGATGGTGTGATGTTAACTGAACCAATCTTCACACTATCGATGTTCAATTGCTCCAAGCTCTTTGGTTTCCCAACAAGGAGAACCTCTGTTTTAGTGTCATTCAGTTTTAGTTTTCTGCCCGTCATCCATGTCTTGATTTCCAAAGTACAATTCTCAATCTCTTTCAACATTGATTGGGCATTATTTGGCGTGAACTTTGTCAGGAGTTGGTTGTCATCTGCATCGGAAAAGTGTGGTATTAAAAATTTGTCACTGATCAGAGAGAGTTGGTTGATGTAAATCAGGAAGAGCACTGGGCCTAGAACAGATCCCTGTGGAACACCACATGACAGAGTACTCTTCTGTGAGATGCTGCCCGACACTGTGACTGACTGGTGTCTAGCAGACAGGTATGAAGAGAACCAGGCCAGTGCTTGTCCGCCGATTCCAGAGTGATGTTCAAGAATGTGGAGAAGAATCTTGTGGTCCACAGTGTCAAATGCCGCACTCAGATCTAAGAGTGTCAGAATTGCCACGTCACCTCTATCAACCAGGCATCTTAGGTCATTTACCACTCTTAGAAGGAGAGTTTCGGTAGAGTGGTGTGGGCGGTAAGCTGATTGGTACTCGTCTAAGATGCTGTTGCTTGACAAGTGATCCATCAACCTCTTGGTAGCTGCTCTCTCGATAAGTTTGGAGAGAAAAGTCAGATTAGAAACCTCTTGAATAAGGGTTCCTCCAAGTATAAAATCTTGTTCACGTATTCCCATTGTGGATAATATAAGCCAGCATGACGAAGGAGGCTGTCGAGACGTATGTCTATATGGATTTTGAAGAATTACCGATGTTGAATCTAGTTGATAGGATATAAAATCCTAACCCCCACGCTGAGTGACGAGTGTTAATAATATCATCTGTACGTACGTTCAAGGATTCTTGACGGCGTTGTTAACCTTAAGCCCTTTACAAAGGTCGCCTTGAGGTTCTCCAGTACTTGAGATATATCGGCTTCATAGGTGATATCATATTGGAAACAAAGTCATCAGCGTATATGCAGTACGTCTCTGTTGGGTTGAAGTGAATGAGTGAACGACAATATCTGCAGGCCATCTGCTTCCGTATGGGCGAAAAGGGAGAGAGTGACAAGTAAGGCTGGTCACAAGACTGTTTACGCGGGAAAAGAGAGGTAACTCGTGGGTGAGTGTATTTTTACGTCCACTTCGGGAACTTCAAGGGATTCAAGTGTGCCACTACCATTCACAAGAGAAAGGGAGATAAGCAAAAGATCACGAGTCAGGATAAGAAAAAATGAACAAATTTGAAAGAACAATTCATCTGACAATTACTTAAAGTCCAACTTGATTTTTACAGATTAAGTCCAAATTGTTTCCATGGAAATCATTAAAAATATAAATGCCAAAAATCTGCAAATAGCAAAAGGCACTTCAAGATCTAATGAATATATCTGCCAAGTCTTGTAGAAAGATACTGAACAGTTTTCATGTTGTGCTCCGGAAACTAAGCCTACCCCTCCCTTTTGAGTCCAAAACATTTCCATGGAAACCAAGAAAAATAAAAATGACAAAAATATGTAAATAGCAAATGGCATCACTTTAGAATCTGTTTGATATATCTACCAATTTTTGTTGAAAAATATTGAGTGGTTTTTGAGTTATGCTCCAGAAATAAAATGATTATGGATGGAAGGAAGGCGAGACGAGGCATCGACTATATCCCCGCACATTACATGCCGGGGGATAGTAATGGGCAATCATTTCAGCCTGCTTATAGCAAGTTATACACAAAACACATGAGCAACCTTTCTCATCAAACACCAATCACTTTTGGGGGTTTTTTTTGGGTATATTGTATCTGCATGTCATTATTAAAAGAAAGTAGTGTTTCTCAGTCACATCAGTTCTGAATATGAATATAGGTACCTTTTATAGAAGAGTCAAGCTTTTTCTTCTCATTCAGCATCTCTGATTTCTGGAAAATAACACCTGCTTATAAACTTCTTGAATGGATAAGGCAACAAAAACTTAGCGATATTTTAGATGTAATAAGGCAAGTTCAGTGTTGAAATCTTTGTTCTAAAGGGTAACTTGGAGCACCCAAAAGAAAGAAAGAAAACTCACCATTTCTATAAGAGGAGCTACTCCATCCTGATACACAGTGAACACCTCCCCCATTAGCTCAGCCTCCCTGTAACATCAGAAGCAGGGGAATATGGCTCAACATAATTCTAAAACTGTTTCAGAACTTCAGAAACTGAACGACATATATACTCATGGAAACGAATAAAACTGACCGACTGAGTTTGGTTTTACGCCGCTTTTAGCAATATTCCAGCAACATCACGGCGGGGGACACCAGAAATGGGCTTCACACATAGTACCCATGTGGGGATTCGAACCTGGGTCTTCGGCGTGACGAGCCAACGCTCTAACCATTAGGCTACCCCACCGCCCCCGTTAGATAAAAGAAGCGAAAGTGAGTTATGATCGAAGCCTTGTGATTGGTACGCTCAACTTCCCAGGGTAGACACCTAATTGGATAAAAAGCCAGCAAAGGGAGTTAATAAAATTATCGAGCTGTAGATGTATCCAAGGTACTGGTAGAGATTTATCAGAAGGTATAGCCTGGAGATTATATTATTGAGGATGATGGCAACACTGAAACATACAGCACCAACGAAGTGCTCACATCATACCTCACTTGTAATGCTGCATGTAATGTCTGGAAATGCATTCTGATGGAATCAATGACAGCGGAGGTTTCACTCTTCACAGATGGTACAGACTGTGACAATATCTGAAAAAAAACAACATGACACTTGCAGTGAAACCTTGGGAAACAATCAAAGATATATGACATTCTCTGAAAATGCAGTTAGTGGAATATCAATACATAATCAATGGAGAAGATACCTCAAACAAAGATCATTGTATCAAAAAATAACTGAAGAGAAATAACTGAAAAAAGAAATAGTTTGGGAGCACAACTACCCATATTGAGCTTCCACTCCATCTGTTCAGCAAACTCTATTACTGATTCCAAATAATAACACAAAATAATAGATATCTATAGAATCAATGTCTATGAAGTTCATTTTACTAGCATTTCAAGAAAAGAAAATTTGGCATTCTATCTGAAATTACCCATCCTTCGGATAGAATATGAAATACAACCTTAAATACATCCCACCCTACACACAGAATGCAACTGTGCCCTTTCTAGTTCCCAGTTTACCTTATCTGCCTTGTTCAGCTTCTTCACAACCTGTGATGCAAACTGTAACGCAGGCTCCATGTCTCCAAGCAGCATCTTATTCTACAAATTGCATACAATTCTGTAGGGATGGGTATTGCACAGAATTTTCATATTGCGATATATTGCGATGCTAAAGCATGTATTGCAATATATTGCATGAAGTATTTTTAAACAAAAACTACTTATAAATTTAATCGAAGTTACTGCTTGATTAATAGAGCAAAAAACACAACAAAAATCACTATGCTTGATTAAGCTTTTTACCAAGCATTGTCACTAAGGTGACATAATCCCCCCGCCACAAATTATCAAATCAAACTTAAAAAGTAATGAAAGTTTAAGATGAAGTTAAATGTCAACAAAAACATGACCAGTCAACCTCTCTTGATATCTTCTCTTTAGTTGTTCAAACTCACTAATATCTTCAAGACTGACTTTGACCTTGACATGAATGTCATAGTGTATGAAATATGCAAAAATGGTACTAAAGAAATTGCTTATTGAAAAACATTCAAGGGAAGTCTTGAAAGTCTATGAAGAAAATCCAATGAATTCAGGTTAACATGCTGAAATCTTCAAAGTGATCCGGTGAGTGTTTTTTGCGATATCTTGCTGACTATCTTAACATGCAATTTAAATGCTGAAATCTTTAATGTGTCACTGTGACCTTGAAAATTAAGTGAAGGTCACCAACATCGACAATGTAATTTTTGGAGTAAAATTGATATTTTATACTTATCCTGACTCATGCTCTTTTTGCTTGTCTTCTTCTTCTTGCGAACATAGTGGAACACTTGTATCTCCCTAATTGAAGCTCCCTTCAATTTAAAATCACTAATTAGTATTCACCACGAGTTACCTCCCTTTCCCTGGCTGGCGGGGAGAGAGAGCCACCCTCTACCCATGTGCCTCACTCTCTCCTCATATACTGAGCCCAACATTTGAATTTACAGGAAATCCAAAGTGTTATTTGGGGAGGATGGGAGGGCTGACCTCATGAGTCAGGATAAGTATAAAATATCAATTTTACTCCAAAATTACATATTTTTCCTTATCCTGACTCATGCTCTTGCTTGTAGCATCCTACGGAGCGGAGGTGGGAATATCTAATACTTTGGATTTTTAATAATTAGTGATTTGAACTGTGATGATTGTAATAACCCTATGGGAACTTCATAAAGGCACTGAACTGATGAATTCCTGCTGCTAACTTATCAGCTGCCATATAAAGGTTATTACCATGTACTTATTATGATAAAGTATATATAACATTAATACAATGCTTAAGACTAATAGACTTAAGCTTGTTAATATGCTAGTATAAACTCCTTAGAGTTTGTTAGCTAAAATACTTTAAGATATAACATAGTACTAAGCTTAAGATATGATTAAACTTAAGCTAATTATATAATAGCAAACTCTTTAGAGTTTGTTAGTTAATATACTTATATGATATAGATATAATGCTGAGCTTAAGATATGAATAAGCTTTAGCTACATATATAATAGCAAAAACTCTGTAGAGTTTGTTAGCTAATATATTTTTATAATATGAGTATAGTACTGTGCTTAAGCTATAATTAACTTAAGCTACATATATAATAGCCAAACTCTGTAGAGTTTGTTAGCTATATATATTTTTATAATATTAGTATAGTACTGAGCTTAAGATATAATTAACTTAAGCTACATATATATAGCAAAACTCTGTAGGGTTTTGTTAGCTATATATATTTTACAATATGAGTATAGTAGTGTGCTTAAGATATAATTAACTTAAGCTACATATATAATAGCAAAACTCCGTAGAGTTTGTTAGCTAATATATTTTACAATATGAGTATAGTAGTGTGCTTAAGATATAATGAACTTAAGCTACATATATAATAGCAAAACTCCGTAGAGTTTGTTAGCTAATATATTTTACAATATGAGTATAGTATTGTGCTTAAGATATTATTAACTTAAGCTACATATATAATAGCCAAAAACTCTGTAGAGTTTATTAGCTAATATGTTTATAGTGTAACCATAGTACTAAGCTTAAGATAAGATTAGACTTAAGCTAAATGTATATAGCAAAATAAACTCCTTAGAGTTTATTAACTAATATACTTTTATGTTAAAAACATAGTACTGAGCTTAAGTTATGATGAAACTTAAGCTATATATATATAATAACAAAACTCCGTCGAGGTTTTGTTAGCTAATCTGCTATAATGTAAACATACTGCTTAAGATATGATGAAAACTTAAGCTAATTGTATATAAGTGAAAACAACCCTTTAGAGTTTGTTAGCTATGATATAAACCTAGTATTGAGCTTATGAAGGAAAACTTAAGCTACATATATAATAGCAAGAACTCCGTAGAGTTTGTTAGCTAATACATGTTATAATGTAACCATAAAGCTTAAAATATGATGAAACTTAAGCGAAATATATAATAGCAAAACCCTCTTTTAGAGTTTTGATAGCTAATATACCTATATGATATAAACATAGTACTGAGCTTAAGATATGAATAAGCTTAAGTTACATATATAATAGCTAAAACTCTGTAGAGTTTGTTAGCTAATACATGTTATAATATAACCATATTGCTTAGAAATATGATGATACTTAAGCCAAATAGCAAAAACTCTTTAGAGTTTGTTAGCTAATCTACTTATATGATATAAACATAGTACTAAGCTTAAGATATGAATAAGCTTAAGCTACCTATATAATAGCAAAACTCCTTAGAGTTTGTTAGCCAATATATTTTAATAATATGAGTATAGTACTATGCTTAAGGTATAATTAGCTTAAGTTACCTATATAATAGTAAAACTCCGTAGAGTTTGTTAGCTTAATTAACTTAAGCTATGTATAAAATAGCCAAAAACTCTGTAGAGTTTGTTAGCTAATGCATTTATCATGTAACCATAGTATTACTCTTAAGATATGAATAACTTAAGGTAAATATATATAATAACAAACTCTGTAGAGTTGTTAACTTATATATTGTATGATGTAATAATCATAGTACTGTGATGATAAAAGGAACTTAAGTAAATTATATATAGCATGAAGCTATTTAGTATTGTTATAAGATAAGTAAAATCTGTTAGATTGACTTATCTTCTCGAGAACTGTCAGCTGTTGTGCGAGGACCATGGGATCGAATTGGTGTATACCTGAGGCGTCCTCGGTGGTGATATCTCTCAGATAATGGTTTGCAACCACCATATCAGTTTCAGAAATAAACCCTCCATTATTTCAATCACATTTGTGTAGAACAATTGTAGAAGTTAAGCTATAATATCATGAGTATTAAGCTCATGGAGGGTCGGAATAGGTCCATCGCATATGCGCGTAGTATGACAGTTCTGATCAAATGGAGATATAGTACATGAGACTTCACTCTCGTAAGTTGATGATAGAGGAAATAATCTGTTGCATTTTTTTCCTCCTGTTTGGTTTGGTGGAGATAAATTTACAGTGCTCTTGCTGGCCATCTTGATAGAATCATCGTATCATGGGGTCCAAGTATGTCATCAAGCGTGTTCATAAACCTCACTTGTGAGGTGTTGGAACACTATATTCATATCCCCAGGTTGAAGTGAAATTTCCGTTTTATTCTCCAAACAGAAGTTTAGTAGGTTTACTAACCATCTAGTTGTGTTAGTAAGCTTGATGAAATTCAGCTGTAGTCTGAAAGCTGTGGATTTAGATCCACTTGTATCTTTCGTCTAGGTAATTAAGCTCTGCGAAGTCCTTGGCGATGTAGGTGCACAACCAGGTGTGTCTGTCCTCGTTGAACTTTATGTAAAATCGCCTGACTGCCGATCCCTCGTCTTAACTTGACAGGGGAGGTCTCTATGAAGAAAGGCAGTCTAATCATGAATGTTCAGGTTAACTGGACTGTAATGAGGCTTGCTCGTTCACTGATATATAGTTGTCACTTGTGACGTAAGTCTTGAACTGTGAATAGAGATCGACCTCTGTGTAGGTCGTTGTCCCTCATGGTCCAATCAGAACAAGGCATTTTGATTCTGTATAATACCAGCTGTGATGTCACGGTGTAGCGGGAAAAAACCCACCTTGAATAAATTCTTGTAAATTCGTTGATATTAGCATAAGCGTCGGTCTTCACGTAGCTTCGAAGTTATCCAGTGACCACGTGTTTGAGGGTTAATGGTAACAGCTTGAAACCTCGGTATGAAATATCTCGCTCTGTAATTTTATGCTGGGTAGGTTATTTTCCTGGTTGTCGTGAAAATAATTTCAGTTTTGAATATAATTCCGACTTCCTTATATATAAGGGTATAAACAACTTGCAAGTTGTGAGCTTGTAGACTGTATACATGAATGTATCGTCATAATTGTAGAATTAGCGTTGAACTTGTTGTACATATTTCTTCTCAGAAACTTTGGCGATTAAGAGTTATACTGGCTGTAACAAGGCTGCTGTTCAATTTCGATATTGAATTGTCTGCAGATATGCGTAATGGTCGCATGTAGATAATCGTATCGTCGTCGAGTTGTATATTAGCAATTTATCACGGAATAGTTGATTTCTGTGAAGATCTATGAAATGTCGTTGACTAATAATACAGCGGCGTTCTGTGTTGTAAATAGCCTGAGCAATTATCTTGGCGTAGGCTTATAGGCGGCATCTGGCATACAGTTGATAATCAACTTATGCGGCGTCTTGAAACGGACTGGCAGTAGCTATATATGGCGAGTGGCTAGTATATGGAAACCTTGGAGGAGACTTCCTCGGTGAGCGCCCGGAGACTTAGCGAAGTTCTCGAAGTATCCCTTCTAGATCTTCTGGGTGAAGTAGACTTGGAGCCACTTAGCCTTAGCGACCATCAGCGAAGGTGTCGAATCAAAAGCCGATTAGTATATATATATATATATATATATAATATATATATGGCTTGCTTGCCGTGAACAGCCTCTGTGTTTAACAGGATGTGGGATCGTGGCGCTTGCCTAAATAGGGGCGCATGGATCATCTTATCATATTCAGAAGTGGGTATTCACGAAGTCTGGTGATAAGTGTCTAATTGATCGTTCTAGATCTATTTAGGCCAGCGAACATCACGTCTCGTCATGGATTCAACAGAACCAATATCACGATTGTAGTTCTTATACTTGATATCGATGATCAACTTGTCTATGGGTTGATCTTCGGAGACTTGTGAGGAGCGTTGATAGTTTTGAAGCTCTTGTATAGTCCCTCGATGTCCTTCTAGATGATGATGATCTGGATTCAGGTGTCGCCGCGCATGCCTTAGCGAAGCTTCCTCTGCGTCGGTCGGAGCGGCGATATGACTCAGCGAAGGCTTCCGTGATGTCTGATGGTCGAGTCCACATCTAGGGATGAAACGCGCATAAGGTGATGATCTATCCTGCCTTAGCGAAGTCGCCAGCGAAGGCTGTACTATCTAGGTTCTTTCGCCAGCGAAGGCTGTACATCTAGGTCCTTTCGCCCGCGCGAAGGCCGCCAGCGAAGAGCTGTACATCTAGGTCGCCGTCAAGGTGGTCCGTGACTTCCCAGCGAAGGTGACATCGTCCTGGCTGCTCGTTGGCGGGGGTGCCTCTGGGGTGCTGTCACGTTGGAGCCTTCCCGGCGAAAACTTCGGACCCTGCTACGCAGATATTGGTCCTCCATGATGTTCATAATTTGTCGCATCATGTCTTCTGGGATGGTCTGCGGCGAGTGCGTCGGTGCTTTATCTGCGGTGTTAATGGAGGGTCCACGGAAAATCGTCCGACATCAGTGTAGAGGCATCAGGCTGCATGGTGATCTCTGCTGATGTCGTTGTAGCTATCACCGGTCGTTTCTTGTGGCGTCGTCGGGGATGATGATCAGCTGATCATCGTAGAGTCAGGTCATCGGCTGGAACAATCTCGGTTGAAAGTCCTAGTAGACCGTTGATTTTCCCTCAGAGGTCGGCGCTGCCCTGGGTGTCGCGGCGTCTGCGTTGAGTGTTGGTAATGATGGGACCCTCAGGGCGATCATCGCATATCTGCGTTGGTACATCAGGCTGCATGCTGATCTGTGCCGACATCGGTCAATCTTTGATGTACATCGGTATGATGACCGGCTGATCATCATACAGGCCCAAAACGATGGGAGCGGTCACCGGTTGTTGAGATGTAGTAGAAAAACCCTCTAGTCTTCTGCTGCGGCGATGGGATGTCTGGGGAAGCAGGATGCTTCTTGGAGATGGCGGACTCGTCCACACCTCTCCACCACTCTAGCGGAACACCACCGCGGGAGAGTCGACCAACAGCAGTAGACTGGCGAGGGTTTCGGTGTATCAGTCATACTAGACTCTGCATCACAGCGACCTATCTGCTGCAATGCGTGCCAAGCGCCAAAGTAAATATTAATAAAAGGTAGAATTGGATAAATTAGTACGCAACTGCAATGTGAATATAATAAACATGGCGCCGTACATCATATTAAAGGCGGATCAGCAGCAGCATAAAAAGCGTAATCTGCAATAGTACAGAATTTTCATCAGCGTAATCCACTGAAACAAACCACGGCGTCCGTGAATAAACTGTAGAAAAGCGACTAAATATCAATATATAATCGTTGAAGGATACTAGCTAAACCTCTATAGATGTCTATCACGAGGGTAACTAACTAAATATAATTCAAAGGATATAGTGTGTTAGGAGACACAGAGCTCTCGCGTCCAGCTCACTGGAAGAAGAAGAAGAGTGAGGCACATGGGTAGAGGTGAAGCCCTCGTTCAGCTTGTGGAAAGGAGGTAACTTCGTGGTGAATACTAATTAGTGATTTTAAATTGAAGGGGCTTCAATTAGGGAGATACAAGTGTTCCACTATGTTGCAAGAAGAAGAAGACAAGCAAAAGAGCATGAGTCAGGATAAGGAAAAATGGCGGAGACACCTTTCTTACAACACAGCCTATACCTTGTTACACTGCTAACAGCACATAAGCTGGGTATGGTCTTATGCCACATTTAGCATTCCAGCAATATCCCGACGGAGACACCTTTCTTACAATACAGCCTATACCTTGTTACACTGCTAACAGCACATAAGCTGGGTATGGTCTTATGCCACATTTAGCATTCCAGCAATATCCCGACGGAGACACCTTTCTTACAATACAGCCTATACCTTGTTACACTGCTAACAGCACATAAGCTGGGTATGGTCTTACGCCACATTTAGCATTCCTGCAATATCCCGACGGAGACACCTTTCTTACAATACAGCCTATACCTTGTTACACTGCTAACAGCACATAAGCAAGTGAGTATGGTCTTATGCCACATTTAGCATTCCTGCAATATCCCGACGGAGACACCTTTCTTACAATACAGCCTATACCTTGTTACACTGCTAACAGCACATAAGCTGGGTATGGTCTTACGCCCCATTTAGCATTCCTGCAATATCCCGACGGAGACATATTTCTTACAACACAGCTTATACCTTGTTACACTGCTAACAGCACATAAGCTGGGTATGGTCTTACGCCCCATTTAGCATTCCTGCAATATCCCAAAGGGGACACCTAAATTGAGCTTCCTCTTAATGATCAAGCAAATGTTTACATTTTGTCTAGCCGTCGTAAAATCGTGGCACTATAACATATTATCTGTAATTGGGTAATCATTTACTTCTGGATATACACTACCCATCAAAAGTTTAGACTCACTTAAAACACTCACTATATCTTATGTATACATATATAATTTCTCCACTAACTTGGGGGAACTAACTGCATAGCTTATCCAGGTGAATTGCACGAGGATCATGCCTTAAATTGGTGTAAAGTTTTCTTAAGAATTCGCCAATTTTCACTGAGTTTATGAATTTATTGAACTCATGACAACAATCTATTCCATGTTACGAATTTGTTTTACAATACATCAGTTCAAGTGGAAACAGTGCCTTTAAACTGAATGGAATATTTTGTAAAATCTAGTTTAGAACAGCTGACTGAAGTAAGTGGCTACATTTACACAAGTGAGTCTAAACTTTTGATGGGTAGTATATAAACAAGGAGGTGTTTAGGGAATCGGAATCGAGCTTACTGGCACTGGCAGCTTACACAGGCCTTGCAATCCCTATAGCTTTGTCCTGTGATACATACATATATCTAATACACATATAACACTCCTACTTTCATATTCACCAGGTGATATGAAACATAAGCACACACCTTTTCTTCCATAGAGGTGATTGAGTGTTCCTTGTGGTCGCCCATGATCACACACCGGGAACATATAGCTGTATCGTCGTCATCACAGAAATACTCTATAGGCTTGCCATGGAGCTTACATAGTGGGGAGATGTCCTCGAACAGGCTGGCAACATAGCGAACATAATATACCATACAGTGTTCACGAATAGCGTCTGACCCTCTGACAAATCCAGCAGATTCGCCAACGGTCAGACAGAAGTCTACAACCCGCTGGCCCCAGTGTCTGACTGTATATTTCACAATGACTTTGACTGAAGTTGTTTTATGTGACATGTGACACTTGTTTGCTGTTTATAAATCTTATGTTTGTTAATAATTTCAATACCAATTATAAAAAATATTAAATCTGAAATGTGTGTTTAATTTTATTCCATGGGTCCTGTGCATTTTCAATGGGTCAGACAGACATCTGAAACTTACAGGACCCAATGTCCTGTGACTTTGAAACACCATTCGTGAACACTGCCATATAGGCTTGCCATGGAGCTTACATAGTGGGGAGATGTTCTCGGACAGGCTGGCAACATAGGGAACATAATATACCATATAGACTTGCCATGGAACTTACATAATGGGGAGATGTCCTCGAACAGGCTGGCAACATAGGGAACATAATGTACTATATATGCTTGCAATGGAGCTTACATAGTGGGGAGATGTCCTCGAACAGGCTGGCAACATAGGGAACATAATATACCATATAGGCTTGCCATGGAGCTTACATAGTGGGGAGATGTCCTCGAACAGGCTGGCAACATAGGGAACATAATATACCATATAGGCTTGCCATGGAGCTTACATAGTGGGGAGATGTCCTCAAACAGGCTGGCAACATAGGGAACATAATATACCATATAGGCTTGCCATGTAGCTTACATAATGGGGATATCTTGGGCTGGCAACATGGCAAATGCATTATTCTCTATAGGCTTGCCATGTAGCTTACATAACGGGAAGACATCCTCGAACAGGCTGGCAACACTGGGAACATAATATACTCTATAGGCTTGACATGTAGCTTACATAGTGGGGGATATGTCCTCAAACATGTAGCTTAAATAGATTACATAATGGGAACACATCTTCAAAAGGGCTTGCAACATAAGGAATATATTATTTTCTATAGGCTTGCCACGTACCTTACACAAAAGAGAAAATGTTCTGAAGCAACACAGAAACCATGAAGAAAAATTTCTGGATTGCATATAGAATATATCTTGCTTATCTTAGCATTTCCAATGGAATATTTACTTATGCTTGTGTTTCTTACTTAGCTTTATGTTCTGTCCTTCAAGCATACCAAACAAATTTCATACCAGTTGTCATCATCAGCGAGTCTTGCCGCCTGGTGCTGTTTCAGAGTATTGGATAAGGAGTGTACCTACAAGACAATCATCACTACATGGAGTTCTCTTTCATACATTGCTGATTCAGCTGAAATCTCATTATCATACATTATTAGATGTTTTCATAGATACAAGCAGTGTTCATTCTACAATGCAGATTAAATGTGTTTATTTTATTTAGGACAAGAATTGTAAATGACAGGCTGCAGGTGAAAGCGTGGCTTCATACCTAAATTCATCTAGCAATGTCAAACACATGTAACAAACATTTGACGACCTAGCACAGCGTTTATGTCGGCAATGCAAAGTTTGAACATGTCATGTTAAGAAGAAGAATTAACCAAACAGTGCAACACCTTCAGGTATTTGATTTGCACTTCATGCAAGTAATCATCAAATTAATGGCGGTTGCAAAAATTTGCAGCAGTCGGGTTTTTTCAATTAAATTTTTTTACAGAAATTGACAACTTATGCGACAATTCAAACAAGCATAAATTTGTATCATTAACTTCCATTCACGGCCTCGAAGATCAGAGATGCAAACAATAGCAGCTTATAACTGCTCTGCAGTCAATATGTGCCTAGTGTAATGTCTGACAGTTTGCTCAAAGAAAATATCTCTTGGTATATTTATTCTTGATCCTGCCATTTTTAAAGACAACCTGATGTTTTGGCTGCTCCTGTGCCCGGTTTGCACTAGCTTTTAGGCAACTAGAATGAACACTGCTTGAAAACATAACTCATGTCACTATCACTACATCTCCCACAATAAAAATACTTTCCTTATCCAAATACTTTGAATATTTTAATGAAACATTGTTCCACACACAATAACATCCATAGTAAGCACAACTATCTGGACCATTTTACTCTTCAGCTATCAAGATTAAATTAAATATATGAAATATTAGTATGCAACAATAAGCAAAACGGCAAAACAATTCCATGGCAGTCTTTCTGAACTGACCACAAAATTAACCTGTGCAGAAACCCTCCTGCACATGAAGTTTATCACAAGAAATAACATAACATTCTGAACACAATACTGTAGCTTATGATTCATTGCAGCCATCTCACTGAGGCCATGAAGAAAGGGTGTTAAATTCTGGAAAACCATTAGCACATGTTGCTCTGTACTAAATTAAATAATTTGTAAGAGATTCAGAGGCAGTTGGCTAGCCAAACTATGCTATCCTTTTGTTTATGTCTCCACAAGCCCAAAAATATTCAATGTCCACTAAAGGAGTACTGCTTACCGACCTAATAAGAGCCTTGGCTGGGTCTGTGTTGCCTTTTGTGCTGAATTAGGTCACTCGTTTGCATTGCTGTATACAGTGTCTGAGTGTGAAGGCGCTATATGGCAGACTGACTGACTGAGTTTGGTTTTACGACCGCTTTTAGCAATATTCCAGCAACATCACGGCGGGGGACACCAGAAATGGGCTTCACACATTGTACCCATGTGGGGATTCGAACCCGGTCTTGTGCGCTGAAGGATAACCACTAGGCTACTGGACCCACAGTCTGCAATTGGGAAGTTCATACTGATGCTACAGTAATATTTGAACTCACTTGTGTGTGAAGGATTACACACGCAGTCTGTGGAGTTCATATTTCTGATATATTTCTTTGTGTGAACTGACTTCAATGTGTTTTTCTGTATGTACACACAATGCACGCCAGGTTTTACATTTCCACCTAAATAAAATTAAATATATTGAAGGCATTTTTTCTGATCCTGACTCACAGCTGGACTTTTTGTAATGTTTACAATGCAGATATTCTGTAGTCCAGGTGCAGGACTATCTAACAAGCCATCAATATGACAGTCAAGACAGTGCTGAATGAATCACAGCTACACAAAATGGTAACGTAGATTTTCAATGGAGTATGAGTAACCTTACCAGTGAGACAAAACGACATGCTAGGGCTGCATGTTAGCCTTCACTACGCTATACCTGTCTACACTGGAAGCCACATCCCCGTACCTTGTCAAAGCAGAGGCCACACATCACACAGTCACATTTCACACATTTACATGTGGCTCTGTTAAGCCTGCACTCACAGCAAACACGGCCTGCAACACAGATAATGAGCATACTCAATTACAGCAGATTGGTTGTTTCACTGGTGTTTAACGCCGCACTCAGCAATATTCCAGCTATATTGCGGTGGTCTGTAAATAATCGAGTCTGGACCAGATAATCCAATGATCAACAGCATGAGCATCAATCTACGCAATAGGGATACGAGACATGTGTTAACCAAGTCAGCGAGCCTGACCACCCTATCCCATTAATCGCCTCCTACAACAAGCATGGGTTGCTGAAGATAAATTCTAACCCGGATCTTCATGGGTATAATTATAGCAGAATTAATGAAAACTATTTGGCAGACCAGAGCCATGCTTCAAACAGAATGTTACTCCCATTCTTTTTCAGAGGTTTACAACAGTAAACAGTGCTGAGATCTCTGCATGGAACAGGATGCTGGCTAATAAATACATGGAATGACTTTTACTATGACAGAAATTTTCAAATACTTCGAATTATCCAAAATTTGTTGCTACCATTTATTTAACAAATAATATGGCATCAAAATCACCACTGATTTGGTCACCATGGAGACTGAAATTTACAACTGGCAGCCAATACTTTTTAAAACAGATGACACTCAGGAAACTTTGCAAACATTTTCAGAATACACATGCTATAACAGAATTATACACCAGTGACCCTAATCTGAAAGGTGGCTCTGTAAATTTTACATTGGCGCTAACATTTCATTTATCTGCTTGTACTGAGTGAAAAGAATGGCCATAAATCGGTTTGAACTTGTTCCAGCAATATTCCAGCAAGAGACACTAGAAATGGCCTTCACACATTGTACACATGTTGAAAACAAAACCCAGGTCTTTGGTGTGACAAGCTAACACATTAACCACTAGGCTACCCCACCAAAGCTACTAGAGTGAGTGAGTGAGTTTAGTTTTACACCGCACTCAGCAATATTCCAGCTATATGGCAGCGGTCTGTAAATAATCAAGCCTGGACCAGACAATCCAGTAATCAACAGGATGAGCATCAATCTGCGCAATTGGGAACCGATATCATGTGTCAACCAAGCCAGCGAGCCTGACCACCGATCCCGTTAGTCGCCTCTTACAACAAGCATGGGTTACTGAAGGTTCATTCTAACCCGGACCTTCACGGGTGCAAAGCCGCTAGATGACACAAGTCAGCAATTAGTGTCAAACTGAAGCAGAGACTTCCCATAATGATAAGAAACTATGTGACTGTCTGACGTACCTTTTGCCTCTGCCACAGCAGTCTTCCTGTTGACAGAAGCCATACCAGCTGCCGTCATCCTACTCAGCTCCCTGTTCATTCAGGAATGACAAGTTACATAATGACAAACAGCATCATGTCCTTGTAGACAAAATTAGTAATTTTTCAGAATTAGAAACACCTTCTACTTACAGCAATGATTCAGAATAAACATAAAACCATCACATGGTTGTTACAAGAAACATATTCAACACTGTTTGATGCATTCTCATCCCACACAGGTTACTTGTCATATCTTCCTACGAACCTCTGTTCTAATACGGCCATATTTCCCAGTTCTCGTAAAATCCCCTAGCAGCCAAAAATTGCAACAGGAATTGTCTCCCTTCTTTCTATCTAATCAGAACACGTTTTACATCGACTTAGATCCAACTTGACTAATGCAAGCAAATATGGGGCCACAAATATCCCTCCTCTGCTGGGAACTTGTGTTGATGTGACACGCAAGACATTTAATGGCTAGCTTGTTCGTGAAGATGCCATTGATCAGCCATTACATGAGTTCTGTCCAGAAGAAATGTTTGCGCATCGTGCAGGGGAAGAGGTTCTAGTTTTCCCGAAGCATACGGAAATTACCGAGACCTTGAGAATGATCACTTTTGATTGCACAACTAAATTTGATTGCTACCAATCACAAATCCTGAAAACTCGCACCATGAAAGGGCTGTATTAGAACAGAGGTTCGTGTAAGATATGACAAGTAACCTCTGTGGGAAGAGAATGTGTTTGATGGTGCCTTTCGTAATATTACAGAAATATAATCACAACACAGGACAAAATCCTCAATAGCCTCCGCCAGCCTGGCAAGATCATAATTATGGACAATTAATCTTTCTGTGGAAATATGATTGTAAATTGTCCTTCCTTGCATAATACAATGATTCATGGAAAAAATACAAGGTCTGGCATCAAACAAAAACCTAAAAATCATTTGAAGCTGTTTCTTAGTAAAAGCAGAAGATGTTTCTTAGTAACAGCAGAAGATATTTTAATTATAAGTCCAGAATATTGAAAGGCACCTGTTCAGCACTTGCTTGAGGTGTATGCTTAGTTTCATAAAGATATATAAAATTGTTTATGAGTTCTTCTGAAATCGATCAGAGTTTTACAAGATTTTTCTGACTGAGTGAATGAGTTTAGTTTTACACTGCTTTTCGCAATATTTCAGCAATATCATTGCAGGGGACACCAGAAATGGGCTTCAAACATTGCACCAATATGGGGAATCGAACCTGGGTCTTCAACATGATGAGTGAACACTTTAACCATTAAGCTACCCCACCTCCCCTTTTCACTACTGATCATGTCCACATGATCAGACATCTTACAGTGGTAGCATTTTACAGTTAATAGCCTCAAAGATCCCCACTACAGGAAACATGGTACAAGAATCACCGATAGTTTATATGATCTGGTGATTTACAGTTGACACAATTATCTGTACTTGTTTTAAGGAACACTTTGATTGTAAATCATTTCACTTTTTTCCACAGAACTAGTGATGTGGTGTCTAGTACTCACTGTTCCAGCAAAGCCTTCTGGCTGCAGATCAGGTACCCTGACAGGTAGTAATGGCTGGGGAGGTGCCGCACACCTGTCTCCCCTTGGGGCAGGTCGGTAACATCCTACAGCAACAAATACATGACACTGGTAACATCCTACAGCAACAAGTACATGACACACTGATAACATAACATCCTACAGCAACAAATACACGACACTGGTAACACCCTACAGCAACAAATACAGCAAACAATACATGACACTGGTAACACCCTACAGCAACAAATACACGACACTGGTAACACCCTACAGCAACAAATACACGACACTGGTAACATCCTACAGCAACAAATACACGACACTGGTAACATCCTACAGCAACAAATACACGACACTGGTAACATCCTACAGCAACAAATATACGACACTGGTAACACCCACAGCAACAAATACACGACACTGGTAACATCCTACAGCAACAAATACACGACACTGGTAACACCCTACAGCAACAAATACACGACACTGGTAACACCCTACAGCAACAAATACATGACACTGGTAACATCCTACAGCAACAAATACACAACACTGGTAACATCCTACAGCAACAAATATACAACATTGGTAACATCCTACAGCAACAAATACACGACACTGGTAACATCCTACAGCAACAAATACACGACACTGGTAACATCCTACAGCAACAAATATATGACACTGGTAACATCCTACAGCAACAAATATACAACACTGGTAACATCCTACAGCAACAAATACACAACACTGGTAACATCCTACAGCAACAAATACACGACACTGGTAACATCCTACGGCAACAAATACACGACACTGGTAATATCCTTCAGTAACAACTACACAATACTGGTAGCATGCTGATTAACACAGACTCCCAAATACCGAAGTCTCGGGAAGAGGGAAAAAACTTTTAGCATACAAAAATCCCCTGAATAGCGAAAAGTGTTGCCAAACATGTGTTGGCTCACTATTACACTAACCTGGTCACGTGACATGCGGCTCGAAGAGAGGCATACCAAACATGACCCAAACAGTGGGGGTGTGGGGTGGGGTGGGTGGTGTGTGTGTGTGTGGTGTGTGTGGGAAGTGGGGGTGTTTTGGTACCAATTCCGATCACAAGACAGGTTAATAGCATATGACTGGTTATAGCGTTCAAAACCGGCCCCGCCCTCTCTTGCCTTTAAGTGAAGAGGACGTAAGGGACGTATGTACACCCAAACCAACCCGAAAGGGTGGTAAGGCTTATACGATGTAGTGATATGAACCATATCGACATTGAACACAGAACCGATACCAATGACCAGTTACTAACTTGGCCAGGGTGGCAGGACACTCTCCACTGGAGAGAACCAAAAGACCGAACCGAGCACGATCCTTAGAATGCGTGTCAAGTCGATAATGAAAGCGTTCTGCCGGCTCCAAAGAGCGACAGAACCGATATCTTTATTGAGCAGTGCCGCTGTGTACTGTCAACAAAGCGGCATCTGCCCTACCCAGCCTGCCTTCAACCCCTCGGGCGAAGGTAAACCTTAGCATTGTAAGCAACAATTACGGAAACAAGCCAACGAGATAAAGTCCGCTTGCTAGCAGACTCCCCAGTCTTCCCGCCACCAAACAGAACACATGGGTACCCGTACGGATCCCTTTCGTTCGTTTGTTATAGTCACTCCAATGGGTGAGCAATTGAAAGATCTATAACAAGCAATGTCACTAAAGTGACATAATCCCCCGCCGCAAATTATCAAATCAAACTTATAAAGTAATGAAAGTTTAAGTTAAATGTCAACAAAAACATGACCAGTCAACCTCTCTTGATGTCTTGCTCTTTAGGTGTTCAAACACACATGTTTTCAAGACTGACTTTGACATGAACGTCATAGTGTATGAAATATGCAAAAATAGTACTAAAGAAATTGCTTTTTGAAAAACATTTGAGGCAAGTCTTGAAAGTCTTTGAAGAAGATCCAGTGAACTGTTTTTGAAATATCTTGCTGACAATTCAGGTTAACATGCTGAAATCTTCAAAGTGTCTCTGTGACCTTGAAAATTAAGTGAAGGTCACCAAATTCGACTGGGCCCTGCGCCTTCCCTAGATAAAGCTTTGTATTGAATATGAAGAAAATCCAGTGAACGGTTCTTGAGATAGCTTAACATGCAGGTTTACATGCTGAAATCTTCAAAGTGTCTCTGTGACCTTGAAAATTAGGTAAAGGTCACCAAAATCGACATGGCCCTGCGCCTTCCCTAGATAAAGCTTGGTTTCAAATATGAAGAAAATCCAGTGAACGGTTCTTGAATAGCTTAACATGCAGGTTTACATGCTGAAATCATCAAAGTGTCGCCATGACCTTGAAAATTATGTGAAGGTCACCAAAATCAACTGGGCCCTGCGCCTTCCCTAGAAAAAGCTTTGCATTGAATATGAAGAAAATCCAGTGAACGGTTCTTGAGATAGCTTAACATGCAGGTAAAAGATTAAAGTCCCCTTGTGACCTTGAAATTAAGGTCAAGGTCACCAAACCTGACTTGGGCCTTTCTTATACTGTGATGAACCTAGGTACCAATTATGAAAAGAATCTAGTGAATGGTTCTTAGGATATTCCAATTCGTACGTACGGACGGACGGACGAACAGAGCGTAATACTATATTCCCCGCTTCGTGCTAAACACGCGGCGAGGAATAACAACCCAACGAGATAAAATCCGCTTGCTAGCAGAGTCCCCAATCTTCACTCCACCAAACAGAACACATGGGTACCCGTACAGATCCCTTTCGTTCGTTTGTTATAGTCACTCCAACGGGTGAGCAATCGAAAGATTGGTCCCCGGTGTGGAAGGCTGGGTAAGGGGTGTTAGTTCGATATGAGCAGTCACTCGGAAAGCGATGTAGAACTGAGAGTGGTAGGTATCTGGGAGGCGAATACGGACATGAACAGTATAAATACTGTCAGTGTCGGGTCAGTGGGTATCGCATGGATGTACCCGACCCTTCTACCAGAGCTCACCACCACAAGTAAAGCCGTCTTCCACGTCAACAAGTGAAGTGAGAGAGACGATATACTTGAAAAGTCTCGGCCAGACGGCCAATTGAGGATAATTGGCAATTTCAAGGTGGGCTGGGTAGCCGCTGAGGTGGTCGAACCCTGTTCATGCCAGCTATGAAGCGCTGAACGAGAGGGTGCTGGCTAGGCAGAGCACCATCAACGAGGTGTGAAACGTGGAAATAGCCATGGAGTACCCCGGGAATTGTGGAGGTCAAAAGGCTCTCAACCAAAATCGAACACCAACCTGACTGCTGTCAATTCCAGCACATTGATGTGCAGGTTGTGACTTCGTCGTCAAGAGACCGCAGGTCGCCCAGAACATCGCACCAACCCGGGAGGGATGTATCTGGCTGGACTGAGAACGACGGTGTCTCCAGGAGGAGTCGCTCGAATAGATGCCTGACGTTTGTCCATCTGACTGCGTGAGGTTGACAATTCAGCACAGTTTCGTAAGAGTGACCAAGACTGATCGTGAGGTTCCCAGACTCAACTGTTATTCTAAAACCCTGATGAGCCAGTCGCCTAGGTACGGGTGACAACACCGGCACTAGCTGCGATCTGGCTATCTGGGCTGTAATAAACCTCAATTTGGTGAACACCCTTGGCGCCGTAATGTAGCCTAAGGGGAGCACACAAAACTGGTAGCACGTACCTTTGAAGAAGAACCGAAGGTAAATCTTGAAATCAGGGTGCAATTGAACAAGGAGGTACGCGACCTCGAGGTCGATTGACGTGCGCCAATCCCCTGTCTCAACAGATGAGATCACTGAGCGCAGTGTCTCCATCTTGAAGGACAGTACCTCTATTAACTTGTTCAGCTCTCAGATGAGAATGGGTCTGAACATTCCGTTCTTAATGGCAACAAGGAAATAAATGGAGTCAAACCCCACATTTTCGTGACCATTGGAAACCACCTCGATGGTTGCCTTGCCCAGCAGAGACTGGACCTCGGCACAGAGTATTTTCGTCGTCTCCCCGGAAGCCGACACTGGCATGTGTCACACTTCTACTGGGGTTTGTAGCAGAATACAGTAAACCCCTGCAGTTGGCAACATAACATTTGCCGGTGCCTGGGCACCTGAGGGATTAACAAGAAGCTCAACAGACTTCCGTATTCCTCGAAACAGTCCCGGGCGCCATAGGCCCATAACCGCACTCATCATAAGGCTGGCACAGCTACAATGCAGTCCCTAGCCAGATGAGAGTTGACCTCCGTTAGATGCCGCCCAGAGTCGCTGATGAAAAATCACCGGGGCTCTTTCCCCTTTCCACCAGCTCCTTCAGCAGAGCTGAGAGATGCGCCGAGTGGAGCATACAGCTCGTTGAGCTGTTAAGGGGAAAGAATGGCAGACTGACGGTAGAGTGTGAGGCCTTGTCCCGGAGGCCTTGTCCCGGATGCCTTGCTGGAAGCAGGCTTCCCCCTGGCAGGTGAACTCCAACGGTTCGGGTATTCGACATGGACAACACCTGAAGCAACACAGCCGCAATTCTATCTCGCACTTGCCCCAAGGCTGAACCTACTCAGTGTTAAGTTCAGAGTAGCGAAAAGAGCCGAAGCTCAAATCGACTTGTCCACTGTACAAGCCTGAACCCTGGTTCTGAGGCACATGGGAGAAGCCTGATAAATCAAGGTATCCCAAGCACTCAGACAGACCTCGGAGCGTCGAGGTGACCGACACACCCAGCACACTCGATAGCTTCTTGGTCAAGGGGTCGATAGACATCAGGCCGAGACCTGAACTACCGGCGCTGGAAATCGGTGCCCTACCAGTGACGAAGCCCAGGTCGGTGCTACTCACGGGACGGGGTTCAGAGCATCCACGGAGCCAAAGCTCGGCGGTTCTAGACCGAAACCCCGATCCCGCGACACATAGGAGTAGCCTGATAAATCAGGGTTCCCCCCGTACTGTCTCCAAAAGTGCACTGAGCATATAGACAAACGTAGCCTCAGAGCTCCAGATAAGATTTAGCTCATGTGGGTACTGTACCCACTGTATTTTTTGGGAGTTGGTATTATGAATGTTGAGTGGGTATTTCTTTTTCTGTTACCAAGTGCTTTCACATATGTGCGTATTTCAGTCATTTTACTCACCTAAGTATATGCCATTGAGTAAGTTTACGCAGGCATGTTTCCCGGCGATCAAGTTCAAACATGCACAATAATATAACAGGACGAATTCTGACACAGTCATCAGTAAAACATAATACAGAATACTATTATTTAACCCAAAGAAATATATCCTAGCATTGTGTAATTTTAATAACAGTTTTTATGTAAAATATATATAACCAACACTAAGGTTATATGGACCCTCATGAACGTGGTAAGCAGAAGTTGTACGCACATGGAATGGGGTAAAATACGGAAGCCATTTAAATTCACACATTTTTACCGATGTTACTGTAAACTAGCAGTCAATGGAAAACGAGGCGGTAATCAAAACCAACTTAATTATAATGGAAATGATTTCATAAAAAATCACTCAGCCTATACTGACAGTACAACATTTGTCCTATACTAACAGTACAACTTGATAACAATCGATGTCTTTTTCATTACACAAGCGTATTTTTATAAATATATTCCGTACACATTTGTTTTAAACTTTTTGTGTATCTAACATTTTAAATGCGTAATTGGTACGCAACAATTATTTTTCAATGCTTAATTGGAAATTTTCTATGCGTATTTTACCTGGATAGGCAGCTTATCTGGGCCTCTGCGGATGTCACGGCGGCTTAGCTGATTGGCTACTGTGAGGATGCGGAACCAGCCAAGGGAGGTAATAAAATCATCGGGCCAAGCCCTGGATGCATCCAGGGTATAGTGGAGAGTGATCGTAACGTATACCCTGGAGATTATCGAGGATGAAGTTTTACCTACCTTGCATGTCGGACAAGTGATGCTCTTCTTGCCGTCACGGGCCAACTTCAAGAGGCAAGACTCACAAAATGTATGGGAACACTTCAGCAGCAAGGGCTGGCGTGAAATACCTCGATGATCTAAAACAGACAGAATGTAAACAACTAATTGAGCTGAACACAAGTATCTACCTTGGCTTTCCTTGTCAGTTCAGTTAATGCAATTTTAAAGAGAGAAAGTACTGGATCTGTTTCCCTCAAGAAGCTGCAAAGTAACTATAAGCTCTGAAGACTATGCGATATTCATAAAAATGAAATCCCAAAATTAATAACTTTGGAAATTCTGTTTCGTATTGTTGTGTTTGTTAAACCAAGACAAAACAACAACTGATGCAGTTTCCGGACTCGTTAATCTGCATTGTAAATAACATACATGGGTTCAAGTCTCAAAAGGAAGTAGTCGAATCCTGTTTAACCTGGACATTTTGGTTACACTCGGAAATCGTCCGGATAGCGAGGCAAGAGATTAACAATGAATACACTTAGCTATGTGGTAAACAGTACTGACGTGACATATGCACATGCACATGCGCAGAGATCTTTCCGCCTGGATAACAGGATCATTTTTTCAATGGAAATCTATGGGAATGGTTTGAAAATTCTCTGTCCGGGTCCGGAAGCTTGGGGTCCGGCTAAACAAGTACAATTACAGAAAGTAAGTTTCGTTTCATCTTAAAATCATCCAGAAGGCAGGGTTTCCAGATATAAGGGGTCCGAGTAAACGGGGTTTGACTGAATCCTTTCTGTCTTGATCGTAACTGTTTCGTTGGTACAATGTTATGGTTGTGTTCTGTTATAGCCACTGAAGGGGTTGTTGTCGGTACAGGTACTGCTGATGTGTACTCCAGGTACATTTCTGTATACAGAAAAGTACCCAAATGGTACCCTTAACTGTGGATGAGTCCATATTCCACAACCCAAAACCAAAACGGTATGTAGTAATTCCTGTACAACTTATTGCAAGTGGTGTTGTGCATCGCAAACTATTTGTTACTGTGTGTGGTCATTTCTTATGTAAAGCTATCAAATGTATCTAATACAACAGTATGAGAGTTCTGGTCAAGAAAACAGCGCAATGCAGAATGGATCGGTCCTTGGGTAAGTTTCTGCTTTCAGATTTTGGCTTGGGTACATATCTGCAGAGCTTTTGTGGTGGAATAGATCAATTACTGAGCTCTGACTATCGATTGGCAAATTGTCAGCGATAACCAGCACTAATATCTATTTATGCTTATGGTTCCCATCATGAATCAGAGAGAGCAAACAACAGCCCAAAACAATTAATAATCCATGCAATGTTCCATACTAAAAATATTGAGTACTGTGTGGTATGTGTCATATGTGTTCAAACATTACATACAGAGCATATTTGAAAACCCTAATAAAACATCCAAAATTAGCTATAATCAAGAGATATGCAACTATGCTAAATATTTACGACATCCAACAATACTGAACGCAGGCACGAAAATAGGAGTCGACTGCTTGAGAAACAGAAATATTTCACTCATTTATAAGCTGTCAACGAACTTACATTCCACAGTGTACCTAATTTATTGACAAAATATTGTGTAGTTTGTAGTAAGGTAACCAGCACATCCATATGTCACAAATGGCATTGCCTTATGTGCTGAAGAAACGTGTGTCAAAGTGTTTGTTTATCATCAGGCGGGACCGTAATAGTTCAGCAAAATGGCTGGCACAGCAGCCGACACGACAGAGGAGGATAAAACTTGCGACTGCACACCTCGAAACTTAACAGCAAACGTGTGCTGACATCTCGGACAAGATGCTCCCTTTTGCATATTGTCTCAATACTTCAAGCTGCCATCAAAACGATTCATCTTTTCTGCATGAACTGTCTGTAAGTTCTCTGACCATTTGCTTTCCTTCGCATGTGGTTGAGTGGCAAAACTCACGTGACGTCAACTTGATCGCTCATTGGTTAAAATAGAATCAACGTCAATATTTTATTTTTGCAGTTCTACAAGACTAGTGGTGTTATTTAATTACTTATAAAACTGTAATTCATAAACTATTCTTTCAAGAATATATCTTTCTTGATATCTAGATATAAAGAAATTGGAATTTATAGCTTTGATGTAGGATCATATATTGCGCCGTCCCGGTATAATCACAGTAAAAGCGTAAACATCACAATCTGTATACCCATGTATAAAATCTAACTCGGGTATCAGGAGTGATGAGGCGAACGCTAAAGGTAAAAAAGAAAATGATCCTAGGGCATTGGGGCGTCACGTCAAAGATCTTAAATCCTGCGCGTTAAATTCTTTTTCACAATAAACAATATGGGATATGTTGTTGTTCTTTAGATATCACTTGACATATGAAGCTAACTGTTGCTTGACAACTGACATTGTATTAATGAGCAGAGTTTAATCGGGTTGGTGTCGAACATTCTGCAAATACATCTTCATCTCACACAGACTCGTTTGTTATCAACGAAGATATTGAAAGAAGTGTGTGCAAGAGAGATACACGTTGCTAAAATAAGTGTAATCATTTAGACAGGACGTTAGCCCCATTTCACCTCGCCTGCATCAACTGCAATAACTCGTGTCAAACTGTAATTTTATTTAGGTACCGTCATTTTAAAAGATACAGCTGATAGTTATTAACAATTGTAAACCAAAATTCACCGTGTTCGTTAATCTGATTAGTTGAAAAACATGATCGAATGGTATTCGATTCCCGGAAACTCGCTGCGTACTAATACATACAAACATCGATCACACGATTGTTACGTCGTCAGCTGTGATGACGTCATTCAAATCATATTGTGACATAAAGTCTGAATGACGTCACATATGAGCAGTTCCAGATAATGAGAGACAGCCGAAACGGCCGGCTGATGACATTTCACTGCTGTACCCGTACTCGATGTCAATGAGTGCAGACACAAAAACGTGTGTGGACCTGTTGGTTTAATTTTGTGCTTACAATGTGGATACACATCATGTGTTGGCCAATTTCCGGGTGTTATTGAGTATTTGAAACACGGGAATTCATTTTGAACCGACGGCTGACGCACGGGAATATAAGATAAGATAAGATAAGATAAACTTTATTGTCCCGCAGGGGAAATTTGTCTTGCATTCAAAGAGCCAATAGAAGCATATAACAACAAATAATTTAAAGTATATATACACAATGCCAAGCTAATCAGAATATAATGTTGAGTTATAACATAATCAAAGTTCATGATATAGATCTAATAATCACTCTTACAATTTTGGAGGAAGATTTAGAAGTTTTATGCTATATGGGACAAATGATTTTGAAGTTCTATTAGTTTTGTAATGCATGATTTTGAAACGGCGACCAGAAGGCAGAAGTTCATAACATTCATTTAAAAAGTGTGATGGATCCGATTGAATGGCTAGAGCTTTCTTCTTAACTTTTGACTCATACTGAAGAGATAGAGGTTCGAAATTTAAGCCACAATTTTGCTGGATATGTTTACAATTTTGTTTTTCTGTGTAAGAGGACGATTGCCATACCAGGCATGAAAGCAGAAAGTTAAAATACTATTAATGAATGTTTGGAAGAATAATTTTAAGATATTAGTGTCTACATTAAATGATCGCAATTTTCGCAGAAAAAAAGCCTCTGTTGTGCTTTCCTATGTACAGGATGTGAATTTGATTTCCATGGAAGTTTATTTTCAATGATAGTACCGAGATATTTATACTCTTCTACTGTTTCTACTTCCTGTCCATCAATACACACAGGTTTCAGTTTGTTTTTGGGGTTTTTTTTGCTTCGGAAGTCAATTATCATTTCCTTTGTTTTGTTTATGTTCAGGGAGAGGAATTTATCTTTGCACCATGAAGTAAACGCATCAATATTTCTCCTATACTCTAACACCGATTGACGAATAAACCCAACCAAAGCGGCATCATCAGCAATTTTGAAATTCAAACAGGAGGATAAATGAGATATACAGTCATTTGTATAGAGTGTGAAGAGGACATTTGAAACTTCCGGCTGACGCCGGAAATTGGCCAACACATGATGTTTATCTCCTAAATATGTTCTTCACTTTCGTATCCAGTGTTCCTTGTAGTAAATTCTAAATAGACATCAATGAATGGAAGCACATGCAAGAAATGAATGCGGTAGATACTTGTGACGTCATAACATGATGACGTAATACGACAACGCTTGCGTCATTTGACATGTTCCATGACAACGCGCCACACACGGTTGTTGGAAGTTCATAACATGGGTTAAATTCTGCATACAGTTCTGATCTTGGCAAAACATTCCCTTGGTCAATCGTCGGCGATGGCAGAACGAGCTCTGATACCAAATCCAGAAGATGAAATACCGTTTTCAAATGCACCGAACGATTTGCGGTTCCCTAAGGACAGTAAATGGGCGTGGATTGTCTGTGTATGTTCTTGGATGACTCAAGTCCTGATTTTGGGTATACTGCACGCATTTGGGGTTTTCTTTGTTGAGTTCATTGAAGACTTCAAGACAACAAAAGGAACGGCAGGTCTGTATGAAAAAAATGACCATACGTGACAAAACTATACATTTTCCAGGGATTCCTTTCGTCTCTTTTGTAAGCTGTCCTTGTACATGAGCTAACGTTTATAAATATTCATAAATGCGTTTTAGTCGAAAGATTCACGGCTGCGCGGCTGCTCAGTTCATTTCAACCCGTTTCACGAGTTTCAATAATGGTCATTTAATAAAATTCAGGGGGGAGGGATGCGGAAACCCCAACCCCTCTGGATCTGCCTATGGTCTGTAATTAATCAAGGCTGGACCTGACAAACTTAATTAATATGCTGGGCATGGAAATGGTTACGACGACGTCCGTGAACAAAGTCAGCAAGCCTGACCACTTGATCAGACAACAATGCACATGGGTTGCTTAGGCCAAAGACACCGAGCTTCACGAGTCAAGTGAAATGTAGTTGATGGTGTTCAGGGGTGGAAATAACTTTAAAATTGATAGTGTACTCCCGTACAGTGGCACATGTAAAATCACTTGCCCTGATAATTTTCCCACTATACCGACCGTTTTTCTTGCTGATTTTTTAAATAAACAACATAATTAACATTGGTAAGTCAACTGGAAACCGGTACAGTGTGATATACAAATTTGCTTGCCCGACAGAAAAAAACCCACTGGACTCGGACGTCGGGCAATGGGGTATTTCCACCCCTGGTGTTGTTACACTTTCATGTGTGGTACTTGGGGCGGTAGAGTGACCTGGTGGTTAAAGCGTTTGCTAATCACACCGAAGACCCGGGTTCGATTCCCTAAACGAGTACAATATGTGAAGCCTATTTTTGGTGTCCCCTGTCGTGGTATTGCTGGAATATTGCTAAAGGCGGTGTAAAATTAAACCCACTCACCTACTCACTCACTGTGTGGTACTTGTAGAAGTAGACTTAACCTTGTATATTTTTCATTATACATTATTTTGCAATTGATCAATTGCTTGCGTTTTGGCAGGAACGTTTCAGCTGTAGATCGGATTTTCCCAAGCGAAAGACAAAGAACCGTACATAAATGTATCTGCCAACCTAATTCCTATTTCTATCCGCAGCATGGGTAGGATCTGTGGCCTATGGTCTGTCCATGGCGGTTGGACCCTTCGTCAGCATGCTGGTCGAGAAATTCGGCCGAAGACCAGTGATGATGGCCGGGGGAACACTATGCGCCGTCGCCATCTTGTCCTCCTCCTTCGTCACCTCCTTCTCCACCCTCTTCTTCTCTTTCTCCGTTATCTATGGCATTGGAGCTGGCATGGCAATTACCCCGACCATGACGATCGGGCAAGAATACTTTGACAAGTACGCCAGTATCTCAGTGGGCATCATGACAGCCGGAAGCTCCACAGGAACTCTCATCACAGCTCCTCTAGCCCAGGCACTGGTCAGGTCCATCGGTTGGAGGAACACCTTCAGGTTCTTCTCGGGAACGTGTACCCTGACTGTCCTCTGCAACATCCTCATCCGGCCGATTAATGGGAGACAGAAGACGCCGATCCAGAAAATCCGAGCGTCCCCTTTGAGGAGGCTGATGGAGGAACTGAAGCTATGGAAGAACAGGGTGTTTGTTGTGTGGACCGCTGCAGTCACCTGTGTCATGTTCGGGTATTACATACCCTATGTCCATCTTGTGAGTATCTGTGGGACAGGTTAGATAATCCACGATTGATTATCATCACTTTATGATGTGACTTGTTTTAGTTGTGGTAGTCATGAGTGGGACGTGGTTACAGACTTGATTATATAGGATTGTAATACTATGGTTCGGTCTTAATTTTCATTGAAGGTTTGTGTTTTGACAAATACGTTGTCTGGCATGTTCTGCCTAGAATATTGTTTATAATACTGTATGTGACACGCTGACATTGTCGGAGCATAGGTGGCCCAGTCTGACTCCACTATTCGCTTTGCAGAGTTGCGTCCCTTAGGTTCCCATACCTGGTTGTGGGTTTGAATCCCCGTTCGCCCAGTTATGTTGTCAGCACCTTACCCGTGGTTTTGGGTCTCACGCCAGTGACCTGCATCACTTGCGCCTCCTTTCCCCTCACACAACCTGATATAACTGTAATACTGTTTAAAGCGGCGATAAACCCAATTCACTCGTTTTGATCAGAGGCCCGCTTCAATAGTCCAGTAATATTAACACCTATATGTAAATGTCACATTAGACCGCCTCCGTGGTCAAGTGGATGGAGCGTCATACCAACGACTTTAAAGGGGTACTTTTGTTACCTTGCCTGGGGCTCGGCAGGAAAGGAATAAGCCAGTGACTAGTCACGGCTCTGATTCCGTAATTGTGACTGAGTGGGCTATACATGTGAAACTGCCACATGTTGTCTTTGTGGGATGTCATTAGAAAACAGATATTAGTCTGAGCTAGTACAAGGTGCTCCACGAACGCACGCATGCCGATATGTATTGTTAGTCTAATCCCGACGCTAAGCCTCACTTTAAGTCAAATTGGTATAGGGGCTGTGCGGTAGCCTAGTGGTTAAAGCGTTTGCTCGTCACGCCGAAGACCCGGGTTCAATTTCTCACAGGGTATAATTTTGTTCACTAGTCACAATGGAGCCCTTCGGGCTCAGGGAACAGAAACAAACATAGAGGGTACATCAACCCATGGGCTCTGAGGGACCAGTGAACAACGTATTTATCTTACCGAATACCTCAATGTTAATTTTGAACTGTTTGAAGCACGGGTATCTGATTCTTATAAGGAGTACCTGAGTGAGGCAATTAGCCAATACAGACAACAGCCAAAACACTACTAACACGATGTATCAAATGAATTCCCACAGTTCGGCATTCCCAGCGGGTAACATAGAAAATGTTACTCGCTTGTGAGCGGGGTACATTGATTGGCTCAGCCAATCAGAAAACGACAATTCTGTGCGAGGTAAGATAAATGTATTTTAATCTATAAGCAGGAATGGTGTGATAACCTTCAAACTTTCAGGTATCCTACGCAGTAGACAACGGTATCTCACAAGAACAGGGTTCCATGTTGGTCATGATCCTGGGAGCAGTCACGGCAACCGGCAGGATTCTGTTCGGCAAGATCGTCCAATATGGCTTCCTCGACCGCGTGCACATGCATCAGCTTTCTATGGTGATAACTGGTGCGGGGACAATGTTGCTGCCGCTGATCACGTCGTTTGGAGGCCTGGCTGCCTACGTGATCGTTATCGGCCTCGTAGACGGTTGCTACGTCGTTCTGCTGCCGCTGTTGACGTGTTCACTGGTGGGCTCTGACAAGGCAGTTTTGGCGTGGGGCTTTCTGATTGGAACCTCATCTATCACATTCACATTAGGACCACCCGTTGCAGGTAACGTGTTGCAGAGTTGTTCTTGAGATAAATATAATAACTACTGAATAAAACTGTATGTCTGTCTGTCTGTCTATTAGGTAACGTCCCACATGTCGTTCTTCCCTTTTACTGTCAAAATCGTTCAACCACACACTCGCCCACTTCTGCAGTGAGGTGAGGTTAAGACCAGTACCAGTTACTACAATATATAAAATGTTGACGTTTTGAATGAAGAAGAAAATTGAAACCATGATCGTGGGTTCGAATCCATGACCCTTTTTGTCACCACCATATACAGATATATATTCACAGATATATAGTATACAGGCACATATTCACTACAATAATGTCGACACCACAGGTTACGTTCACCATATGTTCATCTTGACAGGTTTCATGTACGATGCGTTCGGCAGCTACAACGTCGCCTTCCACGTTGCCGGCATCCCAGTTCTGGCCGGAGCTCTAATCCTGTTCCTCATCCCCTGGGCGCAGCGAACATCCCAGTCCTCCAACATCATCAAGGTGATCAGCATGGCTCAAGTGCAGGATCAAGAGGAGGAATCCATAGTCGACTTCACCACCCTGTCGAAGTGTAGCTCGGTGTTCGACGTTGAAGACAGCCCCCCTGCTCAAGCGAACGCCGTGTCCCTCAACGACCTTGACCTTGATGCTCTGTACTTCAGTGACATCAACCAGGTGACAGTGGTGCCCAAGTCACCAGGAGGTCGGCGGGCTCTGAGGGAGGTGGACTTTGCCCTGTCGGCTCTCCATAAGAGTGACCAAGTTTTGTCCAAGATGCTCGGAGGGGGGCGTAAAGGTCATGTGCAACGTCGAGAAATTCCATCACAATCTACCACCATGCGCTCTCCAAGTAGCTCTGCCGCAAAGGTAGGTTTCACCTCAAAATGGCAGTTCTGTAAAGAATGGCACATGAATGACACCATTGTGTTAAGAAAGGTAAATAAAATGAACGTTCATGTTATCGTTATGTCAGTTCCTATACTTTAACTCAACTCCTTTGCACTGGCATGCTTGAATACATTTGCCATGAAACACGGAATGTTAACTTGAGTATTTTACATTTTCACGTTCCTTTCGATATATAATTTCCTTTGCTATGGAACTTTTACGTTAATGAGACAAAATCACTAAAAATGTCTGTTTAAATAATAGCAGATTATTTAATTCTTGTGCAGGGAAGTTTCCGAAAGAGCGATGTCATCAACATAACGTCAAGCTCCCCATCCAACAGAAGGACCAAGGCTAATTCCAGGGACAGCTCAGACAAGGCGGAGAAGCGTTTTGATGACGTAGGGGTTCAAGCCGATCTCATCTCAGTGGACAGTCAAAGAGTGTCACCTGCATACTCAAGAAGATCTGGGGTTGGTTCGGGCGCATCCATCAACCCATTTAATCCAACTGCAAGCGTTCTCTACCAAGCTATTCTAGCCCTGGAGCACCAACAGCAGCTTCAGAACGCATCTAACACAATGTCTGAAAGCGGCAGGGCTTCCATGACGAGTGGAAACCAACCCACGACTCCGCTTTTGGAAGAGTTTGTGATGGAACAGCTGGAGCGATTAAGGGACACGCTGAGAAGCCCGTCCAGACCAAGTGAGGAGGGATGCCCACAGTCAACAAGTAGCTGGATGCAGAGCATTTCCGGAGAACATCAGGATCAAGCTGGGAGATCATCTTACTTGTCTGCTACATCGTCCTCAAGAGGAAGCAACCAGTACGCTGGTGGTAACAAAGGCCAACATTCCATCAGAACAGAAGGGACACAGACGTGTCAGACTGATGAAGAGGGAAGAAAAAGACCAACATGCGTTTTATCCCCTCACCAACAACGATCCGCGACATCTGCACAGGGATCCTCAACAAATACCACAAATCAAGGGTTACGACAAGGAACAAGTCCTGTGGATATCCCGAGTACATCTGCTGTTCCGAACGAAGATCTGGAGGTGTTTTCAATGGATCCTCTGAGTCCGTATGGAACCCCACCAAAAGACATTCCGCGGATTCCACCTCCGCCGCCACCACAATCCCAGGTGGCAGAATCAATAGGTGTGCTGACCATTCCCCCCATACCTGAACTCTCCCCGAACAAGATAGTCAACACTGAAGGTGGGTGTATATTCACAATGGACCCCTTTGCTCCAGCAGCTGGGCCTTTGGCTTCATCGCAACTCTACCAAAGGGACAACATTACCTCTTCGCCTGCAGGTAAACAACCACCGCGAAACCCTTCTTCTGAAACGTTGAAAGTTGGTGACGGCTTTTTCAAAATGGACGACTACCATGGACCCTCAGCTTGTGCGTCAAGATTAGAAGAATCAAATGATGAGTTCCCTACGTCACAGCTGGATGATACTCTTGACGCAGCCGCTGACAACACTGGGACTATTCAAACTGGTCGCTTCACCGTTGACACCGTCACACTGTCAAATGATGATATAAACGACTTCATCCCCACTCTGCCGCCTCCACCTTCTGTCACGAGACCAATTTGCGGGTCGGCAAATCAAGAGGACTTTCAAGTGTACAGTTCCCACGCTAACGGGTTGGATCAGTCATGCAGTAACGGTCAATATAAAACTAATCTTGACCTAGACCTTCAGTCGTTGGACCAGCAGGCAGCAAAAGACATCGTTCAAGAAACTTCGAACAGTGCTGACATAATGTTTGACCTTGACCCTTTGACTCTCCCTGGCGAAACGTCAGCGACCACTGAGGATGTTGTAATTATCTCCCCTGATGACGTAATGTTCGATATGGACCACATTGACGCACCAGCTGACGGATTCGATCCAAATGAAATCGGTGACAATGAAAGAGGCCTGGCAGTAGACATAGCCCTTCTTCAAGGGAGACAATCTGGGGGATTCAATGTACAAAATTAACCAACATTGTGGTATTCTCACTGTAGTCTACCTGTCTGTCTCCACTAGATACATACAGACGCACAGGAATATGTACCAACATAATTAGCAGAATATCGGCTAAAAGTGGAATTCCACATAATGTTTCATGTAAAAAGACAAAAGCTGATAATTTGTGGTCAAAATCAGGTGAAAAGATGAAGGTGGCCCATAACGTCTCTGGTGTCGCAATGCATCGACAGAGTTAATTCCCTTAGGTGTTCCAGAAACTTGTGATCGTGGGTTCGTAACCCAGATACGTTCTGATTATGTTTCTAAATTTGTCTAAATGAGTTTCGTTTTACGCCGCTTATAGCAATATTCTAGCAATATCACTGCGGGAAACACCAGAAATGGGCTTCACATATTGCACACATACCAAACTCAATCATATAACAATAACAACATTTTGAAATGTATATCACCTATTACCATCAGTAGCCATGGCTCGCTTGTATCAATGCCAAAAATGCTATATAAGATGTTAGATCAGTGTAGGGTGAGATTTATGATTTAAAAAAAAGTGATGTGATTGTCTTTTTCCTTTTCTTGTAAAGGTATCTGCACTTATACTGGCGTTGTTTTCAACGTGTGCGCTACGTGTGTGGTGCCAGGCTGTGAAAAACCTTGTGTCAGCAACACAGGGTGTCATACTTGTGTCATAAACAGCTTGTTCGTGTGTGTCCAACTAAAAGTAAAGTAATGATACACATTTATTCATAATGTGAAATTATTATTATGAGTGTACGTTTTTTCCGGTTTTTTTCTTCAAACTGTGCACTCAAGGAACCACTAATTCTACCAGAAAAATGTATGTTGGTGCCGTTTCAGTATAATAATGTCAAAAACAAATGATGTTCGACTTTATTTCATTTTTCATTTCTTCAAACTGTTTTACACCTGTAATCTGCTACTGGGAATTAAACACATTTCACCATTTTGTGCGTAAAGGACACAAAACATGTCGAGAGAGAATTGCTTGGTTGCTTGGTTGCTTAGTTGGTTGTTCAACGCCGCACTCAGCAATATTCATGCTATATGGCGGCGGTCTGTAAATAATCAAGCCTGGACCAGACAATCCAGTGATCAACAGCATAAGCATCGATCTACGAATTGTGATACGATGACATGTGTCAACGAAGTCAGCGAGCCTGATCACCCGATCCCGTTGGCCGCCTCTTACGACAACCATGGGTTGCTGAAGATCAATTCTAACTCAGATCTTCACGGGTTAAGCGAGAATTAAAATATGGGGAACGACTGGGTTCAACGATGCAGTGAGTTGTGTGGATGTATTGTCGCTGCAAACAGTTTGGTCGTGGCATCACAGCTTCAGTTCCCGAAATGATGCAGGTATAGGACGTTAACCTCCTTGTTGAAACCCATGAATACGGGTTAAGCTGGGCCCCGTCTCGCATATCGCTTTGTCGAACGTTAGCGCGCGCAAAGGGAGCCGGGAACCAGCTTAGAATACGGGTATGATGTAGTGCTGGTATTGGCAAACAACTTGCGATACGATACATCACGATAGAAAATTTTAGTCTCGACGATATATTGCCAAAGTATTGTGCACTGAAGCTGCGATACGATACGAATCCCGATACTAAAATCTTTAATTCTAACACCAGCTATTAAACACCTTAAGATCAAAACAGAACCATTTTAAAGTTTTTCGTCAAATTCCGCCAGCGTTTTTCAATGTTCATTTGGAAATGAGATAATTAAGTTTATACACGGACTTTGTGAATGTCGCTACGTCTGACACAGTTCGTGACGCGAGAATTTCCGAGAAACGGATGAAGGGGAAAATAAGTATGCATATATTTTAATAATCAAGTCTTTCTTGACAGATATCGCGATTCGACAGTATTCAAAGTAAAACATCGATGTAACTTGGCCCATTTGAAGTATCGTATCGGGATATACGACAATGTAAAACTTTGTATCGATTCAGTGTATCGGCGGCCCGTGGATCGATGCATCGATGCGTATCGATGAATCGTCACACCACTAGTATAATGCCGACAAACCTAAAAACACAACCGGGGAGAACGGAGATTCGAACCCACAACCATAGGTTTCTGTTGAGCGCCAGACAATCAGCTGTGCACAGGCAGTTGCGGTGGCCAAGAGGATTGGGTCATCTGTGTCCCCCAATATTTTCGAATAAACAATAGATAGTGCGCCATATGAGTGAGTGAGTTTAGTTTTACGCCGCTTTTCACGGCAATATCACGGCGGGGACACCAGAATGGGATTCACACATTGTGCCCATATGGGACTCGAACCCGGATCTTCAGCGTAACGAGCAAACACCATAACCACTAGCCTACCCCACCGTACAAGCGCCATATGTGCTATGTCTGTCTCAAAGATCACAAGGGTCGCTGGGGTAGCAATGGGGTAATAATGACGCGCCGAAGACCTTGCTTCAATTCCCCACACGGGTACAATGTGTGAAGCCATTTATTGGCCAAACATTACATGGTCATAATTTTCAGAGTGTCTTAAATGACAGCCTGTATAGAAGCGATGGAGTTTAGATGTAAATTCCCAGGCAAAAGAATGTATACATCAATGCTTGATGGTGGCAAAATCGGGCGGTCAAGCTCGTTGACTGATGGGGCGTTGTTCATGACAACAACCACTGTCCAGTTCATGATCGAATAATTTCAGTACCTCGTTGGTTACCACCCCAAGATCCCAGTACCTATTCCAGTCCGAAGCTGAGGACATATTCCCGGCGATCAGCCAGGGACGTAGCTACCATTATAAAAAAAAGCCCGGGCTTACACATGACTGGTTGTGCAAGTCCTCAATACTATCTAAATAAAAAGCTTTGCAGCCTATCGGGCTTACACGAAAAAATTGCCTTGCTACGCGCCTGTCAGCTTTATTTGTATCAAATCAACGTAATCCGACATTATTGTGTAACCCACTTCACATTCCCGTTCCCATCACATTTTTCCGTCTTTGACAACGTTCGATTGTTTGGACCAATGGAAATGTCAAATTTGGCTTAATACTATGAAATACTTGCAAAAGAATTACTACATATTTTCAAATGATGACTACTGTGTTGTTGTTTTATATCTAACACGTTCACGTTTTGGACTTTCAGCATGATTAAGTAAGTGTGACTGAAATGAATGAAAAAGCCCGATTTCGTGAGAAAACTCATTAGAAGAAAGTAAATATTAGGGGTGGGTATTGTAGAGAATTTTCATATTGCGATGCGAAAGCATGTATTGCGATATGTATTGCAATATATTGCATGAAGTATTTTTAAACAAAAAACTACTTATAATCGAGTTAATTCTTGATTTATAGAGCAAAAACACAACAAAATCACTAGGCTTGATTAAGCTTTAATAACAACTTTTAATCATGATAAAATGAAAATATGAATAATATTTGGCACAATTTGTTTTGTTTTTCATCCCGAACATGCAATCTTAGAAACGGGTTAAGTTTAGTTCTCATTCATGTGTACACATGTAATATATTTCATTATAATTTGTAAGGTTTTGTCCATTTGTCAAATAATATCAATTCAGAGTGCTAAACAGGGCCATTGTCCTGCCTACATTAATAAAAACGGCCTTAAAATCTCCGTTTTAGCAATAGTAAGGGGAAGTAACTCCCGATGACAATTTGTTATTGTTGCAAGTGTCTTATGCAGTGTCATAAGTGGTCTGCCACATCGAGACGAACAGACAAGACTGACTCAATATTCTCGTGACTTGTTGCCAAACTACTGTAAGGTTTGAATCATTGATTTCTTTTACCATAGCGATTGATAACCTGTAGAAGACGTATGGTATATTTATCACAGTTAGCTCCTGAGCTAAACGCACCGACAGTGATGAGAATAGGACATTGGAATGATTGGTAGCCGGCGTCGACGTCAATATTTCCGGCAGCTGTGTGTTTACCGCATACGACTAAGACTATGCATCTTATGTGACGCAGTAGTTATAATGTTGACTTAAATTTTATTTTTGTCTAAGAATTGAAAATCTTCGAATATGTAAGCAGATTTGCACTTTTTAAGTTACATAAAACAGAGCACATTACTATTTGCGTATTTACTACAGGGGTACATAATTTCTCCGTAAAACTCATTCTGGATTGTGCAATTTTATAATTAAACATTATTAAAAACGTTATGTGTTATTTGCAAATCTTTTGAGTATTTGGTGCCAGCAAATTTTCCTGGTAAGAGAAATAAACAGGAATAAAATAATGCTCAAGGAAATACGCAAACGTGAAAAGTCAGCATGTTAATTGTCATTTTTAACATGGAAGTTACCTGTAGTTTTCTCTGCCTTTCTCACAGGTATTGTATGATGAGGAATTTTATGATATTTGGGTTTCTGCCTTTTCCAGTTTCCTTAAAGATATGGCTTGTTTCAATGTTTGTTTATGAAATTTACATGGGCATTTATCGATATAGATCTTGGGGATTGGTAAATATCGGAGACATAACTTTGAGCAAAAATGCTAAGTATGTCAGAAAGAAATGAATATATTTAACATCACTGGTTAGTTAAGCCAAGAGCTGCGATGCATCACGGCTCTCGGCTATAGTTGGTTGTGCCATGTATTTGCATGGATTAACAAAACAATGCCCTGAACATAATTTAGAAGGAAACCATGATTAAAGTCCTTAATTTGTATATTGTGTGAGAGAATTAAACTTTTTTCTATCACAAAAGTTAATGTATGATATTATCGATAACACAGTTTTCATATCGATAATCATTAATAAATTATCCTATCAACAATGTTTCCAATAATTGATTATTTTAGTCATTGATAAAATTTACGATAAAGCAGCTTCCTTGTATACATGTGGACCATTGCAAGGGTGCCCAGTTCTGTTTTAGACTTTAGAGCCAATAGTCTTCAGAATTACTATACATTCATGTTTGTTTTGATGCATGAAAAGCAATGTATGGTCACTTGACCTCTATTTGCCTGACTTTGAGGGGATAGCATCAATACTTGGCAATTTCTAACATTTCTGAGTAACTAGAATACATGTACATGTATAGGAAAAGTTGAAACATGAAGAGTTACATTATTATACCCCCGCTACGAAGTAGCGGGGGTATATAGCGTTCATTCTGTCCGTCCGTCCGTCCGTCCCGAAACTTTGTCCAGAGCATATCTCTTAAAGTTTACTTGCTAGGTTCACCAAACTTCACACACATGTTAATCATTACCCATTGGTGTGCCTTTTGCTATTTTAAAGTTTTTTCAGAATTTAGTTTTTTTGCTGTTTCCATGGAAACACGACTTAGGCTGTGACTATGAGGATGTCATCTTGTCCGGCGCAGATCTTCCAAACTATACATGCTAGCTTCATCAAACTTGGTACACATATCAAGCATGATCCCTAGATGTGCCTTTTGGGGGTAGATCCAGATATGAACTGTATTTTTTGCTGTTTCCATGGAAACACGACTTAGTGCCAAATGTGTTCGATTATTTTGTCCGGAGCATATCTCTTAAAGTTTACATGCTAGGTTCACCAAACTTCACACACGTGTTAATCATTACCCATTGATGTGCCTTTTGCTATTTTAAAGTTTTTTCAGAATTTAGTTTTTTTGCTGTTTCCATGGAAACACGACTTAGGCTGTGACTATGAGGATGTCATCTTGTCCGGCGCAGATCTTCCAAACTATACATGCTAGCTTCATCAAACTTGGTACACATATCAAGCATGATCCTTAGATGTGCCTTTTGGGGTTTAGATCCAGATATGAATTGTATTTTTTGCTGTTTCCATGGAAACATGACTTAGTGCTAAATGTGTTCGATTATTTTGTCCAGAGCATATCTCTTAAAGTGTACATGCTAGGTTCATGCTAGGTACATGCAAAATGTATTTGATGGTTACCTGACCATGGCATATCATCGAAACTATACGTGCTAGGTTCACCAAACTTAATACACAAGTTAATCATGACCCACAGATATGCCTTGTGCTAAAAAATAGCAATCTTCATCTACGTCCATTGTGTGCAACATGAGACAGTCAAGTTCAACTGTATGTCAGGTTTCCACGGAAAACACAAAAAAATCTAGTTTCCATAAATTATTACCGTAATCAGTACATGCCAAAACTATTATCTAACATGTATATAAAGTTTAGTAGAGTCAAAGAGAAAGTCTTGTGAGCTGCTGATCCTTGTCACATTATATATATCAATATCAGTCATTTCCATGTCCCAAGGTGGGAAGCGGGGTTATGTGAGCTTTGCTCACTTCTACACTTGTTCTCACTTTGCCACCATTTATCAAATAGTTTAGTAACATAGACATGTTTAGTTAAAATAGAATGGCTATGTAATATTTAATTTGAGCAAACTTTCTGCCACATTTGCCACCAGTGAGTGAGTTTTAGTTTCAAGCAGCTTAAGTTTTAGCAATATCATGGTGGGGGACACCAAAAATGGGCTTCACATATTGTACCCATGTGATGAATCGAACCCAGGCCTTCAGTGTGACAAGCAAATGCTTTAACCACTGGGCTACTCCACCACATCTTTGACACCAGTGCCCATAGCATTGTCAAAACATCAGTCAGTATTGTTACTACTTTTGTGTCCATAAAAACAGGTATTGACTTCATATAAAATCTCTGATTGGATAGTACTGACTGCACAAAAAGTCAATGATGCAAAATAGACCAAAGCAGATTCAATCTATCAAGCTGTTAACTACAGATAAAGTTATTAGTTTTCAACAAAGGGAGTCATCTGGTTGGCATTGGTTTGGGGAATAGAATTCTTGGCTATTTCTATTGTAGTTTTCGTAACTAAAATCAATGCTGTAAATATCAGGCCTGACTTGAAGTCAATATGCATATGTGTCAAATGACACATGGTGATTCTTAGTTACTTAATATGGTGGAAGACTTTGTATTGTATGATATATTGTCCATGCTGCTTGTATATGTGCAGATATAGGCGGCCATGCAGAACAACCTGGACCCACAGCTGGACCTCAGTGGGAAGCTGATCATCAAAGTTCAGCTTGGTGAAGACATCCGACGTATCCCCATACACAATGAGGACATCACATATGATGAACTCCTTGTTATGATGCAGCGGGTCTATCGTGGAAAACTCAACAGCAATGATGACATCATTGTTAAATATAAGGACGAAGGTAAATGTACTGTGTGGGTTTTGATAATAAATGGCAGTTTCACCTAAATCATTGGTGGGTCCAAACCAGCGGGCGAAATAGCCACTGGCCAGTGGCTAGTATAAATCCAGTCGGGCCAGTATATCTCCACAGTCACTGGCCAGACTGGCTAGTGAATTTTCATAGGGTCATTTGTTTTTTGATGGTATTGTACGTTTTTGTAATCATTTACATAGTTTCTACATTCAAATTTCGGGCAAGTGAATTATTTTCTGGGCTAGTAACTTTCAAGCATAGCTAGCCCGACTGGCTATCAAAATTTGGAAACAATTTCGCCCACTGGTCCAAACACCTTTCATTATGTCAGTTCATTTGAATACTTGTACTTGAATCTGATGTCTACATAATCATCGTTATTTGAGCTTTTTCATTTCGTGAGAGGCTGGTCATGTGACCGTGAAACTGACACTTTCTTTTGCAAGACAGTATTATACTGTAGACATGATGTAGACTATTTCCCTTGAATTATTGCAGAACTGTTGTTTTAGTAATTTAAACTCTTTGATCTTGTATCCAGAATTTTGCACACTTTAGAAAAATTCAGATTTTTAAACTTAATGATTGTGTGACATTATCCTCACTACAGTCCGTTTGATTTCATTTGAGACCGATGAATAATATATTGCTCACTAGCACAAAATCTAATAATTGCAACAAAACCAAATTTTGCATAGTTACATGAAATCGACAGACCCAATTTGTTTTAAAATTTTGGACACCCGAATAAAAATGTTGTTTAACAAACGATCATTATTTTGTTGTCACTTTTCACTTTTTTTGTATGAGGGGGTACCATTTGATGGTAGAACAGCCAGGTAATCAATAAACATGGGCAGTTAAATTTCAATTTCAAACCTGCAGCTCCCACATCTGGCTGTTCTACCAGATATTCATCATCATTTTCCAGAAATTGATTAATTTACTTTGACACATCTTTTTGGCCATTTTTCAACATATTCAGTGATGAAAAAAATGCAACAATGATGCCTAATAATTAAGTATCATTCATTCATTGATTACTTTAGAAATAAAACTAAGAGTAGTCACACTGAATTTCACACTGGCTATTTGATGTACTGTGCTTTGAAGTACATCAGTCTAAGTAAACACAACCTTCTACTAGGGTTTGTTTAATAGACTCAGTATAGCAGTGTAATGAATAATAAGCATAAGTTTACTTAGACTGTGAAGTGAAATACATGTGTTGTGAGATTATGGCACCATGTCTTTTTAACTGACTAACTGATAGTGATAATTTTCAAATAGGGCATTTGGAGCATAGATTTCTTAATGCGTGTCAGTTTCAAGTACAAGTTGGAGCAAGCTGGTTGTTGTATGACTGCTACTGTCAACAAGTGTATGTGTAATTCAAGGGACCAAATCATGATCTTAAATAAATCAAATGACTTTCATCCCCACTTTCAGAAATCCTAGACCTACCTCTGAAATGTTCCTGCCTTCTTTTGGCCTTGAACCACTGAATATAATATGATGTGTGTCAAGATGAACTGATAGAAACTGATAAGAATGTCATGAAATTTTCATAATGATGTCTGTCAGAGTCAGGATCACTCTTTTTGATACTAATGTTTATATTCTACTTTTTCAGATGGGGATTTGATAACAATATTTGACAGTTCAGACCTCTCCTTTGCCATTCAGTGTAGCCGAATACTTAAAATTACATTATTCGGTAAGTCCCATTGGTGTTTGTTTGATATATCATTACCCGTGAAGATCCGGATTAGAATTCATCTTCAGCAACCCATGCTTGTCGACTAACAGGATTTGGTGGTCAGGCTCGCTGACTTGGTTGACACATGTCATCGTATCCCACTTGTGTAGATCGATGCTCATGCGGTTGATCACTGGATTGTCTGGTACAGACTCAATTATTTACAGACTGCCAGCATATGGCTGGAATATTGCTAAGTGTGGCGTTAAACAACAAACAAACTTGATATTAATGTTTTTAGGATACATTTGGGTTCTCTGTGCAAGTCCTTAAACAATGTTAACATTCTGTCACCAAGATTAAGTATGAAGCTCAAAATGGTTGACAAGGAGCCAAAGAAAGGTTTGTCAATATTAAAAGTGAACTGATTCCCCTTTAAAGATAAGTTACTTATTGCAGCAGCAAAAGTGAATCGGTGTACGCTTCAGCATTTCTTTAAGCTCTGACATCACTGCTTTGAAACCTTATTTAAGAAGTATCAGTGGAATGTATCTAAATGTTAGATTAAAAATTAACCGAATTCCTGAACTCTGCATGTTTTGTCATTTGCTTATTGTGTCACAAGTTTTAACTCACAGTGTGGCACACTGAGATGTAGAAATAATGATGTTTTGTTGCCAAAGTTTCTCTACAGAAAATATGAAACAGAAGCCTAAAATGTTCGCTATGTTTCTTCTAGTCAATGGCCAACCCAAGCCCCTTGAGACAGATGAAGTTAAACTTTTACGGAAAGAACTGCAGCAAATTCGTGACCGTGTGAACCGAATCCTTGACCGACTGGAGCCGACGCCTGCACCCTCAAGTACCTGTGACACACTCGATGGTAGCTAGCACTAACACCTGTCTAACCAGTGGCTCAAATACTGACCAGTGCAAGACTGGGTTCTGTCTCATTTGGAATTGATGTGTTTTCATACTGTTTAGTATTCTAGTTTTGTACTGTTTTTCTGATTTTTGTGGGATGTTGATTAAAGATTTATTTTGTCTAAAAAATTATTTGATGCATTAATTTGATTTCTCTGTCTCAGTTTTCTGGATTCAAAGGAACTGTTTGTATTTATCACCATGTCAAGTAATGATGGTATTGCTATTTATAATCTTTATTTCCAAATGACTGATCTTCTCACACACATTTTGAAATGTAATAGAAGGATATTTGTTTGTAACTACCACAGAAAGCTTGGGAATCAAAATTCAAATGCAGTGTTTACCATAGTTACATTTTCAATGTCCAGAAACAATTTGCAATTTGGAGTTATGAAAAGATTCATATTCAGTGATATCTGGCTGACTGTCCAAATTGTGGAATACATCCCAGCTAATTCACTTCTCATACATCGAAGATGATTCTAGTGCAGTTTTGAGCTACGTCTTATACTAAATACCCTGCACTGGTGTTACACTATGCAGCATGTGGCATGCTTTTGTCAGTATTGTGTACACGATATGGATGGTGCTCAGTCAAATATTCAAGGAGATCGCTGCCATCAAATCCGTGATCCATGGTCAAATCCATGTTATTCATTTTCAGATGTGACTTGATTATTTATCTGACTTTTCTCTGATACAGTTTAAGAAATGACTTCACAGAAATATTGTATGCAATATTGCTCTCTTCCTAACACCCAAGGCTCACATACTCACCTGTTAGTTTGCAGTGGTGATTTGTATTTTTTTAATAACAGGACATTATAAATATGGAAAGGTATGTTTAGTTCAACATTATCACCTTAAATAGAATCATAAAATATGTCTCAATATATGAAAACAAGGACTTCAATAAAATTCCAAATTCAGACAATTTTTTCTCTCAATATGAATTGGTTTTAAAATCATTGGTATGTCCCTGAATCACTTCTTCGTAACTAATGTGAGATTAGGCCTGATATAACATAGATCTAGATAGTTCAGAGGTATCAGTGAGACTACACATTGCAAGTTTCATAGCCTTGCTCCAAGGCTGTACTGAATGATAAGTCCATGGATGTATGGTACTTCTATCTTCATATTGGGGAAGTCTAGATATGTGGACAGTCAACCAGGTTTCATGGGGACAACTCATTCTTTTATTCATATAGACTAATAATTATGATTTAAACTGATAATTAATGCCATGTGTCATGTCGTCAGGATTCAGATGGGCACCTGTAACAGGTGCTCCTTTGATGTTTGACTGAGCATATACACCAGCACTTGTAACAATGCCAGCATTGTATTATGTTAGAGAAAATCTATAATCAATAATCCAATTATATCACTGCATGTGTTGTATCCTGTCCAGATAACAGGTTCACATGGTTGGTTTATATCTGATAGCTCCATCACCTTGATTACATGCATCAGCTTATGGACAACACAAATTTAAAATCTCAAATTTAAACCCTGTAGTTTGAATTATGACACACATTTCTGGCATGGTGAGATAAAGACTGTATCTGACTTTGGTTATTCTACAGAACTATACTGAACCACAAAAGAAATGTCGCACCGATGGCGGTTTCTAAAAGCACACACTTTAATTCACTCTATTTAACAATCAAAACGGAGGATTGAGTTCAAACTTGACAATTATGGTTAACACATTGTCGGGAATCACATTTAGAGTTCACACAAGCAAAATCACTAATAATGGTACCATTAAGATACTCCAAAGTCAGTATTGTGCGTGGCCTCATTAGCATCGATGAAAGCGATGCATCGTCTGTACATGGAATGACTAAGCCGGTTGATGAAGGCCATAGGCACTTGGGTCCATACTCTGCGAAATGCCTGATCGAGTCCTGCCGCAGTTGTCGGCCTTGGTTGGAGGTCATTCATTTTTCTTTGAATCTTGTCCCAAAGGTGTTCTTTTGGACTTAAATCCGGACTGAGTGCAGGCTATTGTAGGGTTTGGGTACAATGTTGTCTTAGGAAGTCCAATGTTGCTCTGGCAGTGTGGGCACGTGCGTTGTCTTGCTGGAAGATGTGATTTATGTAACGTCCAAAATGTGGTACAACTTGGGGGTCTTTTGACTTGGTCACGTCACGTCATTTCCTCATTCTGGACCAAGATTGTGGAACACCACGGTGTCAACTAACTGGTCCAGTACGATTGCACCCCACACCATGATGCTTGGACCATCCCACGAGTCTCTTTCAACATCGACATCGACTGTCGAAACACAATATCGGCTTTCATGAGATAAAAGCACAGGTCTCCATTGCCCATTTTGGTCGGTTTTGGCGGTGATGAGCGTTGAGGACAGGACTACGATATGATCTGTGACAGCAGAGGTTTCTTCCGCATAAACATCGACGCACTGTATCGGCACTGATGGGTCTGTTGTGAGTCCCAATGGTCTGGCGTGCTGTTTCCCTCGCTCTGGGAAGCGATCAAAATGGTTGCGCACAATCTGTCGGTCTTGACGTTGGGATGTTACTGAAGGTCGCGTGGACGGTCTTGGATGCTGTTAGTGACCTGATACTACTCCTGCAGTGGGTAGATTGTCCTAACATGAACATTAAAATGATTGTGCAGTCTAGACAACTTTCAATCGTCCCCATACTTGGTTCCTCTGATCTCTCGTAAGCCGTGGCATGGTGATTGTGTCAAAACAAAAATGATTTCAAGCGAGTTTGAGAGTCGCTTTCATTGGTAGGGTGTCACGGCATGCATGTGCATTTCTATTTTCACGATTGTCATACGGAACCTTTTACCTTTTACCATGTCTGCCTTTTTCGGTGCGTTTGGTCGATATCCTTTTTTCATCACAAACACTTATGTTGGTACTAACTGTCAATTTGGATTGAAAAACATGTTAACAAAACGGTACAATCACAATAAAAACACCACCTTGTAAGAACAAAATTTTGCATTTTGATTTTGAAAGGCGATGTTTCTTTTGTGGTTCAGTATATTTGGGTTGATGCTTTCTTAGAATTTCTGAAATATGTTCACAGATTTACAGGATAACATGAAACAAAATATTTTGTTACTTTGTGTAACTATACATTCTACATATTATGAAAGTAATTAAAACTGATATACACACACACCCTTTAAATATGTATAGTGAAAAGTGATAAATAGGCACATCAATTGCTCTTGTGGATGTGGGGATGTAAAAATCATATATCACAAATATGGTCTTATACATATTGGTACTAATGTTTACCCAGTATACTTGCATGAATATTTGTTATGTTTCTTTACATGAATGACACTAATCCTTTTGAGTCGCCTGTTTATAAGATTTTTTGCAAATATGAATATTTTCATACTAAGTGAAAAATTAATTGATTGCCTTAATGTAAAATGTGGTTATTGATCCAATGTTCGGTTGAGGGCATCCTTGTGCATTCTAGTGTTAAGTCAGGTCAAATCAGTTAGGAATATAATAAAGCTGTTTTTACATATGGATATTTATGATTAACGTTAAAAAAGATGAAGAGTAGTTTATAGCAATATGAAGTTTTATTATGTAAGCTGAAGAATTACGTTGTTTGCTTCCTTGATTGTATAATGTATTGTAGCTGCAATCAAAGAAGGTGAATACCCTGGATTCATTTGGATAAAACTTGGTTTTCTGAAGTGACACTGCCGCCTCCATCACTTCCATCTCTCCCTTAAGACCAAATTTACCTCACTCAGAGTAATTTTTATTTGATATCTATATTTAACATCCATCCATTTGTACCCAAAAGGAAACCATGGCAACGAATGGTTCCAGGGTGTATGTGGTGTATATTACAATAGACTGAAGACATGACACATGATTATCGTGGATGCATTTTTAGCAGTGTAACATATTTCTGTTCCTGAAGGATCTGGTTTGGGGCCAAGTCCCTCCAAGAAAGGTAGCTCTGGGGGTGGAGGTTTCCAGCGGCCTGCCCATGTGGCCAGCAGCAAGGAGTTCGACCCCTTGTCATCGCAGAGGTCAGTGGAGGAGAGCACACAGAACAAGGTTATGTCATCATTCGGCATTGCAAGTGATTGTAAGTTGGTTTGTTGTGTCAGAAGATTTATTTGACTAGTGTAACAAGCAGTTATTATTTGCATTTGCCTTGAGAACTTTATGGCTGTATGGGGGGCGGTGGGGTAGCCTAATGGTTCGAGCCGAAGACCCGGGTTCGAATCTCCACATGGGCACAATGTGTGAAGCCTATTTCTGGTGTCCCCCGCCATGATGTTGCTGGAATATTGCTGAAAGCGGCGTAAAAACTCAGTCAGTCAGTCAGTTATGGCTGTATGGCAGTCTTCATGACAGAGCATAAATGAGAAATGCATGTAATATGTGTTCTGTATTCCAGCAACAAATGATCGTCCCGGTACACCTGACAGTATTTCAAGTGTAGGATCATCAGCTAGTAACCAATACAAACGCCAACAGCAAGTAACACCCACGCAACAGCCCAAGTACCCCACAACAGCAACCAACACCATCACCCCAGTCTTTCCCACAACAGCCCCCTCAGCAGGCCTTCTCTGGTCAGCCTGGGTACCAACAACCACCTGCTTCACAGCAGTCACAGGGAGGGGGGCACCAGCTTGCAGGACAACCCGGAGCATTTCCTGGTCAAACCCAGGGGCAACAGCAAGCGCAGACACAGCAAGCTGGATACCAACAGCCTGGACACCAACAGCCCGGACACCAACAGCCTGGACAAGGTTGGTTATGTCTGACAAGAACAACAGCTTATTTTGTTACATGTTCATTCCTAGGTTGAAGCAATAATAAACAGGAAATCAGTCCATAACAGACGGAAGGAAACCAACAAACAACAAAGAAATGTGAATTATTAACTATTCTTTTAACAAATCAGGGGTTCCAAAATCCCATCGCCCGACGCCCGGGACAAGTCAGTTTTCATTTCGGGCAATCAAATAATGGTATCTTACTTGTCCGTGGGCTACTAGATAATTTCCACTTATGGTTTCAAACCGCAAACAAACTTGGATTTAATTTCATATCTGCTCAAAATGTAGCTGTTACATTTTCGCAATGATAATAAAGTAGAGTTATCTTTCTTTGCTATTTATCACTTTTCAATTAATAGTCCAGTAAACATTAACATCAAATACCATGTTGATTTCTTCTTTCATAATTACATCATCATAATTATGTCATAAAATCAGGGCAGGTAGAAAATTAGTCAGGACAAGTTACTTTCTTAAAGTCACTTGCCCTGTGGCAAGTGGCTTTTAAAATACATTCTGAAACCCTGAAAATGAACTAAGCTTACAAGTCAGTGTTAATTATTATAAAGGCAGTACAAAATAGTGTGGCAGTACAAGTACAATGGCAATATTGTATCAAAGAAGTGGTTATCATGATGATGGCAGTAAACAATAGCACCTCTCTGGATCCATGTATGGACTCCATAATAGCACTCCCATTCCTCCCACTTTATGTACTGAAAGTGTTGTGTGTCAGTGTTATTTATGGTAGAGGGGCGGTGGGGTAGCCTAGTGGTTAAAGTGTTCACTCGTCACACCGAAAACACAAGTTCGATTCCCCACATGGGTACAATGTGTGAAGCCCATTGATATTGCTGGAATACTGGTAAAAGCAAGTTAAAACTAAACTCACTCACTCACAATAGTTTGACTTCTTTTGAATAATATCATTTGTTAAAAATAAAACTTGTGTTGATGGGCAACCAGCAAAAATGTAATTTATAAAACCCACTAAAAACAATGATACTTTTATCTTTTTCAGCTGGGTACGCTCAATACCAGCAAGGACAACCAGGGTATAACCCAGGACAACCTCAGCCAGGTCAACCCCAGCCAGGACAACCCCAGACAGGGCAACCCCAGACAGGGCAACCCCAGACAGGGCAATCCCAACCTCAGCCTCAGGCTGGACATCCCCAGCCCGGACAGCCTCAGCCCGGACAGCCTGGCTATGGAGCTCCTCAGTCAGCACCATATGGATTAACAGGACAACAGCCACAGCCAGGACAACAGCAAATGTATGGACAGCCACAGCAAAGCTACCAACAAGGACAGGTTAGTCTGCATGTCTGCTTTTGTCTTTCAGTTTGTTGTGTCGTTTTTTGTGGATGTCCAACATGGTATATCGATATTATTCGCTTGGCTAAGTTCTGTGTAAGGTTTGAAAGAAAAAAACTGCAAAAACAGCCTTTTTTATGTCTGTAATCTGACAAAAACTGAAACGACAGAAGTCATGTTCATTCAGAATTATCTCCCTTCGATTGGTTTGGTCCTTCTTGAGTTGTGTGGATGGGGGCTTCATCAAATGTCTCCCTCTCTCCCAAATTGTTTCGCTTGTGCTTGCTTGTGGTAAAAGGACATTCATAATTTTTCAATTCAATTTCTGGTACCACGAGATAAGATCAGATGAAATATATCCATAAAATTTTGTTCGAGGCAATTTTCCGAGAGTAATGACTAAATACTCAATCAAAGTTTGACTTTTGATCACAGTTTCACTTGTTTGGATCTGAGTGGTGAAAGAAGGTAAACCTGAGCTGGTGCCATTTATTTCATGGTTATTGTTTTCTGGTTTATCTTGGAATCATTTTGTTCAAGGTGTTTGGGTCTTCTCCTATCTCTACTTACATGATGTACCGTTGAAGATCGGGTTAGAATTGGTCTTCAGCAAACCAAGGCAACTAACAGGATCAGGTGGTCAGGCCTGCTGACTTGGTTCATGCATGCCATCGTGTCCCAACTGCCTAGATCAATGCTCAGGATGTCAGTCACTGGATTGTCTGGTCCAGACCACTGTCATATAGCTAGAAAATTGCTGTGGTGTTACACAACAAACAAAAGCAAAACAGCATGGTCAGTCATGTCATATATCTTGGAGGGCGGTGGGGTAGCCTAGTGGTTAAAGTGTTGGCTCGTCACGCCGAAGACCCGGGTTCGAATCCCCACATGGGTACAATGTGTGAAGCCCATTTCTGGTGTCCCCTGCCGTGATGTTGCTGGAATATTGCTAAAAGCGGCGTAAAACCAAAACTCAGTCAGTCAGTCAGTCATAATCTTGGATACAAGGGAGATAACAATGCAGGAGAACCATACTTGCACATCCACATTTTCGTCTTTTAATCTTGAAGGGAAACATTACATGAATTCATTTCTGTGTAGATTTTAGGTTGTCTGATACAAATAATTATAAACCTTGTATCAGACTGACACGTTTACCACAACACATGTTGATTTCAGTTGATTTCTTTTTTGATAAGAAGAAAAGATTGATGGCCAAACATTGTTGTTGGAATCATTACATTAGTGTGTATCGCCAAGATTTAACAGTTTTTAATTACAACATCATGTTTGACAAATATGCATTTCACACACACTGAGGTATTTGTTATATCATGTAAGGTTGGTTATACAGTCTTTATTTTCCCTGTAGTCTTCTAGACGCTCTTGCTCACCAGTTCCTAAAGCCATTGCCTTATAAACAATGCTGTTTATCTTTTTGGTTAAGTTTCTACTTTTTCAGTTTCCTATTTTTAGGAAAGTTATTCTTTTGTGGTCTGGGGTTCAAATAGTGTTTCCATGTCACTGCTTCTGACCTTGCTGCTGTGTTATGTACACAAGACACTTTGGGGTTTCAGGTAAGACTACTGGTCCCCAGGAACCTATTCTTCTCATAAGAGATGGGGCGGTGGGGTAGCCTAGTGGTTAAAGCGTTTGCTCGTCACACCGAAAGACCGGGTTCGATTCCCCACATGGGCACAATGTGTGAAGCCCATTTCTGGTGTTCCCCACTGTGATATTGCTGGAATATTGCTAAAAGCGGCATAAAACTAAACTCATTCACTCACTCATAAGAGACCACCGAGATATGGAATTGATGGCCAGGGGCCCAATGTTCATAGCACTATGATATTCGTGAGTCAACAATTAACTAAATAGTTATGATAGCTCTTTATGCTACGAGACCCGTGAAGATCCAGGTTAGAATTGATCTTCAGTAACCCATGCTTGTCATTAGAGGTGGGAAACGGGATCGGGTGGTCAGGCTCGCTGACTTGGTTGACACATGTCATCATATCCCATTTGTGTAGATTGATGCTCATCCTGTTGATCACTGGATTGTCTAGTCCAGACTCGATTATTTACAGGCTGCCGCCTGGCGCCATATAGCTAGAATACTGCTGAGTGTGGCGTTAAGCATCAAATCAACCAATCATACTTTGAGTGCTTTGTGGATTGGGACACAGGCTGGAGTGACTTGGTTGATTACATGTCACTGGGTGGATTAATGGTCATGATACCAGTCACTGGATTATCTTGGTTGATTACATGTCACTGGGTGGATTAATGCTCATGATACCAGTCACTGCATTATCTTGGTTGATTACATGACAGATTAATGCCCATGATACCACACTGATTATCTTGTTGATTACATGTCACTGGGTGGATTAAATGATACCAGTCACTGGATTATCTTGGTTGATTACATGTCACTGGGTGGATTAATGCTCATGATACCAGTCACTGGATTATCTTGGTTGATTACATGTCACTGGGTGGATTAATGCCCATGATACCAGTCACTGGATTATCTTGGTTGATTACATGTCACTGGGTCGATTAATGCTCATGATACCAGTCACTGGATTATCTTGGTTGATTACATGTCACTGGGTGGATTAATGCCCATGATACCATGGGATTACACTGGGTGGATTAATGCTCATGATACCAGTCACTTGATTATCTTGGTTGATTACATGTCACCGGGTGGATTAATGCTCATGATACCAGTCACTGGATTATCTTGTCTAGACTCAATTGTTGACAAACACACACACACACTGAAATAATGTTGAGTCAGGTATTATGTACATGCATGTTTTTGTTTCTTGTATAAACACACACAATCTCTCATCACTCTCAGCACCACTGCTTTAAGCAATAAGGCGACCTCAGACCCTGTGTGCAAGGGTTCCTAGCTTGTTTCAGTATGATGGGGTGAGTGAGTATGGTTTTACGCCGCTTTTAGCAATATTTCAGCAATGTCATGGCGGGGGACACCAGGAATTGGCTTCTTCACACATTGTACCCATGTGGGGAACCAAACCTGGATCTTCAGCATGATGAGTGAACGCTTTAACCACTAGGCTACCCCACTGCCCCTTCAGTATGATGGACTGAATGGTAGGCATACTGAGATTCTCATGAAAATCTGGGTGTGGATTGGTCTTCAGCAACCCATTGTTCCTCACAACAGGCGACTAACAGGTGGTCAGACTTACTGACTTTGTTGATGCATGTCTTTGTTTCCAAATCATAGCTCTACAATAGTCCTGAGTATGTATCAGGACAGGGCTCAGGTCCTTAAAGTTGGTAGCTCTGTGTTTGCCTAATTGTTGAAATGACTTTGGGTTGAGTAGAGATGTCATTAGTACAAAAAATTATACCAGGTACTCATTTCCTGGATGATTTTTTTCTGTAGTGTCCCCTTTTTGTAGAAATTCTCTTATGTATATCTTCAGTGTATTTTTACCCATAATCGAAGAAACTATTTCCTGTATATATAGTTAACAGTGTGAGACATTTATTTTTTCATTTTCACAAGTCACAAAAATGTAAAAGGTAGTGGGAAATCTCAGTCTTTTCTGAATATATCACTAGTCTTGGACTTGAACTTACATCTATAAAAACCTGGTGGCACACTTGCAAAAAGCTTTTTTACTTTGTTTGGTAACACCCTTAGTATTAGTATGATAATTCTACAGAGATGTTATTCATAGCCTCCATCTCATCTTTCCCTGACAACCTAACACTGTACTTTCTCTCAACAGCAGCCTCAGCAGTACAATGCCCCAGCCTCCGGACCCGGCCCTGCAGCAGGGGGAAACCCTTACAGAGGAGGATATGCATCAGGGTACCCCCGCCCCCAGGCAGGTTACCCCCAGGGATACCAGTGAAACTGACACCTGCCACAAAGTTGTATTTATATTTTATCGAAAACGGACTATGGACTTGCATTCTGATGGAGCAGATGACATCAAGTTGAATTTGTGCGTCAATAATGTTGTGTTTCATTACGTGACTAGTTACATGTAAGAAAAATTAGGGGTAATTTTGAGAATAATGACATCGGTTCTGAGTTGGGTCAGAAAATTATGGGCATGTGCAAGTATGTGACTGTTGAATGAGACATGATGTTGATAGTCACTAGCAGTAGGATAATGTTAAGTTCTTTCTGTGGTTGAGTATTTTCCTCTATCAACTGAATATATAAAAATATTTTGGAGAGACAATATAATTGTTGATGGTTTTACAATTGTTTTGATGGATTTTTTTCATGTGCTTATTGTGATGAATCTTGAACAAGCTGAATCAACTTTTGACCAGTTCATCTAAGTGAAGTGAAATTTTTTTATAGGAAGTAGCCCATCTGTAAGATTAATCATTAATATGTTGCCAGTATGGACTGGTATGGAGTCAATTCTTTTCAAGTTAATGAATAGGTTAAACAGCCCATTAACTATAAAAACAATTCTGAGAAATGGCAGTGTGTAAGGTATCTGAATTAGCAAGATAAAGTTATTTACTACGATTAGAGCTGTTAAAAATGTTAGGAAAAATAGAATACATTCATCCTGCCTCTGCATTGGAGGCGTGACAAGGGCTGGCGTCAGTGGAGTTGTTAAAGGTAATGGAGCGATTGCTGTCATAGACCTCATTCAGTAACCTTGACAACCGTAGTTGTTGCTTTACATTTTCATAACCAAGCTTAAGTTTGTCTTTCATACTTGAATATCCCTATGGTGTTTGTAATAAAGTATTGTAATTATATCAAATACCAGTGACAGTGTCAGACAGTCACATTTCCAAGACACCATTTGGTTGACTTGGAAGAAGTGATCATCTCTCCCAAGGCTGTTTTTGTAAACAAATGTCCCAATGCTTTGGAGAATAGGTATCACATATAGAGTCTACGCATGAGACATTTGTCCTCTTGTAAACCACATATATAATACTCAACTTTTGATAGGGACAGCCACGTATGAAAACACAATGCCTTTTACTGAGAATATAACATATGTTTCATAATCTATTCTATTCTATTTAAATATCACTTGACATTTGAAGAAAATATGTTTTGTGTATGGTGAAAAGGTGAAATTGTCCTTATCAAAAGTGGAGTAGTATACTTCATGAGACTTCAGGCATTGTGAAATCATGTTATGAGTACAGATGCACCCATATCCTCCTCCCACCTTCTCTCAATCAAATGTTCCAGCTGTGCCCAGCGTATTTTTCTGTGATGTTGTACCAGGCCTATTTAGCTTGTCAAGCTATGTGCTGCTTCAGTCTTCACCTGTACCATCAGCAGTTCACCCTCTTCTACATACTGTATATCATTGTCTTTGTCTTTGGCCGGTCATGTCAGCAAGTGTATTTGGGTGTGTCTGTTATCAGTTTCTCAAAGCCTTTCATTGTTATCAGTGAGTCTGTTATCAGTTTCTCAAGCACCTTCATTGTTAAGTCTTTTATCAGTTTTTAAGCACCCTTCATTGGCTAATGGTTACAGTGTTTGCTCATCATGCCAAAGATCCTGGTTTGATTCCCCACATGGGTACCATGTGTCCCCGCCGGTGATATTGCTGGAATATTGCTAAAAGCGGCATAAAACTAAACTTACTCACTGGCACTGGAACTAAACACTGTTTTTCAATCATTCTTATCGAAGCATCCAGATAGGATATGTTTTGTTGCATTATGTTTAGTTTCCATGGATCCCCTGCAAACTTGCTGCTTGCAAGGGGCAACTACATGGACTGGGTGGTCAAGACTCGGTGCCTTCTTCAATTGCATGCCATTGTATCTCATTTTTGCAAACCAATCCTCTTTGTAGATCGATCCTCATGATCTCAATCACTCAATTGTCTGGTCCGGACTCACTTATTCACACACCACCGTCATGTCTCTGGGACAGTGCAGCATTAAAACAACGGACAAACCCAAACATCATTATAGTGTCTGTAATTGTTACATTTATAGCTGTTTAAACCTCTTGATTAAATCTAGTTACTAGTCTTGAAAGAAACTAATTTTGTGTATTCAATCTCTGTTTCATAGATCCAGACAATACTAATGAAAAAAAAGTATTCTCTGGGTTTATTAGTATTGAAATTACAAAGATATTTCTTTTGCGATGTCACAATGGTTCTGGTATTATGATGTGTCAGTGATGAAAGCAGCCTAAGGGCTCAGTTAGATTGGACTGAGTAATACCTATTGTGTAATACCTGCTGTACAGGGTCTATACCTGGGGCAGTGTCTAACGAGGACAATGGCGATGGCATGGACACAATACTCCCTCCAATAGATGGAATGTCTGAGAGCTGTTTGATGCTCTAGGGCACAGAAGGAATTCATGTGTCATCTCAACATCATAAATGTTTTGTTTTTACACATATTTTCTATTCTATGAACAGTTTGAGTAATAATTTTCGAAAACATTTAAGTCCAACATCAACTTTAAGGGTGAGAAAGGTATGTGCAGAGGTAATATATCTTGATAACTGACACATGGTATTTGGAAATTGACCATTAATGACACATCCAGGGCCCCATGGAAAGGGTCATTTGGTTTTGAAGGGGTCCACACACTGTAATAAGCTGAAGCATGAAATGGATTTTCATTTCCAACTACATGTAGTAGCAAATCTATATGCTTCTCAACGCCCACTGTTACCCACTGAACACTTACATGTTTGATGGTGGCCAAATGTTTACTGTACACAGCAATGTGGAGAATGGTTGATAATGTGATATTTTCCAGATCTGATATTTGTAACTGATACATTGTAATCAGATTAAAGTGTATGATTGCATGTTGTAGGACTGATGGAGCACTGAGAAATACAACTTTCAGACACATTTGATGTTCATGACTAGTCTTGCTTTTGCTTGGTATTATTTAGCTCAGACATTTTTTATACCATTTTGTAGACTTGTGGATTTGTATCATTCAGTCCAAAGTATTTTTCTTCTGGAAACTGACTATGGATTGAATCCTGAATTGAAATTCAGATTATAAGCCATGGTCTGAGTAAACTTGTTTGGTTTCATTGGTTAAACCAGTTGGATATACAGACCTGCACAGGGTAGGCTTGTGGTTAAAGCATTCGCTTGTCACACCGAAGACCCAGGTTGGATTCCTGACATGGGTACAATGTGTGAAGCCCATTTCTGGTGTCCCCCACCGTGATATTGCTGGAATATTGCTAAAAGTGGCGTAAAACTAAAGTCAGTCACACAGACCTACCCCCCTTTGAACTGTCTCCTAAAGCTGTGACATGATATTGGGACTGGAACACTGATTATATAAAGTTTGGCAAATACTTGTTTTCACTAAGTATTTTTAGAGGTATTTTAATAAGCCTTGAGGGAAACTTAGATATTAGAATTGTAATAAGCTCACAGTCATGCTTTCTTTTGATGTTACTGTATATTGCCTTATATTATATACCCCACCCTCACTTATGTAGATCTTCAAAATCAATATATTGATAAGTAAATCAATATATTTATTAAACCCCATCTACTATTTCAATCTGGGAATGAAGAATAACATTAGCAGAGCTTACAGATTTGTGAACGTTTAAATTTCATGAAATATTTTTTTTCTTTTATTCATCAATGATTTGTTACATGAATGTATCTAGTTCTTGGTGCAACTTTGTTGACATGATTCAGCATTAGATAGCTGCCCATAACCTAAATTGGCATAGACGGTGATATATTGTAGTCACTTCAGTTCATATTCATATTACCTTAATACTTCAAATTTCTATCATTAATATAAAATGGTCCTGACTTATGAGTTATTACTATATTATTAGAATTCCTTTTATACTATATATGTAGTGTCATTGCATTGTTAATCAAGATCAGTTGTCATGGTGATCAGTTGTCATGGTGATCAGTCACGTGTCAGCCATATTGTATTGTATATAGACAACCTGTACATTCAGTATGTCTGTTGTGTTTATAAATTATGGTGTATAAAGTAATTAGAACAAAGTACCTTCCATATCTGTTTTGTTGTGCAAAAACAAGTATTGAATCCCAAAGCTGGTGAACCATTTGTGTACCTTACGATCAGAGTTTGTCTGTTCTGTAAAATGAGAAAGATGGCCAAAATAGCAGTGAGTTCCAGCTTCTATTTGAACACCACTATATAGAGTATATTTGTTGATGCAAGTACACAAGGACAAAAGAGAAATGTGTATGATGTAATCTTGTGAAACTCAACGCAGGCACAGGAGGGCCGGAACTACCTATACATGTTGTGAACTGCATCCCAAAGCCCAGTCCTCCCAGCCATATGCTCTTTGTCATACCGACACCACAGTTATTCTGGGTGCTTGGTATATTACCAAAGGCTAAACTTTAACACATTCATCACATTGGGCTGACCATCAATGTTTTTCAAAAGGGGGTTAAATACAAGTCATTAAATCAATGGGGACTATAGACAACATAAATGTAAGCTTCAATCTGCAAGTGTTTGTCAGCCCTTTTTCATGTGTTTATGCTGACCTCTCTGTGTCCAGTGATGTGTCATTTCTCAGATGTGTACATTTGGATTTCAACGGTGTGCGTGAATGCATGCTGATGTGGTTATGTTGATATGGACAAAAGGTATTCAACGGCATGCCGAGATTGGAGTACATAAATAAACATTTTATGTACACAAGCTTGTTTGTTATTTATCCAGTATATTGTGGGTATCATAAGACTGCTCACCATTGGCCAAGAGACAAAGCAAACAGCAAAAAAGACATTTACCAAATACAGAACAATTTTCTATCCTATTCTCGCTGGTATCTTAACACCTGAAGATCCGGGTTTGAATTGATCTTCAGGAACCCATGTTTGTCGTAGTAAGAGGAGGCAACTAATGGGGTCTGGTGGTCAGACTCCAGCTGACTTGGTTGACACATGTCATAGTATCCATTTGCGTTGATTGATGCTCATGCTGTTGATCATTGGATTGTCTGATCCAGACTCGATTATTTACAGACCGCCACCATATAGCTGGAATATTGCTGAGTGCAGTGTAAACCTAAACTCACTCACTCACTGCTGGTATGTTAAATGCACATATCAAGGTTCAATTTTCATTTACATCAGGTGAAGACATGAATGAATTAAATGTCAACAGGGTTTGATAAATAAGAAATTTGACTAAATTTGTTCTGTCTTAAACAAGTTAATATTTGATACTGGTACTTCAGAGGGTTAGCTGTCATATGTCCATTAGTTAACATTGTGTTCTTTTGATACTCATATCCTCCAACATGAGAGAGTGAGAAGATGTATTTTGTGGCAATTTAGGCTAATGTTCGTGCTATCAACCACCGGTTTACCACGTTTAGTTATTTCAGGCCGCCGTATCATAGTTGTAATGGTTTCAACAGCGGCATAAAATGATATTCACTCGACTCGACTCGACTCGACTCGACACGTGTTGCTCCCAGCCTGTTTCACGTGGGAATGTTTTATTTTTATACATATGACGCAATACGCAGAATTAACCATGAAGGAAACCAACGACATAATACAAATACTATTGATCGTTACTCGCTCTTTCATTGCTGAGCGCAAGCCATGATTTCGTCACTCCCTGAAATCTCGTCGAAAATAGTTAAGACGTCAAGTAGGCGTGCTATAAATAGATATAATCCGGAGGGTTTGTATATAAACAACACCACGTGGACTTCAAACTCACATTTACGCTCTGTTCAAGATGAAAATACTCCCTTGCTTGTTAAACTACATGGATATCTTTAGTGATTGTTGTACCACGAAGGGGATCCTATCAAAAGCTAAGTTGATCTTTTTTACTAATTGAAATACTATTCGCTAACTTTTAAAACATCCTTGACTGTCAGTCAGAATTCTAAAATACTCCTATAACAATAACAACAATAATAATTACCATAGTTTCTGGAAATGAAGAAAGTCTCTCAGCTCCTTTTTATTGTGTTTTATGATTATAATTTAGGAACTGTTTTTTTCTGTAAAATATGTTCATTTCAGAGACTAGATGTTTGTCTAAAAATATGGCTAAGGTTAGCATCAAAAGACTTGATAATGAGAGAGGTCTTCACGTAGACTTCAGGGCGATGGGGTAGCCAAGTGGTTAAAGTGTCCGCTCGTCACGCCGAAGGCCCGGGTTCGATTTCCCACGTGTGTTCAATGTGTGAAGTCCATTTGTGATATCCCCGCCGTGATGTTGCTGGAATATTGCTAAAAGTGTCGTAAAACCATATTCACTCACTCTTATAGGCATTACTATTGCCAGGGAGAATAGATGGCGTAGATTATCCCTGCTATTGCTGACCTATATACAGATTTGCATTCACTGAAGTATCCTGTATTGTAGCGATGTGACATAACTCAAATACAGCCTATCACGAAGCGTGTAATTGCCGCGCGTTCCTTATTATCGCTTCAACACTATAAATTAAATAATATCATCTTGGAACGAAAGCGAGACTTTGAGTGCCTTTCTCCAAATATAATGAGTCCCATCAGCCTGTTGTGGACAGAGATCCCGTTATAATGGGGAACTCCATTTTAAACCATAACATTACCCCCGTATGTTGAAAACAAAATATACTACCCATCAAAAGTTTAGACTCACTTAAAACACTCACTATATGTTATGTATATACATGTGGTTACATCGAAGATGAATTTCTCCACTAACTTGGGGGAACCAACTGCAAACCTTCTGCAGATGAATTGCACCAGGATCATGCAACAAATTGCTGAAATGCATGTGCAAATATCGTGCATGTGAACAGCTGCGTTTTGAGTTTCATCATTTATTGAACTCGTGACAATAAACTTTTCAACGTTACGAATTTGTTTTACAATACATCAGTTCATGTGTAAACAGTACCATTAAACTGTCTATAACATTTTGCAAAATCTAGTTTAGATCAGCTGACTGAAGAAAGTGGCTACATTTACACTAGTGAGTCTAAACTTTTGATGGGGAGTATATAACAGGCATGCGAAAACATAAGATATTACATGTTCATTTCTGAGATCCAACGAAAACGTTCTTATATATATACTTCGCAAGTCGTCGGGAATTTAGAAATGAATCGTATAGGGTTCATTTCGAGATACGTATGTAAGAAATACGGTATACAAGGGTTATGACGAAAGCATTTATGAGGCTATATTCAGTGGGAGAATTTATGTAACGTAAATCAACTGCGTAACATGCTACAGTTCTTGTAAGACTCCACTAAGGGGGATGGGGTTTCAGGTTCGATGGTGTTCATTTTATCAGTCACCTGTTTGACTGTCAAGGCAAGCCTATTTCCATGTCACTCAATAATTGGGAAGGATGCCTCGGGTATACGGTGATGACGTCATGTTATTTACTTGGTTGGCTCAATCGGTATTGAATTAGTATGATCATGCGAAGCCCTTTTCTGGTGTTCCCCGCCGTGATGTTGCTGGAATATTGCTAAAAGCGGCGTAAAACCAAACTCAGTCAGTCAGTCAGTATGATCATGCACATATATATACACAAAGCTGGGGCCAGTCCCTCATATAACGCAAATTGACGCTCGGGAAGGTAGCAGGGAACCAGCTTACACATATTCCTCAAGGTGCGATTATTCCTTCCATATGATAGCGGGACGCCTCTAGAAATGTGCAGGGGTATTAGCAATAAATATATAAAAGATGAGTCCAGATATTTCTTCTTGTCAAAACTCCTTTATCTGCACAAGACCGTTCAACGGCTCATCAGACACACGGCTAAAGATATTGTGCAGATAAGAGGTTTTGACACTGTACAAGTAATACACGAAGAGAATGTATAATTAGGGGATAACTGTACTGTGTTTGACGAATTGGGGACGTATACCGGCGGTTATATAGCCGCAAATTTAGTTATATCGGCGACGCGTAAGCGTTGTTTCATCATCTAACAGTGTTGGGTCAACAGCCCGTTGCGAGTAAGTTGTTTGAACTTAAAATTAAATTTATGATACTGTTTTGTCTTTTTTAACACAAATTCCACCCATTTTAGCTGGATAGGGGAGTTAATTGACCAATGGCTTCTGCAAATGACAATGTCCTGCGAAACAGCGTTACCCCAATAGTGTAGGGATACATTCAAAGGTTTCGGTGAATCGGTTTTCAAATTGCGACCGTATATGCTGATTATACGGTCGGAAATTTATAGCATTGACCAATCAGAACTCGTGTTACATACTAAGTTGAATTAGAATTACGAATATTAGAACAATATAACAGCGATCCAGTATGACTACCGTTCATTAATCGTTCATGTCCAGTCATTAATCAAAGGGTGATGGGGTGGTGTAACTAGTCTTAGGATTGCATCATATTCAGTCGACCACTTCTTTAAGTTAAGCGATATTTTTTGTGCACCCACTCCTCACAAATAAAAGACAATAAAGTCCATGACACCACATCGCGACCCCCTATATTGACTTACCTGTCTTTCTAACTTTTATTGCCAAAACAACACTTTCATTCCACCACGTACAGAATCACACACGTCTCTCTTTCATCAATGACCTGAAATATTATTTGAAAGTCAAGTCTACAAATGAACATTGTGCTTCTCATATCTTACGTCAGGAATACATACGAAGCAATACAGATGTCAACTGAACACTTGAATATTTCCGAATAATGACGTCTTCGGATGTTGTAAATGCATTTATGACGTTTGACATCACCCCGCGGAAATAAACATAACCCCAGAAGGTCATTGCAAAGGTGAAGGCTATATTACATTGGCTATTTCCGGTTCCGGATTTAACCAAGAAAACAGCTCCCAGCCCATGTTTACAAAAGAATTTCTCCAAATGCTGGTCAACTAAACTACGACTGGAAGATTTCAGTTTTCCATAAGGTATTTATAACATTGCTGCTTTGCAATAACTGCAAAACTCAAGTTGTTCGTGGAAAAATGTTCACTAAATTGATGGAGAAAAACGCTTTTCAAATCAACTGCCGCAAAACTGGCTTCATCCGATTTCATGATCGAGTGATTCATTCCTTTTATTGATCGACGGATCACATGGTCTGCATTATGACAACAATAAGTTATCGATCCCTATGTGTACATATAAAATGTATAAAGCGTTTGGTGTCACAATCATAACATGTTTATTGAGGCCGTTGTGGTTTTCTTCAGTGATCTAGATCACGGCCCTGAATGTTGGGAATTTAATTTATAACCGACTGTGGTATTGGTAAATCAACAGCACTTGAGTGGTCTTGAAGGTTTAGATTGAACGTTTTGTGCATATGTAGTCTGTATTACCATGATTACAGATCACTAATTGAATTTTTTGTTTGTTTGTAATGTATGTTATTTGAATTTGACCTGACATTAATGTGCATGTTAATTATTTGTGTCCAGGATTGTTTATGAAGAAAACGTTTTTGTAGCGTGTCAGTCATCTGACTGTTCTATGTTGAGGATCAGTTGAGAATTTGGTGACTTTCTAAGTGTAGGTTGGTGTTCCAGATCTGACTCTACACCAGATAGTACTAGAATTTGTTCTTTGCTGAGACAGTGGGATCTAAAACACAACATATGTACATCTGACAGCTTTCTAAAGGGCTATATAGTATGGAATGAAAACTGATACAACATGAACACTGAAGCAGATACTTTATACAT